TTTTATTCGCTCACTTTTCACAGGGCTTCTACAGAAATCATTCCCCCATGCTTTCCCTGTGTCCAACCCAGCAGACCACAGCGGTGGCAGCTGGTCTTTCTAGATCCCCAGGGCTTGCCCTACCATTAGATAGAGTGAGCTAACCCCCTCAGACAGCAGAACCCTTGGCTGCAACCCTCTGTTGGAAGGCTGAGCTCTGTGCACAACATAGTGTTTCCTGCACCTCCATAATTAGTATGCATCCTCATGTGCAGCAGAGGACACTTTCCCAAAATAAGCTTCTACTGTCAGCCCAGCCAGCTCCTGTACATTGAATGATGTGTTGAACCCACTGCTTTATGGTAGTGAGATATGGGCAACTTACACCTACCAGGAACGATGCCTCAATGCCTTCCACATGCACTTTGTCATGAAGATTTGGGGCATCACATGGCAGGACAGAGTCTCAAAGATGTGCTCTGCCAAGCCCCCTTTCCCAGCACGTTCCCACTCCTCTCTCAGCAACATCTATGTTGGCCTTATCATGGGGACAGAATGGAAGATGGCAGGATCCCCAAGGACATGCTCTTCGGGGAGCTGGCTTCAGGCACCAGGACCATTGGTGGACCAACTCTGTGTTACAAAGATGTCTGAAAACATGACATGGAGGCTGGCAACATTAACCCCGCCGTGTGGGAGTCCCTTGCAAGACAACCACAGCGCCTTGAGATAAATCAGCCAGGTTGTGTATCCACAGCAGTGGCCAGAGGAGGAATGACCACTGGGAGGAGCACAGAGAGAAGAAATGCCATGGTGCACCTGCAGCAGACAACCGGACACCTTCATCTGCCCCACCTGCAACAAAACATGTCTCTCCTGTATCGGTCTCTACAGCCACAGCACAAGCTGTCTGACTTCACCCACAAAGGCTCACTCCTCCATTGTCTCCCAAGACAGACAGATGCCAACCATCAAGCATATGCCATTTCACAGAATGATCAGAAGGCTATCTGTGCTAGATCTGTGCTGAGAGTAAGGAAGTTTTACATGGGAATGTGAAGCAACAGTACCAAATTCTGTCAAGTTAAAGAAAATTCAGGATAGGATATGTGGGCACAGACATCCCTTCAGGTACCCTTATAAAATCTAAATGCTATTGACTTTCAGTCACGTTAAGAATCAATTGACCATGGAGATGCCATTGAGTCCTCCTGCATCTGCCAAGGGAGAAATATAATTATGACAGCAAAATATTCATCACACTCACTGCAGTAACACAGGCTGAGATTTTCAGGGGGCATTTCTCCCAGAATAACTGAAGACCCTTGAAATCCAAGCAGCTTTCCAGATAATAATTGTTTTTACCCCATACTTTGTTTTTCTTATATTTGTTCCTATGGTTTATCCAATTTCCCCAGCAGAGAGCACATTTTTATGGACGACTACTGAATTGGAAGAACAGGAACCACACAGGAAGAATCCAATAACGGAATGATTTGAAGGGTAAAGTAGAGAATGGTTTAACGTGGCGAGGTGAAATTCAACAGAAATAAGTGCTTAACCCTATAAAAGGAGAGGTTGCCACAGAGGGAAAACTAGCAGACTTAAACAACAATACCTGAACATGCAGACTCAGCTAAGGCATGATGGTAAGCCATAGTTTAGTGTCACAGAAATGACCCTGCTTGTACTTCTCCCCTTATCCTCCAACATGACCATGACCATGAGAGAAAGATAAGAAGTTTGTTCTTGCATCCTAAGTAGGCCAAACTGTGCTTAGTTTTGAAAAATAGCTTATTGAAACAAGCCAGGTTCAGACCATGGTTTCTGATGCTGGCTTCCTTCAATAAACCATAGTTTAAACTAAACACAGTTTCTGGCTCAAATGCAATAGCAAACTATAGTTTGTTGTTGTGACATCAGAGGAAGAGGTGGGAGTGCTCATGTCTAAGCTTGAACAAGTTTGTTTCCCTAATTCTAAACTATGGTTTAACATTAGGCCAAAAGTGAACCATTGTCTCGGCATTTTCAATTACATCTCTCTGTCCCCCTGCACAAGCAACTTCACTAACTGACATGTAGGCTGGCAAACAGTGCTGTAATTTTCCAATGTGATCCTAAATCTGATACCTGATGAGTCAAAAGTACTTAAAGTTGCGAGAAAAAATATGCATAAAATATTGATTTCATTAAAAATGTTAAGGACTACTTAATCCAGCAGCATTTTATATGTGTGCATATTTATTTCCATATTTGCATATCTGTTTGCATATATCTTGTAACGATGAATGTTAATTATACTTTTAAAATCATTTATAAATTGTAACCAAGCCTGTTGTATGAACTTGGGGCCGGGGGCAAGGGGGGAAGAACACATTCAAGTGCCATTAATTAGAAACTGCCATTTAAGGCGCGATGAAACAGCAAACCTCATATCAGGAAAATATTGAACTCTTGACAAACAAAAAACCCCAGCAAGAATTATTAACTTGGCTAGCTCATTAAGTGGAATCTTGCGAGCAAAGCACTAGGCATTCCTAAGTACCCTTCACGGTACTCAACAAAGACTGTGGAGAGTCAATACTGACCACCAAAAACGTTCAACTTTGCTGTGGGTTCACCTTGCTGAGGTGGGGGGGGGTGTCTTTTGTAAATAAACTGGGGGAGGGCACTGGGAATTTGGAATAATCCACAAGGGCACCCTTCTCAGGAAAGTTTAATGGCAACTGCTGCCAAATGATGTGAGCTGAATTACACGACAATTGGATTTGAAAACAGGCTCCAAGCAATTTCAATAAGAAACATTAATATGGTGTCATATCTGAAGTTGTTTCCAAAGGAGCACTAAGAGAAGCAATTGGTGACAGGCAATCACAGCATATGTTTTGTTTTGTTTCTCTATCGTCCACAATAACTGTAAGCATCAAACAAAAGTAATGAATTTGAATGCAATCCTATGATGGCAGTGGGGTTTTAAGTAGGGTTGCCATACACCCAGATTTTCCTGGGCGTATTTGGAAAACAGCAGCCAGCAGCAGTGTCCGGGTGAAAATTGGACCAATGTCCAGGAAAATGTCCACTTGTCGCAGTGCTGATTTTCCGTAAAAAGCTCAACAACTTTTCTCTCTAGATTTTCACTGTTTGAAATATGGCAACCCTAGTTTTAGGATAAGGCAAATCCATCATACATCTCTCCCAGTTTGCAGAAAGGAAATATCCTTGAAGGAAAAGGCCAGAAGCTGCTGCTGTGCCCCTTGTATTTAAAGCATGGTTTGGTTTCACATGGTGTGTAAACCCAGGTTGCTGGTTTTCTCCCCAAACAAACCATGAGTGTTAAACCAAGGACAAATCTTGGCTACAGCTAGGAAAGGAAGCAGGTGTCGTTTTCTGTTCTGCCCTGTATTAATCCCATGCAGCACTGTTTTCCTTCTGCTGCAGTTCGTCTTCCTCCAAAACATATGTATGATGTCTGATGTGGTGAAATTGACTCAATTCACCATGCAACTGATCCGTTCCAGGCAATAACCTTCCCCTAAAAACATGCAGGTAGTTGCTTCTGTCATTGAACTCCTGTTACCATTAAGGCATTTGTTCAACCAAAATCTACCCTCCTGCAACATTAGCCCATGAGATCCAGCCCTCACTTCTGAGTCAGCAGAGATCAAGTCTTTGCCCTTCAAGCATTCAAGGTACCACAGTACTACCTAAGAGGAATCACAGAAGTGAACGAAAAGTGTGGATTCGGGAAGCTGGGAATGGGATAGCAACCCTCTTCCCTCCTTCTATTGTAGTTACAGCCGCTGTAAATTTGCATTCTAACAGCAGCTCTGAATGCTTCTGTGGTGTCTCTGCAGGTTTGCAACAAGCTGCATTGCTGCTGTCAGCTTCTAGTGTAGCGGAGACATAATGTCATGGTTAAGGAGTCCCTATACACCTGTAATGAAATGATGTTGTTCTCATGCCGTATCTTAGGAAACAGTATCCCAGCGCTAGTTTAGCACTTGACATATCGGAATGACACCATGCTGACATTTCATTTCAATGCACAGAGGGGTTCCTGGACCATGCGCTCGAGACAAACACTGGCAGGTTTTGGAAGGGAGCAAAAATCAAAGGCAGCTTGCAGTGGCTACTTGGATCAAGCAGGCCTAAACCCTGAGTGTGAAATAGGGGTCCCTACTCCCAAACCAAATATATCACTTTGTGTTTTAACAGCACTGCAGTGGCAATCCTTTTGGCCACCCTCCACTCACACCTGTAGCAGATCCTCCAAGTGACCCTTTTTTCCAGGGACAGCCCCAGATTTACAGGTGCCACCCCAGTTTCTGATTTGATCCCAGAATGCCTCGCTTTCTGGTAGGATGTCTCTATTTCCATTGGAGAAATGTTAGGGGGTATGGAGTTGCCTGTCTCCCAAGCCATCTGAAGACAGCCCTGTATGGGAAAGTTTTTATGTTTAATGTTTTATAATTGCATGCCTCTCCTAAGGGGCAATCTAGATGGATTTTATTTATATCTATAAGATTTTTCAGACTTTGGTTGTGAACTGGGGCCCAACAAAAAATAATAATTGAAGTTGCGCCCCACTGCTTCAAATTGGGCCCCACTGGCTAGCCCTGAGTCTCATAGTTACTGGGTCTGAGTTGCCCTGCCCTCGCATGAAGTCTTGGGTTTACAGTTTGGGGAGAGGGGAGACTGCGGCACTGGGGAGAGGGCAGGCTGGTGAGGCCCCCTAGACTTAGAGGCCCAAGTTGCCCTGCCCTTGCATGAAGTCTTGGGTTTGCAATTTTGGGAGAGGGGAGACTGCCTGCTGGGGAGTGGGTGGGCTGGCGAGGCCCCCTACATTTAGCCTATACATAAATCCAGCACTGGGGACACAATAGTTCCCCATCCCTGCTCTAGCACTTTAGGCCTTGCAAGACCAGGGTTGTGTGTACTGTATTTCACAAGCTCTGCAACATGGACTGTTCCTCAAGGGCTCCCTTCAGGCTACAATAACAACCTGCAATGCAGGAATATTTTGCCCAACATGGGGCTCAAACCCACAACCCTGGGATTAAGAGTCCCATGCTCTACTCACCCAGCTATCCCAGATGGGTGACTGAAGTAGACCGTCACCTTTCCACCACAGAACTCGACAACCATCTTGCCTTGTGCTTGATAGAATATACACAACACAAACTCTAGCCTGGGCTGGCACCTTTGGGCAAAGGGAATATGGTATATTATTTCATAAAAGCTTATTTCAAATGGCACTTAATTTTATGGGGGGGGGAGCTATCAGTATTCTAAAATGCCTCAAAGAGTGAAGGAGACCATTTTGCACCTTCATTATATCTCTCAAACCACAATATTAAAGAGACATTTGCTTGGTAGTTTTAATCATCCATCAAGCATGAAAGTGGATATTATCCACTTCATAATGATTTGTGATGGTTCTGAATCAACCAATATACCAAGAACATGCAAATTAGATGAGCCATAGATTAAAGTTTTGGATATGTAATGGAAGAAATCAGAGCAAAACAGTAAAGTAATAGCAAGAGATATATGGGGGAAATAATGAACCAATGAAATACAAGTGTGTTCTATAAAATTCCATTTAGCGATCATTCCAACAACATCTGCAAGTATGAGAGAAATGTTATATGAGAACAGTAATATATTAGAGCCTCATAGAATCATAGAGCTGGGGGGGCCAAACAGAGTTGGAATCATGGGGACACAGGACCATAGAGTTGGAGGAGCATAGAGCCCAACCCTCTGCTCATTCAGGAAACCCAGAGTTACAGCATCTCCAATGGATAAATGTCCAACCTCTGTTTGAGGACTTCTAGTGAGGGACAGCCCAAAGCACAAACATTGGTACTAGCGTTGAACTCTGCTCTTACCACAAAGGAGTGTCTACTAAAGTTAAATGGTGGTCTACCCTCCTGTAATTTACACCCATTAAATCTAGTCCTGTCCTCTGAGGCAGCAGACTTTGCCTTCTTTTATGTGGCATCCTTAGTGCCATCATGATTTTCCCTCTGTTTTCTCTTCTTTATGCTGAACCTACCCATTTTCTTCAATCTTTCCTCACAGCCTGCTGTAGCTGTTATCTGCTTGACATCACCTCAAGTTGGGCCCTGATATAATCGTGGGTAGAAAAAAAAATGAGACTTGCATGAACTGATTGAAGGCAGATGTAATGGACAGCCATGTATCCCTGTGAGCATCTGTGCTACAAATATGAAGCGGAGAAAGCCCTTGTGTGGACTTCTGTCTCTGATTCACACCACTAGCTGCAGCAACTTCAAAAGAAACAATTAGAAAGAAGCAAATGCACATATTTCAAGGAAGAATGGGGAGTAAAGACTGCTAATTGAAGAGATCTCTGATAAAGAAGACGGGTCGGATAAACAGGAATATATCATGAGAAGACACACCAAGGCTCGGTATGTCGGCAATGGGACTGGATGGGGGGGGACTTTCCTTTCTTTCTTTTACGTGATTAACCAATAATCCCCCCCCCACAAGTCAGAAATGCCGCTTAAATGACCTAAGATGGATGATTTAAGACTGTGTGGAGATAATTTTTAACCAAAAGCATGTTTTAAGGAGATTGTGGAAAGTACAAGAGCTTTGGGATGACGCAGTAAAAAACAGCGTCGCCATTTTGGCAAGTTCTGTCGAAAGACTTATGTCTGGGAGGAGGAATGCATTTGTTTTCATACAGCAGGTGAACCTCCTCAGAGGACAAAAAGATGATTGGAATCCCCTTCGGAACTTGAAATATGGGTACCCCCAACAAAAATTTAAAATTCGGCTTTGTAATTCGGAATTTTATGTGATTTGATTTGATTTGATTTGATTGGTCGGTTAATAAAAATTATTTTTAAAAAAATATGAAGCGGAGAAGGGCCATAACTCAGCAGTAAAGCATCTGCCATGCTCACAGGAGTCATGTTTAATATCTGCTATCAGCAGGTCAGGTTGGGGAGGTTCACTCTTTGAAATCCTGGAGAACCACAGGTCAGGGTGGACAATACTGATTCTGAATAAGGCTGCTTCCTATATTCCTAAAGGAATCAATTATCAGGGCTTCTAAGTATAAAACCTCTGGATTTATCATAGAATGGCTCCAATTGGAGCAAGCGCTCCAGTTGGAGAACAGCCTTTACGAAAGGTGTCGTGGACTTTGAAGGAGCACGAACTAAGGGCAATAAGGAGAAATGAGCTAAGAGGAAGGCACATTTGGCAAACCCTCACTGTGATCAACTCCTGCCAGGAAACCTATGTCCCCACTGGACATAGGATGTGTGGATCCAGAATTGGCCTGCACAGTCACTTACAGACTCACTGACCAAATTCATGGAAGACAATCTTGCTTGGCTACAAGTGATCACCAAAGTGAAAGGAAATACTGTATAATGGCTCCAACTAAAAATGCCCAGGATGTACACACACAAAAATGAAATCCTCTGCAGTCAGAAATGGTATAACCCATTTTACATCAAGACTCTACCATTTTATTCTTCTGTCTGTAAATATGAAGCTACACAGGATGGGGAAAGACACGGAACCCGGCTGCACCTCTCTGCTTGAGAGGAAATACTCCAACCAAGCCCTTTAAAGTTAACAGATTTGAAAATACACTTGATGTGGCTGCTGTGCTGTGAACATCTGCTGGAAAACTCTAATATCAGTACAGCGCTGACGGCATCAATCAGGTGTCTTCAGAGATGCTTCATTTGATTGTTTAGAGAGATGAAAAAGTAAACAAAGTTAGCAGACTAAGCAATTTCAGATATGTACAGTACATTAATCAATGTAGAATGAACAGCTTTTGACTTGGGGTGTAATGGGTTATATGACACACTCTAAACAAATTGACAACAGAGGCCGTCCCGTAATGATGAATCAAATATCACAACTGCTATATTAAAAGGAGTGTTGGAATTTTTTAAAAGCTAGTATCTTCTTCTAAGAAAGGAGGGGGAAGTGTCTACAAATTTGAATTGGTTGTGAGGAAAAACTCACGGAAAGCATATATATATATATGACCTTGAACGTGACAAAACTTCACGGAAGGGTCAAGTTTATGAAAGAGCTTCCATTTAAAGTTATCTGAGTATTGCCTAAACTGGTTTTCAGAATGAAATACTAGCTGAAGTTTGTATTTACTTCATACACAATCACTTTAACCTTGCCATTTGCACAGCAGATGTCTTCTTTCACAAGACTACAGAAGCTATGGGCTATAAATCTTTATAAGATAAGCTGTTCATTCCTTGTTTGTCAAAATGCTGCAAGGAACTGCATCAAAGAAAACAATTGCCAACTCGAGGCAAATACTAAGTGCTGATCACGCAGTCCTCACTCGGATGCGGCGAGTTTTGCCTGAAAAAAATATCGTGCGTTGGGGACTGCCATAAGAAAGCCTCAACTTCATTCAGTCACCAAGGTAGTACATTCCTTTACTGGAGGAATAGGGGACATGTCCAGGAGTTGTTGAACTCCAGTTCCCATCACCAGCCCCAGCCAGCATGAAATAATGGGGGGGGGTGTTTAGGGCCAGTTTCCCATCTGCATTTCAGGGCCAGTACACACAAATGCAACACACCATTGATTACCATTATGTGTATGGTGGAAATTCTCTTGCTGCTATTTGAAGTGGGTTAGCTCATTCACACATACAAAACAGCACCCCTAGATGCTGCAGTCAAAGTCCTGTAGATTCATGTGTGAACCTGGGGCCTAATGGCTTTCTGCTGGATGTGTGAACAAACTCCATAGGACAGCACTTTGTTTGGGGAGCTGTGAAGTAATGAAGTAATCTCGTATAATTTTGGGATGTTTTCCTAAAGATATTGACCTTATTAGGGAACAGAGAGCTGCTGAGATATACTCTGCCTTTCTATAAGCAACTACCTATTCGAATGTAAATCCAACCTGGAACATCTAAGATTAAAATGGAATTGAAAAGTGGAGTTCCGTGCTGAAGTCCACATGAAACTGTTAGATTTGTGACTTACTCAGTAGCAATGTATGTGCTGACGCAGAACTGCAGACCCTCCACATGTTCCAATTTTCCATGTACGGAGTTACAGAAGTCGTCCTGGTTTCTGGTTTGATCCCAGACTGTCCCACTTTCCCTTTGGACGTCCCTATTTTGAAGTGAGAGCTGGACCATAAAGAAGGCCGATTGCTGAAGAATAGATGCTTTTGAATTATTTTATTTAAATTATTTGAATTTTTGAATTACATGAGACTCTTGAGAGTCCCATGGACTGCAAGAAGATCAAACCTATCCATTCTTAAGGAAATCAGCCCTGAGTGCTCACTGGAAGAACAGATCCTGAAGCTGAGGCTCCAATACTTTGGCCACCTCATGAGAAGAGAAGACTCCCTGGAAAAGACCCTGATGTTGGGAAAGACTGAGGGCACAAGGAGAAGGGGACGACAGAGGACGAGATGGTTGGACAGTGTTCTCGAAGCTACCAGCATGAGTCTGACCAAACTGCGGGAGGCAGTGGAAGACAGAAGTGCCTGGCGTGCTCTGGTCCATGGGGTCACGAAGAGTCGGACACGAATAAATGACTAAACGACAACAACATTTTCATTAGTGAAATATTGGAAGGGATGGAATAGCACGTCTCTTTTCATCAGAGAAACATTGGATGGGATGGAGCTGTGGCACTGCCCTTCTGATGCTGGCATCACTGCTGCTTACAGAGTCAGGGCCAGGGTGGGGCAGGAGCACACAGGTACTCTGATAGGAGTAATACGACCAATTTGGTGCTCCCATGAGTGCAACCACATGGCCTTCTCTAGGCAAGCAGCAATCCCAGCACTGGAGGCAGGAAAGTGACTCTGCCTCACCACACAAATTGTTACTGGGCTTATTTACAACAATAACAACAACAACAGGCTTCAGTGAGTCTGTTGGATGCTAAGCAGATTTGGATTACTGCAATGCACTCAACGTGGGGCTACCTTTGAAGGTGACTTGGAAACTACAACTAATCCAGAATGTGGCAGCCAGACTGGTGACTGTGAGTGGCTGCCGAGACCATATAACACCAGTCATGAAAGACCTACATTGGCTCCCAGGACGTTTCTGAGCACAGTTCAAACTGTTGATGTTGACCTTTACAGCCCTAAATGGCCTCGGTCCAGTATACCTAGGGTGCGTCTCCAGCCCCATCGTTCAGCCTGGACACTGAGATCCAGCGCTGAGGGCCTTCTGGCAGTTCCCTCACTGAAAGAAGTGAGGTTACAGGGAACCAGGCAGAGGGCCTTCTCGGTGGTGGCGCCCGCCCTGTGGAATGCCCTCCCATCTGATGTCAAGGAAATAAACAACTATCTGACTTTTAGAAGACATCTGAAGGCAGCCCTGCTTAGGGAAGTTTTTAATGTTTGATCTTTTATTGTGTTTTTAGTATTCTGTTGGGAGCTGCCCAGAGTGGCTGGGGAAACCCAGCCAGATGGATGGGGTATAAATAATGAATTATTATTATTATTATTATTATTATTATTATTATTATTATTAAAATTGAAGTATTCAGACATACAAACTGCCGGGGGTGTAAGGTCACTGAAGCCAGTTTAATAGCATATTTGGGAACTGTCGGGTAGTGACTTCATTTGGCAGAAGGTAGAAAGAACAATCAGTTATATTTACAGGACACCAGATGACATGACACCCCAGCTCCTTTGCCATCCTTGGTTATTTTTCCAGCACACAATTGGCCTGAGATAAATGCGTGCAATCAGGGCTACGAAGAGACATTCTAGCCTCTGTGGAAGTTGACAGCTTTAATTTATCGAGTCCTTGGCTGCTCTGTTGTTTCGCAATGCTTTTAGATAGTTTTAAATGTTGCTGTCAATTGTTGTTGTTTTTAATTGGAAAATTTATTAGTATTAAAAGACAGTATAGATTTTTTTAAGCGGGGGGATTCAATGTGGTAGTCATGAGATGTGTCCGAAGCATGGACAGCCGTAAACTTGCCTACAACAGCAATGTGTTAGAACTAGCCTTTTCTGCCATGGTGCCCAGCTTTTAAAATATGAGTGTTTTATCATTGGAGTATCCAGCCGGGCAGCCAGTAAGCCAGAGGTTCAAATCTCACTGCAGTTTGATCTTTTATGAAATAGGCCCCATGGGGGAGATAGCAAATAGCCAGAAATTTGGGAGAGGGATAGTTCTGCATTACCAAAATTCTCCATCCACCAACTCCATTCCCATCTCTGAAGTTTACTCTATATGAGTTGTGTGCCTCAAAGGGGAACACTTGGAAAAGTTCTCTAGTTTTCCTACTCCGGTCAATACATCTAACCAAGAATTATGTGCCTTATCTGAGGCACATATCTACCTTCCTCTCCATAGCTAAGCAGTTGGCTATCTTATCAAAAAGTGTCATTAGATTAGTTTGTAGGAATTGATTGTCAGCTTGACATGAATGATTGAATGAACAGACAGTGTTACTTATCACACAGTTTGTTGCTAGCGGACAGCAACTGGCTTTCTAATTAGGTGGCCTGAGTGCTATGCTTGGAATTGAAGTTGAACTGATTTGATGATAATTTAGTGGTGCTCCTAGGTTTTATGCATGAAACCTGCTCTTCGTTTAAATCCCTTGCAGGGTGGAGAAGCATCTCCTCCCCCCCCCCCCCGCCCTCTAAGACAGTTTTGTTTTCCCGTGATTGTTATTACTAATGGGCATCGACAACAGTATTCTGTGAAGAGTGTAGGCACATTCTCAAACCTTTCCTGTTGTGAAATAAATGTATCTGCTAAATTAATTTAAACAATACAATGCAGAAAGCTCTCCCCATGATCGCAATATCCCCAACACCACTATCTAAACCAGGTTTCCTAAACTTGGGTCTCCAGCTGTTTTTCGGCTACAATTCGGCTCTCCCCATGATCGCAATATCCCCAACACCACTATCTAAACCAGGTTTCCTAAACTTGGGTCTCCAGCTGGTTTTCGGCTACAATTCCCATCGTCCCTGACCACTGGTCCTGCTAGCTAGGGATGGTGGGAGTTGTAGTACAACACCTGGAGATCCACATTTGAGAAACCCTGATCTAAACTTAGTAGTGCTGTTCCACAGCTTTCTCATGCACATTTATCAAAAGCCACAGATACCATGACCCAGGATCTTGCAGCTGAGGACTCAGACGAGAACAAGCTTTAGACTACTTCCTGAGGGAGAATAACCACCAGTACCCTCCCAGCAGGACACAGTCCTGTCACCATCCTCTGCCTCAAAAGACGAGTCCTTTGCAGGACCTCTGGCCCCAAAGTCTTATCAAAGATAAACCTTGCAAAATAAGGGAAGGTCCCTTTAATCAGCCGGCCAACTCTTCCAGAGGGGCGGAGCCTACCACAACTCAAGCCTTGTTGGCCAACAAAAGGCATCAGACAAGCCTAGCACCCCACAGAGACAACTTTCCTGCTGCCTTAGTAGGGCTCCTTGGAGCTCTCCAAGGTCCTGATTTTGGCTTGTGACTGGACATTGCCTGCTTCCTCTGTTGAGCCCACAGAACTGGACAAGAGGCAGTGAACAGCGTGATCCTATGCATGTCTACTCAGAAGTAAGATCCACTGAGTTGTGTGTGTAGATAATTGTGACCTCAGGCTGCAAACTGAAATGCTTTTCTTAGTGGTAAAGCACCGTTGAACATAGAGGGACTTGCTTTCAATAAGGGAATTCTGCATGGGGCTGCTTTTAAAACCTGTTTGAAAACTTTGATTAGTGCACAATGAAGAGGGCAGAGTTTTGACTGTATTGTTTTTAACACTTGATTGGAAGCTGCCTAGAGTGGCTGGGGAAACTCAGTCAGATGGGCAGGCTATAAATAAATTATTATTATTATTATTATTATTATTATTGACTGCCCCTGCTCACTCAAACTACATTGTCAGGTTCCCACCCTCCAAAAAATAAACCTTCACTGGCTGTTCATTTCCAAGCCCAGCCCAAAGCCCTAAATAGTTTGCAAGCCTGAAGATGCATCTCTCTTTATATTATACTGCTGGGATAGTTCAGTTGGTAAAAGCAGGAGACTCTTAATCTCAGGGACATGGGTTCGAACCCCATGTTGGGCAAAAGATTTCTGCATTGCAAGGGATTGGACTAGATGAACCCCGTGGTCCCTTCCAACTCTACAAGTCTATGACTCTATGATTCTCACTAGAGCAGTGCTTTAAGATCAGTGGACGGAGCTCTGCACTTAGGAGAGGCTCATTTGGTGGTGACATTGAATGGAGCCTTCTCTGTTGTGCCTTCCTATTTGTTCCCCTTACTGCAGCCCTACGGCTGCAGTCCCTGGAGGGCAATCTTCTAAGAACTGTAGGCCAATAGTGGGTGTGGCCAGGGACATACATTGGTGCAGCTCATGAGGTTCTTCCTTCTGGGCCACAAATTCTCTTCCGAGGCATCACACACGCCAAGGAAACAATTTGTCTGGCTTATGTTGGAACAAAGGAAGCTGCCTTTTGCCAAATCAGATCGTTGGTCCATGTAGCTCAGTATTGTATACATTGACCAGCAGCAGTTTTTCAGGGTTCCAGACAGGGACATTCCCAGTCCTACCTGTAGATGACAGGGGTTGAACCTGGAACTAAATAACTGTCCTGCCTCTGCATTGCAAGTCTTCCCTAACTATTGAACTAGAAACATCCCTGAACAAGCACACTATGGTTTTTAACAACAACAACATAGATTGCTTTACTGTAAAGATCTTAAACGTTGCTGAAATCCAACGTTTCCTGTAGTGACTACGAGTCCTGTAGTGATTTCATACTCTTTATTGCAGCTTGTAAAACAGTAATTGAATTGCCCCCCAAACCTCAGGCTTTTATATATATTATTTACACAATGAGTCCCATCTGATTGGCTGATTCTGCTTCCCACCTGGAATCTGATTGGTCTTTTCCTGCAGGCCAATCGGTTGTTGCATTCTACGATCCTACCAGCCTAATAGGCTGATTAACTTCCTCCTGGAGCCTGATTGGTCTTTTCCTGCAAGCCAATCAGTTGTTGCATTCGAGGATCCTACTTGCCTATTGTTCTAGGATCCAAGCTTAGTACATAACAGTTACGGATATGATACCGCTGAAGTAAAACACAGTTGTACCTCGGAAGTCAAATGGAATCTGGAAGTCTGTTCGACTTTTAAAACGTTCAGAAACCAAGGCGTGGCTTCCAATTGACTGCAGGAAGGTCCTGCAGTCAACCGGAAGCTGAAGGACCCGTGTAGAACGTTTGGGTTCCAAAGAATGTTCGCAAACCGGAACACTCACTTCCAGGTTTGTGGCATTCAGGAGCCAAAACGTTCAACTTGCAAGGCGTTCGACTTCTGAGGTATGACTGTATTATGAAGTCTTGTTCACTTTAACAGGTCATATTTAAGCACATGGTTAGGCCTCCTTCTGAAATAAGTGCTTATCTCTGACTGACTGCACACCATACACTTAAAGCACATCCTCCCTGCAAAGGATCCTGGGAACTGTGCTTTGTTAAGGGTGCTGGGAATTGTAGCTCTATGAGGGTAAACTACCATTCCCATGATTCTAGGGGAGGTAAAGGTAAAGGGACCCCTGACCATTAGGTCCAGTCGTGGCCGACTCTGGGGTTGCGGCACTCATCTCGCTTTATTGGCCGAGGGAGCCGGCATACAGCTTCTGGGTCATGTGGCCGGCGTGACTAAGCCACTTCTGGCAAACCAGAAATGCCGTTTACCTTCCCGCCAGAGCGGTACCTATTTATCTAATTGCACTGGCGTTCTTTCGAACTTCTAGGTTGGCAGGAGCAACGGGAGCTCTCCCCGTCACGGGGATTCAAACCGCCGACCTTTTGATCGGCAAGTCCTAGGCTCTGTGGTTTAACCCACAGTGCCACCCACATCCCTCTAGGGGAGGTACTTTAAATGTAATATATTTTATGGTGGGTACACAACCTATGTTTTGATGGGGTTTTTAAATTTAGGCATGATGGACATTACATTTTTAAAAAAGTAAATATGAGGTTGATGGGTTTTGTACAGATAAACAATTCTGCATTCACAAGAAATATGAATGAATGACATCTATAACAGGCCTTCTACTAATTAAGTAGACTAGAAATAAGTTTTCTACTTATTTTGGTCCAGTATCCCAAACTCATACATACATACATACATACATACACACACACACACCCCACTGGCTTATAACAGAAACAAACCTCAAAGCTGCTAATGAGAAGAATAAAAACAATTAAATCATCAGTACAAGCAATTAAAAGTAACTTTAAAAAACTTTTAAAAATAAAAAAATAAAATCAACAACATGCTAAAAACAAACAAACCCAGATTAAAACGCCTGCCAACAGTCTGTATATCTGGATAGGCTTTTTCTTAGCGAGATACAAACATACCATAGCAATTATGAATGAGTGTGACAGTCATACTAGTAGTTCTGTGTCTTTAGGATTATTACATAACTAGAGTAAAATTCACACATTTACCAGCTGACCACTAGATGGAGCAATTTCATGTAATAAGTAAAACCTTCAGCGCTTCAAACCTGAACACCCTCCCAGTACTAATTTTTCCCATTTAAACCACAGAACATTGTGAAATGTCTGTCCTTACAGTACAAGGAACTAAGAAGTTAACATAAACAAACTACATTATGTAATGCCGAGGTGGTTTGTTTGTCCGTTTGTCACTGTCAACACAGCAACAGGAACTGCAAGAAAAGATAGATTTAAAAGTACAGTACTCTCATTTTTTAAAAAAAATTAAGTGATTTCCCCATTTGATTTAGCTTTAGATGGGCTTGTGTACTGTACATGCTTCATAAATTTAACAAGACAAAATCCAATGACCAACGTTTGCAAAGTTGTTACATACACGCTGATATCAGATTATCCAACTTCCTTTTAAGTCACAACCACTTTATTCCTGCAAACCCCCACATATTGTCTTATTTCTGCTAAATATCTTCCTTCAGAGATTTCTACTTCTTTTTAAAAATAGTATTCACATTTCTACCCTGCTTCCCCTTCTCTATTTCCACCATCAAGCGGAGGAATCAAAACATCTACTGTTGCCATTTGTGGCTCTCTTTTTTTAAATTAATTAATAAGTTTTTATTAAATTTCACATTTTATAATCAACATATTAATCATATCAAAGAAAATACAATAAAACAAAACACCCACCCCACCCCATGTCTTTCCTCAACTTCCCCTTCTGGTTCTTTAACTATTTGCTACTTCTGCTTAATTTTATCTTATTTTTCATCTTTTAGCTGAATGCTCTTATATTCTTATCATTTTTATACCAAATTTCCTTTCAATTACATCTTACATTTAATTAATTTCCAGATTGTTATCTCTTAACCTTTACTCTTGTTTTCTTAGTTGTATGTGTTTACTCAAACCCTGCTAGTGAGTCCATTTCTTTACAATATTTCTGTAGATATAACATACCATTTGTAGCTCATCTGAGCCGATTTGGGTCAGAAGAGTCACAGCAACCATCCTGGAAGATCTGGAAGACTCTTTGGTTCTAGCCTTTTTGGTCTTCAGTTGCCACCACTGATACAGCAAAGCTTCCCCCCCCCTTTTTTTAAGAACCTAACGCGGGTGGCGCTGTGGGTTAAACTACAGAGCCTAGGGCTTGCCGATCGAAAGGTCGGTGGTTTGAATCCCTGCGACGGGGTGAGCTCCCGTTGCTCAGTCCCTGCTCCTGCCAACCCAGCAGTTCAGAAGCACGTCCAAGTGCAAGTAGATAAATAGGTACCGCTCCAGCGGGAAGGTAAACGGCGTTTCTGTGCGCTGCTCTGGTTCGCCAGAAGCAGCTTAGTCATGCTGGCCACATGACCCGGAAGCTGTACGCTGGCTCCCTCAGCCAATAAAGCAAGATGAGCACCGCAACCCTAGAGTCGGACACGACTGGACCTAATGGTCAGGGATCCCTTCACCTTTAAACTCCCTTCTCTGGTGACAGCTCCTGAGCTGATCTCAGGGTGAACTGCTCCTCCCTTTGAATAGGAACACAATGCTCACATGAATGGTAGCATGGTACCTGAAATTTGCAACACGGATTCACAGCTGATAATTGCAGAGGTCTGGGTATCAGAAATGCTGAGCCCCAGCCCCCAATATATTTTTTTAAAAAATGATTTTCATTTTACAAAAAACAAACAAAAACAAAAAAGGAACAAATTATTATATATATCATGTTTCAACTTTCCTCCCCCTCTTTCTGCAGTTCCTTATAGTTATAATGCTTTACTGCATTTTGAAATTAAAACAAATTATTATTCATTCCATATAATCAGTATATATTTTATACCACTGCATGTTTTTACGTTAATCCTGCTAATGATTTAATCTGTTTACAATAATTTTGTGAATATTCAATAAACGTTTTCCACTCTGTATTTAAAAACTTTACTGTCTTGGTTTCTTATTCTTCCAGTAAGTTTCACCATTTCTGCATACTCCAATAGTTTTTGTTGCCACTCTTCTTTGGTCGGGACATGGTCTTCTTTCCATCTTTGGGCAAATGTTGTATGAGCAGCTGTGGCTGCATACATAAATAACATTTCATATTGTTTAGGTAACTCTAGTCCCATAATCCCCAAAAGAGCCTCCCCAGCTAGAAGAATGAGAGTTTGCTGGTTCTCCAGTTGCTCGGAAGCTCCAGCTTCAGAGGCAGTCAATTTTTTGCAGCTCCTCCCCTGCCTACTGCAGCCCTCCATGTCATATCTCATTCTACTGGAGAGCATCTCCCAATCCCAGGGAGCTGGGGGCGGGATGGGGTGGATAGGTGAAAATCAGGTACCCCAACATTTGTGAGTGGATGCACTTTAAAGTAAGGAAGAGCCAACAGTGGACACAACCCACAAAGTGTTATCCAGTCTGGGCACATCACGCTAGGTTTATGGGTGTGAGGAATGTGTGTGATTGCTCACGAAAATAACAGCCAGGACTCCGACCTGTCTTTTACAGGTTTTATTGAGTGCAAAAATCATGTACAGTGCAGAAATCCAAAATCCATGTCTGCCTCAATCACTAGCAGATTCCGGAAGTGGTTTCTTCCGGTTTTTCCAGAAGTGGTTTTTCCGGTTCTTCTACCACTGAATTCCAACTGCTAGAAGGCACATAACAGGAGTGGGCTACTAACTTCCTGCATGGTGTGCATCTGATTGGCTCACTGAGGTAGACAGGCCTTTGCTCTCTGATCCAGAAAAGTATCAAAGTATTAAAAGAAGACTCAGTGGAAGAATGTTGGGGACTAGAGGAGTGTGATAGAATCTTGCACATGACTGACAGACAGGCGACCGTGTCTGTTAGGAATGAAAGCTGGAGAGATGAAAAATGGAGAAGAGATGAAGAATCAGAGAGAGGGAATGAGAAATGGGAGGGGAAATAGAAGAACAAGGAAAAAGCTTAATGGAGAACTCTTAAGGAGGATAGTCATCCAGGTTAGATTAGGTTATTAGAAACTCATTTTAATTTAATGAATCACCTGCCACAGAAGACTTAAGGCAGCTTCCAAACATATCCATAAAAACAACCAAACATAGCTAAGATAAAACAATACCAGAAAAACAACAACTAAATACATGTTTAAAAACAACATACAGTAAGCTTCTAAAGCATAAACCTTTCCACCCAGCTGGAAAAGCTTGTCGAAACGAAAATGTCTTCCGTTGTTTTCAGAGAGTACAAATAGCGGGCACCACAGAAAAGTGGCAGCCTCACTGAAAGTCCTGCTCTGAATTACTGTGCAGCAGGCTTCAGATATTTTAGAGACTTCTGCAGAACTTAGTGACCCACTGGGTATATAACAGATAAGGCAGCCCCTCAAGTAAAGCCTACTATGTTCATACCAATCCTTGAGTTTGGCCCCATAACAGATTAGCAGCCAGTTCACATCCTGCAGACAATTTTAAGAATTTTGTTTAAAGCGACTATTATTTCCCACAAATATATGTTTACTGTTTTAGCTAACTCTGTTCTGGTTTGGGTACATTACAGTGGTACCTCGGGTTAAGAACTTAATTCATTCTGGAGGTTCTGCCAATCAGAAGGTCGGCGGTTCGAATCCCCGTGACGGGGTGAGCTCCCGTTGCTCGGTCCCTGCTCCTACCAAACTAGCAGTTCGAAAGCACATCAAAGTGCAAGTAGATAAATAGGTACCACTCCGGCGGGAAGGTAAACAGCGTTTCCGTGCACTGCTCTGGTTTGCCAGAAGCGGCTTAGTCATGCTGGCCACATGACCCGGAAGCTGCACGCCGGCTCCCTCGGCCAAGAAAGCGAGATGAGCGTCGCAACCCCAGAGTCGGTCACGACTGGACCTAATGGTCAGGGGTCCCTTTATCTTTACCTTAGCTCAGGAAAAAAAATATCCCTTGCACCCACTGTGATCATCTTTGAGCACAGAGCAGAACAGAGCAGCATCAGTCCTTCTCTGACCAAAACAATTGTGTGGGTGAACTTGAACACAGCACACCCCTTGGAGATGCTTGGTCTGAACCTAGTCCTGTGATGATGTGGTATATTGAAGGAGGCTGAGTAGAATTTGCCTGCCACTGAGACAATGGGGGGGGAGGGCACCCCCCTTCTTATTGCCCACTGCTTTTTATTATTATTATAGGTTACCACTTGTCTAAACAACATAGTGCAACAGAAGAAATTATGTCCCAAAATAAAACCAATAAGCTAAAAGTGCTTAGCACAAAATCTGAAGCCAATGCTGTGTTTATTACCCATAACTCAAAACACACTTTCTTTTGCAAGCAGAGTACTTAGGTTTCTGCAGTTGCTGTGCCATCCCCTTCTGCCTCTGCCTCACCAAAACAAGTTTCCCTCTTGCGTTCCAAACCTATCAGAGCTTCCTGGTCGAACTGATCAGAGTGCCAAATTTCCACTGGCTCAGCCCTGCCAGAAATTTGCCCACTGCCTTCGTCTGAAAACACTTTCGACACAGAATAGCTCTCTTGATTTTGAAAGAGCTCCCAGGAGAGCTGAAGACGTTGATTTCAAATCCCTTATTAAAACCTGCTTCTTCAGGAATTGTTTGTGTGTGTGTTTATACATGACAACACCTAATTTTTCCATCTTTTAAAAAGCATTTAGCTATGCCTTTTCCATGTTTCCCACCTAAATATAACCACTTCCAAAATGCGTTAGGAGTTTGAATGCCACGACCACGTTGCTTGTGGAAAGTTAGTAAAAACTCAGATCTTTGCAGAAAATGGCCTTCTTTTAAAATGTTTCCATATCAACCTTTGCCTCAGACTATCCTTCAATGAAGTTAAATTAAGAAGATTTTTAAAAAAAAAAAAAGATGGGGGGGGGATATGGTGTTGAGTCAACATCCTCCACCCTGTTTTCCATACTTAGTGAGCATGCTCCAGCTGACTGGTTTTCAACTCAATTTCTACAGCACCGTCAGCTTCTAAAGACAACCATGGGAGTGAAGGCTGCGGAATGGAACCTCTGGAATCAAGGTACCTCAAGAAGGAATAAACATTTAATTTATCTAAAGGTAAAGTTCAATGTTCTTCTTCACTAGATAATATGTTGTTTCCCCTTCTTTTTAAGAACTATTCTGTTGAAATAACACTTCTTTTCTCTGTGTTATTTTCCATTCTAGCAAATAGAGGGTGGTGAATCTTTTTGCCAGCAGTTAGGAGTTCTAACATGTTAGCCCCATGCTTGAAAAGGATTCAGTAGCATCAGGCCAAATGGCCAAGAGAAGCCCACTGAAACTATCAGAAACTGTGTGATAGGAAAAGAGCTTCAGGTGACAACTGACTAATAAGTCTAATAAATGAAATGAAATGAAATGAAAAGAGCTGTGATAGCAGGGCATCTGGTTTGCATGCAGAAAGTTCTAGGTTCAATCCCTGGCGTCTGGACGTAGGGCTGGGAGAGATCTTTGTTTCAAACGCTGGAGAGCAAGATAGACCAATGGTGTATGGAACCTTCCTATGTTCCTGAAATCTCCAAGGCCTTGGAGAATCCTATCTGAAGGATATTAAAGGCTGGAAAAGGTTAAGAGAGGTGCACGGTGGAGGCCCCAGCTCTGCCCAGCCAGGTGAAAAAAATACTGCTGGCCTATCTCTTGTTGGCTGTAGTAGCAGGTAGAAAAATCTACAGCAGCATCTTTCAGGAGTGAAGCACTTGGTGGCTTTGAAATCCTCAAGGGGCCTCATCCTCAGGTCCTTCATTGACATCAGTCTGAAACTGGTGAAGTTACAGTAATAACAATAACAATAATAATAATAATAATAATGGAAGAGGGATCATGTGCCAGCAGATAAAGATTGGTTGCCTTTTGCTCACGCAACCATTGCACACAACCCAGAATTTTGGTATCCATCATCTCTGGAAACAGACTAAAACTATTATTTGCATTAAAAAATATTTTATTGTCCAGCCACATCCAATGCAGCTTTACTAGAAACTGAGTTCAGTAGGGCATTTAGATGTTGATTGTTGGATTTCAACTCCCATAGCCAGCATTTCAAGCCACTGGATCCTTATTTTTATTTAAATGGTACTACATCGGTCACTCTCCTGTCGTTGGGCAGAAAGGCCAATCATAGGGGTGTTCCATATTTTTTGTTCGAAGATCAGTAGTTTCACATCTGAGTTTTTTAATAGTGGGTGGATTTGCCATTTGTTCAGGTAGATGCCATCTGGACCTGATGATTTGTTTATTTTAAATGTGGATTCTAATGCCTTTAAATATAACTTATTTATCGTTTACTTGAGTCAGAGGCTTCCTCCTAATTACAGTGGTGCCCCGCAAGACGAATGCCTCGCAAGACGAAAAACTCGCTAGACGAAAGAGTTTTCCGTTTTTTGAGTCGTTCCGCAAGACGAATTTCCCTATGGGCTTGCTTCGCAAGACGAAACGTCTTGCGAGTTCTTGCGAGTTTGTTTCCTTTCTTTTAAAGCCGCTAAGCCGCTAATAGCCGCTAGCCGTTTATAGCTGCTAAGCCGCTAAGCTGCTAATAGCCGTGCTTCGCAAGACGAAGAAACCGCAAGACGAAGAGACTCGCGGAACGGATTAATTTCGTCTTGCGAGGCACCACTGTATTCAGATGGGTTCTTTGCTATCTTAATATTCGTATTACTGAAGAAGTTCAACAAACACTAGGTTGTTAAATGCAGATCTCAGCCTTAAATTTAAATATGGGGTAAGTGCGTAACAGTAATATAGTGATAATATAATGAGGTTATCTTGATTGACTTTAATATGTAACCACATGGGAACTGTAGTTCAACAACATCTGGAGGTCACATTTGGTTTCTCCTGGCTTATAGCCTAAGCTCAGTTTGGGTTTATTCTGTGCTGTAAACTAATCAGTGCTGTTGAAATAATAATTAATTAATTTTGATTAAGCAGGGGTGGAGAACTTGTGGCTCCCAGACATTGCAGGACTAATATCAGCTCTGACCATTGGCCATGCTGGCCAAGTCTGATGGGAATTGAGAGTACAACAACATCTGGACAAGCATATATTCCCCGCCCTGTAAATATATAATTTATTCAGCCTGAGAAACCAGTTGACAGGGTGTGAAGGTTTTGCTTTTTAAAAAACCAGTTATTATTTAACTGTTATCCAAATATTAAGGTATATATGCCTGATGTCAACAGATGTGAAAAGGTAACCCTTTTCACCTTTTTCAATGAGCCAATGAGGCGAAGCAATTACAAAACTGTATCATCATCCAGGGCATTGGCAAACAGGGGGAAAGCGAAGATAACTTTTATGTGAACAACATTGCTATGGCTGTAATAGTGCCTTCCAATTCACAAAGGTGAGCAGCAACAGCAAAATAGCAAGCTGAAAATTGTGGTGGATTTGGTCATTGCTTTGTTCTTCTGGGAAAAAGTTTTGTCATTTTACAAGCTGGAATTTTGTGCCAAAAGGAAAATCATGAACTGGTTGTTATGTGTGGATTGTGACTAAATTTATAATTGCTCAACACTGAAAGCGTATCAGCAGCCAAACACGGGATAATGGTTTCTTAAGAACTGGGATATTGCCAGAATGATGAAACTGACCTATTACCTTGAAGAGGAAATGTTTTGATAAATTTTATGCTAAATTTATCCTTTACTGGAAGAGCAGAGACAGTACATTTTTTTTAAATTTCTGAGCATTGTAAAGTTTTTAAACTTAAGTTTAGGTTATTAATTAATTAATTTTTTAATGAATTGTGTTATTACCTGTTTCCTGAATATATATATATATATATATATATATATATATATATAGTTGCATATTAAAGTCAACCAAGATAACCTCATTATATTATCACTATAGATGAACAAGAAAAATAAGTATGGCTTGTGCAAAGGTAGGTCCTGTGTATTCTAGAGTTTAGCACTTGGATAAAGACTTAGCATGTGGATAATTGTGATGTAGACGCCGTATAATTTCCAAAAGCTTCTCCGCCCCGCCCCCCCCGAGTCATGGGATAAGAGGAGAGCTGGATTTAGGTTTGATGAGGCCCTAAGCTACTGAAGGTAATGGGGCCCTTTATATGTCCAGCTGTCCTTTGTCAACAACAAACTGTTGTTGTTTTTTGTGTTGAATATATGCTGTATAGTAATTTAGGGACCTAATAGGTATCTAAAGCCATTTGCACGTGTTGCCATGCAACTAGTCCATGCAGAATGTAGGCACCCTATACAGCCATACCTCGGGTTACAGACGCTTCAGGTTGAGCATTTTTGGGTTACAGAAGCGCCGAAACCCAGAAGTACCGCAACAGGTTACTTCCGGGTTTCAGCGCTTGTGCATGCGCAGAAGCGCCGAATTGCAACCCATGCGTGCACAGATGTGGCGCTGCGGGTTGCGAACGTGCTTCCCGCATGGATCACGTTCGCAACCAGAGCATCCACTGTATATAGAAATGCGCAAACCAGTGATATTTTAGGGAGCAGGCTAGCAGGCGGGCCCCATTACTTACATCATAGGAGCCTACACAACACAAAACACTGTTGCTGTATGTAGGTTTTATTTGTTTTTTATCTTATATTTTGGAAATGTACAGCCAGTGTTTTGTTTTTCTTTAAATTTCTTGGGGGCCCCCAAGTGAGTGGGGCCCTATGTTACAGCTTGTTTAGCTTATACGTAAATCCAGCACTGTTGCAAACCCGTTTGGGGACGTGCGCTTTTTTTGAACTCGGTCGGAGAGCATGTGCAGTGAGCAGTGAGGTCGGAGCGAACTTTGCCGTGCCGGGGTGGAAACCCCGCTATATGACACGGGCTCCCCGAGGGCAGGGAGGGAGAAGCGAGCGACTGACTCCCTTGCGTGGGAAACAGAGCGAGAGAGCGCGAGCGCCGCGTCCCCCTCCCTCTTCCAGGCGAGAACTCCTCTTCCGCTCCTCTCTCAGAACGCGCCCCGCCCCTACTCCCCGGGCTTAGTCACGTGCTCCGAACGGCCGCCAAGCAGCGCCGCTTTTTACGACAGGGTGACAGCCAAAGGGTGCGACGACGACGACGTCGAGGAGGAGCGGCGGCGGCGGAGGCGCAGGAGGAGGAGGAGGAGGGAGGAAGGAGGAGGAGGGAGGAGGAACCACCACCACCACCACCCACTGGAGGGGTGTGTGGGAGGGTCGGGAACGGGAGGGCGGCGCGCGCACGGGCGGGAGCGAGCGCGAGACGCCCGGCCCGACGCGAAACGACACCCACCCCCTGTCCCCGTCCCTCCCCGTCCCCTCATGGGAATGTGAGGAGAGGGGGTTGACGCCCCCCCTCAACCCTCGCCTCCGCCCCTGCCGCCGCCGCCGCCGCCTGAGGAGCGAGCGAGCGCCCCCCTCGGCCCAGACCCGCCTTCTTCCCACCGGCGGCGGCGCCCAGGTGCGGAGTCCAGAGCCAGCGCGCAGCAATGGCGTCCAACGCGGCCGAGAGGGAGATTTTCCTCACAGACCTGCAGCAGGTAAAAGAGAGAAAGTGGCGGCGGCCGAGGCTCGCTCCTTCCTTCCTTCGTTCCTTCCTCCCTTCTCTCCTCACGGCCCGGAAAAGCTCTTCTTCCTTCCTTGCCGCCCTTTCCTCCCCCCCCCCATCCCTTCCAGCCTGGGGCCTCCTGGCCGCGGAGGTGGAGCCGCCCCCCTCCAGGCCCCCTTCCTCGGCGAGGCACACTCTGCCTCCCAGTGTCATAATCTCCTTTGCTGCTGGAGCCGCTTCTCTCTCTCTCTCTCTCTCTCTCTCTCTCTCTCTCTGGGCTCAGGCCACCTTGAGGTGGGTGGACCCCAGGAGTTTTCCTTTCCCCTTTTCTCCATCCCCCGCACACACGCCTACCTCTTTCCTGATTTTGTATAGGACTGGCTTGTTCATCACAGTGAACCTCTCGACCTTTATTCTCCACAAAATTAGTTTCTGCTGATCTCTCTCTTGAATACAAAATGACAGCTCTTCCACATTTATAGGACCTTAGCATACGTTATTTAACGTTAAATAAATAAACGTTATTTAACAGTAAATTGCAGTAAGTTGTACACTCCTTGTATGTTGGAGTTATATTACTTACAAGTTCCATAAACTAGCAGCATGTCTCCAATATTTCACATCCATGGTCAATTGGGAAATGAACACCCAACCAGAAATTCTGTTACTGCCTAAGTGTTTATATGAAATAGTACAGTAACATAACTGATATAGTTTTAGATGAATCCAAATATTTGCCACTAACTGTCAAACTGAATGTACAATGGGTGGATGTCAAGTGTTCTTCCGTTCCTAAATATACTGTAGAGTGTGAAAGTGACTGGAGGGCAAGGCCTAGCCTGAAAAGTATAGTGTAATCACTGCCACAGGCTGTGAAAGAAACATTGTGGACTATTTTAAACTAGCGTGGAATACTGTTGATACAGTAGCGGCATCACCTATATTTATTTTAGAAGATTTATAACTTGCCTCTTGGCTCCAAGAGGCTTCACAGTAGCTTACAATATAATTGAAAAAACACCTCTGATAAAACAGCAGTAATATCACAATAACTGAGAGCTGAGCAGCAGTAAACCAACTGTAGCAGCAGACTGCACAGTTAAAAGGGCATTCTGCAATCATAGAAGACACTTGATACTTCTATTGAGAAGGCCCTGTCCTGTGTCCTTACCAACCATGCCTCTGAAGGCAAAGGAATATGAAGCTAGTCCTTTATTTACCATTATGAAAGGTGAAAGGATGCATGTGGAAGCATGCAATCCTCAACTATTCTGACCATTTAGGACTTTATAGATAATCACCAGCACCTGAAATTGTAAAGATTTGCAGTTGTAAGCCAGTTGCAACTGTTAACACCAGGGTTATATCTTCCATGAAGCAGGTTTCAGCCAGCATTCTGGCTGCTGCATTTTGCACTAGCTGAAGTTTCCCAACACTTTTTAAATGAAACCCAGCGTAGAGCATGTTACAATAAATTCAACCTAGAAGTAACCAAAGCATGTGCAACAGTGGTCAGACCTGCTTTTTTCCAGGAAAATGCATTGCTGATGCATTTACCCAAGCTTTGCAACAGCATTCCTGGTCACAATAGTAACCTAAGTATCCTAGAGCAAATTTAGGTCAAGGAGAACCCCAGGATACAAACCTGGAGTAGAGGTTCTGTTCAGACTAGGTAGTACCCCGAGGCTTGAAATAGCTTCTCTGTTAATTAGGAGACCCTGTCTTTGCCAGGCTTAGCTTCAATTTATGTACTCACATCTGATCCATAACTGCTCAAGCAATGTTTAACACCTTCCGCTGCCTCCCTGGCATTTGACGAAAAGGAGAGAGAGTGCTAGGGTTCATCTGTATATTGGCAGTATCTAGTCCAAATCCCTAAAGTCTCTCCAGCCATTTCATTTTCATGTAAATGTTGAACAGCATGAGGACAAAATATAATGCTGGGGCATCCTAGAAGCCAAAGGCCAAGAAGGCGTGCAGAAATCTCAACACTGTTTTCTAGGACCTGCCCTACCAATAAGACCTTGAATCTTTGCGAAACTGCTTCCAAGCCCTATCCTGACCCAAAGGATATAGTCGTTGGTTGTCTCAAAAGCCATTGAGAGGTCCAGCAGATCCAAGAGAGATGCACTGCCCCCATTTAGCTCCTGACATATATCATCCAGCAAAACTGCCAAGGCAGATTGAGAAGGATTGTGGGAACCAATCTTTTCAAAAAATGTCTATAGATTTGTAACACTTGTACACCTTGCCCAAGAATGGTAGGTAGGCTGGTAATTATCCAAAGATGTAGGATCAAATAAATGTTTTTTCAGCACTGGCAGAACTGATGGCATCTCTCTCTCTCTCAAAGAAGCATTCACTACCTATGCCAGCCATTTAGATGGTTCCTTTTGGTCAAGAGGGCATGTACAGTGGTACCTCGCAAGACGAATGCCTCGCAAGACAAAAAACTCACTAGACGAAAGGGTTTTTTGAGCTGCTTCGCAAGACGATTTTCCCTATGGGCTTGCTTCGCAAGACGGAAACGTCTTGCAAGTTTGTTTCCTTTTTCTTAACACCGTTAATACAGTTGCGACTTGACTTTGAGGAGCAACTCATAGAATGCGGTGTGGTAGCCTTTTTTGAGGTTTTTAAAGACTTTGGTGATTTTTGAAGCTTTTCCCAAACTTTCCCGTCACTGTGCTTCACAAGACAAAAAAAATCGCAAGACGACAAAACTTGCGGAACGAATTAATTTCGTCTTGCGAGGCACCACTGTAGTCAGTCTCAAACCTACAAGCAACCTGTCCACATGTTCAGGCAGAAGCAACTCAAACATATTCATCAACTGGTAAGCAGATACTGTGGATACATCCATAGTTTCTGTTCCTGAAGATGTGCAGATGTGTAAAGAGCAGGTGTGGATGATTTCATCTGCAAAGTGTTCTGCAAATTTGTCACCGTAGGCCACTGAGCGGTTACCAAGGGGTCTTCTTTGAGGACTCGGATTTGACACGCTCTTCACCACTTGGAACAGCTCTGCTGGATGACACTGTACTGATGAGATGCAGTGGAAAAGTAAAATTTTGTGAGTGATCATGTCAATTTCTCAGGTCATTTCCCCATTCCATACCTCTGACATGATAGCCAGTCATGTTAGCTAGAAACTACCCAAGAGCAGTCAGAAATTAATTTGGATCCATCAGTCTCCATGGGCAGGCCATCCTGATAGTTTTACAGAGGGTATGAAACCCTGTGAATCTACAAGAGGTAGTGAACTCCTTTGTTATGGACAGTTATCTCAAAGCCTCCCACCAGCAGTGTGTCCAGTCCAGCAGTGTGTGCATGTAGATAGGCCCATAGTTGTCATGGAGGCCATGAATTCCTGACCGCCACAGATGAGGGTACATAGTACTTGTGGTTTAATAGTCTTGATAATATTAAAACCCCTTTCTCCAAAGCAATGCCATTGGCTATTAATTCCAAGAGTTAAAGTGCATGTTGATACCAGCCTCATGACAGACTTTTTGTATTGCTTTCATAGTTTTGTCGTCTTTTTTTGTTTTTCTTATGGAAAAAGTCAAAATATTTTCTGCCAATTTTCTTGATAACACATGGTGTTGCAAAAAGAAGCATACTGTGTATTTTACACATTCTGTTTCCAGAATTTGCTAGTGTACAGAAGGTAGAAAGAGAAAGGAAGCAGCAAAAAGCCAAGAGCAGGATTGAAAAAACTTCATACATATGGTCACACAGGCTCCTAAAAATATGATAGCGGCTCCCAGGATTTTAAAATAGTTTTCCATAACTGATTGAGAGAGATGTGACTTTGTAGTGACATGGATGCTGCTGTTAAAGCAAATCCAGTTGAGGCGTCCAATGTGACGTTTGTTATTTCCGTATGATGTGAATTGATGATGTTCACAGGATACTTGCCCCAAGGCGTCTGACCACATGCCCTCTGGACCCCTGCCCTTTTTGGCTGGTTAAAGCCAGCTGGTGTTACTGGGCGGATGAGGAACTGCTAGCTGCTCTTAAAGAGTTGGTGATGTGACTGCACCTTTAAAAACCCACCCTGGGCCCAATGGTGTGTAAGAACTACCAGCCAGTTACCAATGCCCCATTCTAGGAGAACGTGGTAGAGAGGGTGGTGGCAGAGCAATTTCAAGTGTTCCTGTATGACACTGATTACCTGGCTCCACTTTAATCTGGGGTTAGGCCTGGTTTCAGTGCTGAATCGGCTTTCATTGCCCTAATGGATGACCTATATCAGGGCAGGAGGAGTGCATCCCTGTTACAATTACTTTCTCAGCAAATTTTGATACCACTGACCATGGTATCTTCCTAGATCAACTGTGCGGGATGGGTTTTGGAGTCCCAAAGTAGCATCAGGGGAGTTCTCTTTGACTTCCTGGCACCTGTCCTATGTGGTTCTGCAAAGTATTGTTTTGTTTCCAGTGCTATTTAACATCTATATCATGCATAGGCAAACTCCGGCCCTCCAGATGTTTGGGACTGCAATTCCCATCATCCCTAGCTAACAGGACCAGTGGTCAGGGATGATGGGAATTGTAGTCCCAGACATTTGGAGGGCCGGAGTTTGCCTATGCCTGATCTTTATGAAGCCACTGGGAGTGGTTATTAGGAGTTTTGGAGCAAAGTGCCATCGGTTTGCTGATGACACACAGCTGGAGCTCTACATAGCATCTGAATTAGGAGAGGCTGTGCAATCTATGGACCAGTTTCTGTTCTGGATGAGGTTGCTTTGAGAAATGTAGCTTGGGAAGGTATTCCTGGAAATGTCTTTGGTGGCTAGAAGTGCTTTTTACCTGCTTTGTCTGGTACAGCAGTTACATCTGTACCTGGACCAGGATAACCTGGGCACTGTGGTCCACACATTGCTAACCTCAAAACTGGATGTCTGAAGAACACTTTTCCAGCTGAGATTCAGCAAGCACCCTCACTTTGGGCTTTCAGGAGTCTCTTGAAGACTTTTTTATGTTGACAAGATTTCTGAATTTTTCCCTGAATTGACTCTGTCTTTAAAAGTAACTTTGCTCTTTAAAAATTTAGCACCAATCATGAAGATAAGAAAAGTTGTATACCTCTTTACAAGTGGTAAAAGGTTTAGGGAGAACTAGCACTATTCATGCTCAGCTGAGAGCTGGTGGACAAGAAAATGAATATTATTCCTTTGGGAGACCCTCACTATCATGACAGTTTTATAATTGTGAGCACAGGTCACTGATTGCACCCTTCAGTTTAATACTAATACAAATTTGTCAAAATAGGATGGAAGTCCACGTTGTACGGGTCCTGATTTAGTGATTTTATGTCTTTTGTTTAATCCCAGCATTTGATTAAGTCACAAATGTTTGTTATCTTTTGAAAGTGGGTATTATTCAGAAAGCATATTTGCAATAGTGGGAATATGCGTCACAGCATATGTAATGCAACCTGTATTCCTTAGCTACAGATAGGAGATTGGGAGCACCCTGTGGACTTAAATGTTTCTCCCTCATTTATTTACCTGCTTGTGCAGGCATTCATCGTTTTCTAGCCATTTCAGAGATAGCTGTGATTATGACTATGCCAGCATTTTGCTAACCAAAGTTGGTGTCAACCACAATTTGCACCCACGGTTCTAAATATCCAGCTCCTAAGGTGGAGTGGAGAAGCCAAGGTGTATTCGCTGTGTGCTGGCTGTATGCCTCTGGGCACCTGGCTAGCATAGAGTGAAAACAAGCTTCCAACCTCTTCCCTGTGTCCATTCAGAACTGGAACAGGGTGGAAGTTTGCTGTCTCCCATTCACCTCCAGTCGCAGCTCCAAGCTTGGAGCTCCAGAGAGGAGATTGGGTTTATCTTTGACTTAAACTATATTGTGTGAGGTCTGGGCAAGACCCTACCCATTACGGGAGGAGCATGGTTCTTGCAACCACAAATGTTTGGGTTGGCCAAAGAATGCCAAAATTTGTGGACCACTTGAGCCAGGCCATATAATTTTAATCTTATTTCCTGAGCACCTGGCTTACAAACCTAAGAGCAGGAAGTCTCAGAGACTTTATCCTGGTTAAAGGAAACATTCATGGCTGCATAACCAGCATAAGAGGCCAATCTGAGTGGATTTGTCCCAGTTGAAAGGAAAGCTCAATATAGAGGAGGAAGAGTTGGACGTTTGAACTTAGACCTTCACCTATGACTGGCTATGGCTGACAGTCTTGATATCAGGAAATACATAATAAAAATATAATTACTGTTACTTCATATGGCATTCCCTGTGAGGGGCAAATAATGTTATGTTTGTATGCTGGTTGCATTATATTAAATAGAATGAAAACTTTGTAGAGGCCTATGCATTGAGCCAATATGATACTTTGATCTCTTAATACCAGCACTTGAGTATTTGGTAGTAATGACTATGTGGCAACTATACCCTGGTCAGCTGAGATGAGCAGGATTTGCATAATCATGATATTTGCTACATGTAGGAGTGTAAAGTGGGTGGACAAATCTCAGGTGCATGATCTTCCTTGGACTGTTTAAACATGTTTATGTCAAGCAATTTGAGATTGAAAATACAGTAAAGCCCTTAGAACTTCAGACAAGATTTAGATCGTGGCAGCAGCTGTAGGTTACCTGTTTCTACTTTGTCTAACATAATTTGTTCTTCTTCCAAAATTAGTTCCTTGTTCTGCATTCAGTGTCATTTCTGAAGTTTCCCTGAGTTCGGGTGGATACCTTGTTTGGTGTTGCGGCATGGCTTTTTTTCTTACGAATGTGATTCAGAAGTTCTACACATACGAAGTTGTCTCATGCGTTTTTGAATTGGGACAGTATTCAGTTCAAGAATAAAAATACTACTTTAGAGCACGGTTTGGGAGCCTCAAGCCTGAATCAAATGCAGCAGTACAGGCCTATCTCACTGCTCCTTGGGATTCTCCCAGCTCATGCCTCTTCACTAGGCCACACCTCTTACCAGCCCTGTTCTGAGGCCTCTGAAGAGCTTTTGCCCAGATGGAATATATCCTTGAACTGTGATAATGTTCTTGCTTGTGTGAATGGAGGATGGCAATATAGGTGTAGGTGTAGAAGCCTTGGGCATTTGTGTGGCTAGAATGTGGCCTACTGTACAAAAGAAAGAGTTTCATCCATTGTTCCATCCACTGTTTCCCCTGGCCCCACCTTCCACACATTGGGAATGCAGTCTCTGAAAGGTTTTCCATAATGGAATGTAGCCTTTCTACTGAAACGATGCCCCAGCCCTGCATTAGAGTGTATTACAATTTTGAGAGAACATGCAGTTGCAGTTGCTCTGCACACACTTGGTCCAACAATGGTTGTTGACCCATAGACAGCTTCCCCACCTCCCCTTCTCTTCTACTTTCTCCATCATGTCAGAATACTCTTGGGGTTTATTAAACTAAGCTTTCTTGTTGCATCCAAACTGCTAAACTGTGGTTTGATGGTTTAAAGTCTGAGATTAAAACCATAGTTTCCCAGTTCAGATGAAGATGGAAATTCTGGTTTAATAAATCTTGAAAATACTGAATTGCAAAATGAAAGGCTGGGGAGAAGAGAGTGCCTGAGATCATTATGTTTGAACTAGCCCTGAAACTGGATTCAATATTTCATGTTTGATTATAAGTGACTCATAGGTCTGAAAATATTGAAGACTACTGATCTAACACATATCACAGTGGAAACAATGGAGAGTACTCTTTTATTCCTTAAAAAAGGCAACAGAAATCATGAGAGAGATGATAGGGCACCCCACCTGAAAGGAAGTTAAACGTTGAAGTTTTATTTATTTTTTAAATGAATTGCTTCTGGCAGTTAACATAAACACAGCAAGATGAATGTGAGTCAAACTGAAAAGCAAAAATGAACACAAGGCACATTATAGAAGGGCTGGAGAGAGCACAATGCACACATATTTGATTTAGTCCCTTGCACAACTAATTTTATTTCGTGTGAAGCAATTTATAGAATAAACTGATATTTTAAAAACTTGCATTGACTGTGGATATGTTCTAAAGTTAGAAGCATCCCTGGAAAAGTAAAAGAAGTGTAAGTCAAATATGCCTGACTACTGCTGTAGCATTCTTGAACTGCTGCCCATGTAGAGCTCTGTAATCTCCTTTAATGGAGACGTGTTTTCTTTGATAGCAAAGTTTGTTTGTTTGGTGGAGTGAGTTTTAGCCCTCAGATGCTGATTCTTTCCAATTTTATTATTTTGGAAATTTGCAACAGTTGGAAAAATTGTATTACCTTTACTCATCTTCTGATCTTAATGCTAGAGTTTAATCTACTGAATTCATTTCTGATGCTGAGTATTTTAAGTCAAGAATAAGTTGCTGAGCTATTTTAAGCCCAAAGATTGTGAATGAGCACTAATAGGGAAAGTTTCTCAGGAAGCATTTGCTGTGTGTATTCCGGAAGGCCTCATTAGGGAAGTAAATAATTAATTTCCTATGATTGGTCAGTACTGTCTGGCAGGTACTGTCCATCTTCGGAAAGCCAAATTAGGTTACCACTCTGAATTGAATAGCACTGTATACAGCTATCTGTAATAGAACTCTTAGGCTGCAATCTTATATACCAGGGGTTGGAAACATTTTTCAGGCAAAGGGGAGTCCACATTTCCTTATGGTCAACTTTCTTGTCAACCTATGAGGCAGGCAGAGGAAAAAGTGGGTAGAACAGTAGATCTCATCCTTTCTCCATTTAGGCAAGCAAGTGGCATTACCTTGGAAGAAGGACACATTCCAGTCAGGCAAAAGCAATCAATTAGGACTAGTGAGGGCCTTTGAGGAACATTCTTAGGGTTGGTAGAGAGCCCACAGACATTGGCCAGAAGTTCCCCAATCTTGCTTTATACAAAAATTAAATCCATGGTTTTTATATGTATTGATTATTTTGTATCTTTTAATTACTCTCATGAAGATCTGTTATCCTTTAAAAAACAATTTGTGTTTAATCTACAGAAGAATTGTTAATGCAGTTCTATGGTAGTTGGGTGATAGAGTAAAAGACTGCTTTCCATTGCCAACGTGCAATCAGGAGGACACTTTATGGCTCCTAAGTGTGCATAGGCACACTAGATATCTGCCCCACACCTGACACCCCATGTCATGTCAGTTGTGAGGCTGGTGGGTGTGGTTTAGGAATAAAACTACCTTTCCAAGCCAAATCTGACAGGCCAAGTATGGCCTGTAGGCCGCAGGTTGGAAAGGATAGGAGATGTAAGTAGTCCCTAGTAAAACCAGCTAGAACTTGAAAGTGAAATAAATCAGATAAGCAAAATAAGAGTTGTTTGGTCTAGTGAAGTGAGTGTGTGAACCATTTAAGAATGGGAAAAAAGGAAATTCAGCTAAGATTTTGGGCAGGTTGCGGCTAATAAAAACAAAAAATGCTTTTGAGATCTTGTGATGCATCGACTTAGGCAAATGAAACCAGTTGTAGGTTGTCCAGTGTTGAAATGTGTCTCACATTTTTTTAAAGTAATGACAATCTACAAGAGGCCCAAACAGCACCAGTTTTGATTCATGAAGTAAGTAGGACAACTGCTGAGATACTACCAAATTGACCACTTGTTAACAAAGCAGAAATGAAATGCCTTACTAAGAAGCAAAGTCTTATTATTTTAAAGTATGCTACTCGTCAACCAGAATTGGTGTATGTTGCATTTGTTGAGCTCTCATCTGCCTTTGACCTCACTGAATATGAATGATTCTTGAAAAATCTGGCAGTTACTTCTGTGGATAACTGCTGTTTCTTAAGCAGGACTCTAATATTGATGCTAATATTCAAACTGGACTCATGGGCTCTTAGATTCAGTATTTACACCTAAGGGTGTAATACAGTCGTACTTTGGTTCGTGAACGCCTTACGAGTCAAACGTTTTGCCTCCAGAATGCTGCAAGCCCAGAAGTGAGTGTTCCGGTTTGCAAACGTTCTTTGGAACCCAAACATCCAACGGGGCTTCAACAGCTTCTGGTTGGCTACAGGAGCTTCCTTCAGCCAATCAGAAGCCACGCCTTGGTTTCCAAACTTTTTGGAAGTTGAACGGACTTCTGGAACAGATTCCGTTCAACTTCCAAGGTACCACTGTATTTTGTTTATTTATTAAATATGTATATTGTCCTTCATTTGAGGATCACAGGACAGTTTACAATAAAAATACAGAACATAGTAACAAACAAAGAAATACTCATCAAGTAATGGGGAAGAGAGAAAGAAGCCTAGATTTTAAGTTTTTAGCTGTGCACAGGACAGGTCTCTTTCAGGCAATGCCTGCAGAAACAAAAGCAAATAAAAACTTGGGCTCTGTGCCCCTGTTCCCAGCTGACAAGCAGGGTTTAAATCTTGTTTTAGCTGTGATCACCTGTTTCCTGCTGGGAACAGGTGTGCTCAGCCAAGGCACAAGGCAGAATTGAACCCTGCCCTCCCAGCTGATGTCACGGGCCAGAGATTCCCCACCCGTTGTACATAAAGGATGCAGTTCAGGAGTTCTTTTCTTCATACCTACCCACCCCCACAATTGGTAATCAAGAAATTCCAGGGCTTCTTACACAGGTGGCGTGGCTCATTTCCTTTTCCCAAGTAGGTATAAGATTACCTTCCAAATACGGAAGTTCTTGCAAGCAGGAATATGGTGCTTCCCCAAGGATTGATCGGTGTTGTTCATTTTTATTTCATAATTTTCTGGAAGATCAGTCAGATGATTTCAACATTAGATTGTTGCTGGCTAAGACAAGTTTGCTATCTACAGCAAGAAAGTTACACACCTACTTTTTTGACCGTAAAGAGGGTTGAGAGCTAGGCTGCCATGTGGATTTTAAAATGATATGAGGAACAATATTAAATGCTGGCAATTTGTATTCCTGAAAATGTTTAACTTACTCTTGAGGTGTCTTGTCTTTGTGTGTTGCATTCTAATGTGTATTAGCTGCAAACAATTTCTAAAAATCATATTGATTTGGAGGCAACCTATCCCTTCTCTGACTTGCACAAAGTGTGGGCACATATACCTGGTCTGGTCTGCTAACACTCCCCCATAATGTTTGCCATCTTTTACAATCCTGATACTAAGCTCAAGTGCTAAACTGCTGGAGCTCTCTTTATTTCGACTTTTATCTGGTACCTGTATATAGTGGTATAAATATCAGTCTGAGTCATGCAAACTTGCTTAACTAGCCATACCACTATTGTAAATAATACTTGCCCCATATATACATTTGCTGATTCACTTGTGCACTGGGATTTTCCTGTTACAAGATGATTTCTGTATATAACATACAAGATAAGAAGAGAGCTGCATAGGCATTTGCCTTGTCCTTGTCTGGTCATTTTTGGAAATTAGAGAGGGGCATCACTGTGAATTAGAAATTTAAGCACTGGTAAATATTTCAGTTGCATGTAGTCTATATGCTGGAATGATTCCTCACTTTTTCATGTCTATCCCTTGCATGTTGTAGCTGGTCATGAATCAAGGGATGGTGGTCCAGTGTAAATGTAATGCTTAACCATGTCAAAGTGCAATGTAAAGGAGCTTGCTCAAGCATTGGGCTCATGTAGTCCTCCCTGTTTTCCTCTGGTGTGCACCAAAGGCGGAGGTTGAATATACCTTCTTCTGATTTAAACTAAGCGAAGTTTGTGATTACAGTAGACAAATTGTGATTAGTTTAAAGTGTAATTTATTAATATAACTATGATCCAGTCATATTTGAACTGCTACTTTGTAGGCATGATGAAATCTAAAGGCGACCAAATGGTTGGGTTGAAATTGTTCACTTTCCCATTTTGCAAAGCTTCCTGAACAAGAGCAATTCAGAAGTGAATCCCAGATTGAGGATTCTGACAGTATTGGGTAAATAGAAACCAATGTAGAATCCTTTCAATAAGGATCTACAGAAAACTATAGTGCGGAGAGGGAGTTTCAAGGGGAGAAGTGGTGAAAGTCCTGAAGTAAGTTTGGATATAAATATGATTTTATGTTATGGTGTTTATATGCTTGCAATTTCATAGTAACAACATTTTAAGCATTTAAAAATGAACATTGCAAGAAAGCATCTAAAGAAAGACTCCACTGAAAATAATATGGCTACCTTCCACAAGAGAGATGCTTGTGGAAATTCAATGTGATTGCCCGAGTGTACTGGAAATTTTGACTTGTTTTCCAACAAGAGGCTCTCTTCCATCAACTTTTGTCAGTTTTGAAAGTAGTTTTCAATGTGGTGGGCAAAGGGATAACACCTCTTCAAGAAAAGTAAATCTAAAGCCCATCTGAATGTATGGACTTAGTCATGTAGTGCTCTTATCCCTAAAGCTCTAGGTTCTGTAGTAAGGTAACTGCTTACGCAGTCAGAATTCTGCAGATCTAAGCATATGTGGATAGCTTTTATAACTTACAGTATTTGTCTGAATTTGAAATTTTCACGGTTCCCATTTTGCACAGTGGATGTCATAAAGCATATCGTTTCTCTGCTAGACTGTTCCCTGCAATGAATAAATTAGATAAACAGTGCAGATAGAATAGTTATCAAAGCAGTCACTCTGCTGCATTCTGTAGGATCAATTTAGGACTGCAGGGTTTATGTAGTTTTGCTAGCAGGTGGAAATTTGAGGTTCTCATTTTAAATGAAGGTTGGTTCAATTTAGTGCTGCAGTTTTGGAATCCTGATGCTTTCAATTCCATGGTAGTCTGTCTTCATCCTAGGAAGTACCACAGACTTTGATCTCCCTGCTCCTGTTCATTTTGCACTCTATATAAGCTAACACATTCTGCTGGTAAATGACTCATGTATGTGGTTCAGGGGGCGGGGGTGGGGGTGGGGGAACTGATAGAGGATCTTGAGTTTGCAGATATCTTCCAACACTTCTTATAAGAGAGGTATAAAATATTTGGAAGGGCTACAGAATACTAGATCTCTGGCAAATTGCTAAATGTTTAGCTTTACTTTCTGAATATATGCAGCATGGTTTCTTCTGAATTTAATAGCCATTTCAGACAATAGTATAAAATCCTACCTGAACAAAGATAAATACAGTGATAACTTGGGTTAAGAACGTAATTCATTCTGGATGTCCGTTCTTAACCTGAAACTGTTCTTAACCTGAGGTACCACTTTAGCTAATGGGGCCTCCCGCTGCCACCACTGCATGATTTCTGTTCTCATCCTGAAGCAAAGTTCTTAACCCGAGGTACTATTTCTGGGTTAGTGGAGTCTGTAACCTGAAGCATCTGTAACTCGAGGTACCACTGTAAAGTGATAGGTAAAATATGATGGCACATGACATCTAACTGCCAAATCACAATTATGGCCATTACTCTGTATCTTGAGGCCAAATCACAATTATGGCCATTACTCTGTATCTTGTACTTTGCAAATGATGGAGCATTTTGCTGCTCGAGTTTGGGGGTAGGCGGGAAAAGAGAAAGAGGATGCCCAGCCAAGAGGCTAGTCTATCTTGTTCTCATGTCACTGTAGCAGTGCATGGACGAATGTGATGTCCATCTCTCTGCAGAAAGCAGAGTTTAGAGTGCCACTGCGGTCAAGATAAGTCACGAGAGTGAACACATAACATTCAGAAGCAGTTATAAACCAGTTTGCTTTTACATTTGGAAGTTCAAGTCACTGTTTGGGTTCTGTGGTCAGAATAATGGATGTGAGATTACTGCTAGAGTAATCTTTACTATATTTACTTACAGTTGCCTTTTGAACCTTGAGAATTTTATGGCTCTTGCTATATATAGTACTGCACCAAACATTCATGTTCTGCATGTTAACCAACTGTGTTGCTTTAGAAGAGACGTGGGGAATAAATATAATGTTGCATTCTTGCAACTTTCTCCAGGGTAGTTGACCATGAGAACTCTAGGCTTGTAATGGATTGCGAAAGTCTTGTTGTTGTTGTTGTTGTTGTTGTTTAGTCGTGTCCGACTCTTCATGACCCCATGGACCAGAGCACACCAGGCACTCCTGTCTTCCACTGCCTCCCACAGTTTGGTCAAACTCATGCTGGTAGCTTCGAGAACACTGTCCAACCATCTCGTCCTCTGTCATCCCCTTCTCCTTGTGCCTTCCATCTTTCCCAACATCAGGGTCTTTTCCAGGGAGTCTTCTCTTCTCATGAGGTGGCCAAAGTATTGGAGCTTCAGCTTCACGATCTGTCCTTCTAGTGAGCACTCAGGGCTGATTTCCTTAAGAATGGATAGGTTTGATCTTCATTCAGTCTCCTCCAGCACCATAATTCAAAAGCATCAATTCTTTGGCGATCAGCCTTCTTTATGGTCCAGCTCTCACTTCCATACATCACTACTGGGAAAACCATAGCTTTAACTATACGGACCTTTGTTGGCAAGGTGATGTCTCTGCTTTTTAGGATGCTGTCTAGGTTTGTCATTGCTTTTCTCCCAGGAAGCAGGTGTCTTTTAATTTCATGACTGCTGTCACCATCTGCAGTGATCATGGAGCCCAAGAAAGTAAAATCTCTCACTGCCTCCATTTCTTCCTCTTCTGTTTGCCAGGAGGTGATGGGACCAGTGGCCATGATCTTCGTTTTTTTGATGTTGAGCCTCAGACCATATTTTGCTCTCTCATCTTTCATTATATCAGACTTTTAGCATTTTTTTGTGCAGAAAGAAAAATAATAGTTGATATTATTTGAGAACATTGTTGGATACCTGAAACCTGTGGAGACAGATAACTTTTTTTTAAGTAAATGAGCCAATATATTATGTTGCCAAAATATATCACCAAAATTGGCTGTTTGTGGCTTCCTACATTATCTATAAACTATACTGAGGGAAGGAGGGAACATCTGTGGGTGAAATTGGATGGTTATTTGGTGAAGAGGAGAAATTTCTCACAAACATAGTTTAATTTGAGTAATTTTTCACCAAACAAGGGCATTTAGAATAAGCATTCTGAATACTACATATACTTGTATGATTTGCTGCTGAACCACTCAATCATTTGGTAACACTGTGCTAGTTAACATTATGATTGTTGTGCAAGACATACAGTTAGCATGTGTTTAATCTTTGAAATATTACATTAACTTGCCTGAATATATTCAGGGTCCCCCCCTCCCCAAGTTCGTTCATCTTGGATTTTATATTAAGAAAAAACATTTTTACTCTAACAAACATTTTTTTAATTTAGAATTTTTTCAAAATGATATAGAAGGCAGTTGCTGTGTGAGTAATTGACATATTAAGAACATTTTAAAAATTCCACTATTGACTGGGCTCCTAAACATTTCATTGCCCCCACGCCCCTGCGCCCAAATCTTTGGAAATATGAGATCTCTTTTAACCCTCCTGTCGTGATGAAATGTGTATTACTAATTTATAATAGCCAGCATTCAGAATGTGACAAGCATTCAAAGATTGGATTGGCTACACCTCTCCAAATGAAATGTGCATCAACACTTTCCTAGTAATTGATGGAAGCAGTTGCTTTGTAAGTTCTGCAGTGTAAGACCTAGAATAGTACAAGATTGCATGTGATCATCTTTATCTAATAAGACTCTCGTATTTACTAACAGTATGACTTTACATTTACTTAACTGGGATTTGGACTCTAGCTTTTTGTTTAATAGCTGATTGTGTATGTATGAAGCATTTCTACAGGAAAGCACTTATTAAATGCCTAGGTTCTGTGCATGTAGCATCTGAAAAGATTGCAGCATTAATCTAAGGACTTGTTTACACATTTAGTAATACTGGACTAACACCTCAGCACTTCTCAAACCTAATTTGTGCTCTGTGTTCAGAGAGCGGTTGAAGCAAGTTGAAAGAAGGAAGAAGTCTTTGGAAAAATAGGGGACTCTTTCTCATTTTCTGTCATCCTAGTGATAATGTGATTATGCCATTTCTGATATATATATATGGGGTGCCTGCAAAAAAACCCCACTTAATAGTTAAACGTCTCAGGGTGGTGAAGGCATATGATTATATTATAGCATGGTGACTAAAATACCTTGTGGTTTTGATGGGGTAACCAGAGACAAACCTCATACATACCTGCCTCTGTATTCCAGATTCAGTTCTGTGAAAATAATGTTTTTTAATCTTTGTTTCTTCATGGGACATATCTGCTAAATATGCATAAATACATCATTGTTACTTGGATTAATAATTGTCTAAATTCACCTTCGAAACAGTGAAATCTACAAGTATAAGGTGGCAATCTTGTGCGTACTTATCTGGGAGGATGTCTCTTTGAACTCAGTGAGACTTCTGAGAAACAGCTAGGATTGCTGTGTTAGACTATTAGTTTTCAAGCATATCTGAACAGAGTCTGAATGTTTTGCAAATCCAATGGAAATTAAATGACTTCTGTTAAAAATAGGCACATGAAAGGTGTTGTGAAACTTAAACCTGTTACTTTTAAGTGTTGTCAGTCAGTATATAACACTGTCATTGCCCCTGTAGTACATTTTCAAACAAGTGGTCAGTAAAAGGCCTCTTAAAATGAGTATTAGTTTTACAGAGTATTGTGGGCAAAGTCATTAATTAACTGTTGTGCATTTTATTCTTTCTGCAGGGAGATGTGCGAAATATTCTTTTCTCTGAGAGCGTGAGCATTGGACAAAAAGTGGACTATTCGGACACGATGGTACAGCAGAAGTTGGATGAAGTAAAGGACCAAATAAAACGGGAAATAAGGAAGGAACTTAAAATCAAAGAAGGAGCAGAAAACCTCAGGAAGGTCACTACAGATAAAAAAAACCTGGCTTATGTAGACAATATTTTGAAAAAATCAAACAAGAAACTAGAAGAATTGCATCATAAATTACAGGAATTAAATGCTCATATTGTTGTAACAGAACCTGAAGATGTTACAGGTAAGTGAGTGGTTGTTTTTTTTTTTTAATGGAGGTACTTAAAATCATCCTCAACATTTAACCTAGAAGAGTTAGCAGTTAATTTTGTGATGCCAATCCTTCACATACTTTTGGTCTGCTTTTTAAATAGTGAGAGTTATATCAGAATTCACGCAGTTCTACCTGCAGATACATGTGCGTAAAGAGCAGCCACCCCCACTTTCGTTTAACATAGAAAAGCAGCATTAGGAATCTCACTTAGTCCATTGCACATAATTATATTGCTTCTGCATCTTATTCCTCTAAGATGTTGCATAGTAATATGGAAATGAAGTAATTTGTAGCTGCAAATCATAGAAAATATGCTTCTTGTGACACTGCTCAGACTGTGGAATTCCAGTGAAACATTAGGTGAAACAAGTAAGGAAAATTCCTCTTGTGCTAATTCCAGTTTTCTTCTACAGCTTAGTAGGTGAAAAGGAGTGCTTGGATTGAACTTCAGAGAGCCATTGTGGCGTAATGGTTAGAGTGTTGGACTAGGTCCTGGGAGAGCAGGGTTCGAATCCCCTCTCAGCCAAGAAGCTCACTGGGTGACCTTGGGCCAGTTACCATCTCTTAGCCTATCCTACTTCACAGGGTTGTTGTGGGGAGAAGGAGAACCATGTACACCACCTTGAGATCCTTGGAAGATAAGAGGTGGTATATAAATGTAATAAATAAATCTTTCACTCCCTAGCAATTTTTCATAGAAATGAAGTCTTAGTCTTGCATGTGTAGCCCTTTGGCTGCATAGAAAGAAAAATAAATCTTCTTAGTGGCCTGAAAATGCTAAAGTTCAAACAAGCATATTATATTAAAAATAAACTTTTAAAAAATCTGAGAAAATATATTACTGCTAAAGTAATACAGATAGCATCCTGCAGATTAATTTTCAAGGGAAGATACTGCTCATGCTCCTACTATTCACTCATTTTACAGGTGTTTTGAGCAAAATCAGCAGAGATTAACTATGGGTCTAAGTACAGTGTCACTCAGGGACATAAAGTCTTAGTAAAGAACAATGTCTTTTTGCATAGACTGAAAGCTCGGCCTTGTAGTGTTCCTATTTTGTGCAGATGCAGCAGGGAAAAAGGCGGGGTATAGATAAATTTCTCCTCCTCTTCCTCCTCCTCCCCATGGCCATGAGGGGGCTAGTTCTTACTTCCTGCTTTCATTTCCTGGTTCTCCATTGTACTTGGGCAGAGCAGATAGTGATACCTAGGTCTGGCCCTTCCAGGCTTCTGGCTTGTACATGCTCCCCATTTTTGTTCTAGGACCTGCAAGCAGCTCTGCTCTCTTGGGAGCATGAGAAGGTATCCCCAGCACAATGACAGTGAGGCTACTTGGTGCTTCCTCAATCCCAGCGGCTGTGTTGTGAGCTGGGTGTCCTGGGCATGGAACCTCTCCATTCCTCCTTGTATCAGCAGAGATGAGAGGATCGCTGTCTGTTTCCCAGGCAACCAGGTCATCCCACTTCACCCCATCCACCTCTGTAGGCTCTGTTTCCTTTGTGTCAGAGCCAGCTCTTTGTTCACAACATAATGATCTAGGGACGCTTCTGCCATCACCTTTTAAGAATGCTGCTGTTTTCTTCGCGTACAAACAGTGCATCAGCTAGTGGCGGTTCTTATGTTTAGTTTGTGAACTCACAGTCAACCCAGTGGCACGTCTTGGACCATTTGAGGGGTTATTCTTGGTTGGTACGCACATGAAGTCTGCTATCAAGTTTGCCATTCAGTAGACCTGGTTAGGATTTCAACCAAGTGTCCCCTTCAAGCCATACAGATTACTAAAATGTATTATCTTTATATTGGTAATTAATGAGATGCATTGATAAGAACTTTGGGAAACTATTGTTCTTTTGGAGAGTGCTAAAAGGAGAGGAAATCTAAAAACCTGTTATATTTTGGTTTCTCAACTGCAACAATAACAATTTGAAAAACTGATGTTTTTATCATTTGCTAACTTTGTAGCACTTTGAATCATAGCATTAGGCTTCCGCCTTTAAATGAGCACTCCTGTTAGAATGCTATAGAGAATGTAATATTTGCTGCAACTAATTCATTTTGTTAGTAAGCTTCTGAATATAATCCATATCGGAAATGCTTGTCAAAGCATATAGTCATGTTTGAAGAGTTTTACCTTGGTTACAATCCTGTCCTAATTTTCTAGGAACCTATTTCAGCAGCTATTTGAAGAGGAAGATTAGAGGAAGGATTGGCATTTAAGTCTCAGTCATGAGGTAGTTTGCTCAAAAGTGGCAGTGTTGAATCGGCCATTAGGTTCAACAAGTTTTCTGTGGAGATTGAAATTCAACAACATGAAATAAATGTTCTTTCCATGTTAGCATTACCCAAGACTTTTTAGTCAGCTCTCTGTTTTATGTAAATTTGGACTATTCAGTTGAACAGAAAAAGTGTTTTTCATATCTTGTAAGTGTATATTTCTGAAAAGAACAGTTGAATAACACAAAGTACAATAAATAGTGTGGTTGTAACCAGATATCTGGCCATTATTTGTTGGAACCGTTGTTGTTGTTGTTTAGTTCTATGTCCAATATCAAGCACATGCAGACATGTTTTCCAAGAAATATTTGTATTTCTTTCATGCTTCTGAGAATCAGTGGAGAAAATATAGCAGTAGCGTGCGTCTGAGAGAAAAAGGTGCTTCATTTTTTGTCACCTACCTCATGTTTTGTGTTTTATTTATCTGTCTGGATATTTGCTTGATGCATGTCTGTGTACACGTGTATGCATACAGTGAGAAACGGAAAGGAATAACTGGAGAGAATGTTGAAGAACAAATTTTTTGGGAAGGAATGGTAAAAGGAGATACTGCATACCAAATGTGAGATCAAAACAACATGGGCTAATGGACTGTATCTAAGTCATACTCTGTGTACCTCATTGAAATAAATCTATGTATGTTAATGACTAAGTCCATTCATTTCAGTGGGACTTTGAGACATCAATGTTTGGGAAATAGTTCTCTGTTTCACTCTGAATTTAAAGTGGTAAAGTTGAGGGAAAGTGAGCCAAGAGAATAATTTCAAAACACTTTTTCCCTGGCTACAGCATTCCTTCTATGTTGATAGTATCTCTAGATGTGTGGAAGTTTTTTCAAGGTGTTCCCTGTAGTGGACATAATGATGGACACAGTTTTTGTTGGAATGGGAAACTAGTTAATGTTCAGTAAATACATAATCAGTAAACATAAGATTAAGCAAATTGTCACTGGCACCAAAATTATTGTAAAGCAACTAGACAGTTTGTTGATGCAATCCATGGATAGTTTTATAACTATAAAAGCCGCAACTAGTTCTGCTTTTTGATTACTTTATAGTAATCTCTGTGGTAGTTACTACTAACCAAAAAAAATGTTTTTAAATTAGACATTCAGGCTCGCTTATGTCAACCATTCATTCCTTTTCACCAACAGTCACTTAAACATACAGGCACTACTTTTTTTCTTATGCTAGCTCTAGTGTTCTTGGCATAAGAAATGAATTACTTAAGCGTTAGGCACTGTAACCTACAACAAATAGTAACTTGTGCTTACCCAATGTATGTATGTGGAACATAAAGGAGATTAACTGAATCAACATCCTGTAAAGAGAGGGGGGAGAGGATTGGATACACAAATAGAAGGGATATTTTTGTTAATGAAAGTGTTTTGGATTCATCAGATTCTTCCATGGCTAGAAGTCTGCAGGGCAGGAGGGGAAGGGTAGTCATTATGCCAGTGGTTCTACAGTAGTTCTACAGATTCCCGCAGCCCCCCAGAGCACGGGGGATTTTCAATGGGAGAGTTTCATGAGCAGAATTCTGGAACTGAGCCATTATTTATTGCAGTTGACCTTATTCTCAGCTTTTACTGGAAATTCTTTTCCATTATATTTGAAATATATTTGTGAAATACTATATTTGATAAGATCTCTTAGAACTATTATTGGTGAATGGTTTAATTTTGTCCAAGAACTGTTTTCGTAGATCATCAGTTCTCAGTTGGAGTGGAAAAGCTATATACCAGTCACCCAAGACAAGATAGGAAACATGATAGTCTGTGCCTCAGTGAGAAACCATCACCTCACTTTGACATGGATACCAGTTTGTGCAAAATACTGAAAAGTTACTACAATAGAAAGCATGGTAGATATCAGGTGTAATCTTGGGCAAAGATATAAAAGATTTCTTAGTAGAAGTACTGTATGCTTACTAAAATAATTTGGCTAACTGAAATAATTTTATATTAATCTTAATACTTTGACATTTTGCACAGATTGCCCCAGAACTCCAGATACACCGAACAGTGACCCTCGTTTTCCAACTAACAACAGGCTGATGGCCTTAAAAAAACAGTTGGATATAGAATTAAAAGTAAAACAAGGTGCAGAGAATATGATCCACATGTATTCGAATGGTTCATCAAAGGTAAGACTTATGAAAAGCCAGTTAAATTTACCAGTTTGCGTGCGAATGGTGCTTTTTTTTCAGTTGAGGAAGCCGCCCAGAGTGGCTGGGGAAACTCAGCCAGATGGGCAGGGTAGAAATAATAAATTATTATTATTATTATGATTATTATGATTATTAATCTTGGGTAAACCAAAGAGTGGTGTGGTCATTTAGAAGTAATTCATGTATGATCTCAATAGGCTATCATTCGTGCATCACATTATTTGAAAAACAAAAAAATGTTGGGGAGTTTGCCACATTCTGAAAACCTGATATTATATCACTACCCGATATGGGTAGTGTGACAAAGTGCCTTGTAGGAAAATTCATCATATGCTGCATTAAAACAAAGTTTCTAAATGCATTTTGTTGCCAAGCAAGGCAGCAAAATCTTTTGTTCACTGGTTGAGTACGTGCTTCTTTTGAGAAGATGTGCCAACTGAACATCTTCTCGGATTATGCTGTAGCTTTTTATTTTAAAAAAACAGCCTTCGCCCTTCCCATTCTTACACTTTGGAAGCGCTACATCTGTCCCAAGCCCAGGAATAGTGCTCATCAGCAACCCTAACTTGGAACCAGGATGTTGGCATGTGGCGAAAGAACAAAGAAAATGCAGATTACCATAAGTGATCTGAATGGATTGCAGAGACTCAGAGTTGGCAGTTTGAATTGCTTCCTGATGGCTCCCTGACCTTTTTGAAACTCAACTTGTAGCTTTCTAAGCACTGTTTCAGTTATACATATGAAATTACACTGTTAATCTTACTACAGCACTTCTAACATGGAGGGAAGCTGTTTCTTCCAAGCTCCTTTCCATTACTTCAAATATTTAAAAGCCTTATTTTCCCTTACAAGCTCTACCATGTGTGTGGATAGTTTTGTCATATATTTTATTTGAAGAAACATCTTCCACATTCTCTACTGGCAAACAAATGCAAATGACATTATGGTGCAAGTCCTTAACTTTGGGGATCAGGGACTGCCGATAACAATTTCAAGGGCTTGCAGAAATTCCAGTCATGAATTTATACAGTCCACGTGACATTACAATCAGTACAGGAGCCCTTTGATGATAAGCAATGTGTTGCAGAGTACAGTAGTGCAACATTTTAGTTTTGCGAACTTTGAATTGTTCCGCAGTACAGCAGTTCTGCATGTTGAAAGCTTCCACTCAAGTCTCTTGGGTTGCTGGGATCTACTTTCCTATTAAAACTTTATTTTTAATACTCTGCCATCTTCTGCAAGGGTCTGTGATAGGTTAAAATATATAGCAGGAAGAAAGAAATTTAAAGAGGCAGTAATAGAGTATTTGATGCAAAGTTCTGACAAGTGGGTAAAACATAAATTGAGGGGGAAATACAATGGAGGAAGGAAACAGCAAAATGTATTACACAATAGTCGCAAAACTGTGATTTCTGAATCGCCTTGAATTTGTCAAAAAAAGACAACACAAGCTGCTGTTACTTGGATGTCCCTCCATAATTCATATTTTAAGAGCATCTTTATTTTCTTTTTAGGATAGAAAGCTTCTTGCGACAGCTCAACAGATGCTTCAGGACAGCAAGACAAAAATTGAAGTTATAAGGATGCAGATACTTCAGGCAGTCCAGACTAATGAACTGGCTTTTGATAATGGTGAAGCATTCAAGAGAAGAACATTCTCTAAACTGTTGATAGAATCTTGGATAGGATCTTGCCTTCCCCCTCAACCCTGGGGAAAATTCTAAATCCCCATGGTTGGCAATCCAGCCCCACTCTGTGGGAACTTCTCTGGCTTGCCCAACTCTATCAAAAGTGGGTGTGGGATAGTGCATGCTGCTCTACATCTGTATTGTTTCATCTCTCCCCAGAAGAAGACCTGATCTGTACAGGACACTTGCCACATGGAAAGCCCCAAATTGTAAGCTTTCCACAAATGCCTAGTCACATTTTAAGTGCCCTTCCCGGATGTACTGGCTCATTCACATGTAAGGTTAGAAAGCTAGCCATTAATAGCCTGGCTGAGTGGTGCCTTTGGCCTGCTGTACAATGGGTCATCGCACATGGTAAATTAATTTAAAATGTGACCAGGCATGCATGGTGCACTAGCAAAGGCTTTCTGCATGGCCCGTGCCCTTCATAAATCTTGTGTTAGAAGCTTGTAATGGAATATGGGCACCAGATTTCCCATCATCTGCAGCCAGACAGAATTGAAGACTCCCTCAGTGTGTGAAATGCTAGGAGAGTGGGTCTTGTGTTTTCTCCATGAGGAAATGTAAGTGAAAGGGCAGAGGATATAATTCAGAGAAGAAAAGGAGGATGGATGGGTGGAGGAATGGGAGTCAAGAGAAATCCATGCTGGGCCACAAACAGAAGAGTGCTAAGGAGTACAGAGAGAAGTAGTGGAGAGATACCATGAGAGCGAACAACTGTTGAGATAGTAAGCAAACCAATGGTGGTTGAGAAAGGTGATACCACACATAGAAAATAGAAAGGGGGCTCATGGAATAGGCTGCAGAGCAAACCAAGTTGATTGTAACAATTTGAGTAAAATAACAATGTGGCCCACTTCACTTAATAAAAATGTAAAAGACCCTCAGAGTGAAATGAGTTGTGCACTCCAGTTCAGTAGCACCAACAGAAAGGTTGCAACTCCTGCCCTTTTTGCTGAGAAAATTGTGAGCATGAGCTAAAGGTTTGAGAAGGAAGTGAACTATAAGAACTTACATGGCTGCATTAGCACATAACACTCAGCCATGGTTTTGCCTTACATTCACAGGCTGGAAAGAGGCTGACTGAAGTCTCAGGCTTGCATGCTCTCTTCTCTTCCATTGTGGGCGGGAGAAGACCTTGCCAGTGTTTTGTTTCAGATTCCTTGCGTGCAAGCTAGGGATTTTGAGTTTATCACAAATTCTGGCCATTTTCAAAACAAGCCAATTTCAAAGCACGGTCTACGAAGCTGCGTTGTTTAACCAACACCAGCCACGTGCAGATTTGGAGATTACCCAGCAAGGTGGATATTGTCTCGACAGTCTTCATGTGGAGTTGGAATCCCATGACACCATGCAGCTACCCTAAAAAATATGCTGCAGTGCTATCAGTTGTTGCATGCAAAAGGACCACTTGGTTTCAGGACCACAGGTTTTCCTGAGGTCTTCACATTGGCAAATGATGTGTTTTTGAGAATTGTAACCTAAACTTAACATCTCACTTCTTTCACCAACTAGGCTAGGACTTTTAATTATTTCTGGTTGTTGTGGTCAAAATGTTTAGCAGTTGTTTGTATTAAGATAACCATATTAAAAAGCTAGCTGAATGCATACTAAATATCTGTGTGTGTATTTTTACCTGCAGCAAAGCCTGTTATAAGCCCCCTTGAGCTCCGAATGGAGGAACTGCGACATCATTTTAGGATAGAATATGCAGTAGCAGAAGGGGCAAAAAATGTTATGAAGTTGCTCGGATCTGGAAAAGTTACTGACAGAAAAGCACTCTCAGAGGTAATTTTAACAGAGTAAATAAAATCTGAATTTAAACAGTTCTATTTCAATAATTTTCTTAGCGGATTTCTTTTTTTTTTTTTTCATGAACAAGGCTCAAGCAAGATTTAATGAATCAAGCCAGAAGTTGGACCTCTTAAAGTATTCACTAGAACAGAGACTTAATGAACTCCCTAAAAACCACCCCAAAAGCAGTATTATTATAGAAGAACTTTCACTTGTTTCGTCACCAACACTAAGTCCACGTCAAAGTATGATCTCTACACAGAATCAATATAGTACACTATCCAAGCCAGCCGCTTTAACAGGTTTGTTGTTGTGTTCTTTTTTCTGGAAATGTTGTTTGTTTTTGTTTCTGTTTGCGCTAATTGCATAATTGTGAGTATTTCAGTTGCTGACTAACCTCAAACTTCTAAGTAGTGGCTTGCATTTATGTTGGTTAAGAAGATTCTTGCGGTTGGTGCTTTTAAGAGGCGGGTCTTGCTATTCTAGCACAGCAAAACCCAAAGGATTTTTGTAATCGGAATTGGCAAATTAATTAATATTAGAGACTTTTAGAGTTGTGTCCAACTCTGTGTGTGCAGTGGTCTGCTTGCACAACGGGGCTTCTCCTTTCTCCCCAGGAACCCCAAAATTTTCTCCTCTGGGACATATTTTGAGGGTATGGGGGGTGGGGCACAGGGGAGAGGGGGGAAGTTGTGTTGTCCAAGCAGAAGTATGTTGCATGAGACTTGTGGATTGCCAAGCATTGGATCCAACCCCTTGTCCCAACATCTGATCAGGCAAAGGATTTCAGCCCCCCACCCCTCAAGCCAATTCCTGGGACCCACAAAGTCCTACTATCCACTAGCAGAGTCTAACACAGAATTTAGAAGCCCTTGATATGATGCTTTTAATACCCCCAAATGCTTTGAGAACATCTGCTCCATTATTCCTCGCGTTACACTTTTAGGTGACGTGGGGGGTTGTGGGCTCTCACTGGTCAACCATCAGACATGGCAGTAGAGATGAAGTATGGTCATAATCACATGCAACTGAGTTGTGATGGAAATTAAGTTTTTCCTAAAGGGAGATTTCTACAAAGCATTAAGACTTTGCTAATAACGTGAAGAGAGAATTGCAAATAGCAGCAATGTATAAAAATGCATCTCCCATTTACTTGTGCTAATGGGTTTTCTAGATTAAAGTAATTAAATATAAGAAATTTAAGAGTTAGTATTCCACAAGAATAAACGTCTGCACAGGGGTTATAGAAGTTGAGACTATATAGTCCAACAGTTCCTCTTGACAGCCTGTGTGCGTGTCTGTAATTGCAGCACTTCATAAAGAAAATAAATTCCAAGATATTTCGTATGCTTAATGAAGATCTTAAATACATCCCTGCAGATTTTATTTGCTAACTTGAAGCAGGTGTTGAATAAAAACTCTGTTCCTAATATGTTGTTTACTAAATTATTTAATAAACAACCAAATTAGAAGCACGAGCACAGCTGTTAGCTTGTGTTTCCCAAAATGACTTTAGTTTTTAAACTGAACTTGTAGCAGAACTAGCTTGTTACATACGTAGTCCTGCGCACACAATCTGTCCCTTGCCAAATAAGTTCACATTGAAAGTTCACATGTAAGTCAAAGTTGAAATGGTAAAAGTTGATTTGCATTTTCCTTACAAAATTAATGTTCCTTTTTACTGTATATGTGTTAAAAGTATGATGGGTGGTATTCAGCTAATTTTTACTCGGTGTAGGCCTATTGAAATTAATGGGTTTAGCTTAATCTTGTTAATTTATTTCAGTTGGTCTACTCTGAGTAACACTCGGTTGACTATCCCCCAGTGTGTAAGGTAGCATTTCCTAAACTGTTGCCCTCTAGAAATTTTGGACTGCAATTCCCATCAACCCGTTGGCCAAGGATTTATGGGAGTTATATCCAGCAACATCTAGAAGGCCTCACATTGAGAAAGGTGATATATGAAAACAAATGTATGTTTCGAAAGGCATGGATAGTGCTGTGAAACTTGTGAAGGTGTGCCAGGGAAACATTTGATCAGGGTACCCTGCCACCCATATATATGTATGCTTGTTTTTCATGGACATTGTGTGAAGCAGCTCTTACATTGTGGCTAGCTAAGAAATAAGGTTTGTGCTTTTAGATCGTCTCCACAAGACTGAAAGTTTGTGAGTTACCTGTCCTGCTACCATTCATGAGCTATTTGTATTTGCTGAAGCTGGTGTTTTGATAGGAATATGAGCCAAGGCAATCTGATTTCATTCTAGGTACTTTGGAAGTTAGGCTCATGGGCTGCCAAGATATTTTGGAGAATGTCCCCGGTCGATCAAAAGCCACATCCATTACTCTACCTGGATGGAGTCCAAGTGAAGCCAGATCATCTTTCATGAGCCGAACAAGCAAAAGTAAAAGTGGGAGTAGTCGGAACCTCCTGAAAACTGATGATTTGTCCAGTTCAGTACATTTTACCTTTGCTTTTATCTTCAGAAAACACTTTCATGAAGCCTTTTAGTAAGAGTAGATACATGTAAAATTGGGTTATTAGTAGTTCTTCTTAACAGGGGTATACTCAAGCACATCAGATCATTCAGGCTGAGGTCTTGAACAAGTTTCCTGTTTCGGAATAGGACCGTGAATGCTAAAAAATATTAAGTAGGTTGAAAAGTACACTGGCTTGGGAACCCTGAGAACCTGTTTCTCAGGGGTGCTGCCACATAAGACACTGCTGAAGCATTCCAGAGCATAGCAGGAGCCCTGGTGCCAGCTTCCATCACCACTGCCAGGCACATTGGTGAGGAAGGGTGGAGGGAGGCTGCAGCAGCAGCAGGGAATACTGTCACCAGTGTCAAGTCCTTTATCAGCGAAGGGTTGAACCCCATTCACAATGGATTGGGAAACTTCAACTGGTGGGAGTTTCAACTGGGAGAGTGTGTCAACATTCACCATTCTTTAGCAAGGGTAAAAGAAGCAAAGACATTAAACATAAGACATTTAAAATAATCGTAAACTTAACAGTAGCCACAGTTTCTTGCAGCTCGTCATGTTTGTATTTGTTTTTCCATTCCAGACATATAACCAGTCCTTGCATGTTTTGCTTGTTTTACTTCTTGAAAATCCTCTTAAAGTTCTAAGCTGAGTTTGTGTAATTTTCTTACAGACGAAATCTGTGCTGTTTTGAAGTTGGACAATACGGTGGTTGATCAAACTAGCTGGAAGCCTATTTCCAATCAGTCATGGGATCAGAAATTTACACTGGAGCTAGACCGAGTAAGGACCTCTTTATTGTGTTAACAGTAATTACCAGCTTGGTAATTTTATGTTTATTTATCTGTATATATATACACGGAGAGGTCCTAGCTAGGATCTGAAGTTTTGTGTTTTTTGCTGCCCTGCTCCTTCTGGTCCTTGAAAATCCACTTCCGAGTTCTGGGGTATTACTTGAAACAGGATGTTATGAGGCACTGAAATCTGCAGCAAGGCGACTGGGGGAGTCATCAAAAATTTGAGAGGGCACTTGTATAAGCAGAAGTGCATCCCATCCTATAGGATTCTAAGTCTCTGTATTTTGTAATAAATCCCCCACTATTGGTGATTTATGGCTCTTATCTGTCAGCTTCTTGAGGAAGAAGAGCGAATGTAGACTTCAATGAGTGATAAACAATATTTCCTTCAGTTAAATTAATTATTTCAATAGACCTGAAAGTAGATACAGTCATACTTCGGGTTACAGATGCTTCAGGTTGCATTTTTTTCAGGTTACGGACCTGCCAAAACCCGGAATTACCAGAACAGGTTACTTCTGGGTTTGGGGGGTTGCGCATGCGCTGAAGTGCTAAATCGCACTTCGTGCAGAATCACAGAATCGCAAGTGCGCAGACGCCCTTCTGCGGGTTGTGAACGTGCATCCCGCACGGATCACATTCGCAACCCGAGCGTCCACTGTAGACTGGAAAACAACAAAGCTCTGAGATCTAGCCAATAAAGTTTTATAACAAGTCAAACAATTATTCTTAAAACAACAACAACAACAACAAAATTCTTCATTTGCTATTTTCACAGTCTGCCAGTTGCTTTAATGTGAGAGGGTGAAAGAAACTGACATTTGGCCAATGAATAAGATTTCTTCCAAAGTTAAATATATACCATATTCTTCCAGAATATTATTCTGAAAAATACAGCCCATTAATTATATATATAAAAAAATTAAATCAATTGAACTGATTTTGAAGTTAATATCCCAACTAATTCTTTCTTCAGGAATGAGATTTAAGCTAAAATGTGTGGGGTTCAATTCTGGGCAACAGAAGTGTATTTTAAATTCCTTTGAAATCAGTGCAGTTTAAGCACTTGAACTGAAGGCTTGTTAATATTTTTTAACTTTCTGGAATGAATACATGCCATGAAGGTGGTCTTAAGTGTTGGGGGTAAATTCACACATGCAGACTATTTGTTTCCTTAGGCAGAAACAATGCAAGTTAGTAAATGGAGATGGCTTGAAGCACTGTGATAACGGAAAATTATTCCATTTAATAGGATCCAATGATAGCAGGGGATTTTGTGGAGATTGGGAGAGCCCATTTATATTTGTGAATTGAAACAAAAGAATTATCTGTGTCTGATTCTCCTTCGTAGGTTGTTGTTGTTGTTGTTGTTGTCAATAAACACTGACGGAAATGCCTAAGAAATTTCTAAGCAGTGTACAGTTATTTAAAAGCCTACGTGTTCCCTTTCGCAAAAGGGAAAAGCATGGCTGATGGATGGGGCCATGTTGGTCTTTAGCATGCTCTTGGGGGGCAAGAGGTGCAGCCTCCAGTAGCCCAAAGCTTCCCTTGAGCTTTGTGGTCCCAGAGCAATTGACTTGTGGAGCCAAGTGCTCATTCTGGCAGGGAGGAGGGAATCTAGCTCCCTTCAGCTGTTCCTTCTCTGACTGATGGATGGGGACAGGCTCAACTCCCCCTCTGCATGCCTCTCTTCCTGGGAGGCAGGAGGTGCAACCTCTTGCTGACCCTTGGTCCCCTGACCGACAGCAGAGGCCAGAGTGTTCTTCCCTTCAGCACTGTCATCCAGGCTATATATTACAGAAGTTGCAGGAGTTTCCTTTTATCCGCGCCTGTGACTGCCAGTAGTAAATCATTCCCTTTCAGCCTACCTAGTGCCACACTGAATTAAGCTACCTGTAGTGTTTGTTCTGCATGTATGGGTATTGTTTCAAGTGGTTATGCAAGGCAAGAATTTCGCCTTGTAAAATATATATATTTTCACGGCTCATCTTTCATAACATGGACTGCATTAGAATAAACGTTGTTGACTCCGTATGCGGGTATTTTGATAGTAGCAATTTTAAATTGGAACACGCTTTCCAAAGGGCCTTGTAAAACCCTAGGTTCACCCTGAGCACTGTTGCAGTTGGGGGAGGGGCATGGTGCAGCGGTGGTAGAACACAGGTTCAGTTTCCAGTATCTTGAGGAGGGGCTCGGATCGATCCCTGCCTGAAACCCTGTAGGTCCATGGCCAGTCAAGTGTAGAGAAAATTGATTTGGACAGATTAATGGGGTCAGCAACCTAAGGCCCATGGGCTGCTTGTTTAACCGGCCCATGGACCGCTGCCACCCGCTCGGTCGGCTCCCGTGCGCTGCGCTAAACTGGCGCGGAGCACAGCGGGTACCGCCTTCCCCTATGCTGGCCAGCTTCCCATTGGCTGCAGGAAGCCCCTGCAGCCAATGGGAAGCTGCGCACACCTCTGCGCCAGAAGGAGCACCTGAAATAGTGTGTGCGTGCACACACACACACCCCGGCCCACCGTGGCGTCTGTGGGACCATGAACCGGCCCAAGCCACAAAAAACTTTGCCAACCCCTGGTCTGACATGGTATAAGGTAGCTTTCTGCATTCCTATGGAATGCTTCTGGGCACTTGTTAATGCCCATTCTTTTATAGGCATGTCTTCCTGGCCAGTTCATATGAAGTAAGTGAAACATGTATACAGAGTCAGCAGTGTGCTTCCCCTCCCATGCCAGAGTCACCAGCTCCCATAGTGAGGTGGTGCTGGGGAGGGAATGTGTACACTATTTACTTGTATGGAATGTAGCACCAAGAAACTAATCTGGTTAGTTCAAGGATTTAGACGTGTGCAACGGAACTCCCCTTTCTTCTTCCCCCATGCCCCCGCCCACCCGCAATCTTTTCTGGGGTTTTGCCCAATCCTCCAGAGCAGATTTGGGAAGGAAATGGCGAGGGTTACAGGGGAAGTTCCATTTCACAAGCATAAACGCACTTATGGAGTGAGTGTATTGGATACAATCTTTAGAATTGTAGCAGCTGCACAAATTAACATTGTCTCCTCAAATCCCTTCAGTCACGTGAATTAGAAATTTCTGTTTATTGGCGTGATTGGAGATCTCTCTGTGCGGTGAAGTTTCTGAGGTTAGAAGATTTCTTAGACAACCAGCGACATGGAATGTGTCTCTATCTTGAACCCCAGGGTACTCTATTTGCAGAGGTAAGTGCCAACGTTTTTTAAAGAAAATTATTAAAGGCTGTGAATGATTTCCAAGATTCATTGTTTTGTGATTTAACACATCTTGTCTGAATTGCAGGTTACATTTTTTAATCCAGTTATTGAAAGAAGACCAAAACTTCAAAGGCAAAAGAAAATTTTCTCCAAGCAGCAAGGTAACAGATTTCAGCGAATCCGTGTTGTATCTTAATCTTAATACAGGCTTATATTCTCAAAAGTTAACTGAAAAGGATGCTGACGCTAAACATCAGAATTTCGTGTAAAATTATTTGTTTATAAATTGTAGATAGGGCTTTCAAAAGTGAAATCTGTTTGTAAAAAAGAAAAAAAGCAGGAAAATGTGGAATATGTGACATGTTCAGTGTATTCATCACAAATAATAAACTAATGAATATGAATTCTCTTTTAATTATAGCTTTTGGTGATAAGTAAAAAGATTACTTGTGCTCTCTGTTTTCTTTAACCACAGGCAAAACATTTCTCAGAGCTCCTCAAATGAATATTAATATTGCCACTTGGGGAAGGCTTGTGAGAAGAGCTATTCCTACAGTAAATCATACCGGCACCTTCAGCCCTCAAGCTGTGCCTGCCGCAGTTGCAGGAGTTGATGCGCACATTCCTGAATTAAGATCACCAACTAGGTAAGTGGCTGAGATGCTTAGGCAGGCTTATATGGCAAAACTCCTGTGATGTAGAAGGAAACACAAGCTTATTTACTCCTCTTGAATTTCCTTCTTCCGGTTTTAAAAAGAGAAAAGTATCAATTAGCATGAAGTATTTTTTAAATTTTTCTAAATTGTCGCCATGCTCACCAAGTGAATTGCTTTCTTTTAAGTGACTCCCCTGTAGCCAAACTGGTGTTTGAACTTGAACCCGAACCCCCACATACTCCTCCACGTGCGTCTTCTCTTGGAGAAATTAGTGAACCTTCGCCTGAGCCAAAGGCTCCACCTACACCCACTCAGGCAAGACTTCTAATATAGATTTAAAACAATAGCACAAATTGTTGTGTCTAGGTTTGTGAGAAATGTGACCTACAAATAGGACATGTTGTATTCTTGATTTGTTGTTGTTTTATCGATGTCTTTACTTTTTAATAATTGGTTGCTATGCAAAGCATTCTGCAGCTGATCATTCTGTGTGCAATTTTCTCAACCGAGTTGCGTAATAGCTTAAAGCGTTCTTATAATCGGGTCATGACCTCTCCTTTTAAATAACTGCTGAACTGCAAAAACTCGTTTGCACCCTACTAGCATTTGAGGTAGTAGATACTTGACCAAAGAAGTATTTGAAGTTAGAACTTAACCAGAGAACTGTCAACAAGCATTTAATGATCAACAAGTCTCACAGGTTCTGAAAACCCTGCCAAACCAATAAACATTTGTTAAGACTTCTTAAAAGAAGCAGGGATGGACACTGACATGTTTCACTGACAAGGCCTCACTCTTTGTGTTTCTTCCCTCCCTCTAAAGATGGCATTCTAAACAGGGTTCCCCTAAGTCCCTGGCACATTGCTTGGGATTGTTCAAATACAGAAAGAAGTAGTCTTGTCTCCTAATAAAGAATCTTACAGTCCTTTTCAAGCACTTGAAGATCAATGTTGTGAGACTTTTGTGGGTGAGCGGAGAGTTTGCTTGGACCCTGGGTGAAAACCCGGAGGTTGAGTATCAAAAGGAAAATAAATGGATATTGATTTGTATATCTTAGCAACTTGGTGTTATTGTAACATTTTATATGTAACTGTGTGTTTTTGTAATATTTTGTTTAAGTTGTTTCTTCAGTTTTTTTGTATACCGCTTAGATATACTTGTAACATACTAAGCGGTATATAAATTAAACAATCAAAATCAAAATGTGTTCTTAAACCAGGTTTAGAAATACCCAAATGCCAGGTTGCCTTTGGCTAGGAAGAATTGATTGCAGGTGTCCCAGTAATACATGGAAGAGGGTTTGTTTATTTTTCTTCAACTTCATTTATGTGGGAAACATGAATATGTGTAGGGTAGCTTGTATGACAGCATTCTTAAACCAGTTCTTAGACTGGTTCCTCTGTGCTGTCTTTGCAGGTCCTATCACAAACAGTGCAAGAGGTTTAGCAAATAGATATAGTTTCTCGAGGGCTCTTTTAGAAGGCATTTGAATCAACCTTGAGATTCTGAATTCCAAAATTCTAAATTTAAGACCTACTGCTGTAACATTACTCTTCTCCAATTTCTAGCAACTTTTGTTTTTTTAAATCTTCAGATTTTTTTTCTTCTACACATTTCACAGGATGCAGAAACATTTGATTTTGAGAATGACAGAAATAATTTTGTCCCCAAACTTCAGCCGGAAATTATTTGCGAGACTCAAAATTCAAATTCTGATATAGAATATAATATACGAGAGCCCGAAGATAGAAGGTAAGTCCTCTTTTATGTTAACTTGATGTATAACTCTACCCAACACTGAGTAGAAATTGTCACTTACTTTTTTAAAATTGCTGTATTTCAGAATACAACAGAGATTTCAATTCAGTTTGCAAGACTTCCGGTGTTGTGCTGTACTGGGTAGAGGACACTTTGGAAAGGTATGTTTGACAGCTAAAATTACAATATTGTCTCTTTCCACATCTGGTTTTCCCCCTTCCTTCCTCTTAGCCCACTTCCCTTTGCAGCTGCCTGTTGCATTTCACTATGTGCTCAGTAATAGGCTTGTTGATTTATCACAGCTTTGAAGCTTTTTAAATGTATACACAACAGTTGCGAGTTTGGAACATAAAATGTAATTGAAAGCATGCAAATTGAGTATTATTTTGTGTTTCAGGTCCTGTTGGCTGAATATAAGAATACAAATGAAATGTTTGCCATTAAAGCCTTAAAGAAAGGAGACATTGTTGCTCGTGATGAAGTAGACAGGTCAGTGTGAAGGACAGGTGTCGTTAAATCTGAATGTGCCCTAAACCCATGGACCAAGACTACTACTTTGAGTGGGGCCAAGGGCTTGTATTTTTAACATTTTTTACATAATTTATTTCAGGTCTGCAGAAACTAATTTCATTTCATAAAAAAATAGAAAATACTCGTTAAGAGTTTTTATAACAGGGCATGTTATGATCCTGCCATATAACCCAAAATTTTTCCATGTTTCATGTCTTAGGAGATGGTGCCACTGTTCAGAACTCAAACTCAAAGCCCCATTAATGTATAAGACTAGTTGTGCAGCTCTTTAGATCTTGATCATGGGCTGCTGTAATTGCCAGATTTTGAAACCTGACCCTTAAACACACATACTTGGAAGCATCTCCGGTAGAACATAATTACAAGTAAATGTAGGATGACAGTGAGTGCTTGGGTCAGTAAGAAATAGTGCCCAGCCTTTCCTTGGGTTTTATGCCTGTCAACCTTCTCTCTCTTTCTCTCTACACGAGGGCATGCACATATTGTGTAGTTGTTCGTCATTCATTGTTAAGCTGCTGTGCTTTTTTTATAAAAAAAAATTATCACATTAGTATCATACCCCTTGCAAGAACTCAGCACTGTTGTCATTTACCACATATTACCAAAAAAGTCCTGATGGCCTTTCATGCTCTTGCTACCTGTGGGTCACTGTCATTACAGTGGACCCTCTGGTTACAAATTTAATTTGTTTTGGGGGTTGGTGCGCACCCCAAAAAATCCGTAACCAGAGGCGGCGCTTCTGCGCACACGTGCGGCGCAATAGAGCACTTCTGCGCATGTGCAAGCGGCGAAACCCAGAAGAATACACTTCCGGGTTTGTCGCTTTTGCAACCCTAAGATTACGTATCCAAAGCGGTACGTAACCCGAGGGTCCACTGTATTAATTGCAGTAAGTTCAGTATTTCTGCTGGAAGCCTGCGGTTACCGTGGCCTCATTGCAGTTAGGCTTTCGCCTTGCGGGTTAGAGCATGGTGCTGATAATGACAAGGACTTGGGTTTAATCCCCGTTTTGGTGCGTATTCCTTCATGGCAGGGGGGTTAGACTAGATGACCCATGGGACCCCTTCCAGCTCTTAGGATTTTGTGCATGTATCCCTTCTTGGAGCCGTCACCCATGTAATGAAGATAAATAGTTGATCCAACCTCATAAGACATTTCTGCTTTCAGCCTCATGTGTGAAAAGCGAATTTTTGAAACTGTGAACAGCGTAAGGCATCCCTTTCTGGTGAACCTCTTTGCTTGTTTCCAAACCAACGATCATGTGTGCTTCGTAATGGAGTACGCAGCTGGAGGAGACCTCATGATGCATATACACACGGATGTCTTTTCCGAACCAAGAGCAGTGTAAGTAACAAAAGGTATATTTTCAGGCTGTGGTGTAAATAAGTTGGGTTTGGTGCTTGCCGTGTGAGAGAATACTCTGCAGGGCCAGTAAGACATAGTAACACTGTTCCCCTGCCAAATGGTTGGGAACCACCTCATGTTTCAGAACTCGGTTTAAAGAAAACCCTAGTTAGTCTTAACTGTGGTTAATCTCATGCACCCTAACTGCAAGGGAGAGGAAATTTTGCTGCTGAGAAGTTGTGTCTGCATATAGCCACACCAGCTTATAAATGTTGTATCATACGTCCCTTAGGTACATGGCATGTAGCTCCTGCACCCAGTTGACTTATGCTAGTGAAATCTGTGTAGAGCTAATGGAAGCCGGCAGAGCTTAGGTTGGGCTTGTACGGCATCCTGATGGATTTAGGCAATTCCTGTCTGACTGCAGGGGGCATAATTGGCTACAACAGGACTTTCAATTGACAGACAGTATCCTAACACGCACACCTGCTTCATCAAGGGAGCTGTTCTAGTTGTATCAGCAGATGCTGCTTTCGCTCGCTGATACCTGCCAGGTAGAGGTTCATGACATAGATGCCGGTATTATACTTTTTGAGGAGTACAGGCAGAAAGCTTTATAGCGGGTCAGACTGTCCTGTTTAACGCAGTATGATCCACTGGGTCCCAGGCTTTTCCCACTGCCTGCTGTCTTACCTGTTCCTTGTGAACTGGAGAACCACAGATTGAGCCTGTGACCTGCTGCATTCAAACATGTCCTCTGCTACTGAGGTGTGGTGCTCTTTTTAATTAAAAACTTAGAAACCCATATTCAAAATAAATTAGCCTGAAAAGACTTCTCTGGTGGTACTGAACGTTGCTCTGAAGGTTTTCTGGTCGCCTGTTTTTCAAAAGTTATCCTTTGTAGAAGTATAAAAAATGCAACATGTCAGTTCTCCCCTCTTTATATTTCTTTACAAACAGGTTTTATGCTGCATGTGTGGTTCTTGGACTGCAATATTTACATGAGCACAAGATAGTTTATCGGTAAGTTTGCATAAGATTTAGATTTTTGTTTCATTTCACATTCTTATACGTTTGCCTTATATACCATGCTTGCTCAGATATATTAACAATATTACCTCCTTTTTCATGTGGCAAAGAGGAGGACAGCTGCATTGGGTGTTTATATAAACCTGCATGCCACTTCGAAACACCTTAAATTCAGAAAGGATAATAATTTTGAGTATTTGCAGCTAATACTTTCCCTGTATAGTTTGTCTCCATTAATGGTCAGAATGAGTTGTTTTTAATTTCTTTTCTGCAGAGATTTAAAGCTAGACAACTTGTTGCTGGATACAGAAGGTTTTGTGAAAATAGCGGACTTTGGCCTCTGCAAAGAGGGTAAGCTTTTTCAACAGTATTTCTCAGTGGCTTATAATAGCAGTCGGGAATTTGCAACACACTTTTATCAATTACTGCCTCAGATTAAAAGTGGTAGCCCCTCTACTTCCCCTTTCCACCTCTCCCCTCCCTTCCCCCACCCTGTCTCATTCTGAGTGCTGCACAGATTGTGGATTAGAGACATCTCTGCTCTCTTCCATATGGTGTTGGGGGAGGCATTGTTAATGAACATGTGAATTTTTTCCCCTTTTAATCAATTAAACAAATCACAGATTTAGAGTAGCTCTTTGCCATGTCCTTTGGGCAGTCCCCGAAGAAAGAGTTCTGTGCTGAGCAACATTTGGAACCTTCTGGTAAAAACTCCAAAATGTGGGTTTTTGCCAGTAAGGGTGCAGTCCTATGCACACTAACCTCAGAGTAAGTCCCATTAAACACAGTGGAACTTATATGTATAGGATTGCACGGTAAAAGGCCTATTGTAATTTCAAAAGAATATATTGCAAAAGAAATGAAAGATGACATGTCTTTCAAAACACAGTTTTAAAAACTAACACTTTTTTGTGGCATCAGTTTTCATTGGCTAAAGTTACTCTCATAAACAACTTTCCAGCTAGATCAATAAAACGTTCTGTCCAAAGCATTTAGAACAGCTATACTCAGTGGTTTGCTTTATGTTTTTATTGTATATTCCTTTTTCTTTATTTTTGGTGGGTTTATTTTTTGAATATCACCTGCCCTTCACCCAAAGGCCCCAGCAAATCATCATAGGACCCTCAGAACGATCCAGAAAGTCTTATTGAGAAAAATAAAACATTTTTGTCACAAAGCATAGGGTGGGCAAGGAGGAAAATCTGCTGTATACCAATTACATTATTTCCAACTGTTCTGTAAACTAAGACTACAGCACACTTACATGGGAGTAAGCTCTACTGAACTCCATGGGGCCCAACTTAGAGTCAGGCTGCAAAATGCATTGAGAATCCCTCCATGAACTGCTACTTCTATTGAGGAGCAGAGCTGTGCTTATGAAAGGACTCCTTCCATGAGTGCACATGAAGGAATGAGTTAATGGAAGTTCCATTCTGAAATATACTCAGAGAAAAGCCGTTGGTTTCATGTAGTTTATTTCAGTGTTCACAGATAAAACAGTCAGTCATCGTGTGTGTCCAGCCTGCAGGCCCTCCCAGACCCAGGCTATATATCCTGTGGTCACACCTGATAGGCTAGTTCAAAATTCCCTTCTGGAGCACCGCTCCAGCAGCCAATCACATGCTACGTTCTAAAACCCACCCTGCCTATTATTCTAGGATCCAAACTCCAGCCATAACAAATCTGCAAGTGAAAATATTGACTACAACCCTACATCTCCACATTTTCGAATTCACCAATCAAAGCAGCTTAAGATCTGCCTGGACCTTTCGTTTTATCAATTCATTCGAGTCAGGAAGGTGGGAAGGGACAATTGCCAGAGCAGCGAGGAGGAGTTGCCATAGTGTCCTGCTTTTATGGATTGGTAGGAGGAAAATAATGGCTTCTCAGGTGGTTTCATCTGCATAAGCAACATTTGGTTCTCAATTATAAGTGGTATTCCACTATAGAAAGGAACTGTAAAAGAATTGTTCCAGTTATATCCCAAGTTGACAGCATGAAGAGTCTGTTTGTCCACACTGCCAACATGTAAATGATTTTCCTTATGCTGGTTTTCCCATAGCTGCAAACCATGTGAAGAGTTCAGGGTTATTTTATCATCTCATTCCTGCCGGTATATAAAGAATTTTGCTTAAGCTGCCTTTTAAGTGAGATAACCCAGGGGTTGCCCCACCCCTGTAGTCATCCAATCCTGAGCCAGGGGAAACTGAGTTTGTTTCTGGAAGTCCTTGAGATTTGCAAAGTCTCCAAGATTTACAAAGGGCCAAGCAGTCGTTTAGAGCTGCAAGCCCACAAATTACTCAGTAGCATATAACCAAGTAGCCAAGTACCAGATTCAAAGCCAAGCTTACATCAGGAAGCCACACAAGGAATAAGTGCTATACAGTGGTACCTCGGGTTAAGTACTTAATTCGTTCCGGAGGTCTGTACTTAACCTGAAACTGTTCTTAACCTGAAGCACCACTTTTGCTAATGGGGCCTCCTGCTGCCGCACCGCGGGAGCACAATTTCCGTTCTCATCCTGAAGCAAAGTTCTTAACCTGAAGCACTATTTCTGGGTTAGCGGAGTCTGTAACCTGAAGCGTATGTAAGCCGAGGTACCACTATACTTTATTAGGGAGTTCATAAGCAGAGAATAAGAACCCTTTACCACTAAAACACAGTTAAGAAAGGCTAACCATGTGAAGACACTTCAGGGAATTTGAACACAGAACAAAATAACCATTCGAGTCATTGACCCCATGAGCAAGTTGCATCTAGGAACACATTATTGTTGCCATACATGACCCTCAAATACCATTAGACCCAGGTCAAAGACTAGTTTTTATACTAAAAGGGCTAGACAGGTAGGGTCTCATTGAGCCAATCAGGGCTTGGGGACAAATTTCCAAGAAATAGATGGTGGCTACCCAGTAGATTCTGCACAGTCTTTGTGACCTTGACACAGTCTTACATCAGACACAGGTGCAGTGTTCGAAACTCCCACTGTTCTAGGCGCATTTTGTGACAGAAAATTTCATTAGGGCGAGCAATTTCTGAGCTCTGGGCACAGTAAGATTTCAGATTAAAGCTGCAGTGGAAGGAAAGGAGGACCTTTTTCTGCCTCCCCACTTCCAGCCACTCTCTGAAGACTGGAGAAGAGACCCTCTAAGAATATTAGGGAGGTGGGCAAGGGAAGGACTAGACCGTGTGAAAAATGAACATAAGATTTTAGCTGCAGTTCATTCATTTTCAGCTTTGTATATTTTTATATAAAAAAGCGGGCCTAGGCACTCTGCCGTTGTGCCCATAAGGTGCCATTTAGCTCCTAGCTTTCATATCTGAGTTTCTAACACTGCACAGGTGGCAAGATGGAGCAATTAAATGGGACTTTCGCTGTAGGAAAACTGCATCAAGAATCCTTATTTATTTAAAGGCAATTGCAGGTTCTTCACACTTGATAGTGCATATGTTTCGAGTGCTAGTACCAGTGTACAAAATGTAATGTGTGGTGCTGCTCAGAGAGAGAGAAAGAGAAATTTTTACAACTAATTATAGAGCCAAGGTTTGTTTCTTACCACTTGGAAATTCAAATTTGTCCTACCTACAGACAACATAGTTTCACCAATGAAAAATGCAGGGGGGGTGGAATTATGCATGCCCTTTGTTAATAAGGAAGTATTTTGACAGTACACAATCAAGAAGTTCTTGAATACCTGCTTGCTCTTGCCCTTTTGTAAAATTTGGCACAGAATTCACATCACACCCTTCTTAAATGAGTTGTTGCCACTGGCAAAAATTCTGTCTAGCGTATGTAGATGACATTACGCTGTTGGCTTTTTTTTTTAAGGGTTGTTGAATACATAGCTTGGCTTCACTGTGCTTAAGAAGGAAATCTTTAAAGGAAAAGTCATATTTCATAGTTTGCTTATTTTAGAGGCAAAACGAGATGCCTAGCATTTTATGGTGTTGGATAAGAAAATAAACATTTTCTGTAAATGCTTTAGAGTGCAAAGTTTTACAAGTCTACTCAGAAGTAGGCCTCTTGTTCTATAGGACTTAATCTCAGGTAAGTGAGCCTAGGATTCCAGTCTTAATAAATCTGTATTTTCTCTGTCATTCTGCAAGACCATGGTTGTTGTTGTTTTTTAAACCACTACAATGTTACCAGTTGTAAATAATTGGCTGAACATTTGGAGTTCAAAGCCATCAACTCTACTTTGCAATGAAAAGTGTCAATCCTTATTTAGCTTTCAGAATTTGGATGGAGTTGGCAGAACAGGCAAAAATATGCAATGTTGTTCATGTCATACACAGTTCTTGTTGTGTAAGAATCCCACGAGTTTAAAGCTGGAAAGGTGAAAGGCTCATAGAACAAAAAATTAAAAATGTGTAATTGTTGCAGGAATGGGTTTTGGTGACAGGACAAGTACATTCTGTGGCACTCCAGAATTTCTTGCTCCAGAAGTGTTGACAGAAACCTCCTATACAAGAGCTGTAGACTGGTGGGGTCTTGGTGTGCTCATCTATGAAATGCTGGTTGGTGAGGTAAGCTTCACAAAATGTAAAACTGTTTCCTTTATTCATCTGTGAAGAGCAAATAAATTTGAAAAGAGCTGTTGGGTGTATGTTTCTGTTGAACCCCTCACTCTTTTCACTTCTTATTTGGTTAAATTAGAGTATATTTATTAAGAGAATATATCAATGAAAATTCAGTTTCTGGAAATTATTCTTATCCCTATTTCTCCCCCACCCTCCAGTCTCCCTTCCCAGGAGATGATGAAGAAGAGGTTTTTGACAGTATTGTAAATGATGAAGTAAGATATCCTCGGTTCCTTTCTACAGAAGCCATCTCAATAATGAGAAGGGTAAGATGGTATTTTTCGTGTGCTTGTTTCATTCCTTCTTAATTTGTTTAGCCACGTGTGTAAGGGAAAGCAAAGTGTTTTAAGGTCCACGTTTTTATTTGCTACGTACGTTTCTCAAGTTCACTTTACGTCAAAGGCAAGTGTGGCTTGCTGATACATACTAATATCCTAGCCTCCCCAGACGTATGCCCCATGCCTGTTGGATAGAAATACTGTGGGTATGACCTTTACTTCCATGGGCGACTAACTGTGGTCCTTCCAAGTTCCTCTGCTTGCAGCTCCCATCCACCTGTCCGCCAGCATGGCTAGTGGTCAGGGATGATGGGTTTTGTAGCCCAGCAACATCCATCTTGGAGGGTCACCGGTGAGCCACCCCCGATTTACTCACTGGTAGGATTGGTACTACTTGTGAGGCAGGAGGACTTTGGTTTTTTTTTACTGGAGCACCTGAGAAAGCAACCACAGCTGTATAAAAAGTTAACACACCGGCTTATGATGTCCCTGGAGATAAGCAAAGCAACAGCAAGGATTCTTTCAATTTTGTAGCAGCAGAGAGTGGTAGTTGGGACTCAATAGAGACCCTGCATTCTGGATCATGGAAGCCCTAGAACTTGAGCTGTTTCCTTTCCTTTGACAAAACAATTGGAGACTTTCTGTGTATTGGGTCTTCTTACTGTGGAAGCGGGGACTGATTGCATGGGAGATGATGTCATTAGTCTGCTGCTGTGAGTGGTTGGATTACTAGCCATCTCTTGTAAGGAAAACTGAAAATAGTGCGTGGTTTCATGCCTTGTCTTTTTAAAGACAGCAAGTTGGTTTTTTTCTGGGGTTTGCCATTGTGCTTTTTTTTTTGTTTTATTCAGATTATTTTTGTTATTTAATTTGTTCTTCTGTAAACTGCCTTGGGACTCTTTCATGCTGTTAATAACGGGCGGAAACCAGTTATGTCATTCTGTCATGACGCCGATGTCAGCAGTTTTGCTTGAAATATAACTTGGTCAGAACCACCGTTTGGGCCTCGGCAAACCAGCGAGAATTTTAAATTTATGAACTAATAAAAGCAAAGGCAACCATTTCGCTTTCTTTTCTAAAGTTCCCAGTGCTACTTGCTGTCCTAACTGGGGAACCTGATGTGCTTTTTAAAAAAAAATCACTATCCTTCATATTTATATCATGCTTTTTCAAAGAACTCACATGGCTCAGGAAATTGTTAACAGGAATGCTTTGCTCCAGCAGGCTACTGACAAAAAGTTCTTGATATCGTTTCAGCTTCTGAGGAGAAACCCGGAGCGGCGTCTCGGTGCTGGTGAGAAAGATGCTGAAGATGTCAAGAGGCATCACTTTTCCGGGTGAGTGTGAAGTGAAAAGCCTGGGTGCAATCTGGGAGCAGCCAGAAGCAGGGACTTAACTCGGTGTTTTCGTTTTGCAGTTGATCGATTGGAGCGCGTTGCTTGCCAAGAAAATGAAGCCTCCTTTTGTCCCCATCATAAGAGGAAGAGAAGACGTCAGCAATTTTGATGACGAATTTACCTCAGAAGCACCTATTCTCACTCCACCCCGGGAGCCTAGGATACTTTCAGAAGACCAGCAGGAAATGTTCAGAGACTTTGACTACATTGCTGATTGGTGTTAATTCTTTTGAGACACTGTGAAATCCTAGCAGACTGGCTCATCATAACAGCGTTCGCCCCACTCCTTCCCTCCTTTTGAGAATACCAGCTGTTGGGTTGTTCTCTGTGCTGCCTGTAGCTTCCGACTTTTTTGAATCACATGAAGATTTTGGAAAAAGGACCGTTTTTATTACACGTGAGGTGTGACCTCGTTTTTGTATATCTTTCTTTTTTTTAAAAGAAAAAAAAATATTGAGCACTGGAAAGCGATTCTGTGCAGCTCTTTAAGCTTGACCTGGCAGGTATAGGCTGTGTTCCACTCTCACATGGGCACACTTGTACTGTATCTTTACTGTTCTGCAGCAGAAAACATTGCAAAAAAAGACCTGCCTTAAGCAGGATTAGCAACCAGATACTGAGCTAGACAGATAACCATCTACTCAGCGATTAGAGGGAAGAAGGAAGGCAAAATGTCTGTCCTTAAAAAAAAAAGATACAGTAATCTCCAAAAAACATAGACCTGATGACTGTTAAGCACACTGTTGTCTTGATTTTTTTAGGGGGGGAATGAGGATTAAGAATTGATGCCTTGTTTTGTAAACTTTCTATGGTATTTATTAGGGGGGGAAATGTTTAAAAGCCTTACCTATAGGAGAACAGTATAAGTGCTTCCATTCTTCAAAAGACATCGGTCCTAAGAAGTTTACCAAAGCATTTGCCAAACAATTTTTGCCTTTCAACTTCTATAACCAGCAGATATGAAGAATGTAATGAGTAAGAATGTCTCTCCAGTCTTAAATCAGGAACATTTCTAATGTGTGCATTCCCCCAGATGCAATCACTGTTTTGTACTCTTGGAAGTCATGTCTTTTCCACACCAACTCCATTGATACGTTATTTTAGCTAATCTGTGTGTCTAGCTATCTCGTTCATCTTACATTTGCTGATTTGGTGTTGCCATATCATCTTTAAAGAATGAGGATCTTCAGTGTATACATGCCGTGTTCATGTATATTTGGAAGTTATAGTATATTTTTGTTTCAAGCATATAAATTAACTTTACCACTTCCTTTAGCATTATCCAGTGGCTAGGTGAATGTATTGTTAAATTCAGATTTAATGGGGGGAAACATGCTTGTATACATTTCAAGGCCACTGAATTCCAGACTCTTCATTGGCAATTACTGAGAATAAGGGTTAAAGCAATATGTTTTGAGAGAATGTATAAATATTTTTGATAAAACTTGTATATTTTAAGCCTCTTAACACTATGCTGTACCTTGAAAAGTTAAAATGTCTTTGACCAGATACTGTGTGTGCTCCTTTCAGACTTACGTAGTTTTCTAAAAGGGTGAGTCTGTTTGTGGAAAACAACGCTCCGCTTTCCTTAGCTTATTAAAATTGGTTTGTCATCAGGCTCATACTCAGCATGCCCAAGATCAAAAATGTGTTGTGTGATGTTTAAATCCACACAGACTTATTGCTCTGGAATCTGGTTTCATGAAAGATAAATGGCAACCACATAACCATGTGGGTTGGAGTGAAGACAGTGCTGCCCCCAAGGTGTTGCCTTCATTGCCTGAACTTTGAAGCATATGTAACGGGTTCATTAGAATAATGTACATGTAAGCGTGTCCACAAAGAACAATGGTAAAAGACTAAACAAAAAATCAAATCATGAAATGTCTAACCTGTAATTCTTTTTTAAAAAACAAATATCAAATTAGCATCTTGGAAAAAATGCTATTTCCCTTCCACTTCAAATAGCTGTATCACAATTAAATACAAAACACTACACACCTGAGGTACAGTCGGCTATTCATTTATACTCCCAAATTAGAGTTACAGACAGCTGAGCCCAAAAGGGTGATTCAAATTTAAAGTCCTACAGAAATAACCCTTTTCTCTTTTTTGTAAGTACATCTTGTACAGAAATGTTTTGTAATCTAAGTAAATCACTTAAAAAAATTTTTAGAGGCAGGGTATGTTCACACAGTTAAGCTGAAAGAAAGCACTAATTTTATCTAGTTTTTTTAAATATTTAGGCAAATTAAGATTTTAAACTCTAGATTGTAAATATATTTTGCTATACTTGTATGTGGCTGCTGAAGCACTTTGTAAAGAAATTAGGTTATTTTAGAATGGTACACTATGCATTAAAATGAAATGTGCCTTTAACAATGTCATACTACAAACTGTCTTGCAGTTAACTATCAAATTAAAGTTTAAATAGTGAAATTTGTATATGAAAACATGATTTACTGATTTGAATCCTATAATCTTGCTTTTTGGTCTTTAGATAAAAATTGTGTTTAGAACTTGGTTTGAATTACCCTTTTCTTTCAGGGGTGCGTAAAAAGTCTCATTTTCTGTTCCTCTGCCAGTAACCTTGTGGTACCATAGCGTCAAAGCAACTCACACAACTGCATATATAATCATGTAAAGGTTGTACAGTGGTACCTCGGGTTAAGAACTTAATTGCTCCAGAGGTCCGTTCTTAACCTGAAGCACCAGCTAATGGGGCCTCCCCCTGCCGCCGCTACACGATTTCTGTTCTCATCCTGAAGCAAAGTTCTTAACCCGAGGTACTATTTCTGGGTTAGCAGAGCCTGTAACCTGAGGTGTATGTAACCCGAGATACCACTGTACTGGTAGTTAGAGGGTGTGTTTTTTGCTTTAAATGTTGACTTGGTTTCTTACACACACACATAAGTGAGAAATGGAGAGGGGGGGGGGGAGCAACAGGCTATCTGAATTATGGTTCCTTAAAAGGATTTCATTCAAGCATTGGAGCTCAAATTCAGTTGTTAAATCCAGTTTTACTTGTCTACGAAGGTTAATGCAGAAGCTGAGTTAATCTAAGCGTCCCCAAGTTCAAACACAAGCCCACTCGTGATAGTGCGGTACGACAGACCCACACTGCCCAGTTTGTCTACATGGTTCTTTAAAAAAGCATGGCATGTATTCATGGACTGCTGCAAGGCAACCCCTTTAAATACATTGCAGCTATTATGCACCAATGTGCCCCGATCCCAAAATCTCCCTTATCTCTCAACGTGAAAGGCAAGGGGCTCTACAGGAGTTCTTATGGACCTCCACTGATCAGTCATGTCCAAGACAGACTGCTATTCATGGTGGCAGGAAGAGGAGTAACAACTTTTTCTGTATCTGCCTACAAGGCAGGCATAGGCAAACTCGGCCCTCCAGTTGTTTTGGGACTACAACTCCCATCATCCCTAGGTAACAGGAACAGTGGTCAGGGATGATGGGAGTTGTAGTCCCAAAACATCTGGAGGCCTGAGTTTGCCTATGCCTGCTACAAGGCAAATACTATTCTAGTGCTCAAGCAGGATGTAACCGATACAATGGTACCTCGGGTTAAGTACTTAATTTGTTCCGGAGGCCTGTTCTTAACCTGAAACTGTGCTTAACCTGAAGCACCACTTTAGCTAATGGGGCCTCCTGCTGCTGCTGCACCGCTGGAGCACGATTTCTGTTCTCATCCTGAGGCAAAGTTCTTAACCCGAGGTAATATTTCTGGGTTAGAAGAGTCTGTAACCTAAGGGGAAGTAACCCGAGGTACCACTGTATTGTAGAAGGGCTTTCCTGGAAGATTTCACCTATGAAAAACCCATGCTAGGCAAGAGAACGTAATGGCAGTGGACTTAGGAATATCTTTCTGACAGATGTTGTGATGGAGCAGATTGTATTAACATTTCTCACGGAGCAGATATAATCTAAGACACTGGTGGTTGTGGATTGAATTTCCCTGCCCATTCCACAGCAGATGCAGGGAAAGCTATGTGATGTCCCTAAGATGACAGTCAAGACTCCAGCCTTACCACACTCAACATCAGAACCTGGTTCTAAGAATCCTGTTAAGGCTGCACACCAAGATTAAGATTTGAGATGTTTGTTTTGTTTTTTTTCAATGTACAGAGGCAAGGCTTGATGTTGAGTTGATCCAAGATCTACATAAACTTGTACTTATCATTGGCTCCTCCCCTCATACTATTATGGCTTAAGAATGCTGCTGGAGCAGCGAGGGAACAAAAATAGCCCTGACCCAGCAGCCTGCAAAATCAGACTGATGGTTTCAAGGGACAAAAAGGCCCGATTTTTAATTTGCTTCAGTCTATGTTTAGGCCTGGAAAGGGCAGAACTGCTAGAAGTTCTGTTCCTCATCGCCTTGAGTGGTCGGTTCTCATTTCCTCATAACCAGGTTAACTTGAAACTTTTAAGTAATCTTCACTGCTGACCTATTTACAAGCAGGGCTGGGGAACCCGGGGGCCTCCAGATGTTGTACTACAATTTCCATAATCCCTGACTCTTGGCTGGAGGTGAGCCACAGCTGTGAGAATTTCCCCCGCATCACCCTGTAATTCATACAGGAATCCTGCAATTTACACAGGGCTTACGTTCTGGGGAATCCACCACACCTAAAGCCAAAATAGTGTATAGTCAAAACCCATTGGGTTCAATGGCAGGTGGGATTGCCAAAATAATGTTTCCCAGAACCCCACCCACTTTATGTCCCTTTAAATTTTTGCCCATAACTCTGAATGCACATAAGTCAAATGCCCACAAACTGTGGGCTTACTGTATGCAGTGCCAATGCACACCCCTATTTAACATATTTTACCATGTTTCTCAGCTGATTACATTGTGCCCTACCTTGGTAATACTAATTGAAAAAAAGGCTTGAATTAAGTCATTCCTTGATTATGTTTTACATGCATTACAAGATCGATACCACTGCATCTACAGATGTCAGGATAGGAGTAGTAGCCTCGTGTGGCCAGACTGCCCTTTCTATATTCTGTAATAGTGCATTAGTATGCCTGGTGAATCAATTTGGATTCAGCTGGCTGCTCCCTAGTTTCCAGACTGGCAAGGGTCCCTTTTGAAGTGGCTTGTTGGTAGGGTTACTGGGCTAGTCCTGTTTTAAGTACTAGAGTTCAATTAGTTATTAACAGGACAACATACCTAGGAACAAGGATGGCAGAGACTCCTGTTCTCATACAAGACCAGTCTTCAGAAATCTTCCTCCTATCAGAGACTAAACAGCATCCAGACCACCACAAGCAGGAGCAGCAGAAATCAAATTGGGTGAGTCATAGCTGAAATGCTTGCAGAAATGTTACATATCACATGTTCACTCTGGATTGAAACTGCCCACAATATACCTTACATTTAACCAAAATAATAGTTCTTGGGCAACAATATAAAAATGCTTGAATAGGAACTGAAGAATTTCAAAAGATGATGCATGCTCCAAGTTGATATTTATTTAAGACAGACACACAGAGTAAAACTTGCAGAACTGTATAGGTTTTTGGAAAACAGTTTATTCAGGAATTAGAATCTGAAATATTTTCCAAAAAAAACAACAACCAAGATCTCTATGAAAGAAATCTAAGTACATACAATAGGAAATTGATGGCTGTTAAATAATTACTTTCACTAATATATACATAAAAAATGCCACAAAATTATTTTGTTTACACCTGGAATGTGTGCTCTGACTCCTCAGTTAGGCTTTTTCACATAGTTTTACCAGTTCCGCAACTTGAAGGCTCAACAGTACCGTTTTTATACATATCGCTTTTAAGTCGAAATCAAAACCTCTGTGGGCTATAGACGTACCCTTGGAAATTCACAGCTGTGGCAGTTTGTCCACTGGAGTATCAAATTTGAAATCAGCTGGGAAAAGATCAGGAGCCCGTGGATAAATCAACCTATATGACTGTCTGATTGTAACATCAGCTACTCCGGCAATGTCTCCAATTTCTGAAATGAAACCCAAGGCAGACAAGTTAAACTGACAAGTAGAGTTACAAGGCTGGAGCATTTCCAAAAAAACAACCTGTAGTTTCTCCAATTCTTCCTGGTGCTCAGCTTCAGACAGTGTAAAACAAACACACAACCTTTAGAAGGCTGCTTTCAGTAAAAATCTCAAAGCTTCTCAGGAGCGATGTAGTACTACAATAGAAAGACGGGATAATATGATTTTGTCGGGGCAGCCAATCGGAGCTCACACTGCACTTGCACTTGGATATGGTCATTTATTACCAATCAGACCTGGGTCCAATTCAAAGTGCAGGTGTTCATCTCTTAAGGCCTTAAATCAGGGATGGGTAACCAGATGTCACTGGACTTTAATGCCCAATTTTGCGACAGGGCTGGGGCTGAATAGGGTTTGGAGTCTTTACACTATCCAAAGGGACACAGATCCTCCATTCCTATCTTAAGCAAGCCGCATCCTGAATACCTGAAGATGCACCTTCCATCCCCCATGACCCTCTCATTGGACTGGACTTCATCAAATGGGATTTTACTCCAGGTGCCATTACCTTCAGTGGGGTGTGTATGTTTGTGTTTGTGGGTGTGGGAACAACTTGCTTTCAATAAAGAGGTTCATGTAGCAATTTAGGTTAGCAGAGCAAAACATCCCTGGCTTTGTCTGGTTGACTGGACCTGCTGTTCTGTTTGTATTAGATAAAGGACCCCTGGACAGTTAAGTCCAGTCAAAGGAGACTATGGAGTGTGGCGCTCATCTCGCTTTTCAGGCCGAGGGAGCTTTCCGGGTCATGTGGACAACATGACTAAACTGCTTCTGGTGCAACGGAACGCCATGACGGAAACCAGAGCACACAGAAATGCTGTTTACCTCCCTGCCACAGCGGTACCTATTTATCTACTTGCACTGGTGTGCTATCAAACTGCTAGCTTTTCAGAAGCTGGGACAGAGCAATGGGAGCTCACTGTCACACTGCCAACCTTCCAATCAGCAAGTCCAACCAATCAGCAAGTCTAAGAGGCTCAGTGGTTTAGACCAAAGCACCCCCCATGCCCCCCATCTGTTTGTATTACCTGAAGCCTATCATCAACTGATTTATTTTTTTAGCACTTATTAATAGCTGTTTCAAAAGCCCTTGACTGATTGCCAAGGCATGAATTCGGCTCTTACAGTATTTCATGCCCAGATGAGAGGAACCTTTACTCCCAGGATCTGCAGAGAGCTTTTGCTTTCCATGTGGTTAGAACTGGATCAGTCCACGTAGGAGCACTTCCAATGGCAACCTTGCTAGACAGAACTGAACATCTTACTAAAAGAGGCAATGCCAGACTTTAGAGAGGATTACATTTAATTTAGACCACTTAATAAGGTATGTTCCTAACGCCGCATGACAACACACATGTTCTGAATGTGTGTGTTTTTGGGGGGGACACTTGTTAGGAGTTTTAATTTTGTTTTATATGTACTGGTTGTTTTGTGTTTTTTATTATTTTATGTGTAAATTGCCTTAAGACCATGGTTCAGAAGGAAATGAATTATTATTTTGTATACCGCCCTATACCTGCAGGTCTCAAGGCGGTTACAACACAAAATCACAATATAAAAACACAAAATATCTAATAAAAATTAAAACAACCCAACAATCCACCCCCTCCCCATTTTAAAAAGGCACTGGATGCCATTCAGCCAAAGTCCTGGTTAAAGAGGAACGTTTTTGCCTGATGCCTAAAGCTGTATAATGCAGGTGCCAGCATCATAATAATTAAAAGCTCACTAAGTGTGCCTAGCTATTTATTACATTTGTATCCTGCCTTTCTTCCAGAGGTCTCAAGACAACACAGATCTGCCCCGCTACCCTGTAAGGTAGATTAGGCCAAGAGATATTTGAGTATCTCAGCCCAGCATTACCCAGCAAGCTTTATGGCTAGGTAGAGATTTGAACCTGGTTCTCTCCAGTCCTCCTTCAACACTAACCAGACTGGCTCCTTAGCCTGACAATTACTCACATGGCTTATTACTAAGCTACTTATACATCCCAAATCATGGCAAAAGGAGGATCCTTATAGCGCTTTCTGCATCAGTGATTACTCTTTTTCTTTCTGAATAAGTGACTTAACAGAGCTAGAATTTAACAGGGGAGGGGAAATGGAAATGTTACCTTTCTGGGTTCTCTTCTCTGCGGAGGCTTGTGAAGCCATATAAATAGCTGCAGCTGCAACCGAGATGGGACTCCTCCCAGGAACCAAGTCTAATTCCACAGCTTTACGGGCAATGTGTGTTGCTGCCATCTGGACTTGCTTGGGAAGACCCAGGTTTGAACAAAATCTGGACATGAAATCTCCAGTTGTGATCAAATCCACACTCGTTTCCAAAGCTTTCAAGATGAGCTTAAAACACCGGCCTATTTCTTTTTTGGAAATTCTGGAGACAGCACATATTTCTGAAACGAGACAACAACAACACAAAAACCACACACAAGATTAATGCTGAAACAGGATTGCAATAAGTTAAGGATAATAACGCTCTCAGTCCCTTCTCCCTGCTACCAATTAAAGCTTAACCCTCCATTTAAGTCTTTGCAGCACAAATATGTAACTAAGTCTATGTAGTCAACAAAACTGGCACCCACTTTTAAGAGAAACATTCCATTCAAAGTCACCAAGGAATTGCACTGAGGAGTGAGCATCAGTTCAAGAGCTATTGATTCAGTTGTTGGGTCTCAGAACCACAGCACAGGTTTTAATTTAACAGAATTATTTCATTAGGACTCAGGCACAATATGTGGGGAATGCAGAAATTAGCAGCATTTTAAGAGAAAGCTACAGTCCTCACCTGTGAGGAGGAGGAGCGAGAGAAAAGAGCAATGTTTACCAATAGTTTTCCAATGCAGGGAATAACTGCAGGTTCTGAGCAGCATGGAAATAAAACTCTTTATTTGCATACATCTGCCCTTTCATGAATCTTCCAGTCCCTTCACACTGTTAGCTAGTATTTCTCTTCCCACAAGACAAAAAAAGGAGAAACCTACAAAACAAGTTTCACTGGAATAGTATGCACATTAAAGTCAATTTGCTTTGCTGCATGTGTTTAATTATTTAAATTACATCATTAACGTATATTAGGATGCAATGCTAATCATATTCTCCACGATCCTAAACCTGCTTGCCTTTCTCACTTTAAAATTTGTGGGCCAGTTTGATCTCGGGTGGAAATTATGGCAACCGTGCATCAACATTCTGCAGGGCAGGTGGAAATGACTTGGTGAGGTAGTCCTGTAAAGACATGGACACATGCCAAGCACTGTCCAACATACAGCTATTCAAAAAATGATAATAATCAAATCAAGGAAAGAGGTGTATGATAACTATAGGCTCCCATGAAGCACAGATGTTATACTCAGTGACTCAATGCTACCATACAATCAGCCATACAGCTGCATGGCTCTTAGACGGCAGTTTCTACGTCACACCTCCCTTTGGACTGGGCTCAGGGAAAAGAGGGTGCTCCATTTCTATACCTGGCACACGCCCCCAAACCCCACAGCCAAATGCTCAAAAACATTCTGTGAAGTGCCTTCTAATCAGTAGGACACATGCCAGAAAAAGTAGTTTTCATCATTTATTCTACAAATTATTGGTTTTCCTTCGCTGTAGAACTGTCTTGTACTGAACAGTCCCGATACGACATGAGCACCTCAGCACTCTCAAGCCATGTCACACAGTAACTTGTTGATAATAACAGCAATCGCCCGACTGCCCCCTTCCCAAACAGTTTGCAGGTAATTTGCACAAGTGATTAAAAGGCAAGTAAGATACAAAACACAAAGCCCACTCCTGGGAATCGCAGGTTTTGCTTCGCTGCTCTCGGAAACTGAAGAACGAGGTGACAGCTTGTGCTAGCTGAAGATACTTTGGATCATCCCGGATGAAGCCGACACTACGCTGCCCGCTTACCTTTGAATGTTCTCGGAACGCCCTCTTGCCTGCAGGCGATGTAGAGGCAAGCGGAGGCAATGGCATCGTTACTTCTCCCCTTCAGGCTCTTCTGCTCATAGACTTGCTTGAATAAATTATTGGTTCGATCCTTCAAAGAAAGCAGACAAAATTTAATTAACTCCAGGCCATTTAATTAGCAATAATATCAAAAATTCATGCGCTCATTATATTATGCTAACTAAGTAAACGCCAGGACAATTTGAGAGAGGGAGGCATGAACTTACAACTATATTTCGGGGGAGGTTGATTCTGTCTGCCATGCTAGCGATTTCTTTGAACGCGTTCATCATCGCGCGGTCAGAGCTGCTCATGGTCCTCCGGTTTTGATACTTTGAATTCCCAAATTCGTCAAAACTGGCTGCGCCCGTGCCCTGCAGAAGAAGGGTTTACAGTGTGTCAGAGATTGCTGGAATTTGTACCAGATATACACAGTAAGACCTCTTTTGCACTTATGTGAGGATTCAGAAGCTGCAATAAGCAACACCTATTACAACATCCTAGTAATGAAGTCATTAGAAACAGATCACAATGCAGCCACCTTCAGGTGGCTGTCACTATTTCCAAGTAGACTACAGACACGGTGGTCATAATGACCCTCTTTCATTCTCTAGATCAGGTTTTCCCAAACTTGGGTCTCCAGCGATTTTTTAGATTACAATCCTGTCATCCCTGATCACTGGTCCTACTAGCTAGGGATGATGGGAGTTGTAGTCCAACAACAGCTGGAGACCCAAGTTTGGGAATTTCTGCTCTAGATGAAAAGCACACTTTTAGTGTGTTTTGCCATCCTTATTTCAGTCGTTCTTCAAAGGCCATCATCACTCCAACTTCATGTAGTCTCACAGCGAAAGGAAGTCCTGGTTACTTACATGGGAAGACCCACACCAGGCCCAGGGAGGTCCAGCAATACTTTCCCCACAGGAACCCTACCCACTCAAAAAAGCAACAACTTGCAGTTGTATCGAACTATGTTTTACCCCCTGAATTGATGCACCCAAGTTACCGTATTTTTCGCACCATAGGACGCACCGGACAATAGGACGCACTTTGTTTTAGAGGGGGGAGAACAAGAAAAAAAAATTCTCCCCCTCTCTGCCCAGCGCCCCTTCAGCGAAGCGGCAGGAGGCGCTGCGCAGAGAGGGGGAGAACTTTCCCCCTCTTGTTTTCCTGCTCTAAAACAAGGTGCTGTTTAAGGTGCGTTCAGACGGCTACCTTGGAAGCCTGGAGAGCAAGAGGGGTCGGTGTGCACTGACCCTTCTCGCTCTCCAGGCTTCAGGTTCCTTTCGACCTGCTCTTTGGGATTGGCGGGGGGAAGCCCACCACCAGCCCCAAAGAGCAGGTCAGGGAGCAGTGGAAAGGCGCAGCGGAGAGGCTCCTGCCATAGCCGCGCGTCACCTCTCCAGCCGGGAGAGGGTCGCGGGGCTATGGCTTCTTTAGCCCCGCGAGCGCACTCCCGGCGGGGGATGTGGCACGCGGCTGTAGAGGCTCCTGCCATAGACTCGCTGCCTCTCCAGACGGAGAGGGCTGCGGGTGCTTAGCCCGCGCTCTCCCGGCTGGAGAGGTGATGTGCGGCTGTAGAGGCTCCTGCCATAGCCGCGCGTCACCTCTCCAGCCGGGAGAGGGTCGCGGGACTATGGCGTCTTCGCTCCATAGGACGCACACACATTTCCCCTTCATTTTTGAAGGGGAAAAAGTGCGTCCTATAGAGCGAAAAATACGGTAGTCATGTTCATTTAGTTCAACCACTAATATAAATTTCTTTCAAAATTCAAAATGTTTCCACTGGTCCAAAAAAAGGTTGACAACCCCTGCTCTATTACGTAAATGTAAAGACTATATTGCTCATTAGTCCAGCTGTTGTTCTCTATGAAAAACACATGTAATATGCACTGCACAACCTGGCAAAGTTCTGGTCATCTCCACATTTTCCAAGAATGGCTCAACATAGGTTTTCAACTGTGACTACAGTGGACTCACTTTATTCCCATTTCAGAAGCAAACACTACATTTTGTGGACAGCAAACAGCAGGGATAGGGTGCAGAAAGAGGAAATGAGAGTCCTAACAAATCCACTGCTTCTTCCTGGGCAAACAACACAGCAAGCAAGAAGCCCACCAGAGGTGCATGTAGCAACAGAAGACAATGTCTGGAAGCAGAGGAAAAAATACTGCCCTAACCAACCTGGTCCCCTTCCCACACATTCCCAGATTTTGTGCATCTGGACACCAAACACATATCTTCCATTTTCATATTGAAAGAGTTAAATACAGGGAGGGGGCAACCCTTAGCAAGGTGGCTTCTAATTCCACTGCCCCTGGGGTTAGGCTTTTTCCTCCTGCTGCAGGGGGCTCTGACCCTGACACTCCTTTGTTGTCTGGGATCTCTTCTGTCTGCAGGGCTAGTCAACTAAGCAGGTGACTGGTTGCCAGGCTTCCTGTGCCACCTGCTTGGCCAGCTCAGAAGAATTCAGCAGCCAGAAGCTGTCCTGCAAAGAGTGATTTTTCGATATGTCTTTCACAGCCCATATTACCAAGCTGGCTGCTCTTGAGGTAGAGCCTCTACGGTACCTTCCCAATACAATAAAAGAGAGTAACACAGCTTACAACTCTGCAGGAATCTTGCTTCTTTGAGGTCCACTCATCGCCTGCTGATACCAGAATGTTTAAGCCCTGGACAAAGCAGGAGTTAGCCCTTTCCCGACTACTTTTCTTCACCAGACAAAAATGAAATCTGGGTATAGCCTGCATTTTCATCTTCACTTTTGGGCAATGCTATGAGAAGGTTCAAAAAGCGGAGGCTTCATGGAATATTTGAATACAGCCTTGTAGGCAGTCCACTAATGACTGCCTGACCAGTCTGCATTACAATCGTGAGAGCAAAGGAGTCCACATTTTCTCTAACATGAACATGGATTCTCACAGAAAGGCTGAAGTCTATCATTGCACAACATGGCATCCTGTAAAACTCTGGCTTCTATTAGTACTAGTTAACCTTATAGCATACTGGTCAGAGCTCAATCCTTGTTTGGAAAGACTGGGGAGATCATGGGAGAAATAAAAATGAACAAAAGATGATACACACCTTAGACAGAATAATATATAATCAGTTATGCTATTTTTATATACCATCTCCTGATACTGCTAGTTCTTCCAGCTATGGAAACTGCTTGTGATCTGGAAAGGAAAACTAGTCAGCAACCCCCAAAATAGCAATGACAAACATCTCAGTGATACAGAGCATGCTTCAGTTCCTTTTTCTTTCACCGCACAGCTGATACAACTCTATGTTCAAACAAGATAAAGTTGACGAGCGCTGGGGTCTACACAGCACGCCTTATGGATATGCAGGGAACACCAGTCCCTGGTAGTTGTGTGAACATGGATGTCAAGAAAGCAGTGTTAGAAACTCAGCTATATCAGCTAAACGCCAAACGGCGCCTTAAAACTAGGTTGCGGTCGCCACAACGGACTGTCTAGTCACCTTTTTTTTTTTTGGGTGGGGCTTATTATTATTGTTACTGTCATTGTCATTCATTTCTATGCTGCTTTATATTTTAAAGAAAAAAATCTCAAAGAAGTTTACAACATATTAGCATCAAATAAAACAACCCAGGAAAAAAATAGTGGGAAGATAGCTCCCCAGACTGGCTGGTTGGCTGACACGCAGCAGCGTCTTTTGATGCTGGGGCTTGCTCATCAGAAAACGTTGTTGCACACCAGCCAGATGGTGGAGATGTCAGTCACCAAACCTGCCAACAAGACATCTTCACTTGGTGGCAATTCAACCCACGCCAGTCGCAAAATGTGCCTCGTACCTGGGGAATTTTGAACTAGCAAGCAGACAGCCTCTCTCTGGCTGGGACTCTATCTCCGGCTAGCCAGGGCACTTTCCTTCCCTCAGGGTGGAGGCTAACATGCGAGTGGGCAGGCAACACCTCCTTCCTCTGTGGGAAAGCTTCAAGCCAGCTTTGGGGTCTACCAGCATTTTATGCTTCCTGAGCCCAGAGGCTCTCATTGCACCAGATGCAGTGCCTGATGCTTCTGCTGCGGCTGCAAACTTTACTTCCTCCTGCTTCAGGCATCGGCTCTTTGCACAGCACCTCCTTCATCTCTCACTCTCTTCCTCTGTTGCAGCTTTCCATCTGTGGGAGGAGAATGGAGCCCGGCTCGTTCTAGAATGCTCAAGGACGGCTCTCTGGCCTGCCTGCTCACCTGCCTGCCATGATGGGTGCAGTATTACCACCCAAACACCAACACTCTCCTGCTCCCCTTTGCTCTCAAACCCCCCCCACACACACACCTCTCCAAAGTTTTCTCCTTGAGTATTGCAGCTTCTGCTGGCCTCCTAAATTGCCATGGCACTTCTTGCTTTTCTGGAGTACTGTAGGCTCCCAGCTTTCTCTCTCTAATGTTAGTAGGCAGATGTAAGTCAACCCTGGCCTTTCTTAATCTCTCTTGACCACCTCCCCTGCCCCCTCCCCAACTCCTTTTCTCAGGTGCAGCATCTTTCTTGCATCCAGAAACATCACGTTTATCAGTTTATGAGTACAGTTTTCTGCACATTTCCCTATCAAAGGGCTTCAGTTATGGCTCGTTTCTTTCCCCCAACCCCTTCATCAGTGCCCCACCCCTAAACTTTTTCTCCACTCTTAAATAGGTTTCTTTGGGAATGGCATAGCTATTGCCATCGTTCCATAAGCTTTTAATTACAGTGCGCCCATCTTTCTCCCTTCCCCAGTTTAATAATCTGTTAACTTTGTGTTGCGGTGGTATTAGCACAATGTATATGCTCTGTTTCTTGTTTTTTTGTATGTGTGTGTTTTACGTTTCTGAGAAGTTAATTAAATAAGCCTGAGGGGTTACTTGGATGCTATTTGCTGGGCATCAGTTGGTTTACAGACTGGTTTATAGAGATAGATAACTTGGCTAAAGCCTGCAAATGCAACAAAAGCTCAAGACCATATCCAGGAGTGCCATTGCCTCATGAGCTAGGTCAAATCCAGCAGTGGTAACTCCAGTGGGATAGTACTGCCTCCAGTATCTCTTCAAGACCTATGGTGGAAGCTGGTCCATTAGGGTAAATTGAGCAAGCGCCCCACCAGCCTCAATGGCTTCATCAAGCCCCACTTGCCTTTCGTCTGACAACCAGCCCAGGGGGTGGCATTGCCTGTCAGCTTCCTCCTCCTTAGTCTAAAACAGTGCTGCCCTTATAGAACTCAGCAAAGAAAATGGCAGCTCCACCTATCACAGAAGCTGTGACTTTGCCTAAAAAAAGGTTTTCCCTAGTGCGAGCCAGTGTGGTGAAGTGGTTAGTGTGTCTGTGGGACTGGGACCCGGGAGACCAAGACTCGAATCCCCACTCAGCCATGAAGTTCACTGGGTGTCACTGTCCTATACATGCCTAAATGTAAGTCCCTCTGTGTTCGCTGAACAACCTGTTTCACTATACAACTCTCCCAATACCACAAATTGGGGGACGGGGACCTAAATAAATTATCTACGTAAAAGTAAACAGAAAGAGCTGTTGCACTGGGGAGAAAAAAAGGCAACTAGACATTCTATTTTGGTGACCACAGCCCAGGTCCCAAGAGCCATGTGGTGAATAGCTTTTCTACTCCAATTTCTAACACTCTGCACAGCTTGCTTATCCCCAACTTTGCGCTGCCACTTTAAGAGCAACAATATCCAAGTTTCTGCCAAAATCTCCCTGCTCCTGTACAGATCTTGTGCATTAATGCATTTCGTGATTTATATTACCTTGCCAATCATTGTAGTCAGATCACCGTCACTCAGAAGAGGATTCTGGGTATCTCCAACTCGAGACGGGTCTTTGGTTGCTTTGTCATTGCTGAATGTTCGCCATTCTGACCCTACATCTATGACTCTGTCACCTGAGTATGCAAAAAGCATTTATCGTCATTCTTTTGTTTTTGAAAAGTCTCAAGAGGTTCACAAATATGCATTCAGAATCATTTTGGTTACAACTGCAGCAACCATTTAGACAATATTCAAGCAATCGTTCTAAGTCAATAGTCGATAGTTTTGGGTGTGGTTTTTTTACACAAATTAGGAAGTGTGAGGCAGAACCTGTCTCAGACAATCTCTGCTCTAGCAACCCTAGTGACACTTTGTAGATGACAAGTAAGTAATGAACCAGCTCTCACTCAAGGATGCTCTCAGGGAGTGACTGCATCTGAGTGGTTAGAACAAGGGCATCCAATGTGGTACTCTCCAAATATTGTTTGCTTACAACTCCCATCATCCCTGCCCAGAGGCCATGCTGCCGTGGACCAATGCAAGTTGGCATCCAACAACATCTGAAGGACACTTATGTTGGCTACCTCTGGGCTAGAACATGGGAACCTGCAGAGCACAGGCACCTCACCTGGTCCAAACAAAGCTCTGTTGCACTTCAAGGCAACATTAACAAGGCTCTCTATAGATCTGGCAAACAGCCTATGGTCAGACCTACATTAACGCCTGCTTATTCCATGCTACTATCTGTTACTGGATTCAGCAGGTGGAAGGCAACACAAGGAATGGAGAGGTCAGGTGTCATATAACCACATGTACACATGAAACTTTTACCAATGGTAACCTGCAAATTAAGGTTGATATGCAACTCCAGCTTGCCAGCACCAAAGTAGAATGTTATGTTTGGAAGCTTATCATCAATGAGGGCAACTTCATAATGGGAGGAGTGTTTCTAGCTACCCCACCCTTCTCCTTGGAAGCCTTATAAGAAGCTTCTGAGGGAGAAGGACTGAGCAACATCACAGGAGGGGTGTTTCTGGGACTAAAGCGAAACTGTGAAGCTCCCTTGGTTTTTTTGCTATTGTATGCAACATGTTGCTAATATTATATTTACAGTACTGAAATGTGGTTTTTTTTGTATATTGTATTTTTGCTTTGCTATGTTATGAAAATGTCACTGTGTTACTGTTTTGCTATGTTGGGTTATTATGAAATTGTTTTGTAGCGTTTGTTTGAAATGCATCCCTGTTTCTTTTTTTGCTAGCTGCTTTGAGCATGATTTTTGTGTGTGAGAAAGTTGTATACAAATAAAATGAGGGAAGGCAGGAAGGAACCCAATTCAGCATTTAGGGACACTTCAACGATAACATGAACAGTAATGCTATAGCTAACTTGCCTATTTTGAGTTCACAGAACCAATAAAGCTGGTTCTTTACAAAACCAGCAGATGCCCAGTTACAAGCTGTTAACATACACCTCTACATATTGCAACAATATTATTATTCTAAAACTGATACCCCCAAACTTGGGACAGATCTTGGAAAACAAAACACTTGACAGCGTGGCTCAAAATGAGAACCTTGAAAAATAATGAATTTTGACCCCTTTTTGTTTATACAGCATTTCTGCCTCCACATCTTCAAGTCCTCCTCTGCAGCCAGACAACAAGCTTGAGAAATAATATTGGCAATTGTGTCTTCATTTACTAAACCAAGATATGTATCTGCCTTTTGCCTGCTGCTAGAACCCCTTTGATCCTCCCTCTCTTTCTCCAAGCCACAGATAAGCCAGGAAGCCTCTAATTAACCACAGTTTCCCATTTCATGTGAACTGGGAAACTATGGTTACAAGCTTTGGAACAAACCAGGATGTTAAAACTAACTTCAAGCTGGTTGATCCTGGATGATTCCAAAGCTAGTAACCAAAGTTTCCCTTTAGATAAATAATAAACGTTCCTTTTTAACCAGGGCTTTGGTTGATTTGATTGACATCCTACGCCCTTTTAAAATGTGTTGGGGGGGTTATTGGGTTGTCGTTTTTATTCTGATTACGTATTTTGTGGTTTTATATTCTGATTTTATTCTGTAAACCGCCCTGAGACCTGTGGGTATAGGGCAGTATATAAATTCAATAAATAATAATAAATAATATAGTTAATTAAGAGGTGTGATTGGTAGATTGAGCAGACTGAGGCAAACAGAAAGAGCTGTGTGGTTGAGACAAAAGTTCTCCCAAAGAGTTGCCCAAATTAAGGGTGGAATTCAACTCTTCCCTCATTGTTCCATCTGCACAAGCATTCCAGACAGAACGATTCCCCTCTTCTCCCCACACAGTGTTCCAGGGATTCTCCAAAAACCCTCAGAACCAATTTGGGGACAAGGCAAGGGGTAGGGCCGGGCGATATCTGGTTTTCAACATCGAGTTAATATCACCAGCTAAACATTGTGATCAGCGGCGTAGCGTGGGTTGTCAGCACCCGGTGCAAGGCAAGTAATTTGCGCCCCCTAACCCGGGACAAGGCAAGTAATTTGTGCCCCCTAACCCGGGGCAAGGCAAGTAATTTGCACCCCCTAACCTGCCACCGCTGCCAGCTTCTTCTTGCTGCTGCCTGGGCTGGTCTAGTGTGGTTCTCTCCCGCGCTCAGTGCTGCGCTGGACGGCCGCTGCACTGTCCCTGCCCCAGATAGTCCCTCACTCTCTCTCCGCACTGCACGCCTGGCACCCCCCCCTCCATAGTGGGCGAGTGGGCGGCGACCCAGCGGCTTGGATCGGATTCGCACAGCCAGCACTGCAGTGAGAGAGCATGAGTGAGCCAGGTAGGGGCAGAGAGCTGCGAGTGCGAGCGCGCCCCCTCCCCAGATGTTGCGCCCGGTGCGGCCGGCACCCCCTGCACCCCCCACGCTATGCCACTGATTGTGATATACTGACATATCACGATGCCTGAAATAAGGATGGAGCTATGTAGAGACACTGGCTGGCTTCACCATTTCCCCCACATTGCGATTTTTGCTGGCACCTGCTCTTGTGATTCGCTGTCCCTACAGGAGGCAGGAGAGAGCTGAGCTGGCAGAATTAACAGGGGCTGCAGGAATCGAGAGAAGCATTGGCTGGCTTCATGGTTTTTCCCACACTGCGATTTTTGTACAGTGCACACACGTAATGATTCACAATATATTGCCAGGTCAGATCTGGTTAGATGAATTCCACCCTAAGAATGCATTGCTTATTTTTTGAGAATACAATGACTGTAATATGAAAATAAATTAATTTGTTTTATTAATCAACTAGCAGTAGCTTTGTTTATTGAAGTGTTACCTTAGCCTATGTATCCGTCGGTATTTAAAAAAGGAATTTAAGGGTTTGGCAATGAGGAAATAGATTTAAACTAAGGTTGCCTTTTAACAGAGCGTCAATTAAAACTAGTAGGCAGGTTGTTGTTGTTGTTTTATAAGTACTGAATATGGTTTTAAAATATTAGAACCTTTCAGATGCAATTTTTCACTAATCAAAAATAATCTGAGCTAAGACTCCATTTGAAAGTACTTTTATATTATACTGTTTCTGGTATAGCTAGAGTTATGCTCCATTTTTATCCTATACAGATTTTGAGATTTCAGAAGAAAAGATTAAGAAGATTTCAAGCCGAGATGAGCTTCAAAGTAAACTTTTACAACAATATCTTTCCTACAAAGTATTTAAATAAAGATGTTATATATGCAAATGGAGAGAACATTCTGGCTGCACCACAAATTCCCAATGTATTTTTAAAAAATCTGCTTAGCATAAACTGTGAAGACTGATTTGCTGCTAATGAAGTGTACTCAGATATTCAGCTGCTGGCTTGTTATCAAGACTGTAGCAAAGGGAAATAACACTGGTCAACAACAAATTTGTTGTCTGCGTTTTTTCAGTTGATTTAGGATGAATCTGATGTGCTGAATCCAAAAATCACATTGGTTTTGCTCAATCAGGTCAAGTTTTTGAGCTATGGCCACATGTGTTTTTTTGACGTTTTTGTTCACATGTACGCTTTTAGAAGAAGTTGGTGGGGGTAAAATGCCATGTCGAATAATTGTTTGGAAATGATTATTTTAATGACAAGAAGTATTCATGTCTGATAGTTCTGGGTGATTATGTCGAAAAGGGGATCAGTTTGAAGTCATAAAACCTCAACATCTTCCATAAATTGGTGCGGCAAAGCATAAAGTTGGGGGATCAAAACTAAGTTAATGGGGCAGCCGCCCCACGAAGTATCCTGATCTTCAATCAGCACGTCGTCCTGTAGCTCAGTGTGATGAAATTCCAGTGTCTTCGGAGAACTTTCTGACATTAGTGACGAAGATGCCTCCAGTGTTGAAGGACATGAAGAAGAAGAAGTGGTTCTTGAAGATGATGCTCCACATCCATTTCCCCAAAAGCAGTTGAATGATCTAGTTCGCGACCTCAGCTTGTCAAAGGACTCTGCCGAACTGTTGGCATCCAGATTGAAGGAAAAAAACCTCCTCTCTGACAGTGCTCGCATCAGCTTCTTGCGCAACAGGCATCAAGAGTACCTCCGTTTTTTCTCGGAAGAGAAGGACTTGATGTACTGTGCAGATATTGCGCAGCTTCTGCTCAAGCTTGGAGTGCCACAGTACGAACCCAAAGATTGGAGACTGTTCATTGACAGCAGCAAGCGATCACTGAAATGTGTTCTGCTACACAACAGCAACCAGTTTGCCTCTATACCCCTGGCTCACTCGGCTACACTGAAGGAGAACTATGAAGCGGTGAAGTATGTGCTGGAGAAAATTGGTTATAATCAGCATAAGTGGTTTATTTGTGTTGACCTGAAGATGGCGAACTTTTTGTTGGGACAACAGTCTGGCTTCACCAAGTACCCATGTTTTCTGTGCATGTGGGATAGTAGGGACCGTGCTCAGCATTAGACGAAGAAGGACTGGCCTGTGTGGGAGGAATTGGTGCCTTGCAGAAAAAGGAATGTCATCAACGACCCTTTGGTGGACAGAGATAGAATACTCTTCCCACCGCTGCACATCAAGCTCGGCTTAATCAAGCAGTTCACCAAGGCTCTGGACAAGGATGGTGACTGCTTCACTTACTTGTGCCAGGCTTTTCCGGGATTGACCATGGAGAAGTTGAAAGCTGGCATCTTTGACAGTCCTCAGATCCGCCAGCTCATCAGAGATCCAGAGTTCGGAAACTCAATGAACGAAGTGGAACTGGAAGCGTGGAAGGCATTTGTTCTGGTAGTGAAGAACTTTCTTGGCAACAATAAGGCCAGAAACTACGCAGAACTTGTCAACAACATGCTGACTGCTTTCAGAAACCTGGGCTGCAACATGAGCGTCAAGATGCACTACCTATTTTCACATATGGATCGGTTTCCTGAGAAACAAGTGACGAGCAGGGGGAGAGATTCCATCAGGTCATGAAAGAGATGGAGACCAGGTATCAGGGTCGCTGGGACGCAGTCATGATGGCTGACTACTGTTGGACTCTGAAGAGACACCTCCCTGCTGCTGAGCATTCCTGAGGTTCCAATAAACGGAAGTTCAAGCCCTGAAGTTTGAAAAATGGTGAAGCAACATGCAATTTACGTGTACTTACCTTTATCAATGCCCACCATTTAGTTTACAGTAAACCTGACCTGATGGAGAGAAACGGATGCCATTTCCTGATTCAGCAGTGCAAAAATACCCTAAATCAGTTGTAGAAATCTAGACAACATTCAAAAAGTAAAAAATTGTTGCCCAGTGTAATCAGTCATTAGAAAAGAATCCAGATATAGTCATGATTTCATAAGTCGTAAGAATGCCAAAGCAACAAGCTCCATGAAGTAGCAGCTATTTTCCAAATTATGACTCAGAAAGGGCTTCCTCTAGAAGATGAGACTTTAGAGGAACAATTAACAACTAAAACTGATCATACTGGTTGCTTACAGTGTCATTAAGGAGATGTATACTACTGCTTTATGATCTCTGTCCAAGGGAGGCCTGAATACTGTGATAGCAGATTGACTACACAGAGCAATATGAAGGTAGCCAAGCAGTTCCTCCTGTTAATGGTTTGAGATGGCAAATTTTAGAAATGTACCCACCCTGCCACACAGCTGAGAATGTTTATGGGCAATTAGAATAAAGAGAATACTGTTATTTTTTTGATCCCCCAAAGTGTATAAAATCTAGTACAGAGGTGCTCAACTTAATGCTTAAAACTTCAGCACAAAGTTTCCAAAGGATAACAGCTGCAGATATTTGAGAACACAAATTAAATAACTATTGATTGTCAAGAGGGTATTATTTTGAACCTGGAACAGAAACATAATGACAGAGAGAGCTGTAAAAAAGGATCAATGGGATAGGAATGGGGAGGAGGGAAATAATGCAACTCTTGAACCATATTTGAGATGTTATTCTTTGCTCTTACATGTCTGCAGAGGATTTTATTTTTTAAAGGATCAATCAGGAGTAAGATTATCTTTTTTAAAAGTGAACACAGCATGTATGGCAATGAAGGCAGGGAGCCATTATTCCCCCATATAAGTTTAAAATAGGAGAAAGCATTTTCCTCTTTTGGCCTCTATGTAAATATTTGATTAAGCATTGTTCCTTCTAAGGCCTAGCAGTCTGGTTACTGTTTACTGCATCTAAAAAAAGCAAAATGTACTTGAAATTCTGGTGTTGTATAAATAGAACAGTGAGCACAGCAATGATGTAATATTTTTCCACACAAGTGGGAATGACCTATATGACTCACAAAAGGGATCTGCCCTCTTGTGAATTATGCACCATTCCTGCTTTAATGACAAGACTGTTTTGTCGCTGCCAACTTTGGCAAAAAAAAGGGGGAGGGGAATGTATCCCTGAGATGGCAACAGAAGTTAAACAGAAAACTATTCAGTGTTATATACCAAATATATTTAAGCAGTACACTATTGGTTCAAATTTTTTTTTATCGTGGTGGAGAAAATTATCTGTGTGATTCTGGAAAGAAATGAAAACACATTTATAACAGAAGGTGTGCATTCTATCTAAAAAAAGGGTATAACCAACAAAACTAACTACAAAGCCCATCAGTTCATTGAAGATGTCCCAAGTATTGCTGCTAGTAGGTATTCTTCAGGGATTTTTCAAATATTGTTAATCATTATTTTTTACTGATGGTATTTCTTAAAAAAAGAAACTATGATTGAAGAGACTAAAAGCCACATAGGTGCCACATAAACTGCATAGTACCCCAAGCAGTAGAGAGACAGAAATGGTTGTATGTCTTATGTTTCAAACCTAGACATAATGAGAGAGAAGAGCAGAAGAGCAAAGCTATGAAGAGGCATGGAAAACAAAAAAGGTTGTAATGGTTCAAAGGAGAAGGGACCTTGCTGGAGAGAACTAATGGAGGTGTCAGAACATTGATGCAGTCAGCAAGGCAGGAGCCTCCGAGAGGGGGAAGGAAATCAAAGTGTGATTAAAGGTGGCCAGAGAATAGGAAGTAGCAATAGCCAAGAAGAAAACAACATGAAACAGAGCATTAGAAGTAGAGATTGAAAGGACAGATATTGGCAATGCTGTTAAGAGAGAGGAGTTAGGGTTTGGCAATAAATGAATTCTGCAGGAAGGGGGGGTGGGGAGAACACAAGGCTAAGTGCCTGGGCAAAGAGGCTGGATAGTATTGATAGGAATGGGGGGGGGGAGTTTTGGAAGATAGCCAAGACATTCTATTTTGAGCATGTTGATCTTGAAATGTCAGTGAGTCATCCAGGTTGAAGAGTCAGGGGCAATTTCAAATCGAGATTTTAATTTACTTTATAAAAGAGGATGGCACTCTTCCAGAAGGGAAAGAAACTGCTTTCACGGAGTTGCCCTTTTACTCATTTCCTTATACTGCTCAAGTAGTAATACAGAAATATATTTGGATTAAGTACAAATACAATAATACAATGAGCATCCCTGCGTCTTCAATACACACAAGATGCATATGGGGCAACATACAAAGTGGCAAATGTGGAGAAGAGTGCCTGTTTTTATATGTGTGCTTGAAGTGCAGCAGTACAAAAAGCCACGATTGGCATTATATTATTCTGTGGCTACTGCTGCTCAGTCCTTAGATACTGGTGTTCGCTTGCTATAAGGTGAAGACATATCCCTCCATGTACTAATTTTATCACTACTTTAGGATTCTTTATTTAGAGAAGTATATGACTAATCAGTTCTCAGTCTAGAAAGTTTATTCACACCAGTAAATGCTTTAAATGAATAAAACACACTTCTATCAATAAAAAACATTCTGGCATTTTCAAAGGAAAGTTAGCCTGGCTACTATTAAAATAAAAAACCTATATACACCTACAGCACCCAGCCACTCATCATACAACACAATAGGAACCATAACTTCTGAGATGCTGCTAGAGTTGCTTATTAAAAAAATATGATCTTAAACAGATTGTTAAATGAAGTTAGATTTAGAAACAACTGTCATCATGGGCCAGTACACAACTCCACCTTTTTTTCAGTTTCTGCATATTCCAGTTTTCTTAATCTACTAGTAAGTTAGCAAGAATTTTATTTTATCTGTAGAAGGCTTTTGTATACCAAGAGGCCAAAACTTAAGTGATTAAGAAAACTTCACATGAACTGCAAAAGAATACATTAACAATATTTAGAACAGAAATCTGAAATCCTAAACCTGAAAACACAGGGGGAAAAAACATTTTAAAATGCATGGCAGAAAAGAAAAATCAAATCACATTTCCATGAATCTAGGTGATCACTGAAGAGGAATTTAGCTCTGCACAAAACTGTTACCCAGAACAGAAAGAGTTGAATAGTCAGTTACTTCTGCAATTGTGAAGTTCAGTGAAACAGATACCAATTAGAGGATAGCATTAAGACAGCAAGTTAGAATTCTGCATCGTGGATTGGTGTGTTGGCATTTTGTCTAACTTTTTGCTACATAAACAGTGCACAAGGTTCTAAGAACATTTAAACAGGAGCACACAATCCAATGGAACTTGTCCAAATTGTTAATTAGGTAATGTGCTGCCATCTAGTGACTGGTGAAATGACCAGACCTCCTATTCAAGAGTAAAAGTTCTAAGATATCAACTTTACATTTTGGTTTGTTTCTAGAGTTTTATAATACTTCATTTAAAATTGCTAGTAACAATTATACAAACCATAAATGGTAAAGTTACATATGGTAAACTATAAAATGTTCTCTCTCTTTTGTTTCATTGGCGTTTTCTGCAAAGAAGTACTGTAACTGTCTAGAGTTCAGTTTCACACCTCAAAGGTTTCTTTTAAAAGTTTCCCAGTTTGAACGTTGGCTCCTCAGCTCCTCTTTTTAGTGTTCCTTAGCTTTTGTCCCCAGCCACCCATCACAACCAGAACCAATAATATGTTTCATAAGTGAGCACGTGAACAACTGCAGACAGCTTGTAGCTGCACCAGAAGATATGCAGTCTGGAGTATGAATTCAGCACTGGGATTCGAAAAAGAACAGAACATAATGCATCGTTTTCTCTCACACACCAACCAACTACAAAAATGGAATTCTCAACCAGAAGAGGCAGCAGTTCCTTTTGAGCTTCTAACTTCCCAGAAGTGCACCCACACAAATCCAATGTCAGTATCTATGCCAGAACTGAGTAATACAACTGAAGGTGATAAATAAAATTTAAATGGTAGACCTTAACTGCAGATACCAGAGACTTAACCATGGACCAGATAAAAAGAATGTGCTCTACCATAACAGGATGGCCTTTCCTTATGTAAGTTGCTATGGTACTAATGCTTTAAGCATCTAAGAAATTGTGTTCAAATACACGAGAGGTGAGAGGAAGAGCACGCCAAACTCTGCCATCTGTCAAGGGACTAAAGGCACTAGCAACTCCTCTAAGAAAGAACATAATGGCAAGAGGGAAAACTAGCCTGGCACTATCCATTGACCTAGGGAAGAGAAGAAGCCGGGAGCTTGGTATACGCACAACAGCCAGGGTCCCTTACAGAACTTATCTACAAGCAACAGAAGAACACCCCTGGTCCTCACTAGATATAAATGCTTATTGAATTACAGCTTGTTCTGGCATTGTTCTGACCTCCCTCCTCTACCTTTTCCCTTGACTTCTGTTTAGTGTTGCATGTGTAGGTGTGTTTTGGTAAGCCTCAGGGAAGGGCCTGCCACATTGACTACCACCACTTTGGGATACAGTATTTCTCTCAAAAAGTGAAATAAAAAATAATTTTAAAAAGCCAACGGAGGCCTGGATGAAACCTACGTATGTTATCAGTCATTAATTTTGTTCCAGGATTAGAAGAGGAAGTTCTGTTTGGCAGTGTCAGTTTTCTCATTTTGATAATAAACTGAACGGATGTTGAAAATGAAAGTGGCATTTAAATAGGAGAAGCATGGAGAGAGTCCTAGAAAAACCAAGTCGTACAAACAGATAATTGTTTAAAGAATGCCCTTACCAAAGAATACTTAGTTATACATACTTACAAAATCAACACACTTCTGATGCATATTAATATAGTTCTTTAGAGTAGTGGGTGGAATGTATTGAGGCTTTCAATATATACTTTGCTTTCTATTAAAATCCCAAGGTTTACCAACCACACTCAGGTGCAAGCAGTGGCTCATCTGTAGAAAAGAGCATCCAGCAGATGCTCTCTGGTAGAAGGAGGACATCAATTACTGCTGCTATTAAATAATAGTCAGAAAGTGTTGCAAAGTACACAGTTCTACCAGTAGATTCAAATCTGCGTTTGGCATTCTCCTGCTTGAGAGTCTTCACAGCACTTCACATACTTTCTCAGAAGTCCTGTATGACATGCCAGTGTTATCCCTTTACAGCAGGAATAACAGTGCTTGCTTATAGCCACCTACTAAGTGATGGATATGGGATTTGATCCAGGGATTTGCCTGTTCAGACTCAACCATCATGGGTGGCTAACCAGGTGTCACTGGGACAATTCCCTGACCACTGGCCAACATCATCATCTGAAGGGCCACAGGTTAGCCATACCTGCACTACACTTTACCAGAACTGGATGCCATGGCTAGGTCTGTGTAGGTCTCATAATTCCACATGCAGATTTGGTTCAGCAACCTGTATTTACAGATGAGCACACAGGTGGTTATTAAATGCAACAACCAATCAGAGCTCTACTAGCACAGCAAGTCATGCTCCCATTATCACCCCAAGAGTTACCACCTCAACTCCTTGCTTATATACTGAAGTAAACAACTACAACGTGGAATGCTCATGAGGCAGTATCACTCAGCAAAAATGATCGTGATGTCATCTCCTAAAAGTGCAGGGTAGGTGGAGTCACAGCCAAGCAAATTTAGTAGAGCAACAGTTAAAATTGTTTCTAAGTAGCATGCACTGCACACGATTGGCAGCTACAGCTGCTCCTGGCCTGGGGTAGCCTGACACTCAGCACTGGTGAGCTACCAGCTGGATTACTGTTACATGGGGCTGCCCTTGAAGGTCTGGAGGCTGCAGCTAGTGCAGAATGTTGCTGCTATAATGGGACCATGTGGATACCATTTCTGCACTGGCTGATAGTTACCTACCGGGCCCAATTCATGTGGTTAGTACTACATACAAAGCCCTAAACAGCTTGGAAGCACCTAAAAGAGTATCTTCCTCCATACGTCTCAAGCCCTATGGTAGGCAGTGAAGGCCCTATTAGTGGAGCACAACAGGCTGCTGCCCAGGTGGCATTGTCCCTCAACAGGGCCTTACCAGTGGCAGTTCCTCATTTATGGAGTGCCCTCCCTGGTGAGCTTTGCCTCTCCCCTTCATTATGTATGTTCAGGAGGAATTTAGAAACATCCCTGCTGATCCAGGCTTTTGATGGTTGAAAGATACTGTTCCTGGTAACCTTGGAATTATTAGGTGTGAAGGTATGTACAGTGGTACCTCGGGTTACATACGCTTCAGGTTACATACGCTTCAGGTTACAGACTCCGCTAACCCAGAAATAGTACCTCGGGTTGAGAACTTTGCTTCAGGATGAGAACAGAAATCATGCTCCGGCGGCGCAGCAGCAGGAGGAGGCCCCATTAGCTAAAGTGGTGCTTCAGTTTCAGGTTAAGTACGGACCTCCGGAACTAATTAAGTACTTAACCCGAGGTACCACTGTAATTGTTTTTAGATGTGGTAAAATCTTTTAAATCTTTTTAAAATTTTCAGTTGTCTTTTTTGTGTTTGTGACCCAGAGCAATTTTGGGAGGACAGGCCAGACATAAATTTAAATAAAGTAATACTTATCTACATCTATTACTACTCACTAGTAGCAAGGAATTTATTTTTTTCTCATGAAGTTTAACTTATCAACCTTTTATCAGTTTCCTTCTTTAAGTGGAAACCTTGAAGAACAGCACACAGTCAATATTAAGAAACGAGAAAAGACTTTCAGGGGCAGCAGATCACCATTTCTATATTAAAGCAACACTTTAGAGAATAGAATAAATACACTAACTCATATTCTCTAGCCGCTTTCACCACCTTATTTCCAAGAGGTCTGATGTCTGTGGAAACCCCAAATCTATGCAAATTGGTAAAATTCATTCTAACTGGCAAATCCGCTCCTTCACACGTTAAGCTGTGTCAGAATGTAGAGCACTGTTTTTGAAATCTGGCCAGCATGTTGTACTCTACTGATTTCATGATGGCTCAAGTCTTTAAAAGTTATGAAGATGTAGTTATAATTTCATTATGTCTGGTTGGTTCACAGCAACCTGATTCTGCACCACCTCGAGCAGAAGTAACCAAATATTATGTCCTCCAGATGTTATTGGACTGTAATTCCTATCACCCCCAGTCAGCAACACCAGGGGTCAGAGATGGTGGGAGTTGGAGCTGAACAACACCTGTTTGTTTCTTAAAATATGATACTGATACCTGAAAACTCAAAAGGGAGCTTCTGAGGGCACCACAAAGAATGGCCTGTGAGGAACCACACCCCGCACAACTGAGAAATCAGGTAACACTCGACTGTTTCCAAAACTGTGCAGAGTCTGAGACTTTATGCTCGTAACAGGTCGGAAACTTTTGTGGCTAATCTTTTTTTGGGTCAGTGTGCAAGAGGTGGCACATGGGTAAAATACAGTGAAGTTCAGAATGTCTGCCATGTTTTTGGTAAACCAGAAAAAAATATGACGGGGCAGTTATCGAAGGTGACTAAATTAACAGGAAGTATCTGCATAAACATCTGTAGGTTACCAAGCTGTTGGTTTCTATGTGGCAAAGACTTCTCAAAGATTTGTTACAGAAGTAAATGTGTTGACTGAAGCTCTTAATGAAATATTTTGGCATTTGAAATAACATAATAAATATTATAAAAATAATATAATAACATAAAATGTTTAGAGTAAGATATACAACTACTGTAAAATTGCTCACCTACGACTAGTCCACATTCTGGACAGATCATATCTCCAGCTCTGTAATCTTCCACCAAAATGGAATCTGGATGGTTCGGACATGTCACTCTTGGCAGCACATCCACCCTTAAAAACAAATGCAATATTTTAGCTTTGTGTGACAACTCACATTAAAAACCATGTTTATGTGAATAAGTGTAAGCCGTTCAAAGCATATGGGAGAAACGCTTCCAACTAAGTCACTACCCCCAATGAGTCCTTTATTTTAAACAAATATGTACACACATAGTTCACAGAACTAAAAATACATTTGAATAGGTGTAGACCACTTGCCATTATATTTTATGCAATTTAGAAAATGAGTTATATAAGGGGGAAGTGCTAAAGAGAAGACAGGAATATTATGAAAACCCTATAAGACCTCATTTTAACAAATCTGGAGGATTACAAAATAACTGATAAGCAGCATTTATTTCAAGAGGAAAACGTTATCCGAATTCATCTTGATCATGCAAAATATTTGAAGTTTTACTAATTTCTAGTGATCTTGTAAAATGCATTAGAATGTTTTCGGAGTTTTAAATGAAACTCAAAATGTGACATGACAGGATATAATTTGCTGTATGTTATATATGCAATTACTTCCTTGGTGATTTGAAAGAAGCTGATAAACATGGCATGAAATTGGTGACGAATCTGTTTGCCTCAAAGACAGAAATAGCCCTGAAATTGATATCCCAACTATGCTTAGTAATACCAACTATTGCAGCTAGCCATTCACCTTGACAAATCTGTTAAGTGGCCACATACCACTGTGGTCAACTTGTAACAAAAGCAGCAGACCAAAACTTAAATATAAGTATCAGGATACCTCAGGGCTGTTTTCCTAGTAAAAGAGGTGCCAGAACTTGTCCTTTTTTAGGGGGGAGCACCCAGCCAAAGTTGTTGAGCCTCCAACACACAAAACAGAGTGCTGTGCTGTCCGCAGCCTCTGTCGCAAAGCCCCAAGTGCCATGCTGCCGTGGCGCAACACTACAGAGCTGCCAGAACACACCAAAGAGATGCCAAAACTCAGTTCCGGTGAATTCCGGCTGAAAAAAAAAACCCAGTTCCAGTGAATTCCAGCTGAAAAAAAAGCCCAGGGATACCTCCCTGTAATAGTTATACCATCAAAAAGTGCAAGTTCACCAGACAAGAAATCCAGATTGCTACAACATGCCCAGTGGGATTTCTAAACTTTGAACAGAAGCTCCTCCACACAGAACCACATTCTCTGTTCTTAAAATGGCTATCATGAAGTAGATGAGCACGAAGCAGGAAGCAGGAGTGCAACTATTATTTAAAACAAATATGCTAAATACACTCCCACTTAGCACGTGAGTGAGTCACATAGATGTCAAAACATGTTGAATATCCAATCCTCTGTATTTATGAACTTAGAAGCACATTAGCAGGGTGTAAATTAGACTGGTTAATGTTAATATAAGAGCTATTTTACCTAAATGTATGTCCCTTTACCTTTACCTTTATGTATACAGTACTGTGGTGGTGCTTTTGTTGCTGCTGTTTTAAGTTCAATAAGGGATACTTGGGCATTCTTGTGATGCCTGTGGTTGGCTTTAATGCTATATACTTGTTCTGAATATTGCCTTGTGATGGCCTACAGCTAAACAATACAAATATTGTATTATGACCAAAGATATGTTTTGTGGAAGGTATGGCTGTTGGTTGCATTTTAATTCCCTTCCAAAATAGAGTCCAACTCAGAGGTTTTCTTTTCTACATAGTTTAAAAATGGGCCAAGCTTTCAGATAGTCCGTAACAAATTTGTCATATCAATGGCTCCCCGGCAAACTCTTGTTGCAATACAGTGCTTAAGTATAGTACAATATTTATGCCACAGAGTGTCAATTTAGGAAATGTTTCATTCAAACATCTTTAAACAGTAGCCTACTTTCCTCAAGGTCAGACTGCCTCAAACTTACAGCTGCTATCATCTAAATTGTTTAACTAATCTAAACACAGCAGTTATCTTCCCTTGCGGTAGTCTATAATAAGCTCAAAAATTATCTAAACAAGATGCTCTTTAGGAAGTGAAAAGGGAAGAAAGCAGTCTTACGGAAAGTCAATAAACAGAATTGTATGGTCCAAGGAAGACTTGAAGTAATTGGCTTGTTAAAGGGAGAAAACAGAAACTGTGGCATAAAACAATTCAGTCAGGAGCCTTCCTTGGTATCCCCAAAGCAACCAGGACACTGTCAAAATGTTTGCTCAGACCTGTTGCCCTCCAGTCAGCTGAAAATGACAGAAGGCACATCTCATGGACTTTTTTCCTTCATTTTTAAGTCTGGCAGTGGGTTGTGGAGAAAAGGAAGGAGTGGCAAGAATATCTCAGCACATTCAGGCCTTCGTTGCCAGCGGGCAGCTGGACCTAGCAGGAGGACCCTGCTCAGGGTCTTGGGGTTTAAAAAAAAAAAATTCTGATGGGGGGAGAGAAGCAGTGGGCATATTCCTGCAGCCAGGTGGACCTGGCAGTGAACATTTTATTCATCCTGTTCAGAGCCTTCGTGTGTGTGTTTTAAAAATGCCTGTTGGAAAGGTTGGGGGATAGACCCATGCACTCCCATCTGTACTTTCTTCACCTTGTTCAGGGTTTCATCTTGAAAAAAGAAAAGCCTAGAAGCAGCATTGGCTGGGGAGGGGGACAGGTGGAGGGGATATCTTCAAATTTTGTGTTATGCCACAACCCCATGGCACCACTTCCTCTGAAATCAAAATCTGCTCACTGTTCCAATAAAGTTGCCACCTGCTGGTTAAAGTGTTTCAGCCCAAGAGCCTTATATTATCATGGGGGGGGGGGGTTGTGAGGGGCCCTGCTCTAGTTTTGGATTTCCTGCACTGACCTGTATCATCCACAATGCTTAGGAATTAGCACTAAGCTCATAATCACAAGTTGTATATACACCAGACAACAAACTGGTAGAGCAGGCACAGGAAAAGAGCCAACCCAAACTGCTAGAGGGGAAAATAACATTTGGCCACACCATTTAGCACTAGTTGGTGCAGATAGTGTCAACGTCAGTAAATTAGTAAGTGAATTCCATGTACAAAATGATCTGTTTCATGTTACTAGTCTAGGCCAATTGCAAATCACCTTACTAATCTAGGCTAACTGCAAATCTGGAAAGCAAGTCTAAGTAGTCAGAATGTTGCCCAACAGAGAACTTTCATGGGTGTGCAACTTAACAGTATGTCCCCTGTCTCACAGAAGAGGATTGCAAAGAGTCATAAAGATCCTTCTAAGTATGGTATATCTGATGAGGCCAGCCTTCACTCTGAATACACTGGATTTTAAAATGTCAACCTGAACAAAATTAATAAAGCAACCCCAAACTTCCTCTCCTCATCCCTCCAAACCTTATCCAACTTCAAAACAAAGCATTACAATGCAGGATTAGAAAAAATAACAGTAGGATGTTGCAAGAGTGGGAGACCCCAACAGACAGCATACAGACAGGACCCAAAACAGCTCTGCTCACACAATTGCTTCCCCAAAAATGTATTACAAAAGCAACTTTAGATCCTAATGTTACAACAAACATTTGCATATACTCTGCATATAGAAATATCTTGAGGGTGAATTTCCAGCTCTGCCAAAGAGCCATCATCCAAACAAGCGATTTCCTCAACACAGAAACGTGAGGCCTAGAAATCAGGTGCAGCCACCCAGAGCATGGCTCCAGGTAAAGCAAGGACTCTTTGGAGATGCCAGCTGCTGTCCCTATGAATTGAGCGCCACATTAAAAACATTAGCAGTGTATCTCCCAGTTCCTGCTCACCAAGCTGCAAGCTAAGGAGGCCCCATCCCAAGGTCAGCTGGCTATCCTGGGAACTCCCCTCAGCAGGAGTGGCTAACCTATGGCCTTCCAGATGTGAGCTGTAGCTCAGCAACACCTGGAGGACTGAACAGCAGGCTTGCTCCCAGCATGCCCATCAGATTTCACCCTAACCCTACTGAGATTTGCCTGCCCAGCCCTGCAGCTTTACTGCATCCTTCCCAGTATTGGCAAAGAATCGGGGTGCCAACATAAGTGCAGTCAGGATTTTTGTTGGGCCTTTTGTTAGGGCGGGGACAGAACCTCAGTTTGCTATGTATTTTATTGATTGGGGGGGCCAACATATTTTTAAGAAAAATCTCAAAGCAGTTTACAGCGCATTAAAACATCAATAAAGCAATCCAGAATTAAGCATTACTTAATTACGTATTAATAATGTATACCGTAAAAGCAACATAATAGGAAACTAAAATATTATCTTAAAGAGTTCAAAATAAAATGTTACGAAGGTCAACTACAGAATACAAATTTAACAAAGTTAACAAAAAAAAAATCTTAAACATTTCAAAAGAAAACATTGCTAAGTTAAGTCAAATATAAAACGCACAATTAACAAGAGAATAAAATATTGTAAGCGTGACACGGCACACGTCCACCATTTGAATGGGAAGGCCCATCAACTTTGGGGGAAGGGGAAGGCCCCCTCAAAAAATATTTTACTGGAGGGGCCAAAGGGACCTCAGCCCCTAGGAGTTGTCTCCTAGGCAAAGAATCACCCGCCACTTGAAATGTGGCATTGCTGCGAAACCAGTTTTGGGGAGAAAACTAAATTGTCTAAAACTAAATTCAGCGTGGCAATGATTTGGAAAACCAATAAAAATTAATTTGGATGGGGGTGGGGAGAGAGAAAATAATTGTGGTATAGCAATTCACATGGTTTTGGTGGGGGAGTCAAAAGTTGCCTACACGCCATATGGGGGGTGTTCGGAGTGCTGGGAACTGTAGCTCTACCCTGGGCGAACTACAGTTCCCAGAATCCTTTGTTTTGGGCGAGTCAAAAGCTGCCTACACGCCATATGGGGGGTGTTCAGAGTGCTGGGAACTGTAGCTCTGCCCTGGGCGAACTACAGTTCCCAGAATCCTTTCTGGGGGGCGGGGAGCTGCTTTCAAGGCACCGTCCGTTTAAACGGGGCTGGTGAAGAAGCGCTGGCGGCCTGAGGCGTCCCAATCCGCGTCCTCCACCACCACCTGAGGCCACCGGGGCGTCTGGAAAGCGAGCAGCGTATCCTTGGCGGCGGAGGCGGGAGTGGGCTGAGGAGGAAAAACCGAAGGCCCCGCGGAAAAGGCCGCCGCCCAAGCTGAGGCGGCCGGAGGAGAGCGGCGAGCGAGGTAAAGGGAGACCGGATAGGGCAACTGGAGGCGGCGGGCCTACCTTCCCCCTCAGAGGAGCCCAAGCCGCGGCTTCAGGCCGCTCTCCTTCCCCCGCCGCCGCCGCCACCCCGAGCCCGGACGCACCCCTCTACCCTTTTCCCTGCTTTCCTATATCTAGAGAAGCGCCCGGCAACTTGTGCTACTGACCGGCTGGTGGACGCCATCTTCCTTCCTCCCCTTGCGCGCGGCCGGGGCGGGCCGACGGGCTTTTATGCTTTCGACGGCTCGGTGGGCGGGGCTTCGCCGAGGCCGCGGCTACGGGTAGCCTAGCGGGACAAGAAAGCGTTGGCTTTCGCGGCGATGCTCAAAGGCGGGGGAGAGTACGTAGGTGCGTCCTGGTTAGGATGGGAGGCGGTAATGGGGTTGCCATAGGTCCTCTTTTCCCAGGACGCCTCCTCCTTTCCATGGGTAGAGTCGTCAGAGCCATCCAGTTAAAAGTAGAAGGTGGCAAATGTGCCCTCTGTTTTTCCTAAATGTTCCCCATTAATAAATTCCCTTTTTTTTTGTTAAAAAAAACAAACCGTAGTTTTAACCCCACTCTAGCATGGGCGTAGTCAGGATTGGGGGGGGGCAGAACCTCACATTTGTATTGGTTTTTATTGATGGGGGCAGCTGCCCCCCTCAACTTCTCCCATGCCAAAACTGCTCCCTAAAATTTAATGTTTTTTAAAAAACTCACCCTCGGGCTTGCAATCTGTGACACATAAGGAGAAAGGGGTAGGGCAGGAGGAAAAAGCAGGTGCAAGTACTACTAAGAATTTTTTACTTTATAACCAGCAGCTGGGTTGGAAACAAACGCAGGTGAAATTCAGAGAGCATAGGGCGGCTCCTTTCTTAACAAAGGTGTTGGCGTAGGGCTAACTCAGAAGTGTGACCAATTTCCCCAGTCTGAAGTGGTGCAAGGCATTATTTCACCTGGGGACTTCACCATCTCTCAGCGATCTGGTTAGACCTGAGCTCATGCAACACTTGGTTGCAACATAAAAGCCAATATAAAAACACAAAATACGTAATAAAAACAAACAACCCGAAACAAGCCCTAGCACATATTGAACTATAATCTGACCATGATGTTGCCTTCTTAGTCCCGTAACTATTATTTCTGGGTGTTTCGTAAGCTGCATTAGCAAAATCAGATGAATGACAAAACGCGTCTGTTCCGACTCTTGTCAAATCCCCTGCCAACAGAAGTTGTCAAAAGCAAGCTCTTGTTGACCTTTTCCACTCATCATCTGAAGTTACAAATTGTCAATTAGTAAAAAACGAAATGAAACAAAAAAATCCTTTCCTGAAATCAAATATCACATTTTTCTGTGAGGTTACAGTGGGTGACAGGGCTAGGAGAGCACTATTGTTAAATGATATCTAATTTTATTTTATACTGTATTGCATACAATATTGATTAACTGTCCTGTAACAATTTCTGAGCAGCACTGCAGAATAAAATTAAGCAACTTTTAAAAAAATCAGTAAAGCTAGAAAAAGTAAATATTACATGGCATATTACATCAAGCTTACAAAACCATTTCTATCCATTTCAGTTTGTTTTGATAATCCAAAGTTTTAGATATAAAACTCTCAAATTCTGAAATAAGGGATGGCTGGCAGTTCTGTGCTTAGCTGGAATTATATGCAAGGCTCACTCAATGCAAATGCAATTGCAATGGGATTTACTGTCCTGTGGTTTGTGTAGGATTTAACTTTGTGTCCACAGGTATGTGACATATGTTCATCTTCTCCAGACCACAATACTACCCTGAGGCTAGAATCTTATGCACGCTTATGAGATAAGTCTCAGGTAAGTATAGATTTAAAAGAAACATGCAGGATGTACTTACCTGGGAGTAAACAGGTACAGAGTACAGTGAGACTTACTTCTGAGTAAACAGGCATACCTCACTCCATAAGGTCTACAATCCTATGAGGTTACTTTGAAGGATGGTCAACTGAAATCCTTCCAAACATGCACACAATCAGGCTATAAACCTGTTTTAAGATTAGTCCTATGAAGCTATCATTTCCAAATTTTCTTTATTAGCTCTTCTTAAATTGAGCAGAGGGAGGGGAGTAGAATCTGTTTCTGTAATCCTGTTTCTCTGGCAAGTTTAAGGAATACACTATTTTGCTTGTTTACAACATCAGTGAAAGAAAGCAGTCAATGTTTATGCCAAATTTTCACTTTTATTTATTTGTTAAATCAAATCATAGGACCTGAGCCAATGGCTTCAAGTTACAAGAAAGGAAATTCCGACTAAACATCAGGAATAACCTCGTGGTGATAAGAGCTGTTTGACAGTGGAATGGACTCCTTCAAAAGATTGTGGACGCTCCTTCCTTGGAGGTTTTTAAGCAGAGGTTGGATGGCCATCTGTCACGGATGCTTTAGCTGAGATCCCTGCATTGCAGCGGGTTGGACTAGAGGATCCATAGGATCCCTTCCAATTCTACAATTCTGTGATTCTAAGTAACATATCTAGCAGATTCCCCAGGATTGTTAATTGTAAAATAAAATGGTAAAATTTGAGGGGACAGAATTATATCCAGTTTATGCGAGATAGCGTGTGTCATTTGCATAGCTGGCAAAAAAAATATTGCTTGCCTTATTTACACAAGAAGGGGAAATGGCAAACGCAGACTCTAGAGCAATCTGACCTCTCATCTCCATAGCCATTCCCCTCTACAATCAATAGAATTCACGAAAATATACTGTACAGATCTCATTTCTTATTCATTCCGATTGCAAGGCATTATTCGTTTTTGTGAATTGTGTGCATCTGTGTGTATGCACACACACTTAATCATGAGCAATACAACTGAATGAAAAGACTGCCTGTTCCAACGCCGAGCTCCCATGCCCATCTGTGCCGCCTTTCCTCTGCTACTATGCTATACCCTTGGCTGGCCAAGCCATGTAAAGCAAGGACCCTGCCCACAAATCCACACTCAATGTCCTCATACAGTATTTTGTCTGGATTGCAGAAAGGCTGCTGTTTGACAAAAATAAACCCAAAGCGGTGCAATAAACGCATTAATAATTTGTACAAGTATAAAGTAGGTCACAGAACAGGGCTCTGGTGGATGTAGCCTGCACAAATTTTACTTCAGTGTGTTTAGAAAAGTAGAAAAGAAGATTGCTGGAAAAGGTTTCCACTGAATATTTTGGAAAACAGACTATCATTTTTACAATGTCAAAACCAGTATGTTGGCTCACATTATTAATATTAAATATCCAGCAGATGGCAGCACAGTGCAATTTAGAAAGGGTAACCTGAAATGTGACATTCCAGGTCTAGTTATAAATGTATGACTGAGCATATATTTTTAGAAATGGCAGAAGAGGTTAAGTTCTGGGTCAATCTTTCTTCCAGTTCTTCAGGATCACTTCTGCTGCATCTAAGGTGCTGTCTTTCTGTCAACAATGAACACAAAAGTTAAAAATCAGAACTGAAATATTCTTCACGTGCGTAAGACATTTTACTGCTAGAAGATTGCAAATCCACAGAAGCACACTTCTAACAACTTCATTAGGTACTTTATGTGGCATGCATGCTCACATGAGTTTGGAGCAAATACCTGGGTATGTCTACCCAGTGGCTAATTAAATTTAATTGAATTAATTTTATAATGAATGATTTTAGAGTGTTGTGTTGTGTTGTACTGTTTTATTGTTGTTAGCCGCCCTGAGCCCGGCTTCGGCTGGGGAGGGCGGGATATAAATAAAATTTATTATTATTATTATTATTAACATCTACAATGTGCCCCATTTCCCCAGCAATAAACTCTAGCTATGGTTTGGTGAGGTTGAGATGCACTCAGAGACACCTAGTCCCCCACTCCTATGACAATACAGCAGTTGGCACCCAGCCAATCTAGTTGTCAATCTGTGGAGCAGAAGGAAAGTTTAATTATCATCACATCCCTGAAAAAATAAAGGGAAGCCAGCATATCATGGCTCACAGCATGAAGTAGAGGCTTCCTAGTTAAAAACTCAGCTCATTCACAAACTGCTACCCACACTGGCCTAGGTTTCAGGACTATTAGGAATCCTGGGCTGTGACTATTTAGAAAAAGCACTATGTAGATCAGGAGTGGGCAACTTGTGTCTCTTGACCTAATTTCATGTGGGTGGAAGGAGGAAGAAAATGGGGAGGGAAGAGGATGACGGGAGTAAATGAAATTAATTTTAATGATATCCAGATTTGTTTCCAGATTACTCCTTGATGGAGAAGAGGTTGCCCACCTTGATGTAAAATATGATCATACCCTAAAAAATTATTATTAGGAGCAATATCAAAAAGTTATTTAAACTGCTTAAAAGTGAAAGGAGAAGATATAAGTTTTGGTACTAATAGAAACAAACAGCCCTGCTAAGACTTAAAACATTTAAGCTTGATTTAAGCACATGCTATAGAACTTACTTTGATGAAGCAAAACCGTATGTACTTTTCAAACTGTTCTTTGGTCTCAGGGCCGCAAAAGGAGGTGAGAGGAATAGCTGACAGTTTCTTAAAAAAGCACAAAGCACAATTGCATGCTCAGCAGGTACGTTAAAACAGCTTAAACCTTAGCTCTTGGAAGCTCTAGTAACTGTATCTTTGTGAGAGTTTAAAGGTTGCGGCCCAAGAGCTTAATTAAGGTCACATCACACATTAACAAAATTCGCATGTGCAAAATACAGCACTGTACTATCATGGATGAACATTTCACACGTGGGAATTTTTATGTGCACGGTCTGGGAAGCAGAATTAAGCTACAAACAGATTGCCGCAACATTTCCTTCATTGCTTCAAGTGCTTTCCATGTAGGAATTCTGCAATGTTGCATTCTGGAAGCACCCTGGGCTAGCAGTTTGCCCTCATCTTCCTAGCAAAGGAGCTGATCTTTAAGTAGTGGTTGTGTCTAGGCCACAGACTAGCCTAGCAGAGGCAAATCCCACAGAGCAGATGTCAGTAAAGGGTTTATATCTCTGCTGAAGCAGGGAAGAGATCTGCAAGCCTAGCAATGGGTATGCAGCCTTCCAATGAGCACACAATCCCCTACATCAGGGCCACCTGTTTTACAGTCTCACTTAGATGTTAGAATTAAAGACACAGTTGAGCAAAGAGTAGGAGGGAGAAATAAAACCAATCCTTACCTTAGATTTTATCATCCATTTAACAAATTTATAATCGTAAGGTTTATCTTTTTCCATGTCAGACAGATCTACATCTTTAAAACAAAAAGAAGAGGTAAAAAACACCTTAAGAGCTGCAGTTTTTCAAAAGAAAGGCATTACCCAGTATGGGCACTACAGCAGAGATTTTTTTACAGAACAGTAGATGGAAAGGCCCCTTCATGGATCACTGCCTTGCCGTGGCAAAGGGGCTTGAATAACTCAGAGAAGCTATGAGCTATGCCGTGCAGGGCCACCCAAGATGGACAGGTCATAGTGGAGAGTTTTGACCAAACGTGATCCACCTGGAGCAGGAACTGGCAAGCCACTCCAGTATCCCTGCCAAGAAAACTCCACGGACAAAGACAACAGGCATAACCAGCATGAGTTTGACCAAACTGCAGGAGGCAGTGGAAGACAGGAGTGCCTGGCATGCTCTGGTCCGTGGGGTCACGAAGAGTCGGACACGACTAAACAACAACAACAAGATGGAAAGGATCTGGAGCCCAGGGTAAGAGCTAAAGTGTAAGATCTGCTATTTCACTTCTTTTTCCCCAGGACTGCTCCCCAGAGTACCAGGAATTTGCTCTTAAGCTGCATTCTAAGGGGAGAGCTAGACATTACGATAACAAGGGTCTGCTGCCAATGGGCACACAACCATTTTCTCTGTAATGAAAAATTCACATCATGAAGTCGTTAGCCTGTGTATTTTTCCACCCTGTTCCATATCACTGACTGCTTGTGGTGGGGGGGGTTCTTACAGATTGAGAAAGGGCAACACAAAAACAAGCTGTAATTGCTGCGTAGTTCTGCTGTAAGTGCAGTAGGACACCTACCATGTTTGTGAAAATATTTGTTACTCAGAAGAGAAAACATACACACTGTAGCCCTCCCTTTGCTCATAGTATATTTCTCCCAGCTTCAGTACTGGGTCGTCATCCCCATTCCGGCCATGGAATAAAATCTTCACTTACTTAATGTAGACACGTCAACTATCATAAAGTATCCTCCCTCTGGAACAACAGGTTTCAGCCCAACTTCCAGGAGCATGCGAGCCATTCGGTTTCGTTTGTCTTCCAGCTCTCTAGGCAAAGAATAGAAGTAGCACGCTGGGTCATCCATGCGCTTCAAGTCTATCAAAAAGGCTTGTGCCACAGCTTCCTGGAAATTCAAATCAAGAAAGGAAGGGGGGGGGACCACACATTTAAGCACATTATCAAAAAGCGGCAGGCACAAAACAGACCTTGTGAAGATTCACTTTTAATAAGAAATGCCGTATCCAAAGAAATGCTCAGATATCTAGAATCTAATTATCAGTTTTTCCATAATAAAACAGATCATTCTAGTAAAATAGAAAGTCAGTGAAGAGTAAAAATAAGATTGTCAATTGGGTTTAGCAGTCAAGGGGGGGAGGAGAAGGCAGATGGAAATTCTTCTAAAATTGCTGGCTACACATCTATCACTAAAATAGATATATTTCCTTTCAAGTATGAGATTTTAAAAAGTCAAATACCTTCATTTTCAGTGATTAATTCAGTAATGTGTATCTGATTTTTTTAATGTTTAATGCTTTAATAATGACATATAAATTATAGAGAATTTATCATTCCTTTTCCTAAATGGCTCAGGGCTGCAATACCACAAGGACTGTCTCTCCCCATATAAACTAACAAGACACTGCAATCATCATCTGAGGTCTTTCTGAGGCCTTTTTTCATGTGCCTCCTCCACGAGAGGTCCAGAGGATGGCAACACAAGAACGGGCCTTTTCTAAGTGGCTCCCTGCTTGTAGAATGCTCTCCCTGGGGAGATTCATCTGTCGCCTTCATTATACATTTCTAGGTGCCTGGAGAAAACATTACTCTTCAACCAAGCCTTTGGCTGAATAACAGTCTAGGTCCTTTTAAATGTGTTGGGGGGTATTGTGGGGGTTTTTTTGTACTTATTATTATTACGTGCTTTGTGGTTTTATTCTTGTTTTTATACTTCGGATGAAGGGCAGTATACAAATGTAATTAATTAATAAATTAATAATAATAAAAATAATAACAACAATAAACAAACACAAACAAGAATGAAGTCTACAGATCTTCCTTTCTTACCACATAGTATAGAAAACCCCAAACATTTAGGAAACATACACCTTGATCTGAAAACAATCTAGCCAAAGGATGCACAGAGACAAACATTTGCCAAACATTAACTTTCCACAGGGTCCAGGTAACCACTGTATAAGGCAGTTGTCTGTATCATCCTGCGAAGCAGTAATGAGAATTTCACTACACATCAGATGCATGGCAGTATGTATTATATACAATGGTAATCACTCATCCCAACTCCCATCACTTGAGTCTGTTGTTTTCCTGCTAATAACGGAATGTCCAAATTACTGACATTCAAATGCTAATCTACATTGGATCAACATGCTCAAGTATTAATTTCATCTGCAATTCCCACAAATAGATTCCTTATTAGTCAATTTTTAATTATGTTTAGTGGCTCAAACCTCCTACACTATCCTGCTCTTTACAATACCTTTTGCATGGCTTGGTACCTACCTGTAATGGAGTTGGGCATGTATAGAGTGTATTTTGTTGAACCACCTGCAAATGTTTTATCAGATGTTGGGGACCAACAGACCAGCCAAGCTTCAACAAAAAGAAATAAATTGTAACAAATATTTGGCTGTTTACTTAACATTTATAAAAGTTGAGAAACATGGAAATAATCACATTTTAATGTAGTAGACTACTGACAAACTTAAAGTGGGGGGGAACCCATCTCTTCCAGTTTATAAAAGATTTCTTGCCTGGCTTAGATAATTACTCCCCAAGGGCAGCGAGGTGTGTCCCTACTTAAAAGGCTGCTCTGCAATTAAAATAAATCCCTGCCAAGAAAAATGAAAATTATGTTTTCCAAAAAGGTTACAAAAATTAAGCACGGGTGCATTTATTTATCTGTGCATGAGCCTGTTTGTGGATACATATTGTATTTATAGTTTTCACAAAATAAAAATTACCAAAAGATGCACAATATTGAAGTTACAGCATGCACTTGCCTAACACTGCTTCCAAGAGAGCTACATAGCCATGCCTAAGGTATGTTTGCATACACACATGGGACTTTACATGGTTCTGTTTCTGGATGAAACCCCACATGTGTATTTTCCTGTGGTTGGGGAAGCCCCCAACATTTTATGATACCTTTTCAGTCAGGCAGTGGGGATAAGAAGCCCGAAAGAGCTTAGTGCACCTGCAGAAGTCTCCTTGTAGTTTGTTGGATCCTGGCCTGATTTTCTCATGTGAAATGTGCCCCCAGCAACCACCACCTTCTGCATCTAACATTGGAACTGGCACAGCAAGCACAAGGTCTTCAAAAAATGTGCAAACTGGAAAGGCTTGCTGCTTACAATGTACATACTGACCGCCTGTTCAAAATGTAAACAGTAGGATTTCTTAGTTCTGAGTGAAATATTCTGTCTGCATGGCATCTAGAATTTCTATAATGTCAGGGGTTAATTTTTAATACAGATTCTGCACGTGTTTCGTATAGCTTGTGCACGCTTGCAAATGATCTCCATGGTACATCAACCCAGCAGTACTTCAACATATATGATTCTTCATTTGCATTATGTCTTATTCTGTTCACTTACCTTCCAGCCAGTTACACTGTATGTTTTCCCAGCACTTCCTACAGTTACTGTTCTTTCCCACATTCCAGGCAAAGTAGCTGTGAAAAAGAAAGAAAAGGATCAAGAGTTAATTACATACGAACGGCGCTAACAAGCTTTGCCTCTCTAACAATAAATAGGTATGTTTTAATCATGCATCCTACAAAGGAACATATATTATTTTCGATAAGTATGAAGCTGGCTTCATTATGTTCAAACTAAATGGGTATGTACTGAAAGCACATTGTTCCTTTACTCACACCCTCATTCAGGCATCTTGTGGCACATGAGGGTATGTCCACACCAGAGAGAGGGCTCAGTCATTTTATCAGGTCATTCAGATGAGCTCTTTGTTGTTGGTATTGAACTGAAAGAGTAAAATTGTCCCTAAATCCCATATAACGGTGTAGCACACAAAATACACACACATCCAAAATAAAAATTAAAAAAAACCCCATAAGAGTATTTTCCTGCAACTCATGTTAGGGCGGAGGTACAGGTTATAGGTGACGCAGCATTAACTTGTGGCAGCATCAGGTTGTCCAGCCATCACTTGACATCATTGGGTACCAATGAAGGAAAACAACAAGTAATGCTATGTGCTGCAGTGATGCTATGTGCTGCAGACAAGGAGAAGGGAACACATTCTGTAATGCGTAGTTCTGTGATGAATTCCAGCCATCACCATGGGCTGCAATTACATTTAGCAAATCTAAAACAAAATGAGAGATTATCAATTTGTGGAGCAAACAGCTAGCCAACTCATTTTCAGAAGATGGCTGGGGAGTCACACAATCCATCAGGTGACTTTTAGAGTAAATATTTTGTGAAAAAAGGACAAGCACCTTCATTGTATTAAGCTACAGAAGAATAGAATGTATTTTTGTATCTGAGCAAGCACCAAGAACTATTAGTAAGGCTACATACATACATATTACCCAAATAAGCACTATGCCTGTTGAGATGCCAGAAGAATCCTTGCTTACAATATGCAATCTTTAAATCTGCCAGTGGAACTCTAATCATTAGTCACATGAAGCTCCTGTTTTGCACAAGCTAGATAAGAGAAATGACGAAGTGTTCTATACCAGAGGAAACTGCCTAGATGACAGCACAAATACTATGCTGCTTTTATGATATATCACTGGCAACCTCTATTAGATAAATATTAGAGAGCCACTACCAGATGCTGTAAATTGATGCAATATTCATTTCACATTTTTCACGAGCGATGTGTCATTTCAGCTGATGGAATACGTGAAGCTTAATACAAGAACATCTCTGCCTCTGGGGGGAGGATTTGTGTTCTCCTCTTTGCACAATCTTTATGTGCATGTTATACAAGCTAGAGAAAATAAGGTTTCTTGGGAGAAAAGAGTTCTGCTTAGTTTATAAAATAACTGTCGCTTGCCTGTAGGTTTAATGGTTTGTAGGTTTCAACAATAGATTGGAAAACAGTTTTGGGGATCTGCTTAAAAGTGAGCAAATGAAAAGGCACTGATGGCCAAATGCTATATTTTGAATCATTTAGCAGAACGTTTTGTACGTATTATCTGCTGGGTGATAAAAATGCCTGTGTCCATCAGGAATGCACTTCTCCCATATGATAAGTTGAGTATGCAACTGAAATAATAGATTTCCCCCCGTTCCTGCCAAGGTCCATTGGAGGACAGAGATGCATTAAGGCATCCAAAGTGCTCATACATAGGACTATTTACATACAAGTGATTTTAAATGAACATTCAAGACTGTACAAATATTAAGATCAGTAGGAAATTACATGTCAAACATGGGAGCAGCAAATTGAGAAATACAAAAGTAATTCATTTTAATAAGGTAATATAGTCCTATACTTCAGAATTATAGCTAGTCTACAAAATACTATTAATGAGCTTTTATAAAATACCTAATTTTAATCCGGCAACAATACTTTATTGCCCATTTCCAGTCTACAAACTAACACAATTCAGTACCTATCTTAATGTGTTTATTGCCAGTGTATACCAGCCATTCATATACTTCATCGCTGATGCACAGGGTGTCGTATTTAATACAGAGATCAGCAATTATCTGGAGCTCTTCTTTCGTATAGACCTAAAATAGAAAGGGAAAGAAAACAATGTATTAATCAAGATCGTCAGAGCCAACATTTTATAACATTTAGCAGGAAGATTTAAAAACAGGAATCTCACCTTTCCTATAGGATTGTGAGGGTTATTCAATATAATAGCTTTCGTCTTGCAATTAAATTTACTTGCAAGTTCAGCAGGATCCAAGACCCAGTCCGCACTAGATGCAGTCTCTCCGGCTGCAGGTCTCTGAGTTATAGGGGAAAAAATGTTTTATTAGGCTGAAATAAACTTTCTTTAAACATTCCACTAGTGATCTTATCCTAAGAATCAGTCAACTATACAAAATACACGAGTAAACTGCAAAGAAATCTCAAATTCTGATCACTAACAAAAAAAAGTTATTCATATCATTTGGGACTTTCCAGTGACGATTCCTCTGACCCACTAGATCTAGCCATCAAAATTGATTAAAAGATTAAGTGTTCCATATAGCAGCAATGCATTTCTAAGAATCCAAAACTAGTACTATAAAAAAACCAGGGGGGACCAGAATTACCATCTACCACTGTGGTCTTAAGTACCACTTTAAATACTGTTACAGACAAAAGCACTTAAGGATGCTTGAAGCTGAATAAATTAATTAGCTGGGCTGCTCACACCCCTCAGTTTTTGAAAGTTAATGCGGCTTTCACATTTAAAGCAAGGCCACCGAGCAATCTAAAGTTAAATTATTGACACCCATCTATTTGGGCTTCTATCATTTACTTCTAGACTTTTGGGAGGCATTGCTTTCTTGTTGTTATTAATCTGTTTACTGGATCCATTCTGTTTCTCACTGAGCACACAAAGCAGAGTAACATAGGAAAGAAATAACCTTCATTATGAAAAACTACAAGGTGCAACACTTCTCTTCACTCCCCTATCTAAATAAACTCTGATTATAATAATATTCCAAACACACTCACATATCTCAAGGGTATAAAAACAGGCTTGGCTCCTGCCATCCTCACCATTGGCTCATAACAGTCAAAGAAGGGTTCTATTATTATCACCTAAAGTAAACATATAGGAAAGTTATGTGAATAAGAAATGATATTATACCTTTCTTCAAAGACAGAACCCGCTTTTGATCTGGTACAATGCTAATTCTATATATTTAGGAAAGCACATTGCATTAAAAGTACTTCTTGTCAACAAACACGGGGTAGTATTTTAGATTAAAAGCTAAAACTCTTAAGTATATCTGTAAATGCCACAGCCACTGCTACTTCACAGTGGCTGCTTTTGTGTGCTAGGGATAATAGGAAATAAGTGGAGATTTATAATAATGGCAGCAGAACTGAAGGGATGAGGGAGACACATAAAGCAAAAGTGAAAAGACAAAACATCAGAAGGTAGCTAGCTATCGCTTCATTGCCAGTTTTACCCCAAATGAGGCAGGCTATTTGATTTAAAACCCACCCTACCCTAAGTGCTTATAGATCCCCACTATTGACAAACTTATACAAATCAAGAAAAAAAACCAGGGTTTGAAGTTGGGAAATATTTTAAGTTTTGAAGGGTTCAGGACCAATGTTCTAGGCATCTGAAAGGACAAGCACCTAGGATTTTTTTCAGCTGTACCGGGGAGTAGCCAAGGAAGCTAATTTGCAACAGGTTGATAATTGATGAACAATTCATCTCAGACATACAGTTACTTAAAGAACAACACTAGTCCCTTTATCCTGCCTTCAACAGCAACCTAATGCACAATAGTTAAACAGCTGAGGCTTTTTCTATAACTTTATCCCAATGCCAAGAAATCCTTCATCTGCTAAATTAAGGTGCATCAACATACTCTTAAAGGCATAGGAATCTGAATCTGACAGGTAAAAAAAAAAAAGCCCTGCTTCAAAGTTTATTTCTTATTCAACCAAAACTAACAAAAGTCAGCTCTCTACCCTTCAATAAATCATCAAACTGCCAAGGAAAGGGATTTCTGAGTAGGCTTGATCACTTACTAATGGAATGCTACCCATGTTCTAAGGGTGGGTGGGTGTGTAAACTTATATGTTTTCATAGAAGAGAATTTTTATTCTGGGATGCATCACAAAACTTACTTCATCTCCTACTTCAATGAGTCCCTGCACTGCACTGAACAGAGATCCATATCCCCCTATTGTCACCAGGATATCAGTGTATGGATCAATCTTTCTTCCACAAACTTTTTCATACACTTGGGACAAGACTTTCACCAACGAAGGATGTCCCTATGAATGCAAAAGAAAATGCATAGACTCATATGCCAGTTAATAACAAACAACCGACAAATAATACCGTATTGTCTGTTAGCCAAATCTAGCATGGCTGATGCACAAAACAGAGTTACCCAATTAGAAATACCATTCTAAAGATTTAAACAATTAGAAACTGTCATTATGTCTAGGAGAGAACCTACTATACTGAGCTGAACAAGAAAAACAATATAAGGCACAGTTCACATGGAATCTCTTCTGCACAGCCAGCCTTCCACTGAATAGGAGTCTTTGTGCAAGATCACAAGCTGGGAATTGTGTGTACTATCAGTAAGGATCTATGACCGTGACCCTTTGAAGAAAAAATAATGTGGAACAAAAATGTTCGTAACACATATAAATTTCTAGAAACAGTTATACTGCCATTCATGGGTCACTGAAAAAGGAGTAACTACCCTCTGATGAATGCTCATATTGCACCATGGTGAAGAACAAGAAATGAATTGGCTGTATTTGCATATAAACCATGGTTTAATGTTACAAGGATGAACCAAAGCAAGCCTCAGGCTCCTGTCCTCCTCCTCCCCACCCCCTTCTCCATGCAGCTGCAAGGAGAAGATTGGAAGCTTTAAGTCAACTGCAGTTTAGCATTATGTCCAGACAAACGGCTTCATTTTAACTACAGTCTATTGAAACAAGCCCAGTTCACAACCCATGATTTGAAGCTGGCTTGTTTCAATGAATGATTAACCACAGTGTGTGTGGGTTGAACATCACAAGAAGCTGCAGTTAATCAAAAACAGAAGTCGAATCTTTTGAAATACTCCTTGAGGCTCATCTTCATAATGCCAAACCATGGTTAAGCATTATGTGCAAGAAAGACAAAGTTCCCTGTATACTGAAATGTACTATATAGATTAATAATAACATTACATTGGGAAGTCATTTACATAGTCAGTTCTCCTGGCCCTACGTATAGTCCTCTTTGGACCATATTTACATTGGCCACTGTTTGGAGATTTATGGTTATCGTGTTTCTATTCAGCCCAAGAATCCAAAATGAAGAAGGCGCATGTGGAAACCATGAGAAAATGTTTGGATATGCAACTGATTTAAAGCAACCTCTTAGAGAGCGTTCAGATGTACTCACAAAACCCCGGGTGTACTGGTTCAGCATATCCAAAGAGGATGCTTTGGCTAATGCTTCTTTAACATAGTTAGGAGGAGATATATCTGGAAGTCCTTGTCCCAGATTAACAATTGAGGGATCTGCAGCAACTTTTGTAAATTCCACCCTAAGAAAGGAAGAAATTATTACAAAGGTATTTAATACACATTTATAGGGAAGAATATTTCAGATCCATGGTAAATCAAAAAACACAGTATAGAACACATGTGTCTGTGGGAAACCACTCAGAGAGCATTCAATCAGATATTAGTTAATCAGAGATCCTGGAGGCCTCATTGCCATCAGTCTAGTTCTAGGTCAGGCTTTCAGGCTAGAACTACGTGCCATAAGTGTTACATGGCTTCTGTGCCTCATCCTCCACTCCCAGTAACATCTAGTAAGCTGAAACACGTGATGTGACATAACCACTTCTGAAGCACCAAAGGGCAGTTCAAAAATCATCTTGGTTGAGGACCAACTAGAACACTGAGTTACGGAAGACCAATAAAAACAGGTTTTGTAGTTTTCCCCCCAATGCTGTTGAGAGTACATTTGACCCTCCCCGCAGTTGACAGAGGATTATTATTTCATTTTTCCTTCTTTATAAATGTAGCAAATTAGAACCAAAATAGCCTCATAAACAAAGCCAGAATACCTTATCTCAGCCTGTTAGCTAAAATTGACCCTGCCCCCATTATTTAAACATCGTAGTCCTAGCAAAGTTGTTCTGCAGACTCACAGGCTGCACAACCGGTAATTATCACTGTGATTCATCCAAGATCTTTTAACCATAAAAGGAACAAAGAGATTCATTTGTAGGGAAGAGGGGAATAGAGGGGAGGAGCACACAAAAGCCTGGAGCCCACTCCCAGTGGCTTCACTGACCAAGAGGTTTCTCTCCCTGCCCCCCACCCTGGCCCTGCACCTGGTCAGCTGACAATGTAGGTGAAAAGCATACAAATGAACTACAAGGAGTACAGACATTTCCATTATTCATTTGTTCATTCATTCATTCATTTTCATTAATAATTACTTACCACACATTGCTATCCAGCCCTTCAATTCGTTTTGCATTTTTGTGCTTGAAGGTCATGGTCTACATACAAGAATCAAAGACGGATAATTCTTGTTAGAACTACAAAGTATTGTATTGTTGGACACTATGGTAATCCATGACATTTCTCCTTGTAGTTCATTCTAAAGCTGATGAAACTGACAGGCGCTGCAAACACAGTTCAATGTAACAATTAACCAATATTCTCTTACAATACATGTTTGACAAAATGCCAATCTATGCAAGGATACTAAATAGAATGGTTAAGATTAAATATAAGTTCTGTTCAAACCCAGTATAAGAAAGACAGAGTATATCATAGATGTATGTCAGAGCACAATCTTTTAGCACTTACTTGAGAACAAAGGGGTAGAGGAAATGTGATTTATGTATCTTGTTGTTTTTCAAAGACAGTGGTGAAGTCAAAGTAATGGACAGAGCAGAATTGCAAAGGCTAGGCTATGTGCATAAGAGAGATTAATAAAAACCTGTGTGTAGGCAACAGGATCTGTCTTCACAATATTATTGAGCCTGGCTCTATGTTCTCTCCATCATATGAGGAAAGAATCTGCTAGGTACAGAATACACCCCACTGGTTGTGCCACTCTGTCTGTCCTGAACAAACAATAGCTGGAAAACTATTTTTCCACTTTCCCAAAGAAAAAATAACCCCCTTCCTTTGTTTTCCTAGAATTTTTGTGGATCTATTAAAAACTAGTTTTTTTAACCACTATTTTAAAAGCTAAGGTTGTCCAACACAAAACTCAAGTACCAGCAACATATTTAAAGGGTGTAACAGACAATATCATAGTATTAAAGGTTTTTTTAAAAAAAAAAAATCATTGTGAGAAATTCCACAAAGTAACATCAAAGCTGTTTGACAAATGGAACATACATGTAAAGACACACACCAAGCGACATAACAGCAGTCTAGATAAAAGGAAGCACTGTTTGGGTGACCTTCATTCTACCGTGCTGGCTATACAGTATACGTATACTCCAGAACACTATTTTTCAATCCAAATCTTGAACTGCTTCATGAATGTCTAGAAGGCAAGGATATTTTTTTAACATCCAAGCCAACAAAGTGACTCCATATTCTATGTAATAAATAAAAAAGATAGAGGATGTAGCTTAAGCTGTTACAGGTGGTAACAGCTTACTGTTAACAAAAGGAAGAAAAAAGCTGCCTTTAAGCTGGTAACAAAAGGAAGAAAAAAGCTGCCTTTACCAACTTTAAACATATCTCTCAGAGTTAAATCAACCAAGAGTCTTGCAGCACCTTAGAGAATGACACAACTATATAGCCATACTGGTCTACTACTTAAATTGTCATTATTTTAACTTATGGTCAATACTAACAGTGTTCCAATTGATACCTTCTGCAATAAGAATAGAAGAAAGCAGAAGAAAATACTGTCTTGCACAAACTTGCTCACTGCAAAAGGTGAATTGGTTTACAAGTGTCTGGCAACGTTGGAGAGCAAAACAAAGACATTAAACAAAACCAGATCTCCAAATTCAGGATCGTGGACATAAGTGAATCATAAATATAACAATAGGCACATACAATCACATAAGCTATGAAGATATGGAATACATACAGGAGAGGATGAAACCTTGAAGTATCTCAAAGGGTAAGTAATCTTCAGTAGTGATGTTCTAGTGCCAAGGTAGCTGAAGCATTGCTGAGCAAAGAACATGCCTGCATAACAATAAGTTTATAAGTGCATGAAACAACTACACACAAACAATAGTGCCAAATACCAGACCATAATTGTATAACTATTCTTCAGTGTAACTTAAATCCCTATGTTGCATGTCTGTTAATATAAGTAAAGGTAAAGGACCGCCAGATAGTTAAGAACAGTCAAACTTGACTGTGGGGTACGGTGCTCATCTCACTTTCAGGCTGAGGGAGCTGGTGTTTGTCCAAAGACAGCTTTCCAGGTCATGTGGCCAGCATGACTAAACCGCTTCTGGTGCAACAGGACACAGTAAAGAGTGCCAGAGTGCACACAAATGCCGTTTACCTTCCCGCCGCAGCACTACTTATTTATCTACTTGCACTGGTGTGCTTTCGAACTGCTAGGTTGGTAGAAGCTGGAACAGAGCAACGGGAGCTCACTCTGTTGCGCTGACCTGAACCACCAACCTTCTGATCGGAAAGCCCAAGAGGCTCAGTGGTTTAGACCACAGCACCACCTACTCCCTTTCTGTTGATATAAGCCTCACATGTGCTTATATTAAGGATAGATAGGAGGAGCACAGGACTTGAAAGTCATCACACATGTGATATACTCATCCATCTAGGTAAGCTTTCACTCCTATTTTAGGCTTAGTAACTACCTGATCCCTGCAACTGGGTCAGTCAGTACTCTAAATCACTATGTTTCTAAGATTACAGAAACCAGTCAGTATGCATGTTCATTCACAAGCCTAATTCCTAGCCAGGATCAGCAAGGCAGAGCAGCAGATCCACATCTGAAGCCATCCTGCTTGCACCAGACTGGGTGGAAGTTGAAAAGTGTCGATTTTTTTGCTGGTACAGCTGACAGCCCAAGAATCAAGTCTCTTGGTGGGACCTGGGGGACTTTGGATCCTGGTAATACAAAGCCACTGGTGTCCCACAAGGCCTTCCACAGCCTACTGCCAGCGGGAGAACTATGATCTTCTGAAAGTTGTGGGTCTACAGCAAGGGTTGCCAAACTGTGGTCTGTGGACCAACAACCATCTGTGAGTGCCATTCATTCTGTGGCATGTCTGTGGATTTGTGGCTGAAGACAGGAGATGGCACATCCATCGCATATTGGTTAATTGTATTTTTCTTGCTTCTTTTAATACTGATACTGTACTTCATACAATATATATGAAACAAAATAAATATACAATTGAAAATTATTCAGCATCTAGCACAGCACATTACAATTGCTGTAACAGGCAGAAAAAGAATTAAGTTGTCTGCCAAGACCCTCAGCAATTTTCAATTGTTACATGGGTAAAAAAGGGGGGGAGACCACTGGTCTAAAGCTCCCTCATCCCCAACTACTGGCTATACTGACTGAGGCTTTAGAATCAAAATATATTTTAAACTACTTCTTTGAGATACTATATGCATTGTGCAATACAGCCAGCTGTAAAATTCATCACCCCAGAAACTGAGGGATGTTACATTATGAGACTGTAACTCAAAATAAAAACACTTAGTACCGTTAGGTCATATGAAAGTGACCTAGATTACTGGATCCTATCTACTGAGTATTCATCCTGATTTGCTGAGCAGTTACGGTATATGATGCCCACTGTTTACTGAACATTCCTTCCAATTTGTTTGCAAGAGAGGCTATACAATGTCTCATCAAGCCATTGTTAACCTACACCTTCAAGTGCATTTCTCCACACCTTTTCCTTACTACAAGTTGTCCGATTTCTTTAGGAAGATTTTTTTGTCACACACGAGCACCAAACCCACTTCCCTTGCGTAACCTGAAATTGCCAATATGCAAACTGAATCTCAGCACAAAATAGGGAGACCCTGGAAGGAGGCCACGTTCCCTCAGTTTCTTAAACCCTTTCTTGGGAGCTTTACCCCTCCAGTGCTGGGTTATCAAACAGGCAGAGTATAGGGCTGCCATACGTCTGGAATTTCCACTGTATCCAAAAGCAGTGTCCGGGCGAAATGTCCAGGAATATCCAAAAGTATGACAACCGATGTCGCTACAATTCCCAGCAACCTTAAATTACATTTCCCAGGATTCAGGGGGAGTGGGTTGGCAGGTGTAACCCCGGCCTATGGGCCTTTTAGGGGCCCTGCATCAACAGATCAAAATAATATCTATTTGATCTTAAAATAAAATTACAATGAAGTATTGCAATATAATTTGTTGGGCGGGGGGTGGGGGGTGGGAGCAGAGATTTTGACTGCCTAGGGGCCTCCACGGGGTTTAATCCAGCACTGTACCCCTGGCGAAGCTACAATTCCCAGCACCCTTAAACTACAGTTCCCAGGATTCTGGGGGAAAGTGGGTTGGCATGTGAATTCGGCAAGCACTCCTGCCTAAAAATTAAATGCCCGCTTCTGAGATTATTATTAAATAAATCACATTATTTGCTTAATAAGTCTGAGGGGTTTTTTGGCGGCGGGAGGAAGGATTCACCCGCCCAAACGAAGCCTTGCCAATACTCCTTTCCTCCACCTCCAGAGAGAAAAATATTAAAATTATTATTATTATCCTTACAACTGCTCCCACCACGCGGGCTTCCCCTGCCCTTTGGTCCCCCTCAAGGTTATGGGGCTTCTCCTTCCTCGCCCGCTTCCGGGTCTTTCGCCTCCTCCCTCCTGAAGGTGCAGGTATCCTCTTATTTCTAGGAGCCTCCCCCGAGGCCATTTTGTCCCCTTTCCCTCCCTTCATATCTAAACGTGTGAAGGGACGAGAAGCCACGTTAGCGGCGGCCGAACCGAAGCCGGCGGGGCGAAAAGTTCAGGGAAAGGACGGCGGCGGGTGGGAGCGCGGCCTCCTCCTCCTACCTCCCCTCAGCCGGGTGCAGCAGGTGGGGGGGGGAGGAAAGCGGCAACTCGCTTACCTCGCTTATCCCGGATATATGGCGTGTGGGGGTTTTTTTAGGAGAAAGGCGGAGAAGACGAAGCAGCAGGGGAGGAGGGGCTAACTAGGCCGCGGCGGGAGCAGGAGCCGCTCGGTTGTTACCTGGAGCCGTGGGGCGGCTCGGCTCGGCTGCGGCCTCGGGGAAAGCTGGGGGTTTCGCCGCCGCTCTGCATTTTCTCTCCCGCAGGCAGTTTGCAACCTTCGCTAATCTCTGTACATGCAGCAGGCACCAGGTAAAGGAGCAGAGAGTGGCTAGGGAATAATAAATAATCTAAAATATTATTATTATTAATCGCGCTGCTTCTTGAAACAGGCCAAGCTCCCACCATGGGTACGAAGGAAAGCCCTTTGTCTCCGCTCAAGCATTTCTGCCTTAGCATTGCGGCTCCAGCATTTTGCATATGTCGGAAATCTTGTTTTTCACAGCATTTTATTGTTTATATATGATTCTGTCTCCTCCTGTGCCATTTGCATCATTAGGTTAGGACAGGGGGAAGGATACCCACCTGTCATCATTCTCTGTCCGGCAGATTTGGAATGAAATGTCTCAACCACGGTTGTTTTAAGTTACTTTCGACCCCCCTGCCCCCAAGTGCTCGGGAAAAAATCTGTCAAAATCTTTCTACAATTTTTACTTTTCGTTAAGTATTTTTATTTATTTACTTGATTTGGGGGGCAAGCTACGCCCATGACCACTTGGCTGTTTTGCTGTTTAGTGTCTATTTTTCCTCTCTTTTTAGCTAAGTGAAGCTCTTGCTCTACCCCACACACCTACACTCACAGTGTCAGAGTGTGGCATGTGCTCACCCTTTAAAAAAATATCGTTCATACAAAACTGCCATGCCAGGGAGAAAGAATCAATCTGGTTCAGAGCTTTCCAAACTTTTCATGTTGGTAACACACTTTTTAGACATGCATAATTTCGCAACACAGTAATTTGGTTTTATTAGCAAACCGGAGGTTAAACTAACCCCTTTCCAGCCCCTGGAGGAGCGTGGGGAGCGTTTGCATGACACAACTACACACTGCAGCGGACACAATGTGTTGCGACACACAACTTGGAAAGCTCTGGTCTAGTCCATTGGTTCCCAACTGGTGGTCTGCAGACCCCAGGGAGTCTGTGGCATCATTAACTACCATAGTTATCAAAATTTTCAAAATTAGGGGTCCATGGATTGGCTTTTGAAAAACAGGGGATCTGCAGTGCTTAGCTAATTCGGAACCACTGGCCTAGTCTTTTCCTGACGTGGTGTTCATGCGGGAAGTTTTACCTGTGGCGAAACACTAAAAAATATGCAATATGGTACTGGCAGGTTGAAGTAGCAGTCCAAGGAAAAGTTTGCCAGGTCTTGTGACTGTATAATGAGCTGGCCTTTAGCCCCTACCCACTACACTTTCCCAAGGAGTGGGCCTGCTAACTAGTATTTGAACAAGGCTAAAATCCTGTGTACACTTTCTTGGGAGTAAGGCTAACTGGACTCTGCCTTCTGAGTGAAACAGCAATGCACAGAAGTGCATGTAGAAGATCACGGAGCCAAACATTTTATTGCCTCTTCCAAAGCTTGTTTATCTTGAATAAACAAAGGGAGGCGTGCACCGTGTTAAGTGCGAATAGGGCTCTGGGGCAATTCTTAGGTAGAAAATGACCTTGCTTGAGGACACTTGTGAGCATAAGCCTTCCCTGTAAAATTACAAATAAAAGCTATGTTCCTTCTTGCACTGTAATTTGTCTTCTGTACCGTACGTAGATCTTTTCGCCTTGTAAAGTGAAAAATCAAAACGATGCCTCTACCACCTGCTCAGGACTAGAGCTCTTCTCCCCACAACCCAATTGTCCTACAGAGATGGAAAGAGAGAAATGGCACTTCCTTGTGAAGCTGCTGCTCGAGTCAACTTTGCTTCGTAGGCTGTGTGCACGCACCTTACCAACTTAAAACTCAGCTAAGTCATTATTTTTCTCAGTTTGAACCTAGTTTTGGGGAAAATTGATCAAAACAAGGTATTTCACAACCAACAACAGGATAAATGTGGATTGTGGCTTACTTTGTGTATACATCACTTTCCAAACCAGTGGTGGAAGCGCACTGGAGGCAAAAGTACACCCTGCGACAATTACATTAAAGCTTAAACGTGTGCAAAATGTCACTATTCACAATGGCCTGGGACTGCTAACTTAACACCTGTAATGCAGAATACTCCCATTAGAAACCCGGTGCAACCATCATAAGTCATTATAATCCTGAACTTGATGACAGCCCATCAGTCGGGCTCATTCATAGGTAGCCTCATACGTTGATCGAAATAAAGTATTTTGCACACTTTGAGAAATTTATTTGGTCTTCAAATCACCTCAACAAATGGGCCAGTAGAGGGCAGCGTGCCATAAAGCTTTGTGAATATATGGGCTTTAGGAGGAAATCTCAATTTTAAAAACATTTTATTCTTGCTGATGTATGTTCATTGTAACTAAAAACCCTTCTCAGAATTTTGATGGAAATCTGCTGTTTCTAGAATTCCTTGTCACTTGGGGAAGTGGGTAGCGTGCACCACTATGATGCTTGTAAGACAAACACATTCTGCAGATAAGTGCAACAACTAATCACGCATTGCTGAGCATCCACACTTGAGTGCTAAAACTGAAACCAATGTTTTCTGCAGTAGCAGATGTACTCTTCCTGATCTGAAAGATAGGATCCCTTCATAATGACATGTTTTCTCTTTTTATCCCAGCATTGTGAAGCATTGCTGGTGATCCAGATTTACATGAGAAGGGGAACTACTTACTTCCTCTTTATTGCTAGTATTAAATACAGTTTTGCAGCTCTATTCCTGTTTCCTTGGAACTAAATCCGACGTGAGATAAATATGGCTTACCAAATGAAGTGTGCTGGCTTTGATATTTTCAAAGCAAGAGTAGCGATGTTCTGTAAAATTTTAAATGTCAGTGCAGTAATCACACAATAGGTGAAACGTGATCATATTGAACCAAGCCTATTAAAAATAAGCCATCTCAATAGCTGAAGTTCTTTAACCATCTTCAAAGACTGGCTAATACAGCAGAGAGCATTATGATAGTCAACAAATGCAAACAAACCTCACTGCAGCCAACCACAGACAATAAGTCTTTAATAAAAATTATTGAAACAAAAACTGGCAGTCGCCATGTCTGCTGTGTCTCAGCAGGGATACTTAGCATATCAGGCCCAGCTAATAAAAGGCCGTCCAGACAGCAGCTACCCCCTGGGAATACAGAAGTACTGTTGAGTCCAGCAGTACTCTCAAGCTGCAAACCTGATCTTTACAGGAAAGTGTAACCCTGCCCTTACATAACTTTTCCCCATTCAATTGGTCCTTTGATTCCCCCACTATCATTAGCTCTGACTTAGTGGGTTGACCTTAAGGTTATTCACCCTCATCCACAACTACCGGTAAATGCAAGTACATATTTAAGGACATGGCTGCTTTCAACCTGGATTTGGTGGAAAGGCATCATGCAGGTAGCTACATGCTTTGCTCAGGGGCAAACAAGGATGGGCAATGCTGCCCCTGGAACATGTACTGGCAATTCTGTGTGGCCAAAAATTCCCTTTTGTACCACATCCCTCAACGTATTAGCAAAAAGCAAGTTCAAGCACATCACAGCTGAGAGCTCTTTAAGCTTTTTATTGGAAAAAACCCAAATGCACTCAGTTTAATGAAAGAGGTAAACAAAGATTTATATGGCACAACTGGGAGCTCTTGAATTTAGGGGGAGAACAGTGGGGGGATGAAACTTGAGGAGAAGGGGGAATCTTATAAAAGGCAAATGGGAACTCCATAGAGGAAATTCGGGTGCAACAGCACAGTTATTTTCTATAACTGTTTGGATGTTATAGATTGGATGTTTATATTTGAATGAACAAGGAGCATATTTCTACTTGCTTTACAAAACAATCATAATCCCTGAGCCACACTGCTGAAAGGGGATAGGATGATGCAAAGGTATCCTTCTGCCAGCAGAGAAGCTCCTTTGGCTGTTATGGAATTATTTATTGCTTCCTCTGTGCTTGCCAAGTGGAAGCTCTCACTATGCCTTCCAAAAGCAGAGCAGAACACATGCTACTACTGATTGGGGTTCCCACCGTCAGTAGCCAATCGTAAGGCCACAAAATAAGGCATTAGGGGCAGAGCAGGGCTGGATCCAAGACTGGGTTGTTTCTCAGAGAAGGACCTGATAGGACAGGAAAAAAATGATGCAAAACAATAACCCCACAATTTTCCACTGTGGCAAGTGGCACAACTGCAGATGAGGGCAAAAAACTCTAGGTGTGGTTTTTGTTTTGTGATATTGTATAGTCCAGTTAAGGCTTGTGTTTTAAAGAGAGTTGTAGTTAGGAATCTGGGCACACTGTAAACTATCAGTGAGCCCATTAATCCACATTTTTTTTTTGGTGGAGAGAGAGGTACTGCTTTCAGACTGTACACTTTATGCAAGAGCAAAGCAGGCTGTCAGTTGCTATAGTTGCCAGGCAAGACTTAAACATACCCACATCTTCTCCAGTCAAGGAAGAGCTTCATAACAGTGCTAATTGAAGAGATTCCAACTGAGATATAGTCAATTCATGCTGAGGAAAGGCTACAGTTTGTATGCCTGTCTTTTGTGCAACTCTGCCTAGCCACCTGTTTTCTCTTGCAGTGGGAGAAACAGGAACTGGAGGCAGAAGAAAGCATCCTGCTGGGTCAGCCGCAGAAATGGGAGCTTAGCCGCCCTCTCCCAACTGACTCGTCTGTCCATTTTTTATCTTAAAGAGTAAAGCAGGAAGATCAGTATGGGAGCAGGCAGGCAGTCCTTCCATTGGGCTTTGGTGCAAATTATTTAGGGCTTTAAATGTTAAAACCAACACTTTTCGGTTCAGTCTGGAAATGCACTGGCGACCAGTAACAATAGTGTTTATGTGATCTGATCTCCTGGCAGCCACCATCCAGCAGAGTCTACAGCACCTCCATCTTACCTGGATTTAATGTCAGTTTGTTTGCCCACGGGACATGGGTGGCGCTGTGGGTTATACCACAGAGCCTAGGACTTGCCGATCAGAAGGGCGACAGTTTGAATCCCCGTGATGGGGTGAGCTCCCATTGCTCGGTCCCTGCTCCTGCCAACCTAGCAGGAGCACGTCAAAGTGCAAGTAGATAAATAGGTACCGCTCTGGCGGGAAGGTAAACGGCGTTTCCGTGCGCTGCTCTGGTTCGCCAGAAGCGGCTTAGTCATGCTGGTCACATGACCCGGAAGCTGTACGCCGGCTCCCTTGGCCAATAAAGCGAGATGAGCGCTGCAACCCCAGAGTCAGCCACGACTGGACCTAATGGTCAGGGGTCCCTTTACCTTTACCTTGTTTGCGCACATCCATCCTAAAAACTGCTACTAAGTCCTTGGGATTTTTAGATGGAACAGACACTGCAGCCCAAACATCCCATGTGTTTCAGGCACGTGTTAAAAAGCATGGCACCCCATGCGGTTTCTGAGCTACTTTTATGGCAAATCGGCGCAAACAGCACTGCCGACAACGGCTACCATACTTTCCCGGACGTTTACCCCATTTCCCACCCAGGTTATAACTCCCACACACACACACCCCGCGCGCGTCCGGGAAATTCCGGGCGCGTGGCAACCCCGGCGCGGGGTGCTCTGAGGCGCATCTCCCACATGCGCGCACGTCTCCCTGAAGGGGGAACGAGGCGGGCCGAACAGCGTCTCTCTCGCGCGCGTGTGCGCGATGACGGCTCGAAGGCTCCTTTTGTCTCAGCCTCGCCCCCCCCCCGCCCCGCCGCGAGCCGCCACCTCCCATTGTTCCACACCCCCACCCTCCCCTCCTCCGTCTCCCCCTCCCTCCATCTCCGTCTCTCCCCCCTTCCCCTTCTGCGCTGCCCTCCTCGCGCAGCAGTCAGCGGTTCCGCCAGCCGCGCTGCCATTGGCGGACGCTCCCCGTGACGCGACAAAAGAGCGGGGGGCGGAGCCTCGAGCCGGAGAAGCGCCGGTTGAAGCCGGTGCGCGAGCCGCCTCTCTCTCTCTCCTCTTCGCTTTAAAAAACACCAACCTCTTCTTTCTCTTCCCTCCCCGAGGAGCTGCTTTCTCTTTCTTCGGAGGTGCTGTGGAGGAAGAAGAAGAGGAGGAGGACGACGACGACGACCGGGCGCCCAGCCTGGCTGGTTGGCGGAGGAGGAGCTGGAGGCGAGGCGAGCTTCAGGTGAGTGAGGCTGAGAGGGCGCGAGAGAGAACCTGTCAAAGCTTACCTGACGGGGGGGGGGCGGAGTGTGGCAGTTGGAACCTGCGGCGGTTGGAACCGGCGGCGGGCAGTTGGGACCTACGTTCCCCTCAGGTGGGACGTTGGCGGAGGGCGCCCCTCACCTTCTCCGTCCACCTCCTGAGGGGCTCGAGGATTTGGTGGGCTGCTTACTCCAGCTCAGGTGATAAGTTTATTTCCTTTCTGTTTCCCCACCCCATCTTTTCTAAGCTGTTGCTCACTGGAAACTCAGAGGAAACGAGTGCCTCTGGGCATGTGCTGAGCCACGGGGGCCAACTTGAATAAAATACTGGGGTGGGAGGGAGGACAGCTAAGCCCCGCCCGCATAATCGATCACATGACGTGGTGCACACATTTGAATGGGAATTCCCCTTTTAAAAATGCCCCCCCCCCCAGTAGCTGTCAACTTTTCCCTTTTCTTGCCAGGAATCCTATTCGGAATAAAGGAATTTCTCTTAAAAAAAGGAAAACGTTGACAGCTATGCCCCCCCTCAAATATATATATAAATTTGGGGGGGGGGAGCAAAGGGACCCTTAAGAGTTTGCTCCTACCTGCTGAGCATCTGTCCTTCACCGCCACAGGGGAGAGGGTGGCTGGGTTAGTCGGTCGCAACCGAGGCCCACCAAGTCTTGTGATAAAGACTGAAACACTTACTGAAAAGTGAAACTTTAAAAAAAAAATTGTGTGGGGTATTGGTTTGTATTGTTCTTGTTTTAATAATGATAATGATAATAAATAATAATAATAATAATAATATTTTATTATTTACACCCCGCCCATCTGGCTAGGTTTCCCCAGCCACTCTGGGCGGCTTCCAACAAAACACTAAAATACAATAACCTATTAAACATTAAAAGCTTCCCTAAACAGGGCTGCCTTTAGATGTCTTCTAAAAGTTTGTTAGTTATTTTTCTCTTCAACATCTGGTGGGAGAGCGTTCCACAGGGCGGGCACTACTACCGAGAAGGCCCTCTGCCTGGTTCCCTGTAACTTGGCTTCTCGCAGTGAGGGAACCGCCAGAAGGCCCTCGGCGCTGGACCTCAGTGTCCAGGTAGAACGATGGGGGTGGAGACGCTCCTTCAGATATACTGGACCGAGGCCGTTTAGGGCTTTAAAGGTCAGCACCAACACTTTGAATTGTGCTCGGAAACGTACTGGGAGCCAGTGTAGGTCTTTCAAGACCAGCGTTATATGGTCTCAGCGGCCCCTCCCAGTCACCAGTCTAGCTGCCGCATTCTGGATTAGTTGTAGTTTCTGGGTCACCTTTAAAGGTAGCCCCACATAGAGCACATTACAGTAGTCCAAGCGAGAGATAACCAGAGCATGCACCACTCTGGCGAGACAGTCTGTGGGCAGGTATTTTGTGTGTTTTTATCCTATATTTTTACGCTGTGAACTGTCCTGAGATCTTCAGAAGAAGGGCGGTATACAGATTTAATAAATAAAATAAATAGCGGTGGGAGGTTGTATTGGGGCTGCTTTATAACAGTGCACCTGAGATTTCATTTCACATTATATATATAGTATGTGGAAGCTTAGGCGAGTTTGTTAGTGTTTAAGGAGCCACAAACACTTTGTTATTCCAGCTTCGTTGCTTAAGTGGCCACAAACACTTTCCACTCACTGGAGCCATAAGGAGGGATTTCTAGGAGAAAAGGGTTGATGTGTATCTGCTATCTTTATAGGCATGAGGCTGGTGGTCTTAGGGTAAAGACAGACATGTGTGGGAAGTGTGGTTTTCTGTGCCTGAAAACAAATACCCGTGAACATAGGAAAATGTGTGTTGAAACTACTTACATAACACTTTAGAATGTCTTCACTTTTACAGATCAAGCTCTATTGCTCATTGTGGCAAACTTCCATTTTCTTTAAGCACTGTGCACTGGCATATTTCAAATGGGCTTATAACAAATAGTAGTTTGTCTGGTGCATGCAGTGTCTTTTGTTTTGTATCTGTGAGATTTGTGCTCGTACTGTATTGTGATGGACATTGGCTATTAACAATAAAATTTATTGAATTGAGTTAAAATAGTAGTTCATCTTATACTTTACCAGCTAGTTAACTGTGACCCAGCCAGGACTCTGCAATCTCCAGTGAAGTTCTTTGCAAGAAATATTCTCTGTTGCTCTTAGAACATTAGGTTTGGTTTCCTGTATGGGTTGAAGGTCAAAGGCATCATTAAGCTGCTTTTCCTCTACAATCTTTGAACTTGCCTGGAGTTAGTTGGAAAGAGAGTTTACCATGTGTTCCATGCTTTTAAAACATGCCTTTAGGCAGTGTCTGTGACTTGGTGTTGAATAGCTGCACACGTGTGCCGATACATAACCGGCTCTTGAAATCTTTGGGTTGGAGCAGGCCAACTGGTGGTGTTCTCAGAGACTGCTTCTCAGTGGGCACAGTATGGGCACTGGCATGTCCTACACCACACTATCTGGTTTCAAGGTATTAAGTAACACTTATGCTTCCTACTATGTTGGAAGTGTCAGGAACAGAAAGTACAGACAAGTTAGTTGCTGTCTCTCCAAGTAGAAGGCATGCCAGCCAGGTTATTTAAACATTATTTTCAAAAGTTGAAATGTAATCCCAGAAAGAAACCTTTTTGTAAATTCTGAATCATTTGGGTACAGTTTAGGACTCACAAAATCATGAAATTTCACTTAAGTTATGTATTTGTATCCAAAGACACCATAATCTTTGATTACTTGTTTTTCTGTCATGAATCCAGATTGCATGTGAATAAAACTGCTAAATGAGGCACCCATGAACTGCAAAGGAATCTGAATCCAGGGCCAAAACTAAGTTTGGTGACCGGATATTCAAAATGAACTGACCCTTGATTTAATGTGTAGAATAAAATGTCTCTTGTTAGCTAAAGAAGCGAGGCTGATAGAGCTGGGCAGCTAGGGCTTTCTTCCAAAGAAGCATGTTTAAAATGTTCTTTATCCTGCCTTTCCATAAAATGTGCTCAAGCATCTTAAAATTGAAACATCTTAACCAATCACACTAATGTATTTCAAATCAACAAAACAAAAAAGAACCAGTAGCAGTAACAAAACAATTATGTTATTAAGTAACAACAGTTCAAGAAAATAAAAGTATTTTACTGAAGATAAGTAATGTCTCTCTACTTTCAGATCACTTAGCTGATAGTAGATGAAAGATTACTTGTGCCCTTGTATTCCCAGCCCTGGCCCTTATTATGAAATATCATAATATGCTTCTCAGTTGTAGAATAAAACATTATTGTGTGCTTCTAATTTTTTTGGTGTGAAATAGATCCCAAATTGTTTCCAAACCAAACAAGCATATTTGAGTTGTAAAATTCACAAGTCAGTTAGCTGCTTGCTTACTAAGAATGCTGTTTTAAAAGGCTAGCCTGTAACTTGAGATAATGTGACATTAATTGCTAATTTGGAAAGATCTTTTCTCAAAGTGAACAGGGGTTATTAGAGTGCAATTGCTATGCTGTTTCACAAAACCATGCTAAAAACACTTGTTCCATCTCAGTGTCTTTCCTATCTGACACAGTTGCAAGGTAATGTATCTGGTTTCCGAAAAGCTGAATTCTTCTGCATTTTATCATGCTTGATATGCATCTACAAAGCAAAACACAGCTGTTACAACTAATCATAGAGCTCACTAGTCAAGTCAAAAGTGTCTATTTAAATCTGTCAGAAGGTAAAAAGGAGTAAACTGACCATCTCATCCAATAATTAAGTAAAAGTCTCTGGGCATGTTATATAATTTGAGGATATGCACATCATATATGTATTAAGAAGGAATTAATGTATATAAAAGCTAAATTGCTGAGTTGGTTAAGCATGAATCCTCCCTTTTTGTTATCTGTATCAAAAAACTTCTAAATGTCTGCCACAGGTAGAGAGTTGCTTCTACTGTGAAGGTTGCAAATATATAACATAAAAGAATCACATCATCATCATCACCATCATCTGGCTCTTCTACTAATCCAGAGCAACATTCAACACAACCATAAATCATACAGTATAAATATACAAATACAGCTAACACTAAAAAATAATAGTAAGCATCACTGAACTTAGTATGACTTATGAGTAAATATGTACAGCATTGTTCTACACTACGTTTCAGTGACAAATCTGTTGATCTTATTTCCTTCTAACCTATCATAGCAAAACATTAAAAAACCCAGCATGTTAATACTCAAGTTTCAAGAGTGACTATTTTTCTTATAAGACACTGGGCTACTTAATTGAAACTGAGCCTCTGGTCATACTAAAACATGGTTGTGATGTAGCATTTTTAAGACCATATTTATTTTAATGTTGATTAGCATTCTAAAACATGTAATGCTTTAAGGGTAGAACATAGGCCCTCTGAACTGCCTTCTCAGTGTTTTCCTGTTTTCAGTGCTTTAGTTTTGCAAAGCAAGGCTCGTGTGTTGTATGTTGATGACATACCTCCTATTATGTCAGTGCAGTATCTCAAGTCTGCAAAATACATTCTTGTGACATTATGCCAACCCAATTATTGTCAAAGCACTTATTTTGTTGGTGTAGCAAGTCCTAGATTTACACTTTCGTCTTGTGTAGACAAAAATAAATAATCTCTAGAATATGTATTTCATAATTTATATCTGAACTGAAACTTACTAGGGAGGGCTGTGCAAAGTTTAAATTAAGCTGACATATTTGGGGATCTTTGTCCAGTGGTCATACTGATGGAAAAAGTGACAGTTAAGTGGCAGGGAGAAACTGATCTTCAAGATGCAGAGTAAACATTAAACATCTTGTTTAAATATTACTTAGTGTGACCTTAACTCGAGTTGAGCAAAACTCTTAAGAATGTGCCTGTTCTGTGCCTGCAAGCTCAGAACAATAACTTTATTGGGCTGTTAATGTTATCTGTCTTAACAAAAGATAGAATCTTGCATGGGGGAAGAGTTAACACTGCAGACTGATGAAATAGTATGGAATTTTTTCTTTAGCAATAACTCATTGTTGCACCAGTCTTATGTATAAGCACTTCTGTAAATTGTTTTATGGAAGTTTTAATATGGGGTAAACTATAACTTGAAGGAATACTCATGAAAATGTGTACTTGCTCCTTTTATGCAACTGTCCTTTAATAAGATAACATGTAAATCAGTGTTCTGCAAATGTTGGCTTGGCTTACTAGTCAGCCTCTTCGTGTCCTTGCTACCAATTTATTCCCTGTCCCAAAGTCCTCTGACATATGGAGACGGGGCAGTGAGTGTTTATACTCATTTGTGCTGTGGTATGGAAATATTAATAACTAGCTCAAGAATGTTTACTTGCTGGGTACATCTGTGTTAACAAGATTTCCCCAGGCACGTGCTGAGCTGAAATTTATTTTAACTAGCAGCCAATAATTATGAACAAATTTGGTAACTGTTAATTTAGATTAGTCTCACCATTCAGCGGAAGATGTGTCATTAGTATTTATGTAGAAGGAATTTTAGCAAGTGTATTAAATAATTCCCCCTCTATGTATTTATTAAAGGATGGGAGCTCAATCAACTAATGCATCTGGTTGCCCTTCTTATAATAATGCTAGAGGTTGTATTTGCACAGTTGTTTCCAGCAGTCCACAGAGTGGGGTTTCATTACCTTGGATAGCTCCTTGCCTCTTGTCTTGACTAGCAGAGGTAGAATAAATTGTGTGGAATAAGCAAGCACATGCATATCTGCTTCATTTGCCCAATGTATAATTTCATGATACTATTAACATTTTGGCCCAAGTTTTGATGTTTCATGGCATACAATCCAGATTTCTAAAAATAAAAGTTGCAAAGAGTAAACTCACTTCTTTTCTCTCTAAAAATATTCATTGGCTAAAAGTTTGAAGAAGAGGTACAGAGACAGGGCAAGTCCAGCAAGCACAGAAACAATTTAGATGTGGACCAAGTTGGAGAGGGTTGGTACAGTATATAAGATTGTTTTCAGAAAACTACTTAGAACATGAGTTCAGGGTGCTTCATAAACTCTTATACCAGTACCGAAAAGACTGAAGAAGGTGTAGAAACAATAGAAATTTTGGCTTTAAAGCTGGACTGCCATTGGTGAGAAATAGTGTTCATAGTGTGCAACAGTTCAACAAAAACATTTAGTTTTCAAATATTATTTATAATTAAAATAATGTGCATTTCACTTTCTACTTGAAAAAAATTCAGGAGTTTTGCAAAAGTATGCAACATGCTGATGTGAAAGCTGTTGAATAGCTTTCTAACAACTGAGCATAGACCTTGACTTATATTTCAGACTGCTGAAAACTTCTTAACAAAGACCATACATTTGTGTGTTTATAGTTACTGGTTTGATTTGGGTAGTGGATGAACTATGAGAAGACGTGTTAGTACTCTGGCTAAGCACCTGCTCTTTGAATTTGCCAAAAGAATTTGAACAATTGATCCTGTATGGATAAAGGAGATTATTCTTACTCATGGTTAGAACAGTATGAAAAAAATCAGATTATCGTTGTGTTTTTAATGGTTCTTGCAATAAGGATTAGAAGTGGTGCTGCGTGCTTCTGACACAATATGTACGTACATATCTGGAACATGGCTGTGAATGTATGTTAAGTAAACAATTAGGTTTCTGATTTGTAGCTTGAATTGCAGTATATTCAGTTCAATAGTAAAGCATGTGCTTTATATGACTGAGGCTTTTCAGTAGAACCCAGGTTTCCAAAACTGAGCGCCACCTGCTCTAAGCTCCACTTTAAAAATAAGAGTAAGCACTGGTACTAGTTTCAGAAGAAGGTTAAGAGGTTCTGTTCAGCCCTGGAAACCTAGGTTCAATACTCACCACCAGTTAGTGGCCACTCTGGTTGTTGATATTATTTGATAGAAAGCTGCTTTCTGCATTCGTCTCTCTGTGGAGTTGAGCTGTATGCTGCTTTGGGTATTTGTATAGAAAATCAGTTTGATGGAATTCAAACAGGTGAAGGAAATTACTAGGATTCTAAGTAACTTGCTTTTCTTCCTGTTAAGATGGGTAAAGATTAATGCCAGTAGAATGAACATATAGATAACAGTGTATTTATAAAAGTGAAGGAATTCCAGCTTATTCTCCATTGCTGAATACTTGTCCATATAACAATATATATTCTATATCTGAAATAAATCTTCTACCTACATCCTAACAATTTGTATCCCGAGCACAGGGCCAATTAAAGGGCTATTTGGAGTAGTTCAGCTTCATTGAACCTGTTAAATTTGTCTTGAAGGGAAATTGCAGCCTTCAGTATCAGTTCTGAATGTAGTAATTTTATGTTGGAACAGTATTTGCTGCACCATATTGAAACAGCTTTACTTTGTGATGTGTATTAGGGCTAGACTGAACCTTGTTGCATGGACTACTGTTCTGATGAAAATCCCAATGGACTACTGATGTGTATTTAACTGTACAAAACTGATCAGTTGATTGGGGCCTTCAACCCCACCCCTTCAGCCCAGCATTCTCTTTACCTTTACAGCAGGTGTGGGTGGTTTGGCCAAAATGACCTTGCAGGCCAAATGGGCACCAGGGGTTCCCCACCACCCCTTTACGGCATTACTAATTTATCTTAAGTACCGTATTTTTTGCACCATAACACTTACTTTTTTCCTCCTAGAAAGTAAGGGGAAATGTCTGTGCATGTTATGGAGGGAATGCCTACGGGTGGCATGCCTACGGATTTTCCTCCTCTAAAAACTATGTGCGTGTTATAGAACGAAAAATACGGTAATTAATGAGAAAGAATCCAGTGGTCTGTTGAAATCTATTTTTACTTATATATTCAGATCCAAATCTTTATTGATTGCTAAATTCTGTTGTTGAAAGGCTCTGTTGTGTCAGGGTTTATTTTTCTTCTGGTTATATCTTGTTGCAACATTCAGATTATTTATAAGTATTATGGACACCGTTGCTCTTGCTTTTCTTGTTCTGTTTGTAGAATACAAATTTCAGGTAGGAGAAAAAATGTTCTTAGGTGAGCAGTTTGTTTTATCCATTAAGCCGATTCTGGAAGATGCATTTTCTTCATAAAGATTCATTTCTAATACGGTGGATAAGCAGCTCCTAGAATAAGTATCTTTACAATATAGGAGATGTAGAAGGTATCTAATTTTAATTAAGTTAGTCATTCCCACCAAAACTCTTCCACAATGTTTGCCTCAAAGTTGGAAAAGCCAATCAAATACAAATGCCTTCAGTAACATACTAAAAACAATGTGCTTCTAATAATGGAGGTGTTCTTATGTTGGTACAGGAATTGGGCAGTATAAGTCCTAGCACACATTCAGATTCCAGGACTGACTGTTTGTTGTTGTAATCTGATGCTATAAAATCCAGGTGTCATCAAGTTCTTACCTTTTGTAACTGACCTGGTATTTCAAGTTTCATACTGGATCAGTTAATTCAGCTTGAAATGAGGTCCAAGTGAAATGTTTTTAGTATTTGTCACAACTGATCACCAATTTTTATCTAATGGGTATAGTAAGCAAAGCTCTATTGTACATGGAATTTGCTATGTCAGGCACTTTCCAATTATTATTCCTTATCCTCCTAATACCACTACTACAATTTTTCTGTGGTGAGATAACAAAGAGTGTGAAAGATGGGCTGTCTGAAGGGAATGTAAAACTGTGATCTTAAGTTTATTTGTGTGTGAGTATGCTGGTTAAACAATGAAGCTTCTGCATACAGAAGCCTTGGGGCTCTTACAGCATTGGTAGATTATAGCCTTTGGATAGATGTGCATGACTTGTCTAGCACCTGTAATGATTTAGGGAGGCAGACAACTGTAATCTCCAACCATGTTAAAATTTTGCATTGGTGTTCCTGTGCAGTCACCTAGAAATTTAGAAAATCAAAAGTCTAGGAAAGCTTGTTCAATCATAGAATTATGACCACTGCACAATAATCTCAGCTGAGAGCAGAAAGTAGATTAGAGTCACTGATAGATGTCTAAGTCACTCACTATTTTGTTTTATATGCCTGCTGAACACTTTTTTTATTTCAGCAAGCCTACTAAGACCTATATTTTAGTTATCTATATTTGTTTTAAAGTGTTTTACTGTCTTTTTCTGCTTTTTGATAAGTAATTTTTATATAGCCTTTAACAGTTTTGCTGATTTTACCCATGTTTTATGGATAATTTTATTAGGTACACTACTTAGACAACCATCTGTTGAATCAGTCTATACATTTTTCTAAATAAAAATAAAATACATAAGCTAGTGTAAAGATATTTAAAATGGCAAATGTAAAAATATTGTTTTGTGGCCATCCTCATCTCTGAACCTTCATGCTAATTGATGGTTAAACATTTGTGTATATATTGGTTGTCTTTGGTCAGATCCTTGTGTGGATCATTAGGCAAGTTTTGTGTTGGAATCTCTGATTTGTGACAACACAGATATATATATCTGTACTTATATAAGTTAGTTATCTTGGTGTTTAGTTTATGGAGTTCAATAAATAATTGGCTGTACCCTCTAACTCACCACATGACATCTGGCCTCCTTGGGCCACTACTTTGCACCTAAATTTAGTGAACCTGAGTTTAGTGAACCCTCAGGGTTCAAATGAATGTCAACACTCAAATGAAAAGAAAGGAAGTAGATTCTGCAAGTCTTAAATTTTCCCGGCCCTAGTCTGTCTGAATCCATCCATAGTGATAGCAATTTCATCTTAGAGTATTATTTCTCATAGAATATCTGCTAATAGCAAGAGGCTTAACATTCTTCCAGTTCCCATATTCATTCTGGTGTCACTTTCCCCCTTTTTAGTCACTACACTGTGTGTTTTGTAACTCTGTTGCGTAGCCATTATCTTAGAGCTTGAGGAAGACCTCAACAAATATCTAATCCAACCCCTGCAGTGTACTGATGTTTTCGGATGGGCCAAGATTTGTCCAGAAAGTCACCATGAACTTATTTCTGTACATAGTGATTTACCTATATCTTGGATACAGGGTTGTTGTATTTTGTTAAGTATAGATATGAAACAAATGTATATGGTTTTTAGATGTACAGTATCATGAAATCTCACCAATAGAAAACAACCCTCTATATTTCCAGTATTTACAAGGTTAACTTTATTAGAATTACATTAGGTTTGAGTAAAAAAAAACTACTTGCTAGTGTTTTGTGCCTTATTCTGAAGCAGGACAATTTCTTCACTCCAGAAATGTATAAATGTTATACATAAAGGATGCCACTAGGCGGTGCCTTAGGTTTAATTATTTTTCAGCAAATGTAGGAACTGACACTTTAGATATATTATAATTAGGAGATTTGGGGTTATGTGCCTACTATTAGAATATGTTCTGTGACTCTATTGTAAATTTGCAGTAGCTAATTCAGCAATGTCTCTGCAGGAACTGTCAAGTTCTAGAAGAGATTACGACTGACTGGCCTTTAAAAGGTAAGAATATCCTTGCTTTTAAAACTTCTGTTGTCTTAGCACAGTGGTTCTCAAAGGGTGTGACAGGCCACATTGGTGTGGCAGGAGAGGATGGCAACTGTGAATTGTGGCAGGAAGATTCAAGGACAATCAATTATTTCAGTATGGTAGCATCAAAATAATTATTTTTATTTGCAGAATATGGATAGATGTCTTTTCAAAATGAGAGCAAGAACACCACAGGATACTGCAGACAATCCTAGTTGTGATCCAGAATTGTGTTTAGAACAGAGTGCTGGAGAAAACTTGTTTATTATTATATTTTGGGAATGATTCATGTTCTTATATAGCTGCATTGTTTTACACTTTCTGGATGTCCCATGATCATATTATAAAGTAGTTGTGTTCTGTGTTATAAATCAAGCACTGCCAGGAGTTGTTTAGTTTTGTTTTCCAATGTATTTCTTATCAGTAAAAAAATTGATGTGGTGCAAACAAATTTGTATTTTGAAAGTGTGGCCCAGAGAAAAAACTTGAGAACCACTGCTTTAGCAAAATCTAAAGCTTATTTCTCTCTGCTGGTTTTTTAAACGGGACTGGAATATATATTCAGAAATAAAACTAACAGTTCTAGCATTAGGATGAAAACTAAAATCATTATACAATGAATGAAGATTCTCTAATATGGCAAATGGTAAATATTACTCTGATTAACTGGTTGTCTAATTGAAAAATGCAAATTAGGGATCAGAATTAATATGTAAATAATGAAGATAATAAACCCTTTAAAACACAATTTGTTATAAAGTTTGCTGCAAGCAACCTTATGGCAAATTTCCTAAAGATGGTAAGCAAACTGTTAGACTGAAAATTCTGTACTGTGTGGCAGAAACAATTATCCATGTTATTTTTGATTTGATCTTCCTAGAACAGAAAGCCACATGTCAGTATCTGTTCACTGTATTCATGCTATCAAAACCAGATGTACTTGCGCAACACTACTGATTTCTGTAATGGGTATAAAAATATGGCCAAGATGTTCTGGCCTTGTGAAATGTGTTATTGATGGAGATCCAGCCGTAGATCAGCTAATGGTTGGCAAAGCATTTTAAATAAGGCTGGGTGAGATGTTGGCTGCTTTCTAAAAAAAAGTGAAGCTGTTGAATTCTCAAGAGAATGAGCATCATATCTCAGCTGCAGAGTTGCAAAATTAGAGAGCTTAGAAAGTAAGATCTTAATTACACTATTTAGGAAAACAAATATTCCCAGAAGTATTAATTGCTCCTTTTAGTTGCCTTAAGGATTTCAAGAGATTGAAATATATAATTGCACCTTTTATGGTTATTTCATTAACAGAATGTAGTTTCATGCTCTGATGCCCTCAAGCCAGGGCTTAAGGAAGGATGAATAGGAAGGTGCGTCCTTACTTTACACTGTCAGGAAATGGTTTGATGGTAAGAACCATGGTTGTAAAGCTTCTGATGTAAATAGACTAGAGAAAATGTTTGAAGAGAATTCTAATCAGGGGTTGGCAACCTAAGGCCCATGGGCCACAAGCTGCCCACAGGGGTTGTTTAACTGGCCCACGAGCCGCCCCCGAACTTAGCCACCCGCTCGGCGAGTCCCCATGTGCTGCACTAAACTGGCTCTGGAAATTGCGTCTGCGCAGATGCCGACACTGAAAATCACAGGCGTGGGCGCAATCCAGCCCACGGAGGGATCTCCACTGGAGTGAACCGGCCCAGGCGAGGTAAACCTTGCCGACCTCTGGTCTAATTTTGTATTAATTGGAAGCAATTCTAAGCACAATGAGGGTCCCCAAAACACAATTCAACCACTAACAAATCCCAGTTCCATATAAAAGTGAATATAAATTCTCATTTAAACAAAGTACCCTTACATGTGTAAGTTATGGTTACCCTATTGTATGTATCAACACCCTGATAATGGAGCACTGGTTAAAATCCATTTAAACAGATTGCAAGCGTGAGCCAGAGGAACAGTTGAGCTGAAAGGTGACTCCCCATTTACAAGGGGGTTTCATTCCGAATCCCCACGTGAGTTGGTGAAATCACATAAAATGGGTAGTTGCCTTTCAGCTGTATATTGTAATTTGAACTTTCTTTGGGCATGCTTGTACAGTGGTGCCCCGCAAGACGAATGCCTCGCAAGACGAAAAACCTGCTAGACGAAAGGGTTTTCCGTTTTTCGATGCGCTTCGCAAGACGAATTTCCCTATGGGCTTGCTTCGCAAGACGAAAACGTCTTGCGAGTCTTGCGATTTTTTTCGCTTCCCCCGCCTTTTTCTAAGCCGCTAATAGCCTTTTAGCCGCTAAGCCGCTAAGCCTTTAATAGCCGCTAAACCGCTAATAGCGCTAAGCCGCTAATAGGGTTGCTTCGCAAGACGAAAAAACCGCTAGACGAAGAGACTCGCGGAACGGATTATTTTCGTCTTGCGAGGCACCACTGTAATGTATTTGCAAACACCACTGTCTATGGTGCTTCTGGAAATTTGGACTTGCAGCATAACCTTATTTTGGATGTGATTGAACTGTGGTCACTGATTATCTATTCAGCTCTGTTTTTTGTCGTCATCCAGTCATGTTGCTTAGCACCTCTCCCTCTCACAAAACAATAGGCTAATGATAATCCAAGGCTTCTGGTCACAAAATGCATATGTCTCTTTCGAGAGACAGGATGAGGCAGCTGAGAGATTAAGAAGTTTCTGCTTTATTTAACTGCCTAGGAGCTATTCAAAGTGGCGGGGGGGGGGGAGATACCTACCTTGAACAGAAGTTTATACAGAAAGCTCAATTTACTTGAATTCCAAGTGTTCATAGAAGAAAAAAATATAAGCTTGAACTTAAGTAGATTCTTATTGATGTTTCCAAGAATCCAATTACATTTACTTATGAAATTTCTATGCTGCATTTCCTTGTTAGCATCCAACGTGGCTTACAGCAATATAAAATGCACAATGCAGTAAGAATAGTAAAATAAAAATAACAAAAGAGCACATTTTATTCACTTGCTTAAAAAGCATTTATACCCTGCTCTTCAGCTGAAAAAGGTGCCAGAGCTAATTGCAATGACCAGAAATGCTGCAGTCCTTGCCTCAGGCTAACAATATATGAGACGGAGCACAAAAGGAAAAGGGATTGGTAGGCACTAGTTCTTAATTAATAACTTCAGTGGGTAGTAATTCAGTGGTCTTAGAGGCTAACAGTACAATCCTATACATGTCTCTACTCAGAAGTTTGTTCCGTTGAGTTCAGCGGAGCATACTACTAGACAAGGGGGTGTAGATTTGAAGCCTAAGGATTCCATAAAAAAATCTCAGTATAACTAAGCTGGGATCATCTTGGTTACTGTAAAGCCTAATTTTAGCACATGTTGAAAATTGAGTTAGACTACTTTGAAAAGCTTTTATGGCTTTCATGAACTAAAACCTATTTGGAGGATCTGAGCAACGTAATACATTAAATTTGATTATTCAGTGTGTTAAGACAAAACTCTGGAGCTGAACAAAACCAGAAGGTTGACATTTTTGGATCAAAATCTTCAAGAGGACATTATTTTATAAGCTAAGTTTGATCTTGAAGCAAAGATATTTCTCTAGGAAAAGTAAAGGTACATGGAGACTGACTGGAGATGTAGGCTTTTTGCCAACAATAGCTCCATGACTGTTTTTGGGCTATAATACAACAGTATGGATGTTGTTTAATAATACTAATTTCTCTCCAGCTTCTCCCTTGATTCATTCCAGCACATGGGTAGGACTTACAGCCTCAGGAAACATTCAGGAAACTAGCAGTAGTATGGAAAAGTGAGACTACTAGTAATCCTAAGAATAAATACATTTTGATCCACGGCCTCCTAACTAAAATCTGTCAGAATTTATGTATGTTTTAGAATATCTTTCTTTATTTGAAGACAAGGGGGAGGGAGTCCCAGCCGCCCCACAAGTCAAAATTTATTTTTTTGTTTGCAACGGAGACTGGCGTCTAAGCAAGGAGTAAACAAGAAATTGTGGTATTTTAAAGTCATTTAATATAGCACAATTGACAATACAGATCAGTTTGGAAACCTGGAAGATGAGCATGATTGTTAAACTAATACTATGCTTCCTAAGGATAGTTGCTTGTAACTGCCCAATTTGAATGGTACTGCTTTTATTCATTGTGCTACTAAAGAATTTCATGAAAACATGCATTTTTATAAATGGATGGCTTACTAAGAAACTCTTTTCCCCACATTATTGAAATTCTAATAGATGATATTACTTAGCCACTTTGTGTAATATATGCAGCCTCAATTTGAATCTTTGTTTTTGTCCTAGGATGAAGACGATTGTGAAGATGGCTTGCCTAAGGAATTTTAAAAGGTGCAGACCACCTGATTGAAGATGGTGGTTCTGTGTCTTATCCCATTTGATAAGTAAAGTAAGTGGAATGATTATATCCAGTATTTTAAGTTGCATGATTACAGCAGAGATCTTCTAATAAAGCCAGAATTTAAGGGATTCAGAAATAATTGTAAGCAGATTTACTTAGCAAAGATAAATGTTTATGCTATATATAACAGATGATAAGTAAACAAAAACAATAGCAGTTCTTCAGAACTCCAACACCAGAAGTTTCAACAAGGAAGTAGACGGTGGCAGTAATTTGAGTGCTCTTCTATGCTGAAATATAGGCTTATGCTGCATGGCTTCTCACTTCTCTTTGGGGGTAGCTGCTTCATTTCTGCAGTGGAGATAAGTTTGGAAGGACCATCTAAGTGGAAAGTGTGGTGTTGTCAAGAAGCATAGGTGTGCTATTCAAATTGGGGTCTTGGAAGTTCCCTTTCAATGCAGTTTAGAGTAAATAGCACAACAGGTGTGGGTGGAATTTGCATACTTGCTTTTCTATTGCTTACATTTTTGTTATAGCTGTATAACTGTATATTTTTAAAATCAGAATGGTTTATATACACACACGCACTAAAAAACATGTAAAAAATTAAAATCTGAGATCACCCACCAAACTGTTACAGAATGAAGCTTTCTTGATGTTCTGCATAAGTTGGTGGTATACAAAAGTGTTTAGATGCCATTTAAAGTAAAAGGTGTGTGCTGAGTCCCTATTGGCACAACATTTGACAGCATTGGGCTAGAGGCTTGGGGTTTTGTTGTTGTTGTTGTTGCTGTCAGATGGGCCTTACTAACTCAGGATGACCAACGATGCTTCTGCAGATGATCTCAGTGACAGAGCTGAGATATAAGGGTTCAGGCAGTCCCTAAGGTAACCCGGACCTAAGTTGTTCAGGGCTTTGTAAATGTATACAAGGACCTCAATAGTAGATGGGCAACCATTGCAAATACATTAGCAATAGTGGCATATGTTGGCCATGTGCTCCCATCAACAGTATGGTGGACACTTTCTGCACCAGTTGCAGCTTCTAGACAGCCCCACATAGAGCAAATTGCAGTAATCCAGGTTACCAATGCATGGACTTCAGCTTAACTTGAATCAAAATCTTTAGTGTCTGCTGAATGCTATTGTTGGTTTGTTGTGCAGTGTACACACTGCATGACTAGAAGAATAGCAACTGTAAGAACAATATTTGTTAGGTTTGAAGTCTTAACAAATGTTTTGATATTTCCATTAATTAAATAAAATTGTATCTGTATTCTCAGCTAAGAATTTATCACTTGTTTTTCATTTCCAGTTGCCACTGTTCCATAAGCAAGTCATGATTACGTTAACTGAACTCAGATGTTTAGCAGATGCCCAATCATCATACCACATCCTGAAACCATGGTGGGATGTCTTCTGCTATTACCTCACCATGATAATGCTGCTTGTTGCTGTCCTTGCTGGAGCTCTCCAACTCACTCAAACTAGATTGTTATGTTGTCTTCCTTGCAAGCTTGAGTTTGACAATCATTGTGCAGTGCCTTGGGATCTGGTGAAAAACAACCTTAACGTATCCTCCAGCTCTGCAGAGCCAATAGTGCTCCCTCTTAGAATCCAGAATTACCTTCATCGACAGCAGTATTCTTACATTGATGCTGTGTGTTACGAGAGAGAGCTTCACTGGTTTGCCAAATTTTTCCCATACTTAGTGCTTCTTCATACTTTCATTTTTGCTGCTTGCAGTAATTTTTGGCTTTACTATCCCAGCACAAGTTCAAGGCTGGAACACTTTGTAGCCATACTACACAAATGTTTTGATTCTCCCTGGACAACACGTGCCCTGTCGGAAACAGTTGCTGAACAGTCTGTGAGGCCTCAGCCATTCTCCAAATCTAAGACCTTTCTTTCCTCTCCAAGCAACATAGCAGAATTGGAGAACAAGCGGCAGTCTGTCTCCTACTCGCAGACTGGGCTGGAAACAGCTGGAAGAGAGAGCTCTTCAAATGTTCTAGACAGAAAAGAAGGGGAGCAAGCAAAATCAATATTTGAAAAAGTCAAAAGATTCAGGGTGCATGTTGAACAGAAGGATATCATCTATCGTGTGTACCTAAAACAGATTGTGATCAAGGTCATTGTATTTATATTAATAATGATTTATGTTCCCTATTATTTAACCTTTATTACACTAGAAATTGACTGTGTGGCTGATATTCAAGTCTTCACTGGCTACAAGAGATACCAGTGTGTTTATTCACTAGCAGAAATTTTTAAAGTGCTAGCTTCATTTTATGTTGTCGTGGTGATCTTGTATGGCCTGACGTGCACTTACAGTTTGTTATGGATGCTGAGAAGTTCACTGAAACAATATTCTTTTGAGAAGCTGAGGGAGCAAAGTAATTACAGTGATATTCCTGATGTAAAAAATGACTTTGCCTTCATTCTTCACCTAGCAGACCAGTATGATCCTCTGTATTCAAAACGGTTCTCAATATTCCTCTCTGAGGTGAGTGAAAACAAGTTGAAGCAGATCAGTCTAAATAACGAGTGGTCTTTAGAGAGATTGAAAAGCAAACTGATACGAAATTCCCAGGATAAGATGGAACTTCACCTTTTTATGCTTAGTGGTCTTCCAGATGACATCTTTGAACTCACAGAGATAGAAGTTCTAACCCTAGAACTTATTCCTGAGGTTAAGCTTCCTGCATCTGTAAACCAGCTACCCAATCTCAAGGAACTGAACATTTATCATTCATCATTAACTGTGGAATTTCCAGCACTGCACTTCTTGGAAGAGAATTTAAAAATCCTGCGTCTAAAGTTGGCTGATATGGGAAAGATTCCACGCTGGATCTTCTATCTAAGAAATTTGCAGGAATTGTATTTGACTGGATGTTATATGCAAGAAAACCAGAATGGTCTCTACAATGAGGGCTTTCAGGATCTTGTGAATCTGAAAACAATTCACTTAAAGAATAGCCTTTCCCGCATACCTCAGGTGGTTACAGACCAGTTGCCTTCACTACAAAAATTATCTATTGACAATGAGGGGAAAAAACTTCTAGTGTTGACCAACTTGAAGAAATTGCTTAACCTGAGAACTTTGGAATTGATCAGCTGTGACTTGGAACGCATTCCACATTCTATCTTTAGCCTGAACTATTTGCATGAAATAGACTTAAAAGACAATAATATACGAACAGTAGAAGAAATCATTAGTTTTCAACACCTTGAGAACCTTTCTTGCCTGAAATTGTGGCACAACACCATCTCCTACATCCCAGTGCAGATTGGAGCTTTAGCAAACCTGGAGCAGCTCTATTTAAATCATAACAACATAAAAAAAATCCCACCACAACTTTTTCTTTGCCTAAAGCTACATTATTTGGACCTCAGTTATAACAAGCTAACATCCATTCCGCATGAAATCCAGTATTTAACAAACCTGCAGTACCTTGCTGTGACAAAAAATCACGTAAGTAGAAGCAAACTATTGGCGGAATTCAGCATTGCACTCTTGCAATCACTCCGTTTGTGCAAGCAGTCCAGCTTGCCAGATGGAACAGTACCCCTTCCCGTCTCCCTACACTGTCCTGGGAATTCCCATTCCCCACCCCTGCTCCAAGCTGATCTTGGGAAGTGCATGGCTGGTAGGGGGAAGCCCCATTGTACAAGCAGAAGTCCTTGTGCAGGGCTTCTGCTGCCAGGACTGGTTAGGTGAATCCCACCCTTTTGCTTTAAAGTGAATGAAAAATAAAAGCTAAGAAAAAAAGTTAATCGAGATTGAAGGCGTGGTAGAAGCCCAGTCCTGCAATATATCACAGCAGTGGTTGCCAAGCTTTTTTAATCCCATGGGCATATTTGCCAACCAGAAAACATGTGGGTACCACACACCTCAACCAGTTATATTCACTGCAAAAAAATGCTTTCCAATGTAGTAGTAGTAGTCCTGCTGCAGGCAGTGAACTAAAAACTTGTTCTGTGTTCTTGCTCTGGAAAGAAAATCCAATTTTCAGTACTTGAGTGGGGAAGTATTTTATCTTTATTACGAGTTCTTGTTGTATCTGTAGACTATAGGAAATCCTATCTAGTCAAAACCATTTTCCTGACTTCTTATTTCAGCTAGAACAGTAGCATACAGCATTCATAAAGCTTAGCTTACTTCAATCTCTTCATACATCATTGGTTTCAAACCTATTTGTCTCCTCCCCTGCCCCATTAGCCTGCTTCAAATGTAGGTATTAAGCAGGGAGCTCAACATCTAACTTTTGATGTGCCGCCATGAAGGATTGTTTCACTGGGCTTATAGCAAGTTGCTCAGATTATTAATTCTTTGCTTATCGTTCTTTTGTTTATTTGAAAATTAGGCATAAAACAGGTCATGTGAATCAGCCAGGGATTTCCACAATGAAATAGGCATTTTCTCAACCATCTACATTTATAAAAGAATATTGCAGAGGGGTGGGGAAGGATACAGAGAGATAGCCCTCACTGAATGCATGTATCCTAGGCTCTAGATCAGCATGATTTAGGAGTACATACATTAACTGATTTTGTGTGTTTGTGTGTGTAAATTAATGACCTTACAATATTATGTATTTTTTTATTTTTTCTCTATAGATTGAGGCACTTCCAAATGAATTATTTCAGTGCAGAAAGCTACAGTATCTCCTACTGGGACATAACAGCCTGATGCATTTGTCCCCTAAAGTTGGGGAACTCTCCAACCTTGTTCAGCTAGAGCTTAATGGAAACTACCTGGAGTTGCTGCCTGCCGAACTGGAGGAATGTAACTCTTTGAAACGGAGCTGCTTAATTGTAGAAGAACACTTGCTAAAAACTCTCCCCCTTAGGGTAACAGAGCATATGCAAATGTGCTTGGACAAAGTCTGAGCTTGAGATTCTCTGTGCAGAGCAACAAATTCCTCTTGAGAGTTTTAAATAATAGCTCTAAAGGAAAGTATAGCTGGCAAGAAGGGAAATGCAAGGGTGTTGTTGATTTTCCTGCAGCTCTGTGCATTGACCCAAGTTTCTGCTGATAAAAAACCCCCACACACGTTTAAGTCTTAAACAAAAATAAATATTAGGCAAGTATATGCATACATATATACCATGAATAATTTGAAACTGGAATTAAAGAGTGAAAGTTAAGTGAATAGTGTAATCGTGGTTTTGAATGACTGGGAAAGGTGAATATATAGTTTGTCCGAGTCTAGTAAGGGTCGTTTCCCCATAACATTTTATTGTGTAGTTTTCAACAAATGACTGTAAAGACCAACAAACAAAGGATGATATCCAATTGTTTTATCCTTCTTGCAAAGTGGACTTCTATATATGCAAACAGGACATACCATTTATCCCACTCTGCAGCTCCCCATCAGCCCTCATCATCTGCATTGGAGGGTTGGGGGATCCTCCACAGCAGATTGGATGTTGACTGCAGGAGGAGGGGAAGGAGAAGTGTAATCCAATGCAGCAGGAGACAACTCTGGATCTCACCCATAGCTTTTCACACATTCACCATGATTGGGTGTTGGTGACAGTGGGAGGGTCATTGTGAAGACTATAGGATAGTTTTCACAAAAACCCTCCCTCTGTCACCACACCACTCATTTTATTATACTGGGGAAATGATTTCAAAGTTGTGTTTTGCAACAGGAGATGATACTTTTGTTTATAAGTAAGTAAGAAATTACTGTGTACACAAGTACAGTTTTCTAGTGCTTGTCTCTAATCCTGAGGCAGCAATAGAACCTTAATATATGATGTAGGAGGTCATTTTCAATATCTGGTTTTTCTTTTCTTTTCTTTTTTTGTCTTTTGGTATTTTCTTGCATCTCTCCAATTGGAGTTCTGATGCACTACTGGGAGATTTCAAATATGTATGTCAAGTTACAAGCAAATAAGGAGAACACTGCTGTTTTTAAGTATTAACAGATAATGTAGAGGATTTTACAAAAAATAATAATCCAACTCTAACCTTAAAAATGTTTGGGTAACATCAATTTATCCCTTATTCATACACAAAGAATGGTATGTTACAGCAGTTTTCCAAAGCACATGACTAATTTAAGTCTTACTGATTTCAGCCAGTCTATTCTAAGCATGACAGGCTGAATCCAACCTACGATACTCGTACATCTTTCATCTTCTTTAGTGACTTACATAAAGAAAGGTATACCGTATTGTTCGCTCTATAGGACACACTTTTTCCCCTCCAAAAATGAAGGGGAAATGTGTGTTCGTCCTATGGAGCGAATGCAGGCTTTCGCTGAAGCCTGGAGAGCGAGAGGGGTTGGTGAGCACCGACCCCTCTCGCTCTCCAGGCTTCAGGAAGCTATCCGCAAGCCTTCAGAGTGCGGCGGGAGTGCCCACCGGGCTCCGAAGACTTGCGGATAGCAGCCTGCAGCCCGAAGCCCGGGGAGCATAGTGATGCGCACCCTGGGCTTTGGGAAGCTATCCGCAAGCCTTCGGAGCCTGGCGGTAGTTCCCACCAGGCTCAGAAGGCTTGCGGATAGCAGGCAGCAACCCAAATCCCGGGTAGCGCAGCACTGTGCACCCCGGGCTTTGGGCAGCTATCCGCAAGCCTTCAGAGCCCGGCGGGAGTTCCCACTGGGCTCAGAAGGCTTGCTGATAGCAGCAAGATCCGGGAGCAAAGGCGAGGTTGCGCACAACCTGCCCCCGCTCCCAGACCCGTTCTGGGGGCTGGGGTCGGGGGAAGCTCGGGTTTCCCCCAGCCCCGCAGCTAAAAAGGAAGCCAAGACAGCGAGCGGGATCCATCCTGCTCGCTGTCTTGGCTTCTGCCAAAGCCGCACGCAGCCTCTCCCGGCTGGAGAGGTTGTGCGTGGCTGAAGAGGAAGCCAAGACAGCCAGTGGGATGGATCTCGCTGGCTGTCTTGGCTTCTTTGCTCTTTGGGGCTGGGGGGGGAATATATATTTTTTCTTTATTTCCCCCCCAAAAAAAACTAGGTGCGCCCTATGGTCCGGTGCGCCCTATAGAGCGAAAAATACGGTAATATGAACACTCCCAGATAATCTGAGAGTAAGATAATTCTTTATGTAAGTCACTAAAGAAGATGAAAGATGTACAACTATCATAGGTTGGATTCAGCCTGTCATGTGCTTTGGTAAACTGCTGTAACATACCATTCTTTGTGTATGAATAAGGGATAAATTAATCAGATTAATTGAAATCTCACTGATTTCAATATTCTAAGCATGACTGCGGTGGTGGAGCTTTCTGATATCATTCAACCTGATCTCACAAAATCAGCATACGGAACACTACGTTACGTGGCAGAATAAGGTACATTTTCTCTGAATGCATGCTAACAAGTTTACACCATAAACAGGGGAGGCAAAAAAATATGATGATGATGTCTCAGCAGCATTGAAGTAGATACCATACCCAAATGGTATGGTATGTTGTGTCCTTCTCAGCTGCCCTCCAGGTGGAAGAGTGCCTAAATGTGCCCTCCCAAAAAACTGACCCAGGGCAATGGCCCCATCAGACCACACCCTGCATGACTGGCTCCAACTGCATTTGGGTATGGCATCTACTTCAGTGCTGCTGAGACATCATCTTCATCTTTTTTGCATCCCCTGTTTATGGTGTGAACTTGTTAGCATGCATTCAGAGAAAACGTATCTTATTCTGCCACATAATGTAGCATTCCATATGCTGATTTTGTAGATCAGGTTGCATGATATCAGAAAAGTGCTTGTGTAACTATTTTATATTGACTATTTTTTTTTACTTTGCTCCTTTTTAAAAATAGCTTACTTTATCTTAATGCCACAAAACTAAGTTAATCTCTCCAGTAGTATCTTACCATGTTGACATCAGTCCATCACAATAATTACATTCCAAAGACCTTTTTAAATAGCTCTCAGGGAACAAAAAAAAATAAGCTTTGTGTTTTTTCATGGATCTGATACAGGTCCAATTCTCCCGGGTTGTTTTCCCCCCAAGGTGCGATTTATTACTAATTTGGGGTACTTTTCACATCTGCATGCCAAGAAACATGTTTCACGTTTGGTTTCTAATATTCAAATTAAGTTTTGTTACATAACGGAACACAAATATGCTTAATGCATAGGACTACATTGGGCAACAAAGTCTAGATGTTTCAGAATCTACCCAGATGGGGCTCTTTCCTGTCATGTAAAAAGATACAAACCTGGAACAACATGGCAATGAGAGAGTGGCTGCTGTTGAGGAATTTGTACTAGGAAAAGATTGTGGACATAATTAGCTTTTTGGCCTTCATGTTACCTTGTTCACCCATCTCAAAATCTCATTTTTGCCTCTGTCATCTTTTACTTCTTTCCAGCTCTGTTCTGGTCCTACTCAGCTTCTGACTTGTGCTTGCCAACAGTCATCTCACAAATAGATGTCATTAATGTTGGTGTACGGTGGCACCGGAATGGTTTAAATCACTGTGGCCAGAACTCTGTTCTGAAACTTTTAAAGTCTTGACATTGTTGTATATGTGTTGTGTATGTGTTATAACTGTGTTAAGAGTTATAAAACATTCACAAAGATATTAAAACTTTTAAAGTTTCAGAAATTGATGGACACCTTTGTTTATTTTTAAAAGGAAGTTGGTTGTTTCCATTTTAAAGACCTGCTTTTTGAACAAAAAAATCAAATAAAAAACCAACTGGGCATTGCTGAGAACACACTTGTAGAGATTACTGACACTCTTCATTTTAACTATATCATATGTTGGTCCACCTTTTAAGTAGTGCATGGACTTAAGCACGGCCTTGATTTCTTGAACATTCCCTCCACTCGGATTATTTTATCATCCAACACAGGGGTAGCTGATGTAGTTCCCTCCAGCTGCTCGTGACTACCACTCCTATCATCACTGACAATTAAGCTGGCTGCGGCTGGAAGGTACCATGTTGGCACCCCTTTTTTGGGCATTTTGAAATGCATAGTAGTAACATAAAAAAAAACTTCTGTGCTATATTTCTAAAAAACCAGTGAGACCAGGAAAGGGCTATTAAAGAAAGCATGGATAACATTGACTCGGAAAGGTGAAGATCTCTTTAAAAGGCTATGGCCGTAACACACAGGTATGAGGGCGTGATCATTTGCCTAAATACGGACTAACTCAGAGTTAAATAACACGAGCATAAGAATTTAAAAAGTCTGTTTGATTAATGTCTTAATCTTTTTGCAAAGCATTTTTCACAAACAGCAAGAAATCTAAAGGCTGGTAATTCTGGCCTTATTGCATGCCACAGTGTGCCTTTTGTTTCCTTTCTGTATTCTGACCTCACACTTCAGATGGCAGAGCTGAACTGTGAGTATTTTTGAAAACTGCTTTATTTCTCATCTTCATACTTAATATATTGCATTGAAGAGAATTTCAACAAGCTAAATCACCTTCCTAATTATAGGACAAGCTATGTTAACCACAACCCATATTTGTGTATAGCATTTATTTTATACACAATGGCTTTTCAGTTTGTTTCACTGTGATGCTGCTGGGGGGTAGAGAGGGAATGTTTAAATATGGTCTTGCATATACTGGCAATTTCTGTTGAAAAAAATATTTGAATAAAATTCTATTAAGTTGTCTATGCTCAATCCTGTATTTGTGTCATCTTAATTTTTTCTTCATTAAAAATGGGTCAGGATTTAGTGACGCCTGGAAGGCTAGCATTAAAAACAGCCCCACTTAACCCAAAGGTAGTCATTTTTCTTTTGTTCCTTTTAATTTAAATGGAAGGAAATTATGCATATGTATTAACTCACCTATAAGATGTAAGTGCTGACTTAGTAAGCTACTTATCTAGTATGAAGGAATTAAAATATTAGCAGCTTTTAATAGCTAAACACCAGTCTGATACAATTTAAAAATATATACTCACATTTTTAAAATATTAAATGTTTAGATTTTAATTTTTATTTACTTTCCCACGGGAAAAAATCCAAATGTTCTATATAGCTACTGCCAACTGCTTTTATAGCAGCTGTCCAAAACATTGAAAAATATTTGGTTACTTGGTATAGCAACTGTCCCCTCAGGCCTCGGGTTCTAATGACTTGGAAGGCTTGTCTTAATGCAGAATGTGGAAGTACACCAGTGCAATAGAAAACTACATTTAAAAAAACGAATTTTACCAGTTTTGTAGAAGCTTTTAAAAAGGCATGTATAAATAAATCCAGCTCTGTGCAAGGTCTTAAAATTTTCAGCATCAAAACGTAAGTGAGCAGTTTGGACCAACTTTATGTTAAGGTGAATTCTGCATGGTGGCTTTGACTACCATAAAGCATTCAATGATTGGGGCATAATAAGCTCTCTTGTGCCATATTATAATCTTCAGCAGCTACTGAGAGTGCACTCTTGAATAAACTCTTAACAAAGTTTTTCCACAATAATATTACATAATGTCCAGTGGCTGGCAGAGAATGACTTCCAAATTTGAGGGGAGGCGGTTCCCCACCCCTGCCAAACAAATCAGTGCTCAGCATGTATTTGCTATCGTATGTTTTCTGAAAGAAGTGTAGAAATAGGGACCAAACTTCCACAACCTACTTAAGGAGGAGGGGAGTGTGTGCAGAGAACAAAATGGTCTCTGGTGCAGACACGCATTAAAACCCTTCTCCCTCGGTGTTTGGCAGATTCTCTGTGCAGAAATTTCAATGGCCAGTCTCTGCTCAGCTTTGGTCTGGGTTGCTGGAGTGGCAGCTAGGTGTAAAAGCAAATTTTAACACATTTTACACATTTTTAGAAGCCACAACTGCTACTTTCCCCAAGCTTTTCAGTGGGCTAGAAATCTTGAGTTGTGATTTGATACCTGAGCTTTTGCATTTGACAAAATATAACTAGAGGTGATTACTTTAGCATAGTCTGATCTTCGTTGCTTTTGATAGGAAAGCCCAGGCAAGATGCCACCAGCATGGGCAGACCAATCTTTTCTTGAGGAAAGCTTATGTCATTTAATCAAAAACGCCACCAAGATCTAAGAATCGGAGGCAGGATGCCTCAGAATGGCAGTTGATAAGAATCCCTTTGGAATCTGGTTGGCCACTGGGAAGAGGAGGCTGGATTAGACAGGCCTTCGGCCTCATCCAAAAAGAAACTTCTTAAATTCTTAATAATGGTGTAGATCTCTTATTCTGTAATTTAGCCTATTTGCACTTTTACAACAGCCCACTAATATCTTTTTTTTTCCTCCTCCCCCTTCCCACAAACTGATAATCTTTCAAAGGTATGTGCAGTGTTCTAGATATTCTTATAATTTGTTTAAAAACTTGACAGATAACTTTTATTTTTAAAGCTCTGTTTGCACATAGTGCTAGAGAAAACCAAGAGAAAACCTTTTCTACAGCTCATAGTTTGTCTAGAGTGAGACTAACATTAAGCTTGGGTTAAGACTTAACACTAAGCTAAACCATGGTTTGGCCCTGGGTAGCATGAGAGCACTAGGGTAGAGGCACCGTGGCCATGATCTTTGCTCCAGGAATCCAGTTTGTATAAACCATAGTTTGGCTTAGCATTACATGCAAACAGCACCATGTTTAAATCATTTGAAAGGTATACTTCTGTTTCTTCTTTTTTCTGGATCAACAGGGTTTTGTCAAAATCGCCCTGCTAAAAGTTTTCACTGTAAATCAGGGTCTTTGAAATGAAGGCAACTTTGAATCTGAACTGAAAATAGGAATTTTACTGATGCTCAGTTCCTGATACTTGCTTCAAGCTATAGTTATTTATTCAAGGGCTTGAGAGAAAATTTCTGGTTCCATCTATTGCTCTCTGGTTCCATCTATTGACACACTAGCAGGATTTGGGAAAGTCATGCTGCTGTACTCAAAGACCTAAATGAACATACTCTGTTTTGTAATACTTGACTTCTTTTTTTTTGCATTGGGCATGTGTGTGAAGACAGCTTTCTTCAAGGACCCTTCTGCTAAAAACACTACACAATTTTACAAGATATGACTAATTCTAGATGAATATGAAATCAATCCAGTTGGACTGAGTTCGCACACTTCATCCAAGTCCAGCACCATTCCAGAGTATGATTATCTCTTTAAGATTACATACAGTGCTTTTTTCTGCGAGTACACAGTACTGGCACTTTTTTTTCTAGAAGAAAAGCACTGATTAAAAGTTTGGCACTTACTATAGCAACATCATGGTGAGTAGCGGCACCCTTTTTTCTAGAAGAATATACATATAATCACATTTTCACATACACACACATGCACACATAGTAGCTTAGAATTTTTGCAAACTCTTACTAACTAGTACAGTGTGATCATCTTAGCAATAATGTTAAGATCCCCTCCTTATCAACTTTCTTTTGCAAAATGCAGTCTTTTCCTGAAATTTACATCACATTTAATGTAGTTTGAAATACAAATTTTAATTTAATCCACCATCGGTCCTGGTTTTCATAGTTCACATCTGTGTTGATTGTCTAAGGGCCTTCAATGCAATTGGTTAGGTCAAACTGTGTAAACCAAACTATCCTTCCACCCTGGTGTCAGAAAGGAATCAGAAATGAAAGGACTTTTTTGTCTATGGTCTAGCTGAGATTCTGGAAATCTGAGGGGGAGGGGAGGAATTCCCATTTCACATTCCTGATAAAATTGACGCAGTCTAAACATAACACCGTATGTTTTCTTCCTTTTTTCCCCATCACACCAAAATACATCAACAGCAGAAGCACAAAGTCTGCTTTCAAAGTACCAACTGTGGGGTTTACATTTAAGGAAAGTAGTGGAATTCTTTTGGACTGCACCAGTTTGGAATACAGGTGGCAACCAGGGGATTACATTACTGATTACAAGTGGTGCTGTTGTCTAAACCACTGAGCCTCTTGGGCTTGCCAATCAGAAGGTTGGCAGTTTGAACCCCTGCAACAGGGTACAGTTGTTCTGTCCCAGCTCCTGCCAACCTAGCAGTTCGAAAGCACACCAGTGTAAGTAGATAAATAGGTACCGCTCCAGTGGGAAGGTAAATGGTGTTTCTGTGTGCTCTGGTTTCTGTCATGGTGTCCTATTGCACCAGAAGCGGTTTAGTCATGCTGGCCACATGACCCGGACAGCTGTCTGCGGATAAATGCCGGCTCCCTCGGCCTGAAAGCGAGATGGGCGCCGCAACCCCATAGTCTCCATTGACTGGACTTAACTGTCCAGGGATCCTTTACCTTTTACATTACTGAATTCACTATTACTCCAAAAACTTTCCACATGGTAACTGCTGCCCTCCGGATGTTTTTGGATGTAGCTTCCATCAACTTCAGCCAACAGGGCCAAAAGTCAGCGATGATGGGATCGCTGGCACACTAACTTTCCATCTGTAGCAAAACATATCCAAATGTACTTATATGTACCCTGCCAAGCATTCTTCTGGGGCTTTAGAAATAAAACATACAATCTCAAGGCATACTCCTGTTTTTAAAAGCTTGCTTCAGTTTCTCGGATAACCATTCTACCAGATGTCTGATTCCCCTATATTCGCAAACAAGCTAAAAAAAAAAACCTCTGCATAGTTTGTAAACATTGTTTTGTTTAATGTGAAACCTAACTGATTTCAAATGGCATGAGAACGGGGAGGAGGAATGGCACTTCCAAATTTTACTTTAAATGATAGAAGTTTATATTTGAAACACTGTCCATGTTCCAGAATTATTGATGCAGGCAAGTTTCTCCGAACATCGAGGGGAAACAAGGCTTTTAAAGTTTATATTCTCCAACCGCCGTCAGAAAAGAACTTGCATCCTACGAGTATCCCCACAAAACTTTGCAGTCAAGCATACACATACAAAATGTTGCAAAGAGTCTCAGAACCAGTGTCTGAGCATGTCTGTCACAAATACTAGCAGTGCTGGCTAGAGCTGATAGGAGTTTGGAGTCCAACAACATCTCGAAGGCTCACCAGTTCCCTATCCTTGGCTGAATCTACACATATATAAAAAAACACTGTGAAAGTGCATATATTTAAAAAAACTTTAAAAAATATATGGAATTTGCCATTAGCTCACCAGCTCCATTTGTATAATGCACTTAAAATATTATACTGTATTTGCAGCTCTATAGCTGAGTCCCTTGACATGCTCCCTGACTCTGACCTGGTTTGCTTCGGCTCACATAAAAACAAGAGCATTGCCCCAATGGCATTTGTAAATACCCTTGCCCAACAGGAAAGAACTCTTGTGTGTGGAAGATTGGGGGAAGAAGTTCCCATTCTCCTGAACTTTGGCTGAACTGGTCTTCTCATGTTCCTTCTTGTGTACCAGACGAGATCATTAAAGCTCCTCAGTTTATCCTGAGAATTTTGTGTGGTGTTGTTGCTTTAATTGAGCAGCTGAATAAATACAGTGTCTTTCATTCTTCAGGGCAGGGACTGCTAAGAAGATCAAAGCAGTCTCTTGAGGGCATGGAGTTGAGATGAAGGAATATCAAGTCATAAGGCTACTTGGAATAGCCATGCTGTGAAATGCATGCCACAGAGAATAGGGGTATGCGTGCATGTGTGAGAAGAGAGGAAGTAAGGCAAATATAGAGGGATAATTGGAAAGTGGGGGGCAAAAGACTGGTACACTGTGGGTATCTTTCCCCCCTCCTGCACTGCTAATGGCAGCGGGGGGTGGGAGGAGTGGTTTTGATCAGAGAAATATGGGAAGGATTAACCCTCTCCTCAGCACAATGTCCACAATCAAATTATACCCTCCCCCAATATTCTTTTGAAAACACACAAAATATGCACCATAGAATCACGGAATCATCCAGTCCAACCCCCTGCAATGCAGGAATCTCAGCTAAAGCATCCATGACAGGTGGCCATCCAACCTCTGCTTAAAAATCTCCAAGGAAGGACAGTCCACCACTTCTCATGGGATTCTGTTCCACTGCCAAACAGTTCTGTCAGAAAGTTTTTCCAAATGTTTAGCCAGAATCTCCTTTCTTGTAACTTGAAGCCATTGCCTCAAGTCCTACCCTCAAGAGCAGGAGAAAACAACCATGCTTCCTCTTCCACGTGACATCCCTTAAGAAGAAGAAGAGTTTGGATTTGATATCCCGCTTTATCACTACCCTAAGGAGTCTGAAAGCGGCTAACAATCTCCTTTTCCCTTCCTCCCCCACAACAAACACCCTGTGAGATGAGTGAGGCTGAGAGACTTCAGAGAAGTGTGACTAGCCCAAGATCACCCAGCAGCTGCATGTGGAGGAGTGGGGAAGCGAACCTGGTTCACCAGATTACGAGTCAACTGCTCTTAACCACTACACCACAGATGGCTATCATATCTCCTCTCAGACTCCTCTTTTCCAGGCTAAACATACCCAGCGCTCCCCATAAGGCTTAGTTTCCAGACCCCTTGATCATCTTGGTTGCCCTCCTCTGCACATGTTCCAGCTTGTCAACATCCTCCTTAAATTGTGGTGGTTAGAATTGGACAGAGTATTCCAGGTGTGGTCTGACCAAGGCAGAATAGAGTGGTACTATTACTTCCATTATCTGGATACTATACTTCTGTTGAATAGAATAGCTGCATCAAGCAAGCCTATCCCAGATCTTCCACATCACATCCAGTTTCACCCCGAGTTTTCAGAATTTCAGAATTTGTCTGGGTTTTATGAATGCTCATATGCACAAAGGCCACTTCACCTGTGTTTGTATCACAGCCTTTGCATCATGAGCACGTTCTTCTCTATCAAGGCGAAACACCAAGTGTCCTGGAGGCATCTAAGGTCAGGCCACTGGCACCAGTTGGACTTTACTGTCAGCAGGTGATTGACACTGAAGTGTGTTCATGTCAGACAATTTTGTCTACCTGGTTTCCACCATAACCAGCAACCTCCCCATTGACACTGAGCTGGACAAGCGTATTGGCAAGGCTGCCAGGGCAATGGCTCACCTCTCCAAAAAGGTATGGGAGAATGTGATGGTAGCATCCAATACCAAGATGAAGGTCTACCAGGCTTGTGTGATGAGCATGCTGCTTTATGGAAGTGAGTCATGGGCAACTTCCAACCACCAGGAGCAATGCTTCCATGCCTTCTACATGAACTGCATCAGGGAGATTCGGGGCATCACATGACAGGACAGTCTCAAACAAAGATGTGCTCTTCCAGGCCCACATTCCCAGCTTGTGTGCACTCCTGTCTCAACAATGTCTACACTGGCTTGCTCACGTCCACAGAATGAAAGATGGCAGGATCCCCAAGGACGTGCTGTACAGGGAGCTAACTTCAGCAAATGACCAAAATAATCCATTGAATTATGGGTCCAAAAGACTGGATATGTTTTCTTTGTATTGATTTGCAACACAGGTAAATTATACGTAAAATAAAGAAGAACAAAATAATATTGTTCATTTGGCCGTGATCTAGAAACACTGGAAAATGGTGGAAATACATGGAGCGTTATAGCAAATATGCAATCCTAAGGCAATATTTACATGTGACTTTGAAATACGGGATTTGTTCTCTAAAAGGAGATTACTTATTTCAAAGCTTAAGATCTTTTTAAGATTATGGGGATTAACTTTTTTCAGTTTAATGCCGAATCTCCCCATTTATCAAAGCACGGACAAAATCTTTTGCTTGATGAATTGCAGAAGCAGTGATGAAAGGGCTATAAATGAAAGACTCACACAGATTATATATATTTTCAGAACACGAGAAAGGCATGCACAGATTTTCCCTCTTCCCAGAACATTGACATTGGAACATTTCCCTCTCCCAAGATACTCTGGAGCTGACCTAAAGTTGCCCTTCTCTTACTGTGGAATTTCAAAGGGATATTCCAGTGTGAAACTGCCGAGTTAAAATGTATCAAGGGATTTTATTTGTCTCTGGGGCATGAATAAAGTTATTAAGGCTTCTTGTCACACTGCAGGTGTTAAGTTACTTAGCAGTATTAGGGTGACTGCTAAGACTATTCCTGTGAAGAGTGACTTAACTGATTTGTAACAGAATGTGATTTCTGTAGTTCCATCACCATTTGGCCTGGCTGCTCATACTCCCCACCCACCCCAAATAAAGATATACCCACCAACTAAGGATAGACACTTTGTGTATCTGATGAAGTGGACTCAATGCTTTGGGTGGAAAGAAAAGGACAAGTAAAAAGAGAACAAATTGCGACGATCGCATGTATGTTCACTACAGGATGTTACTTACCAGCATGGGAAACTGTTCTTGCCATCTGTTAGTTTATGGAGAAGGAAAGTGTGGCATGTTAGGTTGAATGAATAACATCACCATCTATAAACATTCATAGGGAGGAAGAAATCTCAGATAACCTTGGGGGAAATTGGATTTTATTTACGTATTCAATTTTGAAATCAATCAAGACCTAGAGAACCAGCATTGGTGGGCATTTGGACTATTCCATAAATTCATTTTATATAATATGGAGAAGTAGGCTCCAATCGGAAATATGTTTAAGTCAATGGCCTTTTTAAAATATGTCCCAGTTAAGCTTTTGGTTTGTGTATGAGTGGGTGGAGATTTTAAGAGAGGCATGATTTGAAGTGGAATTGAAACCACAAAAAAGTAAGTATCACAGGCAAGAAGAGGGCAAGAGCATTTCTATGCCACTGGGAGTCTGTCCTAGTCATGGGCACAGCCAGGATTTCTTTGAGGGGGGCAAAAAATTGCTTAGCTTTTTTTAGATCGCCCCCTAAAGTTGTTGATCTTTTTTGGGAAAACCATGAGTAAAAAATACCCACCAGAACCTCAGTTAATTGAGTACTTTCCATGCTCCTAGTCATACTTTTTCAGATTGTAGCATTTTGGGTTTGGGGTTTTAAAAATATATATATAACAAAAACCATGTCACACTAAACCATGGCTTAGCAGAAATGATCCAATCAGCACTTCAACTCCAGTCCTGTTCTTGACTCCTCAAAATATTCCATCAACAGTGTCTCCGAAAAAATGTACACATCACTTCGGAAGGCAGGCGAACTAATGCCAGTGTACTGGAAGAAGCAAAGATCACCAGTGTCAAAGCATTGATTCTTCAACATAAATTTTGTTGGACTGGTCATGTTGTGCGGATGCCTGATTATCATTTCCAAAGCAACTATTCTATTCCAAACTCTAAAATGGAGAGCGTAATGCTGGTGGTCAACAAAAGAGGTTTAAAGACTCTCTCAAAGTAAATGTAAAAAAAAAAAAGGAGTATAAACAGGACAATTGGGAAACACTGGCCTGAAAGTGCTCCAGTTGGAGGACAGCCTTTACCAAAGGTGTCATGGACTTTGAAGAAGCACAAACTCAGGACGAAAGGGAGAAACGTGCTAAGAGGAAGACACATTTGGCAAATCCACACCATGATCAACTCCTGCCCAGAAACCAATGTCCCCACTGTGGAAGGACGTGCGGGTCCAGAAATGGCCTCCACAATCACTTAGGACTCACTGTTAAGACCGTGTCCATGGAAGACAATCTTTGTTGTTGTTGTTTAGTCGTGTCCGACTCTTCGTGACTCCATGGACGAGAGCACGCCAGGTACTTCTGTCTTCCACTGCCTCCCGCAGTTTGGTCAAACTCGTGCTGGTAGCTTTGAGAACACTATCCAACCATCTCATCTTCTGTCGTCCCCTTCTCCTTGTGCCCCCCATCTTTCCCAACACTGGGGTCTTTTCCAGGGAGTCTTCTCTTCACATGAGGTGGCCAAAGTATTGGAGCCTCAGCTTCAGGACCTGTCCTTCCAGTGAGCACTCAGGGCTGATTTCCTTCAGAATGGATAGGTTTGATCTTCTTGCAGTCCATGGGACTCTCAAGAGTCTCCTCCAGCACCATAGTTCAAAAGCATCAATTCTTCAGCGATCAGCCTTCTTTATGGTCCAGCTCTCACTTCCATACATCACTACTGGGAAAACCATAGCTTTTACTATACGGACCTTTGTTGGCACGGTGACGTCTCTACTTTTTAAGTGGCTGGCTAGGTTTGTCATTGCTTTTCTTCCAAGAAGCAGGCTCTTTTAATTTCGTGGCTTACTCAGGTACAAGTGATCGCCAAAGTAGAAGACATGGGGCTAAGCCAGGGGGTGTCTCGGCGTACCCTCGCCGCCTACCCCTCTCCCTCCTTGCACGCCAGCCTGCTAGCTGGGGGGAGCCACGTGCGCGCGCCGGCGTCGGAGCAGGGCGCGGCCCGGAGGTGGCGGCCCGCGGCAGCAGCAGTGGGCGGAGAGAGCGGCTGTTGGAGGAGGAGGAGGAGACGGAGGAGGGACGCGCGGGGACAGCGGCCTCGGCACTCTCGGCGCGGATCCTGGTGGGGAGCATCGGCAGCGCCACCGCCGCCGCCGCCGCGCTCGGCAATGGAGGAAGAGGACGCCACCGCCCTCCGCCCGTGATCCGTCCCCGCCACGATCTCTGTCCCCACCGAGGTGAGCGAGGATGGAGCCGCCACGGCGCGCCCCTTTCCCCTGGAGCGCCCTTTTTCCTTCAGCCTTTGGAAATGAAATTGGGATTTGGGGATGGAGGGTAGAGCCGCCTCCAGGCGGCGGTGGGGAAATAGCGGGGAGACTCTCCAAGCAATGGGGAGGGGTGTGTGGATCGGGGTCCGTCCAAGCGCGCGCTGGAATACCTCGGGGCGGATTTGAGGTCTTTCCTTCCCCAGAGTAGGATCCTACGGAGGAAACGTGGCATCGGGGAGTTGCTGTGTGGCCATGCAGCGTGCATGACCCTGGCACCGAAATTTGTGCGTGCTCGGCCCCTTCATGGGGAATTTTGTGTGTGCTCGGGCACCCAGAGCCCCAGGGAGTTGGCACCTATGGGAGGGTGGTGGATCAGGGTTTCATACCTCGGGGCGCCGTCCAATACTCGCCTCCTGCTCACACCCTAGTCTTTCCGTCCCCAGAGTAGGCTCCTGCCCCCTTTGGGGCCAGAACCGGACTAGGAAGGAAGACGGAGGGAAAAACGTGGCTCCGCGGCATTGCTATATGGCCCCAAGCGGGCTCGCCCTCCCGCCCCGTCTGGCTGCTCCGGACGCGCCAAGCCAGGAGCCTGGTGCTTATGCGCCTCTGCAGGGAGACCAGGAGCGAGCCGTTAGTCGCCTTCCCCGCCGCGCTCTGTCCTCGCCGGCTTCCTGCGTGGAGCCACCGCCTGCATCTCTTTCTTTCTCTGGGGAAAGTTGTGGCTTCCTCCAAAACAAATCCCCGCCGCGTCTCAACTCGAGCCGGACTCCCTTTGTTTGTTCCCGCACGGCTTGAGGACGTGTGGAAAAGTTGACAACGGGAAGCGCCTCCCTCCCTTTCTCAGACGGGACCCTGCCGTCGTTTCGGTAGCCAGCTTCGCATTGCCTCTTCCTAGGCAGCCTCTTAGAGGGCGAAGGCGGAGCGCGCAAAGGAAACCAGAGGCAGATTCAGGACTGGCTGGCTGAAGAATTTAGATCGACAGTTTAGTGAGAGTGGAGGGGACTCACCGAGGCTGTGATGTGCAGTTGTGGTCCTCCAGAGATTGATGGACTCCAACTTCCATCCAGCGTTCGAAACTCCCATTGTTCTAGGCATGTTTTGCGACAGGGAAATTTGTTAATGCGAGCAGTTTCTGAGCTCTGAGCACAGTACCACCCCTAAGATTTCAGATTAAAACTGCAGAGTGGAAGGAAAGGAGGACCTTTTTCTGCCTCCCCACTTCCAGCTACTCTCTGAAGACTGGAGAAGAGACCCTCTGAAGAATATTAGGGGGTTGGGCACGGGAAGGACTTGACCCTGTGAAAAATGAACACAAGATTTTAGCTGCAGTTCATTCATTTTTAGCTTTGTATTCTTGCCATAAAAAAGCGCGCCCAGACATTCCATTGTTGCGCCCATAACCTCGGTTTAAGGTGCCATTTAGCTCCTAGCTTTCATATCTCAGTTTCTAACACTGGTTCCATCAGCTCCAGCCAACATAAGCAGTGGTCATGGATGGTGGAAGTTGCAGTCTGAGAACGTATGGAGATCTACTGCTTTAGAGGCAATTTAGTGGCTGAGAAACTCTTCCAGGTGACCAGAGCTTCTTTTCTTTTGCAAAAGTGGTGGTTCTTCTCTGTCTGGCTATTCATGTGCCATAGCCAGCTGTTGTAAGTTATATGTATGGGGGGGTTCCCCTTGTTTTGTAGACCAGTAATTGTTCCAGATGTATTTGCAAGGGTCACATCCTGGCAGCTAAATTCTGTTTAAACACCCCACACTCTGTGGTCGTAAACTCGAAGACTTGGGAGTAAGGCCTGTTGGACTTATTTGATCATACTTCTGAGTAGGCGTGCATAAGAGTGTACTGGCAGATTTCTTCTGCAGTCCTGAAACTCTTGATTTTAGCCATCTTGATTACATACTGCAATATCTGAAAGACGTCCTCATCTTTCAAGAGACTGCTTTGTTTATGTGGTTGCCCAATTAGTGAGAAGAGGCAACCATAATGAATAGTGGAACATGATTGAGTGGGTCAAAAGCCTTGATGCACATAGCTCTACTTTTTACCCACATTAAAAAATTGGTCTCTCTTAACAAAAAATAAAGTTTTACTGTGCTGCCTAATGGATGTTATTTTTCTTTCTTTCTGTTTTTGCATTCTTGGTAATATGAGATACTTTGGCCTGCCAATTTTGCTGTATCACATCTCATTCCATTAAGAAGGAAATGGAGGATGCTTTAGAATATCCCAAATAAGTGCTAAAGGTTTGTCTTCGTCTGAAGCCAAGCTTCTTCCTTGTAATAAAAGGCATAAGATGGGGGTGTGGTAAGGATAGAACTGCCTTTGTCCATTCTTGAGATATTTACCTATGGACCTAATTGGCTGTTCCCTCTCTGTATGGAAGCAGTCAGCTAGAGAGTGCTGCTGTGCTCGTGCTTTGATTGTGGGCTTACCATAGGCATCTGCTTGGGAATTTGAGAATAGGACAATGGGCTTTTGTCCAATGCAGCAGGGATCTTCTTGTTTTAGAGGATGGTAGACTCTCCTCTGTAGATCTAGTAGGGCTGCTGATGCTCCCACTCTGAATTTCCTGCACTGTGTATGAACAGAACATCAGCCAGAGCGCAATTCAAGAAAAGAAGTCAAAAACAAGTCAAGGCTTTCCTAAACCCCTGAATGGATGCTAAAGCTTTCTAGAAACTAGGCTAGGTGGCCTACAAGACCTTCTCATAGTGGGATGACAAAATACATAAGAGGATGGGGTAGACTGCCTAGTGCAGGAGTGGCAAACTGCAGCCCCAAGGACTGAATGCGGCCCTCAAGCCTTCCTTATCTGGCCCTTGGAACACTCCCTCAGCCACACTCTGACTTGCCTTACACCCCAGGTGTTTTTGCTCTTCTGGAATGTGTCCTTCAACTCTGATAATGCCCCTGGCTTGTATGGATAGGGAAGAGAGAGGCATTTATTGTACAGTGGTACCTCGGGTTAAGAACTTAATTTGTTCTGGAGGTCCGTTCTTAACCTGAAACTGTTCTTATCCTGAGGTACCACTTTAGCTAATGGGGCTTCCTGCTGTCGCCGCACGATTTCTGTTCTCATCCTGAAGCAAAGTTCTTAACCCAAGGTACTATTTCTGGGTTAGCAGAGTCTGTAACCTGAAGCGTCTGTAACCTGAAGTGTCTGTAACCCGAGGTACAACTGTACAAAAGTAAAGTTGGCATAAATTGTTCTGCCCACTTTCCCCCCGGCTCCTGTCCACCGCTGGAATGTAACCCTTGGGAGGTTGAGGATAATTGAATACAGCACTCAGGCTGGAAAAAGTTCTCCATCCCTAACCTAGAAGATGTGACCTGCCCATAGTGGGCTTTAGTGGTTTCATGGCCTGCTTCCGGAGAGTAATGCTGACTTGTAAGCAGGGTCTTGCAGTAGTTAGCTGTGTGCAGTTGACCCTGCCAGTGCAGGGACGTGCTGCCTTTGCATCATGCAATTTGAAAGGTGCTTCTTGTGAAAGAAGGGGACCCTCTTGGTTGTTCTACTGCTCTCTGAATTATGGGGAGTGGTGACCCAAGAGAGGGCATTTTCTGTGGCAGCTGTCCATGAAGGGAGGGGGGCATTTGTCCCCTTCCCCTAACCCCCCTTTTGTTTTTTAAAGAGTAAGTTTCTAGCATGTGTGGAACCCACGATACAAGGCAAAATGCGCAGGCACAATTCTTGTCGTTTGTTGAGTGAGAAACTTGCCTGCTCCCACTTTTCAGTTCTGTATGTATGTTTTATTCATTTGACGTATTTATTTATCCGTCCTCCCTTTCCCGTAAATTTCCTGCAGATGTCCATGGTGGCAACCCCTGAACTGTGGAACTACCTTCCCATAGTCTAGCATCTCTGTTGCACGGCTTCCATCGTATGTGAAGATGCACCTTTGACAATTAAGGGGTTTTTTTGCGGGGTTTGTGTGTAATGGAACCTGCCTTGTTTGGACTTTGCTTTAGAGCTGCCTCATTTGATTCTTGCACATTATATTGCTGTAACGTGCCCCGCGACCTCATGGGGAAATCCTTTAAATGATCAACAAAGGAATACAAGTGGTTGGAGCTCAGTGAAAGTGACGGTGGGCATTTCATTTCTCTGATCACTACAAAGCAGAAGGTGGACTGGGGTTATATTCCGGCTGTCTCAAAACAATGTCCAAAATACCTCGTTCTGGAGGATGGTGCTGTATTTTGTCCAGGAACAACCTGTTAAGTTTACGTAGAACTGGGAAAAATGACTAGTTTCCTAGTGAAGTCAGACATAAAGACCCTTTTGCTTAGCACCTGTGGTTTATTTTTTTTTTATTTTTATTTTTTGAGTCATTTCCTTTTCCCTCTGTTTTTAAGCTGCTGATGCATGCTTCTAATTCTGCACAGTACTTCCTGCATGTCTGTCCATTTACTCCCCCCCCAAAAAAAATTAATGTTTTTTTCCACAAAAATTTAAACACAGAGACAAATAGACAAACAAACATAAATCATAACCTTATTAAAATGAATCTAAATAACATTGTTAAGTGACTTCCTTGTATCCCCCTGGTTAGATTTCATTGCATCTCATTATAACGGTTTTCCAAGTCAATATTCTTATAAAATTAACTTAATCACTTAACATCTTTCTTTCTTTCCAATTCTGCATTAAACATATTAATTCATCACATTACATATTTAAATCCTAAGCCTATCTGGTATTTGCAAGCTTTTCCTATTTAATTTAACTTAACATATTTAACTAAATAATCATTAAATTTCGTCCATTCTTCCTGGTACTCCTTGCATGTCTGTCCATTTACAGCCATCCCATAGCTGGCTCTTGGGCAGTGCTAGATGCCAATGTGTTGTTTTCCCAATCCAAGTGGAACACAAAAAGCTGCCTGCTGTGTAATTGAACCATTGGTCCATCAAATTGCGTGTTACCTACATTGGGGGTGGACTACAATATTTTGGCTAAGGGCCGCATTCTCACAGGGGTAATAATAATGTGTTGGAGGCCACATGCTGGCAGTGGGCAGGCCCAGAGACACAAATGCTCTGGATTAACTACCGTCTTTTTCGCTCTATAGGACGCACCAGACGATAAGACGCACCTAGTTTTTTTGGGGGGGGGGGGTTTGGAAACAAGAAAAAAAAATCTAAATCCCAGAAGCCAGAACAGCAAGAGGGATCTGGCTTCTGGGATAGCCGCTGAAGCCTCTCCCGGGCAGCGGGATGAAGGCTCCCCCTGCCTGAAAGAGGCTGCACGTGGGTAAGCTGCCCTCTGTACCTTCCCCCATCTCCCGCAAGAACCGTGTGCTCTTGGGGGCTTTTCTGGGAGGTGGGGGAAGGGACAGAGCCACGCTCTGGGAGGTGGGGGAAGGGACAGAGCCCCCCACTTCCCACAAAAGCCGCACAAAGCCTCCCAGGGCAGCGGGGAGCCTTCATCCCGCTGCCCTACTGAGGCTTCGCGGGGGCTATCCAAAAGCCAGAATAGCTAGAGGGAGTGCTGCGCAGTGGTCCCTCTAGCTGGTCTAGCTTCGTGCGAAACCTCCGCAGGGCACGGGGAGCCTTCATCCCCGTGTCCTGCGGAGGCTTCTGCAGGGCAGCGGGGTGCGCAGCTAAGCCTGAAGCTAGAACAGCAAGACGGAGTGCTGCACAGCACTCCCTCTCCCTGTTCTGTCTTAGCCGCGCAGCCTGTATTCGCTCCATAAGACGCACACACATTTTCCCTCACTTTTTAGGAGGGAAAAGTGCGTCTTATAGAGCGAAAAATACGGTAATCTGGAATAAAGACCAACATGCGTCTTTCACTCACATGCACAAATGTTGAAGTGATTGATACTGTGGGAGAGGCAACTTGGAGATGCAAAAAAGATAAACAGGAGGGGAAGAAGTCTGATGGGGCAGAAGAAGGGGGCCATTTCAGGGGCCACATAAAATGATTTTAGGGGCCGTCCATATATAATCTCCCAGGCCAGGGTTATCTATGGCTGGTGCTGACTTTTTGCATTTTCAGTCGGGGATTTTTTGCAATCCCACGACTCCCACCAGGGATGTCAGGAACTGAACATGCATCCCTTTGCATCCCAAGCATGCCTTTTACTGCAGAGCTACAGCACTTCCCTGAAGGTGCCTGTACTACACAATGTACAGATTTCATGTCTGGGCTGCCCTCAGCGTCCTCACGCCTGTCAGAAGAAAAGAAATACACCTTTTGTGTTCACCCACACAGGCACACAAAAATAATAACCAACCTGTTTCAGCATCATACTCCTATTCATTCTTGAAACAGCCAGAAAACTGACGTGTGGATCTCACTCTGGGGTAATATCTGCCTTTTGCAGGCTTTCTCTGGCTGTGGAATGCCCTCACCCTGGGAGCATGCCAGACACGGATGCTTTTGGTAAAGATCTGTCTCCCTGGGCTCCATGGTTGTTATTTTTTATTACATTATGTTTTTGTTTTTATCTGCTCTTACTGCTATGACTTGTTGTTCTTTTAATTCTTGTGGGATCAAATGTTGCAGGGCGGGTGGGCTAAAAATAGTCAAACAAATACAGAAACAACCCTTTCGAGTCATCCCTTGTATGCTTATTTGTGAGAAAGTTAGGCTGGATTTGGTTGGCTCTGACGAATCTCATATGAGTGGGATCGTGCATAGTATTACGTCCCGGAAGGAAAAGGGAGTGGCGAGGAAAACCTCTGTAAATTTTCTCAGTGTGTTCATTCACAGCATCGTAATTTTACAAAAGCACCGTTGTAGGAGTCTGTGGCATGTTGCTGTCCCTCAGACTGATTAGCAATTTTTTTTTGCAGACAGTGCAGGCTTACTTAAAGGATCTCTTTAAGTAATTTGTATAGTGTTCGCAAGTGTTCAAGTATTTGTCCTTCTTGTAGATTATCTAAACCATAATCCTTACAACAACCCTTTCCGATAAATCAGTACAGTCGTACCTCGGATCCCGAACACCTTGCCAGTCGAACGTTTTGGCTCCCGAATGCCGCAAACCCAGAAGTGAGTGTTCTGGTTTGCGAACGTTCTTTGGAATCCGAACGTCCGACGTGGCTTCCGATTGGCTGCAGGAGCTTCCTGCAGCCAATCAGAAACCACGCCTTGGTTTCTGAATGTTTTGGAAGTCAAACGGACTTCTGGAACAGATTCCATTTGACTTCCAAGGTACCACTGTATTATCATACTGCAGGTGAGGGACTGAGGCTGAGACACTAAGGACACTTAGTGAGTTCATGGCAGACATAAGAGTCATAGAATCATAGAGGGGAAAGGGACTGTGAGGATTATCTAGTCCAGCATTCCATTGTTTGTGGAATAATGAACATTACATCCAAACCAACCCCTTCCACCAGGCTGCAGAGACACATGCAGCTGAAGCCAGGCCAGTTGGTCAGTCCAAAAGGCATGGAAGTGCTTTGGACAACCTGAACCAGTCCCCAGCAGTTGTTTAATACTTCAGAGTATTTATTCCACTTGAATGGCAAGCATGAGGTGTTTTGCTGAGCAGACAGGGAATCACATTGGCTTTCCGCAGATCAGTACAAGCTGTCTGCTTCCATGAAAAATGATATACCAAAATGCTTCTTTCCACAGCTTATCTTTAGCTTTTGTGTCACGGCTTCTCGTAATGCAATATTATGGAAGAGCATTATGTCGCTGCTTTTTGTGACTTCCAGGGAGCTGCTGCACATAGTTAGCTGGCTTAAAATCTCGCCGAAGTCACGTTTTAAGCTGCATGGCAGGATCACTGCCAGAATCCACACGGGGGGGGGGGGGGACAGAAGGGAGAGGATACTTTGTTGCTGACAGTAATTAGGTTCCGCCAAAAGGGCACATTCGTTCCAGGATGGGGAAACAGGGATTGATCCATCTGCTTTCTGGGAATAATCCTTAAATTATTCCACACTTACGGTGCTGATCCTAAAAAATAGTTACTTGGAAGTACAGTGGACACTCAGGTTGCAAACATGATCCATGCAGGAAGCACATTCGCAACCTGAAGCAGCGCATCTGCACATGCGCGGGTTGCGATTCAGTGCTTCTGCGCATGCGCAAAGTGTGATTTAGCACTTCTGCGCATGCGCGACCGCCGAAACCTGGAAGTAACCCTTTCCGGTACTTCTGGGTTTTGGCGCGTCCGTAACCTGAAAAAACGCAACCTGAAGAGTTTGTAACTCGAGGTATGACTGTAATACCGAGAGGATTGTAGCTGCAATCTTTACCTGGGAATAAGCCTTATTGAACATGGTGGGATTGACTTCTGAGTAAACCATGCACAGGCTGCAGGCCACACAGCTCGAGTAAGCCTTTTTGAGCATGACATGTATAGGATTGTGCTGCTACTAAGAATATTTAGCTGGAAGTAGCCCTAACTTGAAATCAGCTGTGTATGCTTCTCTGAAGAGCATGAGACTCTTAATTTCACGTTTGTGGGTTTGAGCCCCACACTGGGCAGAAGATTCTTGCGTTGCAGAGGGTTGGAATACAGTCATACCTTGGACCTCAAACACCTTGGCTCCTGAACAAATCGGCTCCCAAACGATCAAAACCTGGAAGTCAGTGTTCCGGTTTTTGAACGATTTTCAGAAGCCAAACGTCCGGCACGGCTTCTGATTGGCTGTAGGACATTTCTGCAGCTAATTAGAAGCCACACCTTGGTTATTGAACGGTTTCAGAAGTCAAATGGACTCCCGAGATGCATTCTGTTCGAGAACCAAGGTAGACGACTCTTCCAGCTCTTCCAGCTCTATGATTCTATGATATATTGCGCATGGACAGAGCTACTGCATTGTGTTAATTTCTCAACTGCCATTTCCAGTACTTGTTGCTCAGTCAAGGCATTTTAAGGAGCATAAAGAATAAATCTTAGGACTGTCTTCCTGGAGAAACAGATCTGTTTAATTAAATTGTTTTTCCGGTAGTGTTTTCATCTTCCTCCTTGCAGGAACAATCTTGATTGCGGGGGTTTTTATATTAGTTTGATCAAATCCAAAGAGATGCCTGGAATGAACACATGCTTGAGTTGACCAGAGGTCACAAAAGGCATTTAAACTCACCCAAGGCACTCTGCTCATACGGGGTGAGAAGGATCAAAACTTCAGCTGCCTAAGTGACGTTTTGAGGAAGTTCAGCAGGGCCTGAGGATTTAACTAAATCAGATATGTCACATCCCCAAGTAGGAGTCCTTATCTTCAAGGGACGTGGGCAGGAGAGGCAGGGCATCCAGGGCCAGCCACAGAAGCATTCACAGAGGCAGCACTGAGCATATGGCACTGTTGTCCTCAGACTTGGAGGACTCCACTGCAGAAGACCCAGGAAGGGCTGAGGTTCCCTTGCTCTGTCACAGTAGGAGATTATTCAAGAAGGTTGGGCCCTTTAAGAAGCACAGCATCTTGAAGCACAGCTGGGGCTAACATTAAGGCTGCGCCTGCTGATGCTGTCACGACTGCTATATAAAGCAGTGTTTCCCAAACTTGGGACTACAGCTCCCACCATCCCTAGCTAGCAGGTATGATGGGAATTGTAGTCTGGAAACAGCTGGAGACCCAAGATTGGGAAACACTGATATAAAGGCTCAGTCCTAGCTTGTTTCTTAGCTAGAGCACACTGGCGATCCATGCGGCGATTCCTCGACCGTCCATGAGCTGGATCCAGAAGGCAGTTGGGCCTGATCCGGCCCCTGGGCCTTAGTTTGCCGACCCATGACATAGTATGTTAAACATCAGTCTTTTTCCATTTACAGTTGTACCTTGGATCTCAGACACCATGGCTCCTGAACAAATCAGCTCCCGAACAATCACAACCCAGAAGTGAGTGTTCTGGTTTTTGAATGATTTTTGGAAGCCAAACATCTGACACAGCTTCCACAGCTTCTGATTGGCTGCAGGACATGCAGTTTTAATTGAGTGCAGTACTGCGCCCAGAGCTCAGAAACTGCTCGCCCTAATGAAATTCCTTGCTGCAAAATGCGCCTAGAACAATGGGAGTTTTGAACACTGAGACAGACCCAATGCATGATCCAACCTGCAGCCAATCAGAAGCCGCACCTTGATTTTCGAATGGTTTGAGGAGTCAAACGGACTCCCGAAACACATTCTGTTCAAGAACCAAGGTACGGCTGTATTTCTTCTCAAACAAAACATCTCTTTCCATTTCCCTTTTCTTTCTATTCCCTCTTCTTCATTTCTCCTTTTTTAAAATGTTTAAAACAACAGGAAAGAAGGGGGGCAGCCTCTAACTCCATTGTAAACAACACATAAATACAAGTGCAAAACAAACGATGGTGGTTATTTAAGTCATCTTTCTGAGATAGCATGCACCAAGTTCTATTAAAATGGTAAGATTAAAGCATTCCAAGCAGGAACAGATGTGAGGGTTTTCTAGTGCCACATTCTAAACACTAATGTCAGTGCATTTGCTTGCTGTGAGATTTTGTTATATCTGAGGCTGCAATTCAGATAATTGTGCGACCAGCTCTGTGCATCCAGTGGGATTTTCACTCGTTGGGTCTTTGGTTCTCAAACAACCACCTCCTGCAGAAGAGTACTCTGCACAGAAACGTAATGTGGCCTTATAGCTGAGGTAGGCTAGACAGACCAGTGTTAGAAGCTGAGATATGAAAGCTAGGAGCTAAGTGGCACCTTAAACCGAGGTTATGGGCGCAACAACGGAATGTCTAGGCACGCTTTTTTATAGCAAGAATACAAAGCTGGAAATGAATGAACTGCAGCTAAAATATTGTGTTCATTTCCCACAAAGTCTCTTCTCCAGTCTTTGGAGAGTAGCTGGAACTGGGGAGGCAGAAAAAGGTCCTCCTAGGGATGCGGGTGGCACTGTGGTTTAAACCACTGTGCCACTTGGACTTGCCGATCGGAAGGTCGGCGGTTCAAGGCCCCACGACAGGCTGAGCTCCCATTGTTCGGTCCCAGCTCCTGCCAACCTAGCAGTTTGAAAGCATGCAGTGCAAGTAGATAAATAGGTACCACTCCAGCGGGAAGGTAAACGGCGTTTCCGTGCGCTGCTCTGGCTTCGCCAGAAGCAACTTAGTCATGCTGGCCACATGACCCAGAAAAACTGCCTGTGGAAGCAGACAAACGCCAGCTCCCTCGGCCTGTAAAGCAAGATGAGCGCCGCAAGCCCAGAGTTGTTTGCGACTGGACTTAACCATCAGAGGTCCCTTTACCTTTACCTTTTCCTTCTACTCTGCAGTTTTAATTGAGTGCAGTACTGCGCCCAGAGCTCAGAAACTGCTCGCCCTAATGAAATTCCTTGCTGCAAAATGCGCCTAGAACAATGGGAGTTTTGAACACTGAGACAGACCCAATGCATGATCCAACCATGCGGTGGACAGGAGGAAAAGCCAGGAAGAGGAAGGATATAAGACTTCTGGGGAACTTGTGGATCCACTGGAGGCTGTGTTGAACTCCCAGCTCCAGCCAGCATCACCAGAGGACAGAGATCATGGGAGCTGAGGTCCATGCACATCTGGAGGGTCTACAGGAAGTGGAGGAGCACTACAGAGTAACTGAGCATGGGATCTGGGGTACCTTGTATGATTAGCAGTAGTGAATTTCCTGATAAAGTGAAACTGAAAACTTAGCAGAACCAAATGATAGAGGTCATGATAAGTGATACTTTCCTATACCCTATAGATTTATTTTGCCGTCTGTCTTAACTCTGTCTGGAAAGCAGTGCCTGAGACGCATTTGGGGGCCAGAAGTATCGCTCTGCTTATCCAGATGTGCTGAGGCTGCTTTTGCTCGGAAACGCTGCAAGTTGTTAAAAGCCTCCTTGTTTGACATTCAAAAGTAAGGTAGAATAAATCCTTTATATAAAGAAGCCACAAATCATGAGGAAACAGCCACTCCTCTGACTTTCTTTGGCTCCGCCATGGTGTGATCTTCAACGGACATTTCTGACGAGGCTCAGAAGGAACCCTTTTATAGGTATGCTACTTTCTGTTTGCTCAAAATGTGGAACTGCACCAGCCCTTGGTAAAGTCTGTATGAAGCAAGACACATGAGCAGCTTGCTTGATTTCCTGTTTAGAGAAAGTCAGCAATTACAGTACACTCAGCTGTCAGTTAATGCAAACTTGCAAGCTGTGATGGGTAGCCTGATGGACGTAAACTAGGGAAATCTGGATGTATTGAGCAACCTTGAGCCATTCCTTGGCTAACCTACTTTGCAGGATTGCTGTCAGGGTAAAAGGGTGGGGGAAAGCTGTGTACCCTGATCTCCTTGGAGGAAGTTTGGGGTAGAAAGTAGATTAGTTTTGCAAAAGCTTTGAAATAGGTTGCCACTTGTTTGTTGCAAAGATCGACCTTCCAAAAAATTATGGTATTTCCCCATTGCCTCCAACTTGTTGATGGCATGGATAGGAGGGCAATGGTTGGCATCCGTCTGTCTCGAGAGAATGGCAGAGTGCACCTTTGCGGGTGAAATCAAACCGCTGGAAGGTTACAGCGCCCTGCTGTGGCTGTAGAGACCGATACAGGAGAGACATGTTTTGTTGCAGCTGGGGCAGATGGAGGCATCCGGTTGTGCTGCCTTCATTGTTGTGGATACATGACCTGACTGTCTCCAGGCACCATGGAGGGACTTCTGCATTGTGAGGTTGATGTTGCCTATTTAATGAGTATTCATTCTGATTTGTTTGTGGAGAACTTAGGTGACAGTCACATCCATGCCATACAATTAAAGCACCAAAGAATCCTGGCAGCTGCAGTTTTACCCTTTGCAGAGTTACAATTTCCAGCACCCTTAATGAGCTACAGTTCCCAGGATTCTTTTGGGGGCAATCCATTTGCTTTAAACATATGGTGTGTATGGCTTACATTGCATGGAGGCAAGAGTTATCCCGCACTTTTCAGTGTGTCCCCCCCTCCCATCATTCTATTTACTGCAAAAGTCAGATCTTGGGGGGAAGCACATTTGTTGCACAACACCTCCCAATACCCTATAGCTCAGCAGTTCTAATTTTCCAGTATGTGATTGACTCTCATCCAGAAATATAGACAGTTTGGAAATTCCCATATGCTCCCTCTGGCTCCTCCTCCATCCTGTGTGTGCTTCTCTGGTAAAAGTTTCCTGACCTGTCATAGCATCACAATTTCTGCAGTAATCCTTTTTGTCAAGTGCCGTTTCCTTCTTCCTAGCCTTTCTCCTGGCCATTTAACTTATGCTAGAAAGAAATCATAATTTGTTCTTCAAAGAGCTGAAAGTGCTTTGAAAGAGATTGTGACTTATGGTGGGAGTACACCTCCCCCTTTTGCCTTTAGTGAACAGGATTTGTAGGTTTTTCGGTTGTTTGGAGGTGACAGTCAGACAAAAGAAATAATGTGTGCGCCCTTTGTAAATCCTCTTTCAATTAGTGACATTGCTGAAGTTTGAAATTACCTGCTTTGGACTATGATATTCCTGCATGCGTTATGCAACCAGACATTCCCATGATAGGTTTTTCTGCAGCTTGAAATACAAAAACTGAATTCTACCCATGCACAAAATGTGTATTCAGTCTGAAAATGATACGGCAATATGATCCAGTGCAGCCAGTGTCATGAGGCAATTTAGAACTGTCCTCTCTTTCTAAAAATAATAATAAATCGTTGCAGTAATGCTTGTAATTGCTGACTCGGTTTTGAACGGAACTACTCCCAAGTCTCTGGCTTTAGAAGTTTAGTTCCGTTGGCTGATAATATGTTGACCCGGTTTGCACATGCAAATCCTGGCTTAATAAACTGGGATATGCACAAGCTTCATGCAGCGGTGCAACTAGATCAGAGGTTTTCAACCTTTTTGAGTCCACAGCTTCCTTGACCAACTGCATTCTTTTTGCGGCACCTCTGTGGGGCTCAGGAGCCCAGATGTGTCACCTCTTGCCTGCAATGCCTGCAGCCTCTCACCCTTTTTCAAACACCCTTCCTTGTGGAGTGTTCCCTCAGCCTCCTCTCCTCTCCCCTCTCCTTGGGAGTCCTCCAGGCAGCCACTGCTGCTGCCCCTGGTCACTGAGCCCCTACCCCAAAGAGAGGTGCCTCCTCACACTGCCCTACAGGGGCCTGGGAAACAACCCCAGGCCACTCCCAGGCCAGTTCACCTGGGGAGCTTGTAGCCAGGGCTGCTGCAACAAACTGCTGTGCAAGCTTTGGGTGGCAGAGATGCGAGAGGGCATCAGAGGAGGGAGGGAGGGAAGTAAAGAGGGACAGAGGCCCATGTTGGCTGCAGCACCCCTGACCGTCATTCAAGGCACCCCAGGGTGCCACGGCACACTGGTTGAAAACCACTGAACTAGACGATTTTGTAGCCTATTCAGACTGCTTTTGGGGTGTGTGGCTGGTGTATTCTACAGCATGTCATTAACACAGGAGTAGTGAAGTTATCTGTTATGTATTCAGTGGTCTGTGTTTGCCTGAGCTTGAGTCTGGACTAAGGGCTCTGAGCCTTTATCCATACACTATTCTGCTTTATTAGTTGTTCCATGATGTTTCCCCAGTTTTAATGCATTATTGCTGTCTGGAGGGGCAGTCTTGCACTATAGCACAATAAAAGCAGGGCATCTCCTCCACCCCAGAAACATTTGCGGTATAAAAAGCAGGAAGTTTTTGCACCGATTGGAAACAAAACAGAAACTTTTGCAGGCACAAATAATACTGAAAGTGGAATTGAGTATAAATACCTTGATGCCATCATGAGCACAAATCATCAGGAATGCACAAGAAAAAAAAGGATGTCTGGAAGGGGCCCTTGGACCTTGGATTTAAATGGTCTTATAGGGGTCCCCTCTAGATGCCTAAATGCATGACTTTGGTTGTGAAGCACACAGTTCCTAATTCTATTCCTTCCACCGTCATTCCATGCTTTTCAACTGTTTCTACATGCCTGTTGTGTTAGAGCACCCAACAAACAAATCAGTTTGCCGTCTCAGATTTTCTTTCTTTTTTGTATAAAAACCCAACAACTCTTGAGCATGCACCATTTCACATTTTAAACTCACTTAAATCATAGCACTGTCATAACTACAGGAGTCAAATGAGGGGTTTGCTTCTGCTGCCTGCTGCAAAACACATGTATTTGGGGACTGGGACCGTTTGCTTGTAGAAGAGGATAGTACAGTGGTACCTCAGGTTAAGTACTTAATTCGTTCCGGAGGTCCGTTCTTAACCTGAAACTGTTCTTAACCTGAAGCACCACTTTAGCTAATGGGGCCTCCTGCTGCTGCCGCGCCGCCGGAGCACGATTTCTGTTCTCATCCTGAAGCAAAGTTTTTAACCTGAGGTACTATTTTTGGGTTAGCGGAGTCTGTAACCTGAAGCGTATGTAACCCAAGGTACCACTGTAGATGTTTAAAGTCAAAATAATAAAATGAGCACCTGTAATTGGCGTTTGAAATTCACCAGGTGCATTTTGCACCTTGCTATCGGCCACTTGCGACCGAGTGAAGATGCCTGGGCCCCAGGATGGTGGTTGACATCAAAACCTGTTCTGTCACTGAGCCCCAACCATTCCCCATTACAGTGGACCCTCGGGTTACGTTACCTTCAGGTAACGTAACTTTCAGGTTGCAAACGCGGCAAACCCAGAAGTATATACTTCCGGGTTTCACCATGCACATGTGCGCAGAAGCACTCTATCATGCTGCGTGCATGCGCAGAAGCGGTGCCTCATGTTGCAGACTTTTCAGAGTATGTACGGACCCCCAGAATGAATTAAGTTCGTATCTGAAGGGTCCACTATACTCTGCAATGTCATAAGACTCCGCCCAGAACACTCTGTGATGTCAGAGAAGTTCAGCCAATACCTGTGAGGGATCCTGTCTTTTGTATTGTCAGCCCTGTACTCTCTCCTGTTCTTCCCTTGGTTTGGTTGTGCGCTCTCTCTTTTTCTTTCTCTCTCTCTCTCTCTCTCTCTCTCTCTCTCTCATTTTACCTATACAAAGGCAACAAGGTACCACCTGTTGTTTCCTCCCCCACCATTTTATCCGCACAACAACCCTTCAAACCAGGTGAACAACGCCATTGTGTTACAGGACAGCAACAATGGCATTCCTTAAACGTGGCTTGAGTATGCTTGTAGACCTTGAGAAAGATGGCGTGGTCCCTGCTCCCCAGCTGAACCAGTATTTGAAAACAGCCCATGTGGCGTTTGGAAGATTGCTTGTGGCCTCCTGTGTGCATCTAAAACTAAAAACTGAACAAATTAAGAGGCATGCATGCAAGCATTCCTGATCCCTTCCCTCCCTAACAACAGGAAAGGGAGGGCGTCTCCAGACCATGAAGGGAGAGTCAATTAGGCATCTTTCCAAGATTCAGAGAGGCAAACAATTATCTGATTTTCTAGAACAACAACAATTAATCCTTTTACCCACCATCATCATGTGGAGCTCATTTCAGTCATCATGAGCCACTGTGGTGTGGGGGTGTGCAACTGACAGACCCACTTATTCTCCAGCCCTCTTCATGGAAAACTACATGGACCAATAGTATGAGGTGATAAAATTAAGGTTCCTCTGCTGCTATGCAAATAATCACCCCACATTATAAAGTGGGCTTTGCCAGCTGTGTGACTGTTACTGGCTTGTTAACTCGATTCCTGTTCAAGATTACAGATAATTGCAACTCAGGCCATCACGCATGGAGGAAAACATCCTAACCGGCAAATCACAATAATATTTCAATCCGGTTAAAAGGTTGCTCAGACAGAGAACGTGAAAAGAACACACAGCATCACTGAAACCTTTCCCAACCTGGAGCTCTCGAGATCTCAGACTACAACTCCCACGAGCATGGCCAGTGGTCATGAATGATGGGAGTGGTAGTCCTAAACCTGTGGAGGGCACCAGGTTGGAGGTGCTTTGATAAGCTGTGTTGATAAAGTGAGATGGTATCGTACAGTTCTGCAGTATCCTGTTGTTAGAATGGGATTAGGAACGCTGCTTATTTGGCACTACAGAATGAGAATTTGGACTTTAAATGGGTCAAGTAATCTGATCCTTAAACACATTCTTGAAAAGTTTCCAGTTCCTTCCAGCTCGTTGTATGATTTCAGAGTTTAGATTCCATGTCCCTGAATGTTGATATTTTTGAAACTGTGAAATTTTTCAGTTATGATCAACAAAACGAAAAGTTGCTCACCAAAGATAAGAGTCGAGTTGGCAAAAAGTGCAGGAGTTTCAAAAGAGGAGATGCATTAGTCAGCGTTTCCCATCCCACTCTGAACAGAAAGTCCTCACAGAACTTGACAAAGGGCGTTTTGTCCTGGCCTGCATCCATCTCCCTACACGCAGGAACTCCAAACGGCTCCAGTAGGAGGTTCTCTTGGTTGCTACTATAGAAGGAACTCAAAATCCCAAAGAGATAAGAAACAGTAATGTCTCTGCCAAGCTAGGTAGTTCCAGAAAGCTAAGTGTGGTAGCTGTATGGGTGCAAGAAGACAGAAAGCACCGTGGCTTGCTGTGGTGTGCTACATTGGTTTTAGCTTTCAGTATAAAGTGTGCTGAAGCAAAAAGGGAAAAAAAAAAACAACCCCAGCCACAGCTCAGTGGGAGAGTAGATGATTTGCAAGTAAAAGGTCCTTGGTTCCAGTGTTTGAAATTAGCCAGGTGCCAGGCGCGTTTTGCACCTGGTTATCGGCTACTTGCAACCAAGTGGAGATGCCCAGCTCCAGGATGGTGCCTGACCTCTCCACCATCTGGGGATCATTGGATCTTGACTGTTTTCACGCACTAATACGGCATCCTGTAGATTCTATCAGTTATATTTCATCTGCACAATCTGAATCAATTTCACGAAGCAAAATGCTTTTTCTGTGCAGCCTAAGCAGGAGCAGCGAGCATCAGTATAGTGAATTGTTGTCTCTTGCCTTCGCTTGCCCCACCCCACTGCCCTGATCGCAGTTGTGAATAATATTCTTATATTATGAATGGTCCGTGTTGCCATTAAGAAAATGAGGTCTGAATAAAGGTAAAGGGACCTCTGACCGTTAGGTCCAGTTGTGACCGACTCTGGGGTTGCGGCGCTCATCTCACTTTATTGGCCGAGGGAGCCAGCGTACAGCTTCCGGGTCATCTGGCCAGCATGACTAAGCCACTTCTGGCGAACCAGAGCAGCGCATGGAAACGCTGTTTACCTTCCTACCGGAGCAGTACCTATTTATCTACTTGCACTGCATGCTTTCGAACTGCTAGGTTGGCAGGTCTGAATAGGCCAATATATATGTGGACTGTCCCCGGATCAAGTGACTTTTCCTCTTTAAGTTCTCAGAGTTCTTAACCTAGCTCAAGGTTGTCATCTGAACTAGCCAGATAATCAATCCAAAATCAGACTTGGGAGCCGTATTGCCCCCAAATGGCAACTTGACGTTCCATTTTGGTTTAAGGAGTCATTTGGCACCTAGCTTATTTATCTGAGTTTCTAACATGGCTTGGTTCTGTCCCCAGGATCTCCAGTTAGAGAAAGACCTCCCTCCCCATCTGACAATCTGGAGAGCCATTGCCAGTTTGTGTGGATACCATACTGAGCAAAAGGGACCAGTTGTCTGACTCAGCTTCTGATGCTTCTAACCTGGCCCTGCAAATGGAACGCAGGCATCCTGGGTCTGCCCATTTGCTTTCTCCCAATATTTGAGAAGCAGGAGCTATGTTGCAGCAGTGCAGGCTTTTTCCTGGATGAATCCCCACTTAACATTTCAAGGTGTGGCACAGTAGCACAAGGAACACCATCATCTGCTTGCTGCTCTGTGCAAGTTTCAAAAGTGGCTACAGGATTAGCGCAAATGATCAAATCAGTAGAGCCTGGAGCTGATTCAGACAGTGTAACTAAGGGTGTATCCTTCAGGGGACTGGAAAACGACATGTCTCCCACCTATGTTCTGACATTTATTCAGTCAACGAAGAGCCAAATCGTTGATCAGAGGATCTAGAATGCTAGCTCTGCAAAATCTGCAGGAAGGATCAGGTTTCATGGACAGCAGGTTATATAGATTACAATCCTAAGCATTTTTATTTCTGCAAAAGTCCCATTCAGATCAACTTGGCAAGCAGATATTGTTAGTTGCAGATTTCTAGCACGTCAGGATTATTACCCCATGTACATGCCTTGTCTGTTTCCCTTTCATTTACCCTAGCATAGGTAAGGTAAAAGTGCCCCTTCTCCACTTGTGATTGAAAATTATCCTACAACATTATATAAAAAGCATTGCAACCTCTGAAGAGCCCACAGCACTACAAAGCCTTCTTAACTGTTCAACTACTGGGCATTGAGTGAAAGCAATTGAAATGCATTTGGAGCGTTTAAATCCTGGGCAATAAGGCATCAGGTTTATTATAGGCCAGGTCTATAAATTAAGATAGCAAGCTCTCTAATTCTTTAATGAAGTTAAATGCTTTCGAGATTAATATGGGAATCAGCTCTGAGTGCTGCACTCAGTGACTTCTCCAGATGACACTATAAATCACACATAGAAACACCCATGTGCATCTAATACTCAGAGGTAGCTGCTTTGGCACTGAGCAAAAAGTAGTACTGTGAAATCAGAGTACAATTATGCCAGGGTGGATTATTGCAGAGTTACCAGTTTGGTTCAAGATGCTTTTGCATAGCAGGAAGCGGGGAAACAATGGCTCTTCAGGTCTGGACTCCAATGCCCATCAGCTCCATTCAGCATAGCCAATAGTCAGGGATGATGGAATTTGTAGTCCAGGGCCACTGTGTAGCATTAGCAATTGGCTGGACAGCGTCGCCTGCAAGCATCCGACCAAAAAAGTTGGGTGTGTGATGTGGTGGTTCTGTATCCTCTGAGAAATAGACCCTAGGATTAGCTAAAGGGAGATTTGGATTTGAAGTTCTGTCCTATGTGTGATTTCTTTCATGCCTCGCCTTCCTCTTTAGGTGATCCTTTTTTGTGCTAGAAATAAGCCGAAAGAGGGATATGCATACACAAGGTGAGAGTCAGAAAGAATGCTTCATCGGAAGAAGTCTCATTGTTCAAACTGTAATTCAGCCATGTGGCTTTTGCTAAATGATGAGACACAAATTTCTAAGAAACAAGAGGTTAACTAGCTGTTCCCTTCTGCAGATGTCGACTCAGATGTATCTCCTCTATGGTGCTTATTTCCAGGTAAATGTGCATAGGATTTCAGCCTATGTTGGAACTTTTGAACTATAAGATAATGGACAGAAGTGCTGAGATAGCAGGAAAGGGGCCATCAATACCAGCACTAAGGCATGTAGTATCAGCAGAAACATCTGTTGCACTTTATTCTTGTTCAGGCTGTGTAGCAAGTTTAATTTCTCTGTGTTTTTGCACATGCATACTTTTAAGTTTTAGGTACACAAAAACATTCAGAACAGTTTTCCTAGAACAGCGGTTCTCAACCTGTGGGTCCCCAGATGTTGTTGGACTACAACGCCCATCATCCCTGAGCTCTGGCCTTGCTAGCTAGGGGTGATGGGAGTTGTAGTTCAACAACATCTGGGGACCCACAGGTTGAGAAAGGCTGTCCTAGAAGCAGTTGGCTGCCGTTTTTCAGCTGGCTTTCAAAAACACAGAATTGTCATGGCCCCAGACCTGGAATCTACGGAAGCAGGGTCCTCCAATGATGTGAGCCTCAAGGAGATGGATCCATTCCTTGGTCCATGTCATGCAGAACTGCTGTCACCAGAGCCCACACCTCCTTCCCTAAACCTTCAAGAGACCCCTCTTTCACCAGGCTCTGAGGTTGACCCACAGATGACTTAGAGGACCAGGAGAGCCCCGAGATGTCCCCACAACTTGAAACTCGGGACCCAGAAGAAGCCAATGGCTGCAGAGGAAGGCCGTGGGACTTTTAACCAGTCAGATTCAGGAGGCTGGGTCTCTAGTTAATGAATACCTAACACAGGCAATAAGGATCTGCCGCTGATGAGACACTTGTATGCTTTGCCTCAGCTGCAGGATCGCTAACTGTGGTCCTGAAATCCATGTCTAGGCTCTTCTCCCAAGGTGCTGATCCTGCTTCACCTCACCTTCCTGTCTGCTTGCAACCATATGAATACTGACCTTTCCCCTTTTGGGGGTCATAACCTCTTTGTGGTGGTAGGCGTCCCCATGGATCAGGACAAAAACAATCCTTCGCCCAGTTCTCCAAAACAGTAGGGAAACCTGTGTCTGGACTGTACCATCTGAGACTGCAAGTGGGAGTTCAAACTATTGAATGCTTCCCTTATCAAAAATAAAAAGACACCCCCCCCAAAGAAAAATAGGTGATGAGAAGAATACAGTTCTACTCTAACATTCTCCCTTGGGGGCTAATTTTCTATAGGAATGTTTATTATAGAAGGTTTCCATAATGTAGGGATGGAGAATCTGTGGACCTCTAACACCCATTAGCCCTAGCCAGCATGGCCAATGGTCAGGGATGATGAGGGCTGAGGGTACCACAAAATCTGGAGGGCTGCATGCTTCCCATTCCTGCTATAATTGAAGCCTCCAGCTCTGATCTGAAGTAGTACAGTCTAGACAAGCCTATCACCTCATCTGCTACTTGTGAGACATAGACCTTAATTGTGCCTTCTTTGTACCATATTGTGTAGAGTCATAATCTTGATCCTCTGCCCATCTAGTTCAAGACCAGAAAATTTCCACTTGCTTCACCGAGCCAGGATCTGTTCCCAAAGCGCCGTCCTGAAGTCATTTTGGGCATTGGGCCAGACCCTTAAGAGGTGATGGCTTTGCAGATCATTTGCAGCTTATCAGCGCGGTGCCAAAATACTTTGGGAGAAATGGCTAACCTTGCAGCTACTTCTTCAAACAAATTAGATATGTATAAGCTTCTAGCCTGAGCTTCAAAACCCCCAGATTTTGTTTTATTTTTTGATCTGGCTACCATCCTCATCCCTTGCCTGTCTCTCTTCTGAGAACAATTCTGCAACCAAGCCTGTTTTCGTCCTGAAGACTCACCCAAGTGCTGTTCCCTTGGGACGCCAGTGGGCAGAAGATGAATGAATTAATTTTCTTCTTATCCAGGAACGCAGGCCATATGGACCTCCTGAAGTCTGACGTGTACTTGCATCTCCAAAGGCAAAAATACTTAATACTTCCTTGCTGTCTGGACAGCTTTTCTTTATTTCCACTGATGAAAGCTAATTAGAAAAACACAGAATTCAAAGAGACCATTTTAGAATCTGCAGCTAAATTGCTTCCCTCCCAATTCCCTGCCTCAAGCTCATTATCTTATTTCCCCTTAATTTGTTTAGGAAATGTTGGGTTTGCTGGTGCTTCTGTTTGCCCAGTGGGGGAGAGCATTGATCTCTCTTTGTGTAAGTTCCTGAAGTCAGGGGAGTCAGCAAGGAGGCATCACCAAAGTTCATGCGTATGTAGAAGTCTCTGACGTCTGCATCGCTGGATTGTGTCTTCCTGCAGGCCTGAACAATGTGTCCCTGCACAACTTAGGACCAGGGTACCTCAGGGATGTCCTAAATCCTTAAATCCCAGCTCGATCACTGAGATCTTCTGCAGATGTGTCATTGGTCGTTCCCTGAGTTGGTGAGGCTCGTTTGACAACAACGAGAAGCAGAGTCTTTGGTGTCATCAACTCAGTCCTGTAGAATACTCTGCCAACAGAGTTTCAGCAGGCAACTTCTGTGCCAACTTTTAAATGCCTGCTGGAAACTTTCACATTTTGCCGGGCAGGTGCAGGCAATTAAGGACACTTCCTTCCACAACCGTTAATTGATGTCTGTTTTTAACTCTTTTATGGCCTTACTGTATGGTTTTTTTGCTGTCAGCCACTTTGATAAATTGCTGTTATTGTGACACAGTTGTACGCACATATTTAAATAAATAAACAAATAACTTCTAACAAGCCAAATTCTTGTACATTTTGCCTCGTGTCTCAAGTCCTACAAATGCTGGAAATGTACTTTCTCTTTCTAAAGAAAGCTGAGAATCTGAGGACCCTGATTCATTCAGGGGAGAACAACTCTTATCTTGCTGAAGCTCTCGTAGTATCTGGTGGGGCAAGTCCTAGCTCTAGACTTCCTGTACCAAACAGAAAGTTGATTTAGGCTCCCTCCAAAATTATTGATTCCATGATACGGAAACAACAATTTGAAAGGGGCTTTGAAAGACTCTGTTTGCTTGGTTTGAAACACCACCCTTAGCAAGGAGTAACTTGTTTATAGAAAAGAAATTGAGAGTAAGTAGAGATTTTCAGAAATCCAAATGGGGTGTCGTGGAATCATAGGGTTGGAACAGATCTGAAAACAAGAGTCTTGGACCATCCACCCCCATATTCCCTGGCCCAGTTCACACAGACCCAGACCACAGTTCTGAGAACAGATACAGTGCAGCAAAGGTACCCGTGGATTCACAGAGACCGTGCAGAGACAGAAGTGCAGAGAGCAATTACCGTATTTTTTGCACCCTAACACTGACTTTTTTCCTCCTAAAAAGTAAGGGGAAATGTCTGTGCGTGTTATGGAGGGAATGCCTACGGGTGGCATGCCTACGGATTTTCCTCCTCTAAAAACTACGTGCGTGTTATGGTCGGGTGCATGTTATAGAGCGAAAAATACGGGTAGGTTTGTGTAGCCTGTGCTGCTGAATCCTCTAATGAATTGATTCTGTTCTCCCAGGGGAGTACAGGAACTGCAGAAGCAAGAGACCTCGTGCTTTCCCGTAACTTTTGGCAGAGCTTTACCAAACCATTCTTCAAAGAGGAAAGCAAAAATAAGAGGGGAGGGGGGAGAAATAAATCATCCTCCATTTTCTGTGCAGTTCACTTCGTGGTCTTTTGAACGATAGCATGGAATAGGATTGTTGTCCTTTGAGAAAAGGTTAGACGGCTCTTTCTGCTGTGTCTGGCAGTTTGTCTCCCTCTCCAGTGGAATTGCAGTGCAGGTGGGCAGTTGTGACCTTTCAATTCAAGCACTTTGCTTACATGAGCACCGAGCGCAGATTTTTGCACATGATAATAGCTTCTGGTGCACCTGCATTTTCAAGTGATGTCCTTGACCGGCTAATGTTCTGCGATGGGGATTTTCAGGAAAATGTTGAACTGGGTCCCCCTCCCATGCTTATCTGGGCACTTTGCTTCAGGAATTTTTCTGATGCCCTCCTAGAGAGTGATCTAATGTTCGCTTTAGCCTTGCTTAGCAAGCAAAGCTAGAAACTGAAACCTGCCGTTCTTGCCCGAATACTGTATTTGCAATTGGCATCCATTCATTTTTGCTAATGAGCTTGTGAAACAAAAGGGGGGGGGAATCCTCCCCACATTGCTTCTAATGGTGTCCAGAGTTTGGATTTCAACACTAGTCCTGGAATCATCAGAGTATCAGAGACTTTTGAAATTGTGAATATGAACATAAGAGGTATTCGTAACCCAGTTGAATTCCACAAGCAAAGGAATGCAATTTTGCAGCTTAAAAAAATGCTTTGTACGTAAGCTGAGTGCAGATCTCTGTAATATTCATTTAGCATCCTACTTATGCTACTGATGATGTGATAAAAGGTGTCCACCCCCCCAAAAAAACACACCTGTTGAGGCCTTGGAAGGGCAGTGACCAATGCTCTGCTTTTCTAGGGCATAATACCAGACTGGAGCTAATTTATATGTACGTTCCTCAGGGCTACTGGATTTAGGCACTACCATAATGGCTTGGGAAGAAGCCACAAGTGAGCAGTAGATGTGAAGTTGCCTTATTCTGAGTCAGATAGTTGGCTCATCTAGATCAAAGTTGTCTACCCTGGCTGGCATAAGCTCTCCAGGGGTTTTGATGAGAGATTTTCCCAGTTGTAACTGGAGATAGCAGATACGGAATCTGGGAACTCTTGCATGAAAAACATCCACTCCACCATGGAGCTGATATACATTGGGCCCCCAAGAGCTTCTGGAAAAGACAGACAGGAGTCTCCTCAGTTGGGACAGACAGGTAGGTTGAGTAGCTGGGGTCCATAACCAGCCCATTTTAGAATGAGGCAGGTCCCATTCAGACAGGTCTGGAAAGCAAGGTTTTGAATTCTAAGGAGCAATTTTCCTATTAGGACAGGTCAGACTTGGGAAGCCCTGGCCTGATAACTCTTAAGACCCCAACAGAATTTCCAAGTTTGGAAAGAACATTTGATGCACTCACTTATAACAAGGGTGGCCAGCGTTGAACTTCAACTCCTATCAGCCTGCCTTGGTCAGGAATGAGGGGAGCTGTATTCCAGCAACATCTGGGGCACTGAGTTGCCTTGTGAGGTTCTCAACAAATCAGAGAGCCAGCCTGGGAAACCAACCACTTCCTTGGGAAGTTCAGTGGAGAGACTTGGGAAGAGCTGATGCTACCAAGGACCTCCTGATTTGATGACTTAGCAACACCTGCTTCTAGGTTTCATGGGCCAGGCCGTCACATCAGTGCGAATTTCTGTGATCTCCTTGAACAGAGGAGGAAAACGGGTCTTTTCACTTTTTAAGTAACGTGGAATGAAGTAAGGAGAATGAGAAGCACCCTAACCATTTCACCCCGCCTCCCTTCGCTGTCTTTCAGGACGATGATTCCTATCACTGAATTCCGCCAGTTCTCTGAGCAGCAGCCAGCCTTCCGGGTGCTGAAGCCATGGTGGGATGTCTTTACAGACTACCTTTCCGTTGCCATGCTGATGATTGGCGTCTTTGGTTGCACGCTGCAGGTAAACAAACAGGAATGCAATCTGATTCTGCCAAGGTAGGGCTGGAAAACTATTCCCAAGTGCTAGCAGAGTTGGTCAGAGTGGAAGACAGATAGTCACAATTTCTATTATTATTATTATTATTACTACTACTACTACTACCACCACTACTCCTACTACTACAGTCGTACCTTGGTTGACAAACACCTTGCGACTCAAACGTTTTGGCTCCCAAACACCGCAAACCCGGAAGTGAGTGTTCTGGTTTGTGAACGTTCTTTGGAACCAGAACATCTGACAGAGCTTCTGCAGCTTTCGATTGGCTGCAGGAGCTTCCTGCAGCCAATTGGAAGCCGCACCTTGATTTCTGAATGTTTTGAAAGTCGAATGGTTTCCGTTCAACTTCCGAGGTACGACTGTACTACTAATCCTTGGTTAAATAATACAGGAGAGAAACTACTAAATGGAACCTTTCCATTTTTTAAAAAAGTGCTTATAGCTTGGAATCTAATCAATGAACAGAATCCACATGGACATTCTTTTTTTAAAAAAACCTGCCCACAGTTCTTTTGGCTCCCTGCTGCTAAAATTCACTCCACTTAAAAGTTCTCAAAATACACCTGAAAGTCGCAAAATGAAACTTCAGAATTTGTTGTTTCCCCATCAAGTCAAAACGCAAACAATTAAGAAGCTTTGAGCCTGATCCATTTTCTTGCTTGGCAAAACCAAGTTTATCCTCCCCTCCCTCCACTTTTGTGTGTGATACTTTCTTAAATAGCTTGAATTCTTTGAAGGGAAAAGCAGCACCCATTTCTGGCTCTCTCCCTCTTCTTCCCACCATTTGGCAATGTCTGGTCTTATTTTTCTCCCTTGGTTCTGCTTAGAGATGACATGGCAGTGTTTGTTTTATTTAATGCCCCCTAATTAATAAATGTTCCCGAAAGGTAAAATAACGGAAAGTCTTAATGGCTTGGCTGTTAACTAATAACTCATATTAATTCCACAAGGTTTAGCTGAAAGTTTAAACAACATCAGATTGTCCGGACTTGTTTAGGGTGGTCTCTACAACAGTGTCAAAAGTTTTGTAACATTCTGTTGGACTAGAATTATGAGGAAGCCCCTCTTGAACCAGGAAAACTGTACCTAAGGAAGTTGAGAGATGTTCTTTTGAACCATATTAGGCATTACAAAACCAATCCATTCCCCTTGGGGGCAACAGGTTGAGGTTTATATTTCTTTTTCCATCTCTTGGTCTTTTCTGGGTTGGATCCACACGGACAGCACAATCCTAACCAGGTCTCCTCAGAGAAGTCCTATCGAATTTAAAAAAGGCTTAATCCCAGTTAAATGGGATTTCAAGTTAGCCAGGTCCCATCTGCACCGCCCATCATACCACCTTCAGCAGTCATTGCTTCTTCCAAAGAATCTTGGGAACTGTAGTTTTTATTGATCCTGAGAGTTGTTAGACCCCTATTGCCCCTCAAAGAACTACAATTCCCAGGGTTCCTTGGGAAGAGTGACTGGCTGTTAAACCACTCTGGTAATTGAAGCTCTGTGAGGGTAATAGGGCTCTCCTAGCAACTTAAAACCTTAGAGTTGGAAGGGACTCAATGGTCATCTAGTCCAACCCCCTGCAATGCAGGAATCTCAGCTAAAGCATCCATGACTGATGGCCATTGACCCTTAACAAACTACAGTTAAAGGATAATGGTGGGGGGAGCCATTTTTAAAGTGGTATGAAGCTGCTTTAAATGTGTACTGCAGAAGGGGACTCAAAAGTCAGTGATTTCAATGGGTCTGATCTGATATACCGGTAAGTACAGTGGTACCTCAGGTTACATACACTTCAGGTTACATACGCTTCAGGTTACAGACTCCATTAACCCAGAAATAGTGCTTCAGGTTAAGAACTTTGCTTCAGGATGAGAACAGAAATTGTGTTCCAGTGGCACGGTGGAAGCAGGAGGCCCCATTAGCTAAAGTGGTGCTTCAGGTTAAGAACAGTTTCAGGTTAAGAACGGACCTCCAGAACGAATTAAGTATTTAACCCGAGGTACCACTGTATTACTAAGTCTGGATCCAGCCCTGTAGTGCCCGTGGTTATCTTACAGTTAATTAAATTAGAGACTGTGCTTAATATTAGCAAATATAATAATAATATTAATAATAATAATAATAATAATAATAATATTTTTTTATTTATACCACACCCTTCCCGGTTCAAAAACTGGGCTCAGGGCGGCTAACAACAAATTTAAAACACTTAATTGTAAAAGCAGCATAAAATACAGTATAAAAACATGAATAACAATAAAATTCAAAATTCAGAAATCAATTTAGGGGAAATAAGCATTAGATAATCACCAGGGCCAGCTGGCTGAATTGGTCCTACTTGGGCCAGCGAATAGGCCAGGGGAGAATTAGCTGTGGGGTCTCAGAGCGGGTAATCTTCATAAAAGGGGAGGGGGAGGGAAGAGAAAGGAAATCAAAGATCAGGCTGAATTCAAATTAAAGGCCAGGCGGAATAGCTCTGTCTTACAGGCCCCACAGAAGGAGTTTAAATCCTGAAGGGCCCTAGTCTCATGGGACAGAGCATTCCACCAGGTTGGAGCCATCACTGAAAAGGCCCTGGCTCTGGTGGATAGTCTGACTTCCTTAGGGCCCGGGACCTCTAAACAATGGTTATTCATGGACCTTAAGGTCCTCTGCGAGGTATACCAGGAGAGGCGGTCCCGTAAATATTAGCACATGACTCCCCTCCAAAAAAAATCATGGGAATGGTGGTTTCACCCTCACAGCACTGCAATTCCCAGCAACCTCAACAAACTACAGTTCCCAGTTTCTTTGGGGGAAGCTATGCGCTGTAAATGTGCACCGAATGTGCTTTAAATGTACATTGCGCATCTGCCCTCAGGAACAAACTGAGCTGTGTTCAGGTTGCTCATTTTGACCTCGTGGCGTGGCTGCCTGCCTCTTTCTTGGCTCTGGCAGTTCCTTCTTTTTGCACTACCATATCCTTAAACTATTGCATGAATACACTGAAAATGGATCTTGTTTGGCTATAGAAGCCACCAGCCAGTTCTTTTTTTTTTTTTTTTTTTTGCTGAAGTAAGCACACTCAGAATGTGCAAAGCGAGCACAGCTCCGGGAAATGGCATGTGAGAATGCAAATATTTGCATTCCTGCCTATTGCTATTTTATAAATGCTCTTTCTAGATAGCAAGCTGTGCCTTCAACCGAAGCCAATGAGGATTTTTCCTCCTGGCATGAATCTGTGATCGCTCAAGTAATGCCAGTAGCCGAGACCAATCCATCATCTGCAGTGTCACTGTTATTGATAACAGTGCTAAATATTTAATTTAGAGGGTAGAATCCTGCGAGGTGTCTGGTTCCCTGTCAGACACATGACAGTTGAAAGCACCCAAGGAGCCTTGAGCACTCCGTAATGGTACATTACAGCTGCATTTTCGGGTTGCGCCGTCCTCGGAAACAGCGCCAGACTAATTGTACTGGGGATGGAAAAAGAAATTTGTCATCCGCAGAACTGTGGTGGTATATAAGCACTGATGCAATGAGTCATTTCTCCACTGTGTTCTGAAGGGAACTAGACGCTTCTCCACATGTGTGGACTTCTTCCTTGGCAAAGCCTTCTCATCTGTCTTGTGCATATTCGCCTTGAAAGGGCTGTGAGCATCCACTCTGTGTGGCAGTGGACAGAACAGCAGCACAGTAGTGGCAGTGGCATAACATGGGTTGCCAGCTCCCGGGGCTGTGCGGAGGGTGTGGGAATGGGAGGGAAATGGATAGAGTACGCAAACAGCGTCGGCATCACCCAGGAAATGACAGCCGCAGAGATAAGAAAAGAAGAGGCATTCTGTTGTCACTTTCTGGTTTGCATTTTCAACGGAGCCAAGCAACAGAAGAGCGTGTATTGAGGCAGCACCGGGGGTTGACATTTTGCACCCCCTAACAATTTCGCACCTGGGGCAATCACCCCTGTGGGGCCCCCCATGTTACACCACTGAGAGGTGGTAGATTGTAGCGGTTCCTAATAGCTGTTTGACTTAAAGCAGCCCACTCCAACTTGGGGCCCTCCCTTTGTTTTGGACTACAGCTTCCTGGATAGCTCAGTTGGTAGAGCATGAGACTCTTAATCTCAGGGCTGTGAGTTCCAGCCCCATGTTGGGCAAAAAAATTTCTGTGTTGCCGGGGATTGAAATAGATGATCCTTGTGGTCTCTTCCAACTCTACTATTTTGTGATTCCATCAGTGCCAGCCAAGGTGGCTTTGGGTTCTGATTTATTTATTTGATGCATTTCTCTCCCACCAGACCTCCAAGCAGCTCAGGTACATGGTCCTCCCCCTCTCCATTTTACCCTCACAACCACCCTGTGAAGTAGGTTAGGCTGAGAGACAGTGACTGGTCCATGGTCACCCTGTGAGCTTCATGGCTGAGTGGGGACCAGAACCGCAACCTCCCAGGTCTTAGTGCACCACTGTAACCCAGTGTTTCTCAAGCATGGTTCCCTGGCTGTTGTTGGACTACAACTCCCATCATCCCTGACCACTGGTCCTGCCAGCTGGGGATGATGGGAGTTGTAGTCCAACAACATGAGAAACACTACTCTTGACCACAGCGCCACTCTGGCTCTCATATAACCTGAAAGAAGTGGGGATCCTCTAATCTACTACAAAAATCTTGAGGTGGAGTAGATTGAAAATATATTATTTGTAAATGTGCAATTTAAAGAAGCACAGTACTGTGAGTTTCTGTGTTCATTCCCACGGCTGCTTGATTCTAGTACCAACAAGTAAGGGACATGTCAGTGGTCAAAATATTATGATAGCACCACAGGCCATAAATGTATGGTGTAGACCATTCCCTTATTCTTTGAGATCAAGCAGATTGCGTGCTTTTACTTTAAAGAAAAATGGTACAGTTTTTAAAATAACTTTTTTTTGTTTGTGTGCATTGCAGGTTATGCAGGATAAGATCATATGCCTTCCAAAAAGGGTGCAGCCTCCGCAGACCAACTCTCACCTTCCCAATGCGTCAAATCTAGACTCAGACGCCACTCCATTTCTTCCACCCAAGCCATCCACACCTCCTGCTACTGTTGAAATGAAGGGCCTCAAGACTGACTTGGACCTCCAGCAGTACAGCTTCATCAACCAAATGTGCTACGAGCGTGCCCTGCACTGGTACGCAAAATACTTCCCTTACCTTGTCCTCATCCACACTCTGGTGTTCATGCTGTGTAGCAACTTCTGGTTCAAATTCCCCGGGTCGAGTTCCAAAATCGAACATTTCATCTCCATCCTGGGGAAGTGCTTTGACTCTCCTTGGACCACGAGGGCTTTGTCGGAGGTCTCTGGAGAAGACTCAGAAGAGAAGGACAACAGGAAGAACAACATCAGCAGGTCAAACACAGTCCAACCTAGCGCAGAGGGGACTTTGGTCCAGGCTCAGTCTCTGAGATCCATACCTGAGAAGTTCATTGTGGATAAAGGGACCCCGGGAGCTCTGGATAAAAAGGAAGGAGAACAGGCCAAAGCATTGTTTGAGAAAGTGAAGAAGTTCCGGCTTCATGTTGAAGAAGGGGACCTGCTCTACGCGATGTACGTTCGTCAAACGGTGCTGAAGGTGATTAAATTTCTTATCATCATTGCCTACAACAGCGCCCTTGTTTCAAAGGTTCAGTTCACTGTAGACTGCGATGTTGACATCCAGGACATGACCGGTTATAAGAACTTTTCTTGCAACCATACGATGGCGCATCTCTTTTCTAAGCTTTCCTTCTGCTATTTGTGCTTTGTAAGCATCTATGGATTTACATGCCTCTACACTTTGTATTGGCTATTTTACCGCTCGCTCAAAGAATACTCTTTTGAGTATGTCCGGCAAGAGACTGGCATCGACGACATCCCAGATGTCCGCAATGACTTTGCGTTTATGCTGCACATGATAGACCAATATGACCCACTTTATTCCAAGAGGTTTGCTGTGTTCCTTTCCGAGGTCAGCGAAAACAAACTGAAACAGCTTAATTTGAACAATGAGTGGACTGCGGAGAAGCTGAGGCAAAGACTGCAGATGAATGCCCACAACCGTTTGGAACTACAGCTCTTTATGCTGTCCGGACTTCCCGACACTGTTTTTGAAATAACAGAGGTTCAAGCACTGAAATTCGAAATAATTAACAACGTCATGATACCAGCCACCATTGTGCAGTTGGATAATCTCCAGGAGCTCTCATTGTACCAATGTTCAGCAAAGATCCACAGTGCAGCCCTGGCGTTCCTGAAAGAAAATCTGAAAGTCTTGAATGTCAAATTTGATGACTTCCGAGAGCTGCCACCTTGGATGTATGGGCTCAGAAATTTGGAAGAGTTGAACTTGATTGGTTCTTTGTGCCATGACATTTCTAAAAATATAACTTTGGAGTCCTTTCGGGAACTCAAGAACCTGAAAGTTCTGTACATTAAAAGCAACCTGTCCAAAATCCCACAGTCCGTGGTTGATGTTTCGAGTCACCTTCTGAAAATGTGCATCCACAATGATGGCACTAAGCTGGTGATGCTCAACAACTTGAAGAAAATGGCCAACTTGACGGAACTAGAGTTGGTGCACTGCGACTTGGAGCGCATTCCTCACGCTGTGTTCAGTCTTGCCAGCCTCCAGGAATTAGACCTGAAGGAAAACAACCTCAAATCAATAGAGGAAATTGTTAGCTTTCAGCACCTTAGGAAACTCATCGTCCTCAAGCTGTGGCACAACAGTATAACCTACATCCCTGAGCACATAAAGAAGCTCTCCAGTCTGGAACGGCTTTCTTTCAGCCACAACAAGATAGAGGTCCTCCCATCCCACCTCTTCCTCTGCAACAAAATTAGATACTTAGACTTGTCTTACAATGACATCCGGTTCATTCCCCCGGAAATTGGGGTGCTGCAAAGTTTACAGTATTTCTCAATCACTTGCAACAAAGTGGAGAGTGTGCCGGACGAGCTCTACTTCTGCAAAAAACTCAAGACGCTGAAGATTGGGAAGAACAACTTGTCCGTTCTCTCGCCTAAAATTGGGAATCTGGTATTGCTGACCTACTTGGACATCAAAGGAAATCACCTGGAATTTCTCCCCCATGAACTCGGTGAATGCAGAGCACTGAAAAGGAGCGGCCTGGTGGTCGAAGACACCTTGTTTGAAACCTTGCCCTTAGATGTCAGGGAGCAGATGAAGGCAGAATAAGCTCAACCCTCTTAGATCTTTTACAGCAGCGGTGGGGAAACCTTTGGCCCTCCAGATGTTACAGGATTCCAACTCCCATCAGCCTTAGCTAGCATGGGCACAAATCGTTATGAATGCACAACAAAAAGCATGTCTGGAAGGGCCTTGAAACCACGTAGTCTGGGGACTCCAACCCCACTTGAATGTGCTTTACAAAATGATGCCCAGGCTACAACAGCCTTATAGACCCTTTGGACTCCAACTCCCAACATGCCCAGTCAGCATGGCAAGTGACCAGGAATGATGGATTTTGTGGTTCAACAACATCTGGAGGGCCACAGGTTTTTCACACCTGTTTTACAGCAACTCGTCTCTGTCAAATGCCTTGTACATCACGAGCTAGCCTGAATATGCCTTTAAAGTCTATTTTTTATTATTTTAGTGGTCCCTTTGTATGGACATTTTTGGACTAGGTTGTATATGTATATATATATATTTTATATATAAAAAATTTACTTGTTTTTCCTCACCCAACGGTGTTTGTAACTGTTCGAATTTTTATTTTGCCTTGATACAAATGGGTCTGTGTAGTTCTTATTTTGTATCAGTGAAATCAAGTTGCTTGTCTGCCTTAAAAAATGGGGGGGGGGGCCACTCTCCAGAAATACGGTCAGTATGTTCCAAGCATTGAATGAAGGTTACCTATATGAAAGTAGATGAATGTACAGTTGCCATAGCAACTCTAAGCCATTTGATTCAGTTTTGTGTACCAGCTTATCCAAGGCTGGGGAACCTGTTGCCCTCCAGGTGTTGCTGAACGACATCTCTCATCATCCCTGACTGATGACTATGTTGTCCGGGATTGATGGGAGTTTGGAGTCAAGCATCATCTAGAGGATCACAGGTTCCCCATCTCTTAAGGCACCAAGTACCCTCTTTCTTCTTTTTTATCCTAGTTGTGGGTAACTGTCATTCCCTGTTCCAGAGGCTTCATTTTGACAATAAAGTAAGTCAATCCTGTTTTGTGGTTGTGGATCGAACCTGTGCTGCCATGGCTGGCAAACAGGAGCCTTGTTCCCTTGAAGATTCTAATTTATTAAAATAATGCTTTTGGCTAGGATTCCGCTCTCTGTAGTGGTGCCAAATCTTTGAGTCACCTTTTCCATCTTCGGGATTTTCAGCCATGGTCAGAACCCTCTGCTAGAGGTTGTGTTCCAACGAAAGGTTGTACTGTGTATAGTGGAACTTCGGTTTTCAAGCTTCTCGGAAGCTGAGCGTTTTGGAAGCTGAACACCGAAAACCCAGAAGTAATTGCTTCCGTTTTTGAACGTGTCTCAGAAGTTGAACGGATTCCGAGGCGTGTTTTTCAATTTTCTCAATGAAAGTTGCCAGCAGCCCTTTGCTGTTGAATGTTTTGGAAGGCAAACAGTCTTCCAGAAAAGATTTCATTTGACAACCAAGGTTCCACTGTACTGTGTAAATTTTCTCTCCCACCCTAGCTTTTTTTTCCTTAAGTGTTGGTTCTCCCCAATGTACATCCGAAGATCTTTGCAAGTCACAAGCGTGTAGCCAATGAATCAGCCGAAGAATGCTTGTGAATATCCTGTCGTGAATGCTGTTTGCAATCCTCTAAGGACAGATGTACTCCATAGAATATAGATGTCAAATTGATAGCCACTTAATTGTTGTGGCTTACCCCTCAAAGAATCCTGCAAATTATTGTTAGTGGAGATGTTGAGAATTGTGTTAGGGATTTCCCTCACTTCTTTCATGGAACGACAGTATCTAGGGGTCCCTGAGGAGAGGGAATGATGGTGTTATTGTGAACTGCCTACCATAAAAAGGAGACAGAGACATAAATTGATTATTATGACATTACCCGTCAAACTGTGAGGCAATGTCTGGCTAGAAATGCCCTCATTAGAAAACTCATAACCTCTCCAAATGAAAGTTGTGATTGTATTCATGTTTGCCTGGGAGGAAACCACTAAACTCAGCAGAACTCACTTTCCCCAAAAGATGTCATGCTACAGAGAAAATCTGGTATTTCTGCTTAAACTTTATTGGCATTATAGAGGGGTGGGTGAGTGGAGTATGCAAGATTCAATGTGTTTTTTTGTTGAAGTTAGCTATCAATCAGATCATAAAACTGGAGGCCCATTTTTAAATAAGTATAAGAACAATTATCCGTAATACACAATCACTGTTGCCCAACCCAGCAAGGTTATCTTAGGATGAGGCTCTGATCCAGCCAACTTTCTCCTTCTCTTTCATTTTCATTCAACTCATTTCATCCTTATCTGTAAACAAGTCAGAGGTTGAAGCAAAACACCACATGCTTTACAGTTCTGAGGTTCAGCAGGTTGTGAGGAAGAAAGCATTCATTTCTAAAAGTACAAATCTAAAGTAAACCAAAGCACTGTTGCTACTAATAAATGTAAGCCCCTTTAATGTGCCTGCTCCACCAGTGACTTTCTGTAGTCACCTGCTGTAGATTAGAAAACTGAGACTATGGTAAGGCTGGGAGCATTGGGGGAAGAGGCTGTGGCCCTAAACTGTGGTTTGCTCCCACCGCAAGGGCTGGCTTCCAATGGCTGTATATCACCAATAAAATCTAGCAGTGGTAAAGCTGAAAGGTGCTGTTTATATTCACATCCGCACCATACAAACACAACACTCTTATACCACTTGAACTGTCATGGCTTCCCCCAAAGAATCCTGGGAACTGTAGCCCTCCTTAACAAACCATCATTCCCAGAATTCTTTGGGGGATGCCATGACTGTTCAAGTGACCAGTGTTCAAAACTCCCATTGTTCTAGGCAGATTATGCAACCAGGAATTTCATTAGCGCCAGCAGTTTCTGAGCTCTGGGCGCAGTGCTGCTCCTAAGATTTCCGATGAAAACTGCAGAGTGGAAGGAAAGGAGGACCCTTTTCTGCCTCCCCACTTTCAGGCCCTCTCTGACGACCGGAGAAGAGACCCTCTTAAGAATATTAGGGGGGTGGGCAGGGGAAGGACTAGACCGTGTGGGAAATGAACATAATATTTTAGCCACTGTTCATTCATTTTCAGTCTTGTATTTTTGTTATAAAAAAAGCGCGCCTGGACATTCCGTTGTTGCGCCCACAACCTCGGTTTAAGGTGCCATTTAGCTCCTAGCGTTCATATCTCAGTTTCTAACACTGCAAGTGACACAAGAGTGCTTTGAATGTATGACATAGATGTGACCTGTTTCTTAACCAGAACAAACACAAGTTGCACCAGTGTTTGTGATGTAGGTAATGTGCACTGTATCTACCTGTGAATAAGGGCTGGTTCACACAAACTCTAGTTGGATAAACACACACACACAGAGAGAGAGAGAGAGTTGCAATTGAAATTATTTAACCCCCATTGCAGGTGTGAGACTGGAGAAGCCAGTATAAGTTGTGTTTTCAACTGAATTTGGGGGAACCACTTGAAGCATCCATTGTGTTGAGCTATTTCCGCTTTCGTTTGATTTGCTTATTGCAAAGTCTGTAAACCTTGATAATAAACCCAGTTTGCAATGGGGATTGAATAATTTCAATTGCACCCACATGCACCCCTACATGGAGGGACATTGGAATAACCACAATTTCTACGACGTTTTCATTAGTATTTTGTTTTGAGATTTGGGCCTGCCATGTTCTTCACATGCTGGGAGGTAAATGCATGTGTTCATTGTACAGACAGTGGTTTGTAGCCAATACTTGTCCTGCTCAGTGTAGGCATTTTCATTAACTTCAATGGGCCAACTCTGAGTGGGGCTGGTTTTGGATATAACCTAGAATCTTGGTCTTGCAGTTGTGTGAACCAGTCCCCAAAACTGCTGCAGTCAGTGAAAGCATTCAGTCCAGACTACAGTTCTCTAGTCACTGACTTTGGAGAACTTCCATTAACTTCTCTGGACTTTCTTCAAAACAAATGATTTAAGGAGTGAGCTTTCTTTAAAAGGCCTCTTTCTCATGTATTGAAAGCATTTATTATGGTTAACAGTGTCTTGCATGTATTTTACAGCACATTCTTTTTCTAAATAGAAGTTGCAGATGCTCCTGTTAGCGCTAGTTTTTAATGTTGTTTAAAATTATTGGGGATTTTTTTAAAAAATAAAAAATATATTGTCGTGTAATGTCATGAAACAAGCTCAGGTAAATGAATGTTCAACTTCTTATTTATATTTACTCTTTTGGTGTTTGTGCAAATCATGTGCAAAATCATGTTATCGGGATATATTTGAAAAGTTCTTGCTAAGAAAAAGCCATTTTCCTAATTCTTTCCAAGGTCAGGAAGTTATGTCAACAGAGAAATGCCATATGTATTCCGTCATTTTGCTTCATATATTACAAACGTATATCTGCCCATAGTCAACCACATAAAACATTACAGCAAATCATGGTCATCTAGTCTGAATCAATTTTTAATTCATAGTGGTGCAATTGTTGTAAGGGGTGTTTCGTCTTGGGGGAATGCAAAATGTAGTGGTTTTGAAAAACTGGGGCAACGTAATGAAAACAGTGTGTTGAAATAAGTGCATTGAAACAGTCTGGAATTTGATCTTGATGCTGTTTTCAAAACCAAACCGGAGTCATTATACCGTCAGTTCACCCTCTAATGCATAAGTTTGTGTTCTGTCGTGCTACAGAAGGCACAATGGGGCAGGGAGATGAAATAAAGTTTGTTCCAAATGTAGCATTTTGAGGCAAACGGTATTCATTTCACCAAACTGTTTCTTCTGCATGCCTTTATTTCAAAAGTGAGTAACGTCTCCTGCGGAGCTTTGTTTAAATTCATGTGTGTGGCACAAAAGGGAAAGGGTGCCTCCATCCACCTCTAGCCTCTGGCACCCACTGACAGGTGACCCTCAGTGGGGAAAAAATATGCCCATTCTTGCTTTGGTTCTTTCACCAAAAGGAGAGCCCCATGGCCAGATGCCTGGGAACTAAAATGCATTGACCGTGGATCTTCTAAAGCAAGTGGTGAATGACAAGAGGATGAAAAT